GGTAGGGCCAAGTGTATTAGACGAGAAGAGCGGGCTCGATCCGCTGTGCGGGAGAGCGTTGCGCAAATGATGCGGTGACTGACCTCGTGTTACCTGTATCAGTACACGAGCCACAGAGATCGTCGCTAGAACCGAGCCGCAGCGTCTGACGTTGGGGGAGCACCTCGCAAAGCATAACCAATTCCAGTGGCTACGGGCCATATGAGCACGTTGTGTTATTGTGGGTGCGCGACGGCGAATTGCATTATCTTAGAGTCATCTATCCGTCTTGGGAGCACCCAGCTCTCCGTGGGACAGCTGAGCTGATGCTGTTGAGTCAACTCAAGCGTCGAGTGCTCATCTGTGGTACTTTGTCCCGTTGATAGCTGTATAGAAAGGGTTGTTGGGATAATTGAAGTCCCGCTTAGGTGTTGGTCTCCGCCCGACACAGCTTTGAACGCTCAAGGTCTTCTAAGAACTTTCGCTGCTGCATCCCGGCTGCTAAAATGCAGCCACAAGCTTCTCGGATGCTCGGAACTTCGGGAGTCCTCTACCTGCAGCCTCCCTCCATGCCGCAGCGAGCACGGCGTCCACAGAATGAGACCAGTATCGGCTATTTTGGATGTAGACAGTCTGATTAGTGCTCTCCAGAGGCCGGAACCGGTGAGCTGCGTGGAGCAATCACCGCGGTGTGCTTTCTGCAAGACTCAAGAAAAGGACACTTGGAACACGTGCCTAGAGTTGTTGGAGACACAGTTTAAGAAGCGGGTTAGCACGGCAACAGGATACAGCACTCAAGCCGTGCATTATCGCCGTCCTCTCTGCAGGATATGCAGGTCTGGTCGTTAGCACATGACGCCGATATTGGACTGATGAAGCCATTTTCGTCTGTAATAGTGAGGCAGCTGAACACACTCTAGAGACATGTATTTCGTTTTTCCTATTTGAGCAACCGTTGGATCGGGTTAGAGCGGAACGCTTGAACGGGCAACAGGCTACCTTGTCTCAGTTGCGCTTGACTCGTACTCTGACAATGCGAATATTGAAGGGCACACCTTACAAGGTATCGTATTCGTTTCTTCTCAGCCCTAACGAGGTCTTTGATGCTGGAAATAGGCTGCCCTCTTAGTCGTAGTCAAGCACGGATACGCAGCAACTGACTTACATGACACTTGCTTACCAGCGGTGCCTCAAACGGTCAACCCCTGACTGTAAGGCTAAGAAAGCCTGAGGTTTCGTGGGGTTCGTATTTTGAGGGAGCTGGAGCGCTTCTCGGGGGCTGCGGCGCTGCGCCACTCTGCTTAGACCCTTGCTCGCGGCGGATGTTGGCGCCATATCTCCTCGACCCCGGCTCTCCCAGACCCCAGATATCAAATGACGTGAGCAAGTGTTTCAAACAGTCCCTGCCCTCTAGCGCTCCCGTTCAACAAACACAATCCTGCTTCTGCAACTCAATTTGCAATGTGCGGGTCTTACCAGCTGACAACTGCGCCGGTTTCTGTTACTGAACGGCAATGGCCGAGCAGGATACCAAGTAATACAATGGAGACGGCTACGAACCAATGAGCTTAATCGCTCCAGGCGGGCCATCAGGCCACCAGGCCACAGCCCGCCAACATGAAGGTTAAATACTTAAAGGCCTCGAACAGGATTCTGTAGCTGCCAAGGATCTTATGCGAGGCGCAGCTGCGTTTAGCAAACTTCCCTGGAGCTTTACCTAAGGCCTTGCACAGAGGATCTGTTTGACGTGGGCCGCCCATCCACTTCGCAGAAATGCCACGGTTTTGATAGGAATTCTATTGGAATGGTAGGACTGGGCTTGCAACGAAATCAATCCGAAGACTCGCGACAGCTCGAGAGAACCGACAGGAGACGGACAACAGCCACGGGCACAGCCACACAGGAGGCTCAGGAATCGTTCTGGTGCGGGAGAATGCCACAATTTGCTAGGCGCGTTGTCAAGATCAACGGTTTCCCTCGAATCCCAACCAAACGTGCCGCTCCAACAGCCACCAATACCTCCTACAGGAAGCTTGCAGGAAACGGCAACCGCGTCCTTGAAAGTTGGTGTCAGAGCGTTTTAATTGCCTTGCAAGCATGCTTCGTGTTGTTATCGCCCGTGATCTTGATGCTGTTGTCCGGAGCTGGGCCGGGCGGGGACCCGAGGATTTCAGCCTGGGGGAATGCGGAGCAGAATTCTGGAGGAGGAGAAGAGCTGTCAGCCCTCTCCGCCGGTTTCATATCCAATCAGAATGGCGATCCGGAGATCCATTGACCGGCTCGCAGAGAGCAATTCGGGTTCGGAGATGAGCACGCTTGCTGAAATACTTCAAAGAGCAAGCAACAGCAGCGCGCCCAGAAGCGAACCACAGCCATTCACCCCGCTCCTCCAGCTCAAACAAACTGATGATCAGCCGCACTCGGTGGTTCCCTCTGAAGCTGGACTTAGCGATGGGATCAATTGCGCCTCGATAGTTCGACGGACATCATTCGCCTCAAGCTGGCCGTTGAGAACGCCTGCATCTCTAGGGGGTTTCGTAGTATCTATCGCATGGAGCACGAATCACAAATCTTGTGTTCTCTACAACGACTTTTCTGCTTGCAGGATCGACCAACAACCAAGTGGAGATAATATCGAGATGGAGGGTAGGCCAACCGTCGTACCTGTTACAGCCAAGCAAGTCTTCACACCACGATCTTATCGATGACACGCACGAGGCTAACTGCATGCCCCCCAGCGCGGTTGCCACTTTTGTGCCTTCCCCCTGTCCATCAAAAGTCTCTCGCAAATGCACCATGCTTGTCGTAGCGAAACTACCATTTGTAAATCTCGAGCAACCGCGTCGTCGACGTGATGTTGCCATCGAAATTTCACATTGTGCTTCCTGGCGTTGGACGTATCTCGGCCGAACTTGAAAACGAGACGCCGTTCACATCTGCGGCTTCGAGCACTGGCAGCATGTTGGACTGAGCGAGACGCCCTGCAATCCACCGTCGAAATTAGAGCGCCCACCGTTACCGCGCGGAAGGGCAATTGCAATTCCGGTGCCAGCCTTATCGCTGGTTGCTTCGAAATCTGCCATGACCGAAGCAATGGCAAACATAAGTTCGCAGTTCGAGACTCATTTCGAGACCTTGGAAAACTGGAAGGTCCCTGGATTGAGGCACACTGAGCCGCCATTCGGTCAAGCAGGGTCCTCTCCCGCTAGATGATCGAGATGTGTACAGGTCACAAAGTACAGGCACAATTCAGAGCACGATGTCGCGCTTGACCGTTTGCGGTTCGAGCTTTGGCTGAGACGTGGCTCAACCCACCCGTGTGCTCCAAGGGGAGTCCCGCAGTTGGTGTGGTCGATCTGCAAGTCGTTGACGAGCTTTTCATGATCCGCAACATCCTAGCCTCTCCACAGTTGCCGCTTTAGGGACGTGCAGCTGGCGGATACGTCGAATTCGTCCGCCGCCGTCTCCGGGCTCGTGTGTTTGGAGGGCTTCTGCTCCCTGCTCGACATGCGTCGAATAAGTCATCAAGCACGTCGCGGAGGCCTCGGTGCAATCTGCGAAATGCACAGCGCACAGGGCTGACCTGGTCCTGGTAATTCCCCGATTCCTGCAGACGCTCAGCGGAGCACGAGGAGACCGACGGACTAACCGTAGCTCAACAGGTACAATTAGCTCGAGACGGAGGAACGGTCAGGTCAGGTCAGGTCTGGGCGCAGGGGCGCAGGGGCGCAGGATTGTGCTGTACACGAAGGAACGTGGCGGGCTCCTGAGCTTGGGAGACAACAGCACACCTAATCTTCGTATCCTTGAAGTACGGGGATAATTTTAGACTGTAGCGCTCTGCGCCAAGGGCCGTAAGCGGCACCAGGCGAGGGGAACTCAGCAGCAGCTGGGCATTCAGTGCCAGAGCGGGCAGGAAGCACTCGGCGCAGGTGAGATGACGAGAAGACACTCTGCCTTAGTCGGCGCTCGTGGGTGGTGGCTTGCAGGCCGCGTTCCGCTACGCCGCTTTCAGGCGTGCTGCTCGCAACTGCAGATCTACCTAGGTATGAGGCGCCCCAAATCCTTGCAACGTGTTCGCTTCAGGCAGCGGCAGCCAGGACGTGCCAGATGCTGGCAGAGCTGGCAGAGCTGGGAAGCAGTGGTAAACACCGCTGCCACTACCACCACCACCGCTGCCGCCCCCAGGTCCGTCCCAGCCACGGCCTCACACACACACACACACACACACACACACCAGCCTTTGTCTGCCCTTTCTCGCTGCAGCGGCTTGAGGTAAGGTGCAATAACACATCCATTGCGCGGGCCCTGATACGCCTCTCGCTGCTCGCCGAGCCATGGCCCGGCAGATGCACATCGCACGAAATCGATGGATCATCGCTGACGCCCTTCCTCTTCCAGCCCCAGGGTGCTCATCTGGGCCAGCAATCCACTAACAGGGATCCGTTATCGAGGTTACCGCCATGCACATGCTTATGCGCCTCACGTAACGACTGCGGAACCATCTTACACTTTGACTGTGCTTCCCAGGGAGCTCTCCTGATTATGCATCAGCCTGATCCATGATCACTGGAGCTAGGCTAACGGGCGCCTTACAACGGCTGTTGACTGTAGAGGTAAGATGAATAAAACTGCTACCCGAGCTGGTTGTACCTACCCCTCGTGCTCCTCATATATCGACGCTCCCAAGGTTGCCCATTGCTCCCACTTCCGTGCACTTGGATCCGTATCCACTATCGACCTTCGCTTTCCATCTGTCTCTGCGTTGTTTGACTCTGCGGTCCTGATCCCACATTCGCTCCACTCCAATTGACGCTGCGGCTGAAAGTGCAGAGAACAATGGTGTTCTGCACGTACTGTGGGCAGTCCTTCACCCGGGACGAGCATCTCGAAAGACACATACTTACTCGTATGTCGATTAGCTTCTGCCACTCGTGCTTGATGACTTGCGTTGGATATTGAGCTGACCGCGGTCCTCCATAGACACTAACGTGAAGCCCTTCAAGTGCTTCACCTGTCATATGTCTTTCGCCAGGCGGTAAGTTGCAGGTTGAAGAGGCTCACGACGCGTACCACGTCAGGCCCGGTTACCAGCAGCTGAATGCGAGCTAACTCGTTTGAAAGTGATCTGCTACAGCGTCACTACACTGTCCATGGCCGGGACTCCAATAACCAAGAGGGCTTACCTGCCAACAATGGAATGATTCCCAAATCCGCTGGAAGGACTCCAATTGCGTGCAGTAACTGCGCCAAGACGAAGACGAAATGCGACAAGAAGTTCCCTTGCAGTCGTTGCGCCGGCCGGAACCTCAAATGCACACTTCGACCCACCAGACGTGCCTCGAAGAACGTAAACCGCATACCCGCTCCTGGCGAGGGCACAGGCAGTGGCAGCTCGTCTGAGAAGGGGGATATCACCGCTCCTGGCTCTGCACGAACGTCGCCGCAGCCGCAATCAGACTCGTCGAACACGACTCCAGATGAGAAGCCTCTCACTGAAGGGCAGCCGAGCTTCTTCGAACAGAGCCCGCCGAACGTACAAGCGCAGATGCTACCAACCGTCCTCTCGCCTTTACCTACGCCAGGAAACGGGTTCATCCAGCACACCCCCATGTCAGGCTACGAGGATTTCATAAGAACTGGCAGAGAGGGACCAGAGCATAGCAGCCCGCGCTTCATGATGGAATGGGCGCAGATGCAGATGGCTCCTGGATTTGACGCCATGGGAAGGCCCGACATGATGATGGCCGCAGAGATGGGCCTTGATATGCACGGCCTACCGGGACCGCATACGGATGGAATGATGACCATGATGCCTGAGATGACTCATGCTCTCCCACCCGTGCAGACACCGCTCGCTACGCCCAGACTGGACGGTACCTTCTCGGACATGGAGCTCGGAAGTTCCGCTGCATTGTTCTATCCGCATAACGGTAACCTAGCCGTAGCACACGATGCTGGCGTTCCTGATCTTGGTGCAATCATTGCGGCGCAGGACGGCTGGACCGTTTTCCGCTGCACACCCCCCATTCCTTCGAGTTCATGTCCTAAAACTGCCAAGCTCAACCTGGAAAGGTTGGAACAAAGTCTTCGAAACCACGAAAGCTGGAGCAACTGGAGACCGACCTGGGACGAGTCCGATTTTGCGGCTGGTGAGCAAGTTGCTGTCATGCAACTGCACGAGAGTAGCCGGGATAAGCTCTTAGCCATCACGCAAACGTTTCTTCACAAGGCCTTGGATATCCACAAGGAAGGAATGAGCGGCTCGCCGAACAGCAATGGATCACCACTCTCGACTGCTACGAATTTCGTGCTGCTTCCGCCTGCGCGGGTCTTGGAATACTTTCTTCGGTCGTATGCCAACAGCTTCGAGCGATACTATCCGCTCACTTCGAAAGGGATGCTCGATGCGAATGAGCTTCTCCAATGCTTCAACGACAAAGCATCTAGTTTATTGGTTTTGATGATGATTGCTCAAGGAGCTATGGCGATTCCGTCGGTCGAGGCTCGTTGGTTGACCGGTGGATTGACCGAAGCCTGCCGCATTTCCCTTTTCGACTTGATTGAGAAAAACATAATCATGGCGAGCGATCCCGTTGTTCTTCACAGTGCGCTTCTCTTTACCGTCCAAGCAGCCTGGAGTGGAGACAAGTGGCAGATGGATATTGCGATGGGCCAGCGCGGCATGTACTTCGCCATGTTGAGGCACTCCGGAGTGTTGGAACCTAGACATGCTCCAGCGCCTCGAATCGACCCCCGAGGCGGTCCAGAGGGGCTGTGGAATGACTGGATCCAGCAAGAGAGCAGAAGCAGGTAAGCCGACGCTAGGACCGTGCTGGACGTGATTATGTAAGCTGACAATGCTCACCAGGTTGATATACTCGTGGGTAATGGTCGACCAGGATCTTTCACTCTTTCATGATGCGGCACCCCTGTTCTCTGTCACCGAGTTCGGTGCGCCGATGCCTGACTCGGATCGCCTGTGGCAGGCCAAGACTGCGACGGAGTGGTCCGAGATCTTTAACCAGGTACATGAATTCTCGGGAGGGTATCCGTCGGTTGGTTCGGGTGCTCGTCCGCTATCTCTTCGTGATTTGTTCCGTCATTTCTTGGATGATGAGATTATTGCTCAAGGTATCGAGCTCACTCCGCTCCATTTGAGATTGCTTCTCCATCCTCTTCAGTCGATGGTCGCCCAGTACTGCCAGCTCTTGAGCTGCTTTTCCGACAATGTAGCGTCCCGTCAGCGGACCCGGACAGTCACTGCGGCATCGACCAGAGTTCGCCTTGAGGAGGTACAGACGCTGTTGCAACGTTGGTACGACCTGGCGATCAGGTACACCAAAGCCAACCCAATGTGTACCATGATGCAGGCGACTCTGGTCATGTTCCACTTGATCAGCCTCAACGCGGTGACAAACTTTCCCGAGATCGAGCGTCTCGCCAGAAGGGAAGGAACCGATGGTACCTACCAGCAGCTCATCTGGCTACACAAACGATGCATCTCCGACGTCGAGGAATCCATCTTCCACTGCGGTCAGATCCTTCGTCTCATCCGATCGATGCCAAGGGGCATTCGTCCGCCTTGGTGGCCGGGTGCAATCTACCGGGTGGCCTTGATCCTGTGGACGGATAGCTTGACGCACAACGAGTCCATCACGCCTTCCTCGGGCATGTTCCCTGTACCAGGACCTTCCTTCGCGGTCGACGCACTGCCAGCGGAGCATCCTCTGGTAGTCCGGTACCTTACGAAAAGGGAGGGAGTGCCGACGCTGACCAAGAGGGACGGCACTCAAATTCCAATGGACCATGCGTACACCGTTCTTTCGCACTGCGTCGCAGTCATCGATGAGGGTGTTGCAACGCGGTTTTCCGATGGCATCCGGGGAAAGCTCCTCAGGCTGGTGAACGGTTAAACGACCACTTCATACCGGTCTCATGCTTAAGGGGTTATCCGACTCCGAATCTTATCGAAAGGCCCAGGTCTGTTTGGCTGTCTTAAATCTGAGATCCTTCGATCCACCATGATCCCACACGCCGCTACTTCGATGTCACTCATCGGACCGGTGATGGTGACATTAATCTGTAGTGTCTGCAAAGTCATCCCCTTTTTGGCTGCTTTAATGTCTATTGTCGAGTCCGTTCTCGTTTTTACGAATCATGTGGTCGATATGGTATGGACGGTTCTCCGACTTTGAGGGGATATCGACTAGGCGAGGCTTTTCTAGTCTTCGACTGGTTCATAACGCGATTGGCGCATCTGGATTGGTGGGGTACGGCGTCATTTAGGAGGCAGACACCTCGCTTTTGAACGCCATGTGACGAATCAACGGCCTTTACGGGAATGCAAGTCGACAATTCTCTCTCAGCCATAGATCGGGAGGATGGGGGTTTTTTGCGCTACATCCGCCCTTTGGGCGCCAGAGTCTTTGATCTATATACCAAGTACCTACACTTTACCATTTACCATAGCTTTTGCATCACCGGGTTCGGACTGTGCACCATGCTTACGCGGCCTAGGGATTCCCCGTGGGTACCCCATTATCCACGCCTGACCGCGAGTATGAACCCCGTTTCCCCTAGCCTTGCCGGCGTTCGGCTTCCGCCCTCTTGCGGAACCCTCACGATGTTCTTTGCAGGCCAGACCGTTCACGCCTTGCACTTGCACACTGACGCAGCTTCATGAGACGCACCGTTGACAACGGCTCTCCAACGAGCCAACCACTTCATTCCCCGGAGCAATCTACTGCAGCCTCCAGACCGGGATGGCATCAAGCTCTGCAAGCATAAAAGGCAAGCCTTGGTCATCGCGGATTATAATGTCCAATAACGGATCCCAAGAACACGAAACGCTGCTGCTGTGAAACTTGAGCTTCATCGATTAAGCTCAGCGGGCGGCTATATCCACTGGATCTCCCGTGATGCTGAAGACTGGGCGACGTAGAAATGAGCGTACCGGGTCCCAGGTATGCAATGTCTGCTGCGAGCATGGTCTTCCTGCTTCTGTACCAAAGATCACCCTCCTGCACAATACCTTCTGCCGTTGCCGTTGACGTCCCATCTCCGCTGCTGAGGCTAGTGATTTGCTACTGTTGTGCCTTGTTGCATGTCACCGCGCCGGGCCATCTTGACGTGTTCTGCTAATGAGGCAGCGATAGACAGCCTCAGGCTCACTATGGGACACTCGTGGTACTCATGTCACTAAGTTTCACACCGCCCAAATCTCCCACGGTGAGTGTCCCCTTCCAACAGGCGGGTTGTCAGACAAACTGTGAAGCGAGACGTCCCATCAGACAGAGAGACTGTGCCCCCCAACCCACAAAGTCCGGGAGCCGGACTCGACAGGAGGTTCGGGGATTGATCGAGCTCGGCCTCCCCTCCCTTCCCGTAGCCGGCTCCGCATGACGCACAGCCTGCGCCTGGGGGGTGAATCTGAGTTATCGATAAACATGCCATGCATTCGACTCTGCCCTTTGCGGTGCCCTTCTCCCATGGTTCGCGGGGGACGTGGCGGCAGCAAGCTTGACGGTCTATCTGAAGTCTTCGTGAGCACGAATGGAGTAGTGACGCCCATTCCTCCGCCTAGGCGCGCCCTGCGTCCAACCAGCAGTCCGCGGTCCGCGGTCTCCTCCCGCTAGTGTTCTGGCTTTCTGCACCGGCTCGGCCCAGGCACAGGCCAAGCCGGGAGACTGTCCTCTGCTTTGTATGCCGTGTATGCTTACTCTCAACAAAACATCTACTCGCACCGCTCACGACTCTTCGATTAGAAGAGCCGGGTGCTAAACCCCCGAAGAAGAGCCCGTTGATTACTTTACAAGTGACAAGAATAGCTTAAGCTCCGCAGAGCTACTGCGGATAGGGGTGGGGCCGAGAGGGTGCGGCGAACAAGACCCAAGCCACGAGCCTCGCATCGGAGGTTCCTGACGGCCTCTATCGCGACGCTTCGGCGGTACGAAGAGCGCGAGGTCCGTCTGGGACCATGGGAGAAGGGACTATATAGGCGCTGTCTGCTGCTGTTGCTGCTAATCCTCATCGTTCACACAAACTCTCCTGATATCAAACAGACATAAACACATCCCTTAACCACCACCACCAAAACAACAACATCAAACAAAATGGCAGTTGGCAACGGATCCACCCCTTCTTCCACCATCCCAAGCTGGAGCCTCGAGGGCAAGGTTGCCGTTGTCACCGGCGCAGGTGAGATGAACAGAATGCAGAGAGATCCCGAGCCGTGACTGACGAATTCGCAAAAGGCCGTGGCATTGGCAAGGAGATGGCCCTCGAGCTCGCCCGCCGTGGCGCGAAGGTTGCCGTGAACTACGCCAACAGTGCTGAGACCGCCGAGCAGGTGGTGCAAGAGATCAAGAAGATGGGCTCCGACGCCATCGCCATCAAGGCCAACGTCGCCAACGTCTCCGAGACCATCGCGCTCATGGACAAGGTCGTCGAGCACTTCGGCAAGCTCGACATCTGCTGCTCCAACTCTGGCGTCGTCTCTTTCGGCCATCTCAAGGATGTCACCGAGGAGGAGTATGACCGCGTCATGCAAATCAACACCCGCGGCCAGTTCTTCGTCGCCCGCGAGGCGTACAAGCACATGGAGGTCGGCGGCCGCATCATCCTGATGGGCTCCATCACCGGCCAGGCCAAGGGTGTCCCCAAGCACACTCTGTACTCTGGCTCCAAGGGTGCTATTGAGACCTTCGCCCGCTGCATGGCCATCGGTGAGTTCATGCATCCTCATCTGCTGCTAGCACTCGGCGTTCCTTCCTTCCCCTTAATATCAGAAACCCCGCACGCACAAAACCGTGAAAACTTTAGCTTCAGACCGCTAACACGTCTCACCAGACTGCGGCGACAAGAAGATCACCGTCAACGTCGTTGCCCCCGGCGGCATCAAGACTGATATGTACCATGCCGTGTGCAAGGAGTACATCCCAGGTGGTGATAAGATGAACAACGACCAAGTCGACGAGTACGCTGCCACCTGGTCGCCCATGAACCGCGTTGGCCAGCCCATCGACATTGCCCGCGTCACCGCCTTCCTTGCCTCCCAAGACGGCGAGTGGGTCAACGGCAAGGTCATTGGCATTGACGGTATGCCCTACTGTCCCTCAGCCCACTACTCGCTCCATGATGCTAATTCTTGCAGGCGCCGCATGCATGTAAAGCGCTTCATTGCGTTCTTTACCTGAAGCTTCACTGTGCTTGGCCATGATTCTCTACACTCGATCACCACCACCACCATCGGAATTCTTCAACATCTATCGCAACTCCCCACGGTCATGGCAGTACTAATCTACGAGCATCTACTCATCATCTACGCACCTGCATTACACGGTTCTTGGGCGGGGTGGGAACAGGGGACGAGGCGTTTATGAATTAGATAGTTACCTTGTTACGGCAAAAGAAAAAGCGGCAAAGTCTAGCCATCAAGTGCTGAAGGCTGTTGTGGGTCTGTACCGCCTTAGGAAACTTTCATCAAATCAACCGAGACTTTCTTCCAACTTCTGGTCTTACATGCTGATTACGTGATCTGTTGATGTGATATTGCAATGCGTGCCTTTGGCGCTGGCTCATGCCACATCATCCTATGTCGTGGTTTGAGCTCTTTATGCTGACGTCTGTCTTAGAAAGCGGTTGTGGAACGGAGTAGATCAACGATACTGTACCATGACTCGGTACCCTGTTTCCCTTTCCTCCACCTCCACATGTGTTACTGCTCCGCAGCTTCTTTGTGTAATCGTGCCAATGTAAATTTGTCAATCCCGTGAGAACCTCCAGATTCGAGACGAGGTTGGGGGATCCCTTCTCAATCCTTCTGCGCAAGCCAATCGCATTGCCCTTAATACTGAATTTTGTGTCGACAACGGAAGAAGGCCCACTGATCAAGCCAAGCGGACGAATAAGTTCAAAAGATATGAGTCCAAGGCCTAGCGCGACAATCACATTCCAACTAATTGGCCGAGTACATCCAACATGGCGAAAGAAGCCATAATCCTTTCCTTCCATACTCTAATATAATCGGACCATGGTTTGAGCACTTGAAGTGTGACAACGTTCGACATAATGCTTCTCGTCTGCAAAGTCTCATATGACGAAGAGCGTAATGACATCAACCTTACTGTCTAGATGTATGTACATGCTAAATACGCCAGATTTATGCTTATGCCGCTTGATACCATCACCAACGGCCATTAATGAAGATCATCACGGACGTAAATGCGAATAGTTTCACAGCTCAAACGTTACCGCCCGAATATCTTTCCAGCAACGCGAGTGACCCTATCCAACAGTCTCGATAGACACCTCCCAAACCTATCACCCAAATCACACTCCTCACAACCCCCAATAATCCTTCACAAGATAGCTACTATGCCCCGCCAGTCCCAGAAGTTATAATCTGGCTCCCATAATACCCCACAATCCTGCCCAGCCCAACCGACCTTCCCCGCAGGAGCCCCGCGTCCACATGCGCAACCCTCAGCGCAAAAAAGCGTAGCTGTTGCCCAAATAAGCCACTCCCTGTTCGCGCCGTTCAGCTCAGCAACGGCGGCGAAGATGAATGCGAGCGGCACGTTCTTGAGGAAGTTGGCGTGAGCGCGGCTCGTGAGGTAAGGGGTCGGTGTGCGGGTCGCTGGAGTCGGCGAGGCGATCGCCCATGTATCTATACGGTGTTAGGGGGAAAGGGAGGGGGAGGAGTGGAAAGGAACGTACTTCTCGTTCTTGAGGCGGTGGTAGACGATGCGATTCGCGAGGAAGGTGAGGTGGCCCGTGAAGGGCAGAGTAGAGACGCCGGTGACGGGGAGGAGCGTGTCCACGGGGACGCCGATGCCGATTTGGTAGCTCATGTCGGCGGGTTGGTGGGCGAAAAGCGAGGGAGCGAGTGGTGGCCTACGTTGGCTCTAGAGGTCTTGATCTTGATGTATACAGCACTTGGACAATTAATGCAAACCACCTCACGTCGTCCGAGGTCGCGACTACATGGGGACAAGTCAACTCCTGGAGATGCCGACATCGTTGCGCTGTGCGGCATCTGGCCCAGAATTCTGGACGTTCCATGCTCCTGAGCTGTTCACTACCCATACTCATATGGACACGCTGAACGTACGAGTGTTCTTCCTCGGGGTAGGGAGCAGAATGCAACAGCAGGCAGGGCGTGGATGTGGCTGTCAGCTTTCGCTCTGCGCCAGGAGCTGATCGGCAGATGAAAGACCCCTGCCCAGCCAGCCTCAAATCTGTAATGCTACATCAGCTCTTTTCCTACGTCAAGCAAAGAATGGATCGCCCACCTTTGCACGCGGTTTCTCAAGAAGACCCACGGTGTGCTCGGTCGCGTTGAGGGTGATCGTATGTTGGAGATCTCTTCAGGCTCGTTCCAAGATTCGCTGAAGACTCAAGGACCACCAGATGTTAGATGTTGCGTAGATCCCTCTGGCTTTCTAAAGCGAGACCTACTGACAAACATCTGAACTAGATTTCATGAGCTGTATCCGGTTTCTCATATGCCAAGCCACCAAGTTACTCTCATGTTATATAGTGGTGCTGACAAGTGTCACGGTCCAAGAATGCTTTGGTACAGAACCACCGGCGGATCTTGCGTCCGTGTACTGAATCCCTTTCGCAGCAATTTTGAGAAAGACCTATAGCGCACGTCTACATCGAATAAGTTCGAATTTACGATCCTGAACCAGCGAGACAAAAAGAGCACGGATGAACCGTTCTATACTATCTCCTCAGCACGTAACCTCGACTGCTCCAAACTTTCAGCTTACGCTCCCCTTTGCTAAATGGTAAGCCATCACTGCACCATACTCCACCTCCTCCTCCTCGCCTCCGACGCCCTCGCCGCCTCACCCACCCTCGGCACCGGCAACAAAAACCCCTCACTCGTGACCCCGTCCTCGAACTCATCCACCGCCTCAATCTCCTGAATCACGCTCTGCGGCGGCTGCCCCTCAAACACAGCCGCCAGATCCGCATGGACGCCAAACCGGCCCAGATCCCAAAACGCCAGCACCTTGCTCCTCTTGCTCGGGTCCGTCGCCCTGGTGTTCTTCCACAGATACCGCCGCTCGAATAGCGAGATACCAAGCAAAATCGGGGCATTGAGGACGCGCACCGCAAACACATTGACCTTGTGGAAGCGGCGCGGCGACAGCGCAGCCTTGAGCGGGAGGCCCAGCACGAGCGCCAGGACGTTGAACGGCGGCCGGTACGCAAACAGCGCGTCCGATTTCACGCCTTCAAACGTCAAGACCGCGCGGCGAAACGCAATCTCCGCGGGCGCGTCCGCCGCGAGCTTGGCGAACGTGTTGCTCAAGCTCGACACAAGCACAGTAAGAAACAGCGTGTTCCCCAAGAACGCGAAGAGAATCATGACGAGCGGGCCCAGCAAGAAGTGGAAGGCGGGGGCGCGCTGGATACCCGTCCCATCGAGGCCGAACCAGATCCACAGCATCCACTTCGAGATGGTGAGGGGGTCCGGATTATCGGTTGGATGGGACGGATAGGCCGGGTTATGGCCGAGCCACTTCAGGGCGAGCAGAAAGCCGGCGAAACACCAGATTGCGAGGAGGGTCAGGATGATGAAGTCGGCCATCATTGCGCGGAGTGAGATGAAGAGCATGTTCTCCGGCATGAGGCTGAATGCGAGGCGGGGGAGGAGGATCGGCGCGGCGATGGAGAGGATGTCGAGGGCTTGCCGGCCGGCTTCGGGCTGGTTGGTTGAGAGGCCGTGGAGCCGGACGAGAAGGTAGGAGGTGAAGATTACGATGAAGGTGATGTCAAGGAAGGACCAGAGGTTCTGCGTGTGCACTTGCCAGCCGTGCTCGAGAATAGAGGCAAACTCGTCTAGCACCCAGCCGCCGGCGTAGACGCAGAAGCATAGCTCGTATCTGTCGAAAGTCGTGTGATCGCGGTGGGTCATGGCGAGGACGTACAAAGCCAGCAGGACTGCAAACTGGCATATCTCGATGATGTTGCGCGTTCGAGGCACGATCAGGCGGTACTGGTTCAGTAGTGGAGCTTTGCGAGGATTGTAGAGCGAGATCGGCTTGTGCTTGTAGTGGTCCGGTAGTATATCGATGAAGGAGGTGGGCGTATATACAACACGGCCTCTATACACGGCCTCTACCACCTTCTGGCAGGCAACGCCGCTGAGGAAGAACTTGCTCTCCGAGACAATCGCGATCTCGAGAGCGGTGAGTTTCCGCTCGTATCCACCTCGTTTTTGATAGGCCCACTGCGTTGCGTGCTTCTTACTGTGAGCAAATTCGACAGGCGCATTCTGGAACGGCTCGAAGCCAGAAACGAGAACGTTCGCCAGAAGCAGTAACCCTGAACGCCCGGGGTTCTCTTCATTGAATCGGCGTAAGATCTTGCCAGCAATCAGCTCGCAGAGGATGGCGCGTGTAACAGTTACAGTCTGATGGTGTGCTTGATGAGACTGCTCCCGGAGGAACTGGACGCGATTCACCAACAGACAGTACACTGCGCGGAAGATCAGATCAGTTTACAGCAGTAGCAGTCGGCCCTCTAGCGAAGTGGGGATGAACAGCACCACATGGATTCAATCATAGTGCAGACGGGTATACTGTGATGCATAGGTAAAGACACCACTCGCTCGGCCTGACACATTTCTCAGATCTGAATGAGGACTTAGATACACACCTACTGAAACGTCAGCCGGATCATACAGCCGATCCACCAACGGCCTAACAACAGCAACGTTCATCCGTGGAGCTCTGAGTTGCTCCAGACTATATGGGTCATCTGGTCACCTCCCATACATATCAGCTTCCAAGCCTACGCGTTAGATCCAGCAGTTGCATACCGATACTAGCGAGGACAAGGCGACGGATTCTGGTAGTGATGAGCCCCTGACTTTCTCAAATCATTGCGATGCTCCCGCACCCAAGGGATCTAACCGATGAATGGTTGTGTATACCGGCAAGCCGGCATGGGGGTTCGGCGCACAAGGCCCAGAAGTCAGGCCATGAAGGCATCCATCCGGATCTGCGGTCTCTTCATCACCCAGCAACGTTTCCTGCTCTTCTTGGGAATGGACTAGCCGAAGCGCATCGGTCAAGCAACGGTTGCTCTGATGGCGCTCTTCGGCTCCGGGGCGTCTAGCCATTGCTCGGTGGGGACAAGCCTTCTCAGGGAGTGTGGAGACAGGGGAAAGTCCAGTGCTAGTAGCAAGGACTCTGGCAAGTGTTTCTTCACGCTGGACATGCCATGTAAAAGTTGTGAAAAGCAAGGTGGAGATAACGAAAGAAGCAGCTGCGCCACAGATAAGCACTGCCACAGTCGCGCAGCCGCATAGTTCTTCTGAGTCAGTTAAACCACATCAACTATCATAAAACCATCCAGATCGTAACTCAAATCGTGACCTCGTTTCTCGCGCATCCGGATGCTAGGCTGGGACAAAGCCAGAACCGTAGCTTGCAGCGCTGCCGGCCTACGCCTTCAGTTCTTGCTTCGCATCTGCAAATGCCGATATAGCAAACAACGCCTACTGGAAATACCTTATTCAGGCCGAGCTTGAATCTGTCAGACCTTTGCTGGGGAACAAATCGTGAGTGTTATATTACTTACTCCTGCCCGTGATCGCGTGTGGAAAGACGCAGCTCTATACTGAATAGCGCCTCGTGCCACTGAGCAGGCTGTAGAAGAGCCCTGAAGAGGCTCACACCGTATGCGATGCAAGAGCAACCACAATGAACGGGTTATGGATGCATGCCAAAAGGAGCTGCGAGAGGTTTTTCCATCATCAGGAAGATGGCCGATTGGCGCGCGCAATGTTGTTCCTAGGCACAACTTGCACGTCCCCATCCGGAAGCGTAGGAAATGGCGGCGCTCTTGATTTTGCCATTCTTGGAATAGGCACCGGCGCGCGGTTGGTCGAAGCCGTATTTGGAGCTGGGCCTGTCGGCGTCTCCCACTTCAGGCTCATGGTTAGATTCGACAGGCCTCTGACTTCGGTCAGTACCTGTGTGAGCACGTTGCCCTGTTTCTTCAACTCCGCTTTCACCCAGTTCTCGTGGCTTTGCTGCCTTTGTTGGCTGTTGTCGTGGAAGGTAGCAGAGGTTATGCGCCAATTATCCTCCTTGATGTCGTGGGCCTCATCGGCAATGCGGCGGCAGTCTTCGACCCAGCGTATCTGGTTCGATAGGTTCCGGAATTGCGCCATGATTTTGTGTGCCTTGTCTGCAACTTCGCCCCCTTCTGCTAATTCGTCTTCGATAGGAGTGTCTCCTGTGCCTAGCGCGTCCTCCAAAGCTTTGAACTTCGCTTCGAACCATTGCTTCTTCCTGCGCTCTTCCTCGTGCTGCAGCTTGAAATAGTCGAAGAGCCAACCGTTCTTCTCGCGCCATTGCTCCCGCCATCTGCGCAGCAGACGCTGCAGATGGTTTAGGCCGGCTGTTGTATCCTCTTGCACGTCGTCTCTGAGCTCCGATAGCAGCGTTTGAAACTCCTTGCTAGACATGTCCATCAAGTCCTTTTCGTCCGCTTCCATCGGTTCGTCGTCCAAGTCTTCACGAAGGCGCTTTCGTGCGCTGCCCTGACCGTTCATATTGCTTTCTTCTTCTTCCCCATCATCGCGCTTGCGCTTTCTCCGGGGGATCAGATCGCTCTCAAGCGCTCTATCCAGGTCGATTAAGTTGGTGCTTGCTGGCGCGAAAAACGGATGAGAGTATGGTGATGGGGCTGAGGGAGCATCGGACGGTACTTTGGTATTGCCATTGACGGCGCCTGCCTTGTCCAGCTGCTTGACGACGACGCCTAGAGATGGCGGATCGGCCTCCAAGTCGTCCACTACCGAGATTTGATGCGATTGCGAAACAGGCGTCCTGACTTCGACGGTGATGCTGCCCGAGATGTACACCTTGGAGGAGGAGCCTTCAAGAGCTTCGCACTGGCGTTTCAGGTCGGCGAGGGCGTCTTTGAGATTCTCTGCGGTGACGGCGATGGAGTTCCGTACAAACGCGTCCTTGTCGGCTTGCGCATTCGTCGTCGCGTCACTCCCGGCGACAGAGTGAGAGGTTGACGGTGTTGTCATGGTTGCTGGCGACGCAGCTTCGTCTGCCGACACGCTCATCAAGCGGTGTGCGCAGGTGGGTAGTCAGTATGTTCAATGCTGTCAGTCGATGAGGCAGACGTTGCGCTCCAGGTCCTGCGCGACACAAAAAGGTCTTTACGCGTGCAATAATGGGCGAAGTACGCGACAGGACGATCGAAACGATGGGTTGTGTGGGGTAAGCTTGCGGTTTAGCGTCGGTCACGTGACTGGTGGGGATTTTGCACTGCGGAGATTCACAAAACCACAACCTCTTCCAGAATTGATGACCGTTGGTGCCTGGGTAGTGTGTGAAAGAAGATTTGGCACGCGTTGATGGTCGTCCGTATGTGTTGAGAGGCGACTGGCATGTTGTGGGGTAAACTTGGGCTCTGACCTGTCAGTGCACGGTGGTGGTATAGCCATTCGACATCCTGAAAGGGATGTCTAGAAGCGAAGATTGCAGCTGTTGGAGCAGCCTGAGTACTCACGATTGGATTGTGCTAGCCTTCTTAGAGTGTCGCGCCACCACCACCACACCAGAGCATGATGCTGGGGGTCAACATAAAGGCGTAAAGTCCACTGCAATCCACAACCGAGCTTGGAATCGTGGGTGTAGAATTGTCAGTGATCTAGGCTTCAAAAACCCCACGAATAGCGCCCGTCGAAATGGCGGGATCTAAGCGGCAACCCCTCACGTCCGCCCCGAGCCAACATTCCCTTGTTCGTTGTCAGTCACCTGAAATAGCACGCTTCCAGCGAGCGCTCAAGGTTCTCCCTGCTGCCATGCCGTGCGTGCAGAGGAGCAATCGATGGGGTGCTCCGATGAAAGAGATGCTGCCGCAGAGGCCTCGAATGCTCCTGCTCAAGAAAATAGCAAATAACGTGGCTGATACTGGCTAAAACAACTAACCAGCAGCCGTGTCTGTCTCTCTCGAGTCAGTTGGCGTCGCGCAAAAGCTCCGTGCTGCCGCTGAAGAGTCCGTGAAGGCGCACGGCACGCTTTCCGGCTCCAGTCGCATGCAGGTCATCCACGAGTGTTTCTTGGCTCTCCAGCTCACCACCCATCAGCCTTATCCCAAGTGCATTAGGATTACCACATACCACCTGCAGCCTTGACAAAGCCTGCCGTCCTTGGTCCTTACCATGCCCAAGCCCAGCTCTGCCGCTCCTTGCTGCTCGCCCCCAACAACATGAGTCCACTTCGATGACAACTTCGCAATCACTATCGCCTATCGTTCGCTCGTTATTCTGAAACATAGATGCGCCAGTAGACGAGGGCTAGGGACCCGCCTCGAAAACAGTCGCTACCGTCCTCTCAACTTTTTCGCAAGCGTGAACCTTCTGCAGTCCTACTGTCGCCATCCCCCGGAAACCCGGGACGACTTCGACCACCATGGGAGACCACGATGGCGCGCCCTCTACAGCACCACCCACCGGCGACGAGGACGCGGCAATGGATTCACCGCCCCTGCATCCAATCCCGTGCATGCAAGGCGCCTTCGAAGAATCCATCATGGAGTCCGTCGATCCCGCCAACACTGAAGACTCGGCCAATGCGATGGACAAGCCCAATGCACAAGCGCGACGGCAGCAGTTGCTCGCCGACTTGGACTACAACGACTCGTACACTGCGAAGTGGAGGAGAAAGCCGGGCGCCAAATACCACCCGCTGTGGAAGCTCGTGGCGCAGATTGCGTTCGGCGTACACCTGTTGCATCACCAGCTGGCAAAATCAGATGCCGAAGTGGTCAAGATCCTCAAATCGCATGTAAATGAGATGGACGGCTTCTGCAAACGGACCGCAGAGGATTTTGAGCTTGCCATAGCCGACATCCAAGAACGCATCAACTACCTCAAGTTACCATTGGAGCACGTGCAGATTTTTGACATCATGCTCGATGACCGACAGTTCCGCACATCCATAATCGAGGGAAACGAGAAGATCGAACACATCGTTAGTCGCACGGCGCAGGCAATGAATGATACGCTGCTAGACATTGGCACGGGCTTGGAAGCTACCGAAGAATTCACAAACTACTTGGACAGGATAGGTCGAGAGTGGACCGAGGAGAATCAAGAGCTGTCAAGCATCTATACCGCAATGCGCGGCAACAGTGATGGCTGGGATCGTTGCCTCAAAGCTCTGCAGCTGAGAGGTAGCAAGCTCGGCGTGGTTCTGGTGCAGCTTGGCAGTATATTGAATGAAATGTCAAAGCGGGCGGGCGTTGCCAGCAGGAGAAGCATAGTAAGTACATAGACAGTCCCTCCCTTGTGCCATCCCGATGGTCATGTGGTTGTCACCATTCCTGTGGCATCCGCTTACCACAAGTCGCAGACGGAGCATCGAAGTCCAGAGAGCGGCAGCAGACAAACCTCCCGCTCACCAAGACCACGAGTGGCCAGTCCTCCAGCGGCTCCCAAGCAACCCAAGGCGCGCCCATCCCAGAAGCCTCTTCCGCAAGACCCAGATCTTGTTGCGCCAGCAGTCCAGGCAACACTTCCGCAGCCCCATCCGATACCGCTGGAGAAGCGATTTGAGAACCCGCGTGAACAACCTGAGCCGCAGCGCCGGAAGCCTGCGGGTGCCCCGCGCGAGGCAGCGGGATCTGCTCAAGCAAGGTCGAATCAAATGGCCGACCTAGCAGACTTCTTCCGAGATACCGGACCAGTAGACTCGGAACCGCCACCGATCATGCGGACGCCGAAGCAGACAACGCCCGACCATCGCGTTCCAACGAGCAGGTTCTCAAAGCGTTTTAGCCGAGACAAGCCTACCAGCCCAACCATGGCGCAAGATTCCGCATACTCCTCTGGGTCTTCCGGTCACTCCGCTTCTGGATCTGGTTCCGCAAACTCACGTGAGCGTCCGTCGCCTTCTCCAGGCCGAGCGTCTGCTCACCTTACCCTACCTTCGTATGGTGCACCGCCTTCACCACTAGCTCACTCCTTTAAGAGCACTGGGATTGGAAAGTCTACTCCATCGTCCTATCCCAAGTCGCCCGTGCCTCGACGTAGTTCGGTGGTTGCCAGCGCTTCTGCTCAGAAGCAAAAGCCATCACTACTCGGCAGATTGTTTGGTCGAAGCAAGAAAGATGTTGCTTGCTGATGGTTGTTCATCTGACCATGTCCCTCGATGGGTACTCATGCCATACGATGCTATCTGGTGGTAATGTTTCGCGTTCTGTTGTAACTTCCCTCCGATACCCACGATTTCTTAGTACCCGCCAGCAGGATGGTTTTTAATGCGTCGGAGCTTGCGGAGTTTGTGACATGTGTTCTTTAGAGGCGTTGTACTGGGCATCCTCGGCGCGTAATGAGGACAGAAGATCTTTCAGGCGGTCGTATGAGCCTTGAAGCTACAATTGGTCGCTTTCATATATAGTTTCTGCTCTGTTGGAGACGAGTGATAGACGATGAAAAGCTGATATATTTCGTCATAGCGATACTGCGCACACAGCGGGAACTGTGACCATGATGTTCTCCTATCACGGTCGGAGTATACGCTGCAAGTGATTCTAAAGTCTAGATTGTGCATCAGGCGCGTGGTGAGAACCGATAGCGGCGGTTAGAACTCGTGTGTCGGGGGAGATGCTCGGGATTGGAAGCCACTGCCTCTGAAGCAACTTCGTTTCCTACCTGCTTGCCGTACCTTACCAGCATCTCCAAGTGGCAGCTTCCTTCACATCTCCTCGTCTTGCACCACTTCCTCGAGCTCGTCGCTGCCTCCACGGCGTGTGCCCTAGCGGCTGCTGCCAAACAACTGTGAGGGGGTCCACGTTGATAACTTTCCTTCAAATTCCCATCCTCTCTCCTTCATGAACCTCGCACTCTTTGCTCTTGTCCTTTTGCAACCAACTTTCCACACTCATTCCGCCGTTGACAGGCTTCCGAGGCGGCACAATGCCTCTTACAGAGCGCGACCCAAACATCAGCGGTCGCAGCAGCCGGGCGTCCAACATGTCCGCCGCCTCCAAGGGCATGCACATGGGCAACCCGCCTCGATCTGACGGGTTTCCTGCTGGACCTGGCGTCATGAGTATGCTGAAGACCTCTACCGAACTCGGTGATCTCGGCGGCCTGACGTTCAACTCATCCCGTCTGCCTGCTGGTATGCCTCGAGCAACTCAACGCCGCAGTGGAGGTCGACTATCCGTCAGCTCGGCTCATTCTCAGAACTCCAGATCTGGCTCCTTGCACCAGCAATGGCCTCCAACATCCTCGTCAGGACAACCCCGAGGCTCCATGACGAACACTCTCAATCTTTCTGTGGGCTATCAGGACCTCAGAGGCTCGGCAAACATGAACTTGCCCGGTGTCCTAGCACTGCCTCCGGCAGCGCGGCTACCTGTCGATGGACGATCTTTCTCCATGACGCATACTGCTCACCCGCCATACGCACTTCCGAGTCAGCGATCGTACTCAAGCCTGAGGCATCATGAACCTCTCCAGCGCCCGCGATCACCATACCACTACCCAACTCGCCTCAAGCGCCCTGGCTATCGTCCATCCTCTCCAGCGTTGAGTGACATGTCTGGTAGAAGGTCACAAGGGGCAGGGCCGAACGCGAGGCTTAGGGGCGGTCGAAACCATCAGGCCATGGCTAGCGGAGGTTATCTCCCCTACCCTCAGATTCGCAATCGGTCGGACACCGCTGTCCATGCGATGTACGCTCAGGAGCAAGACCGTCACCCGTTGCAACAGACTCGCGTCCGTTCGGCCTCTGCGCTCCGGGTTCCTCAGTCCGCCCCAGCAAGCATCTACCATTCAGATGAGTCTTCGGATCCTCCTTCATCATCACCTCCCACACCCAAGGACGGTTACTCCATGGAGGTGTGTTTCAGCCCGACAACAACTCAAGTAGTGGGTGGAGGCCCAGGATCCAAGGGCGGCGACTCGCCCGTCATGCCGCTTTACTACGACTACAGCGAGCACTATGTCGACAAGGAAACAGGCCAGAGGCAACCCGAATCACCCGTGCCAGTGGGCTTCGTCCACCGCATCAAGGCATTATTAGAAGAAAAGTCGGTACCAGACTTGGCCGCCGCTCACCCTGCTGCCACTCATGACATCATCCACGAGCTCCCTGGGTCAGAGCCTGCTGTCGTTCATCCGGAGCCTGTCGAGCTCCCTGCATCACCCGTCGCGAAGAGGATCACCCGCGAAATGGTCTTGGCGGCACTCACGCCATCCTCACAGCGCAACAGTGACCAGACCATCGCACCTCTGAAGACCGACGAAGAGGCCAAGCCCGCCGAGCATATCAAAGCCGAGTCGTCTGTCGACTCTGAGTCTATCTCCGATGGGGGAGCTGCGTGTTCTTCCGCAGATGGACTCGGCAGGAAAGGAAGCGTCATCTCTGATGCCACATCGGATAGCCTCAATGTTTCTCCTCCGCGTCTGGCCGCCGAAGTCCTCTCAAGGATCCCAACTTTGACATCTACACCCGAGAAAGCATCAGAGGAAGGTACTCATAGTGCCAAGCGCGAGTCCACTATTGTGTCGTCTCCGATGCCAGGATCCTTCCCTTCCAGCGACTCAGTTGAAGACATGTCTTCCGTAGAGAAGATACCGGAAGCGCCTACGATGACACGCCTTTCACGCCCGCAGTCCGAGTTCATGCCATCACCCAACACCGGCTCTAGCCTGTACAGTCAGCTGTCCACCCTGCCAACCCGCACGCGACCGTCTAGCAAGCCAGGCACAACGACTATCACTGTTACAGACTTCGCTGTCCGTTTTTCGATGCCTTTGAACTCCAAGAACGAGTCCCTAGCCGATCTGCCATCGGTCGAAAGCTTCATGGCATCTTCTCCGCCGGCGCTAGGAGGGGCAGCACCAGTGAACGAAACTCAGAGACATTCCGACACTGTGACAGATGCCGCTATCCGGTTCTCTATGCCTAAACCCAATGCTCAGAGGCCCATATTAGACTATTCTGCTATGGAGGTCCCCCTAACATCACCTCCGGCAACCGTAACCGTTGCAAGCTCTTCGCCCACTGTCGTCTCACCACTACCACCAAGCAAGCATGACACAAGCTCGAGTAGCGACTCACCTGTCTCGCCGGTATCATCCGGTATGGAGATCCAAAATGCTGCTCGTACAAGCACCACCCACTTGTCTTGGCCTGGACACACTCCACTGGCCCGGTCAAGCGTCATCGTCAGGGAACCGGAGTTTGCCACGAGCTCCTCTCAGGATAGCTCCACCACCGATTTGAGGTTCTCCACGTTCCGCTATGCCGCCGGGCAATTGCCAGATCTCAAGGAAGAGCCTCACGAGGACAGCAGCATTGCAAGCTCCAGACCACAGAGCTTCCGCTTCCCACTGCCCCGCTCTGCTCAGAAACAGGGATCCGTGGACACGGCCAAGCTGTTCAAGGACTCCCCCAGGCCTTCAACGTTTCGGCAGTCTTCTCGTGCATTGTTAGACTCTCGTGTTATCCCTTCGCTCAACCTCAGCAGCATGAACTTGATTGAGAAACTTAATGCTGCCTTGGAGACTAGAGGATCTAGGTCGCTGTCTTTCGATGCTACGCGTAGTGATTCCTGTCATGATCTTTCTACGGTTCTTCCGGAGCGGCCTACCTCTGCTGGCGAAATGAGGGCGAAATATCGAAGCTTCTTTGCGAGCTTGGATGAGTTGGATTCTGTAGCGGAGCAAGCATCGCAGCAGGCTGGAGTCAAGGAAGTGAGTGCTACTCCACCGTCCGCTCTTGGTTTCAAGTCTTGACATCACTCACTTGTGCATGGTCATCAAAGATTGCGGCCTAACGCGGCTACCATGTCGGAGTTACCCCATCATGTGAGACTGATTTGGTTACAGGAAATCCCAGAAACGCAGAAGGCGGACAACATCTCCACAGAGGTTGTTCCTGCCAAGCGTCCTTACTCGCCAGATCCTGCTCTGATCACTGAGCTCAATCGTCTCTCTATTCCATCGGTTAACAATCTCACTCAGCGGCTCTCCGAAATACTTCCATCCTTGAAGAGGTTCTGTGCAGAGGTTGATGGAATCCATGTAGAGAACATCGAGGACGATGCGGAAGTTGAACGCGTTCTTGAAGATATCCACAAACTTGAACAGAGACCTGCCCTGAAGGACCGGCACTCGACAATGCGCCTCCGAGCCCTTCCTGGCAACTCGGACTTGGTAGTTGTGGAAGACGACGTTTATGAGGAGCTGACACACCAGAGAGAGAAGGAGAAGGACTTTGTCAAGGCCGCACTTGGCGAGGAGGTGACCGAAGCTACTGGTAATCCCAAGTCCCTGTCAAGCGACACCGACGGCCAGAAGACATCGTCAGTTATTTCCACCAAGACGGGCGAGAACGATAAGACTCCCCTCGCCGAACTCGAGGCACCCTGCCCCGCCGTGATCCGCCCCCGATCCGGGTCCGCCCTCGTTGACAATGACAAGACGCCGCTCTCTACCGTGAAGTCCAACCTCGCCGCGCGCGCCTCCTCGCGCTCCCTCAACAGCGCATTATCCCGCCCCTGGAACCACGAAGCCAGCTATCCCTGGGACGAGACCAAGGCCCCCGTCGACATCTGCCTCCCGGCACCCGTGCACCACCGCGATGCCGGCCGCGGGCCCTCCCGCCTCCGCCTGCGCCTCTCAAGCTCCGACAGCGCCATCGGCTCCGACGGCGGCAAGAAACGACGCTCCGCAGCCGGCGGCGCAGACGATACCGCGAGCACAGAAGACACCTTCAAACACACCTCGACCGTTAGAGGCAGCAAGAAATCGCTCCTCGCCTCGCTGACAGGCAAGCCCGGGGGCCTCCACTCCTCGGGCTTCGACGCCGCCGGCCACGCCACTAGCCCTCTGCTCGAGGACAGCAGCGTGCAGACCGTGGATCCAGGGGATAGGTACCCCACGACTGGCCTTACCCCGCCGTCGAACTTCAACCTAGCCGAGGTCCGCAGCTTCTTCTCCGACGACAGCGAGAGGACGCATAATCAGCAGGCCATGGGGACGTTCCGGAAGCGGCTCACGGGGCTGAAGCTCAAGGCTCGCACCAAAGACGCTGCGGGGGCCGGAGCGCCGCCGAAGAGTCCGCTGCCGCGCGCGCAGTCGGCTATGGAACCTAGGGGTATCGATGGCGCGGATCGCGAGTCGGGGATTGAGGGGTTGAGAGGCGGGGTGGGGAGTGTGAAGAGCTTTGATGGCGCGGGGGGCATGAGCAAGATGGAGTTCAGGGCCAGGAAGGTCGCGGATAGGATTAGGAACTTGTGGGTTAAGACTGGGGAGCTGTTTAGGAACATGTCGGTCAAGAGAAGGAAGGAGAGGGATATGGAGCAGGCGGAGTGGGAGGGGAGTATGTATTCGGGTGTGTGAGGGGAGATGAGGTGGTGGGAGGGAGCGGTTGGAGGATCGAGGGGGTGGCTTCTTGGTGTTTTCTTTTCTCTTTGCTGGAGGAAGTGGTTGGGGCGATGCTTTACGTGTTCGGATGTCTTACGGTTTACATTTAGTATCTTAGCTTGTATGTAGATTAATGCCTTTTTGTAGTATATCAGTACGAGCAGTTCACTTTTCCTTAGAGCCGCCGCGGCCCCAAGTTTTACTGTGTCGAACATCTGTCGGACGGGAACATCTCAAAGACGAGACACAGAACCGTGCCTTTCTGTCTCCAACCGCGGAGGCGTCGTCATCTAGCATGCAGCGCGGTAAGCTAAGGGCCCGACCCAGCTCATATTCTTAGTGGAGACACTGGTTTCTGACTTGGCATTGGAGAAGCTGGTGTTCTCACGCATACGTGGATATTTCATCGCTGGACCATGTTGACAATCTCAAGCTGTCGATCCCTCCTGGTTTCCAGAAACGCATGCAGTCAAATGTTCTGCATCCGGCGATAATTTTTGCAGTCGAGTATTTGATACTAAGTTATCGACAAGCTGTTTTTGCTCACCAGTCTCATGTGCAGAAGCCGAAAACCCCGCTCACTAATCCTGCGGTACGCTAAGTAGGGGGCCGACCCGTGGACCAGCCTGGTAGCCAGGGGGCTATTGAAAATGCATAAATACCTTGCTGGACCTTTCAATACTACCACTTTGGGATGAATTTGACTGCCTGCACATCATCGTAGATAACCTTGCACGTTTGTGTTGCACCGGGCATAGCAGAAGTACTGCGGTGTGAAGCACACGGCCTATGAATAGGCAGGAGGTCCAGGATACGAACATTGTGAGGGTTGATCTAGGCAGCCTCTCACTGTGCTGGCATGAGTTTGGCCTTCCTTCTGTGACGGTTCTGACCACTTCTGCCTTCCTCTGCCCGGCATAAAGGAATCCAAATCGAATTCCGATCTTGCATAGGGTAGTGATGACTCAATGACGCTTCGCTCAGGTGACTGGGTGGAGACGACAAAGGAATATCGAATCTGGATTTCTGGATTCGTAAAAATGCGCACATGGAGGAAATCGGATACCTCGGGGGCCCCGCTGGTAGAACAGGTGGAGGAGGCTCAATATATTCAACGTCCACCTTTCTTTCCCTCCATCAGACACGGTGCGACGCTCAAGAGACCACGTAGGACATCGTCTCACTGACCCAAAGAAAATACCAAAAGGAAGAAGACAAGCACTCGTGGCACCAAACCAGAGAGGCGCCTCCGGCAGTTCCAACAGCATCGCTGCCCACATCCGTACTGATGTCCCCGGCAACATCACCCGTTTCGAAACCCTCCATTCCACCCTCCCCCCCTCCCTCTTGCCCCATCGCCCTCCCAACCCGCTACCGGCACCACCAAGACCGGCCCAACGATGTAGTTGCGATCACCATCTCGAAATCGAGCCCACCCAGCCGTACCTACGACTCCACCGGCTCCTCCAGCTTCCTCTTCCCCACACGGTCCGCCGAAGGAAGCCCACAGCGTCGCTCCTGCGAATGGCGTCGCAAGCGGAGCGAAGACGCTACCAGCAGCACATCCAGCCTCGCCGCAACCAAGCAACTCGAGATCTCGGCGCCGTACGACCCGAAGCGGGGCTCGCGGCCGCTGACGAGAAACCGTCACTTCTCGCCTCCAGCCACGAGGCCAGTCAAGCCGGAGCGTCAAGTCGTGGTAGTGAAACCAGGAGGGGTCGGGCTTGACACTGACGGCAGCAAAGTAGAAGAGGGGACCCCGACAGAGACGGCGGACGCGGACTGCCGCCATCGCACCGAGAAGCGAGGCCGCGGCAGTATTAGTGGCGGTAGTACCGGCATCAGCCGAGTGCGGAGCGAGGGCTGCTCGCCGCACTCAGGAGAGCCAGAGCGGAAGCCAAGCATCTATCGCGCAAAGAAAGGGCTCATTATCGGTGAGCGGCGGCGCAGCTCAGGCCTGTCTGCTGTGTGGCTAGCGAAGAGCCGGGAGCAGGGCCACTGGGATCGACGCAGGGGCGACGTCCTCCACGGAGACATGAGCGACATCGCCACGGTGAAAACAAAAACGCAGCTCCCGCTGCCTACTTCGCCGCCAGGACACGGCCCGATACTAAACGAGCCGCTGCACAGTCCTCGCTGCAAGAGCCCGCTGTGTGCGCCGACGGCCGCGGCGCGTGAGGCAGGGCGAGCCGCCGAGGCCGACAAGATATCCGCTAGGAATAGACGGAAGAAAGATTCCAAGGTCTCGTTGCCGCTGGTTATGAGATCTAAATCCTCGCTGCCGCCGCCGTCGCTGTCACCGACGACGGTACAACCGGACGACGCTCCCAAGCCTATTGAAGTGTCTAATTCACCGGACGCGGCAAGGCGTTTGCATGAGAAACCGGCTCCTGGTGGTTCTTATGGCATGTGTACGAACGGAATGGGGTTTCCATTCGGGACGACGGAGGAGTCGTCGCGAGGGCGGAATCTTGGGAGCCCGGTACCGGAAGAGAAAAGGAGGGTTGCATTTATGAACGGCCTGACTCCTCCCTTGAAGAGGTCGTCACGAATGGAAGAGATCCTGCGGCGTGCTAGTCCGGAGCCCGAGAGCCGATCGGGGCCGGGAGTTAATGAAGTTAATGCAAGTGGCATTGGCAGTACAAGGCCGGCACAGGTGGACCGTAAGAACAGCGGAGGGATCTCATGGCTGACGAATTTCCTCCTAAATCCGTTTGGTGGGAAGCGAAGCGACAGCAGTGACGAAGGATCTGCATGTAGTACTGTCCTTGCTAGTGGAGAACACGGTACGAGCGAGGACGATACTCCGAAACGTAAGTCCTCAGTGCCGCAATATTTACCACGATGTGGTTTCCAAAGCGAGGAGCCAGGCCACATGCCTGCTAGGCGGAGTAGTATGCCTGCGCGAAAGGCATCCATGTTCGGATCGCACTCTCAAACACCTCCCGAACTGACTCGACGAAAGAGCAGCGCCTACGTTCCCACAAGGCGATCATCTGCAATGCGTCCTGTCCTCAGCTCGTGCCAAGAGGACTTTACCGAAGCTCAAGCTAAGAGACTATCGGAGCTCCGAGGATTGGGTCTCGATGAGGCGGATGCGAGGCGTTGCTTAGAGGAAGAGCTGCGCAAATCATCGAGCGGCGTTAAGCCGTTTGGCCACGTTACAATGCCTACGGAAATCCAGGCGCGGAGACGAACTCCTTGGCCCGGAGCGGAAGAGTTCGCGAGGATACACCACGCGCATGGTCTCGATGCTGCTTTGATCCCTTAGGCAATGACGATCCGCCAAGTCAGTCGACTGTTGAACCCGTAACTGATGTATTCCTCAAAGGTTAAACCTAAAGATTGTCGGTTGCGACTCCCGGTTGGGATGCTTGTCTATCAGATATGCCGTTCCAAAACTGGTCCTCGGCGTTCATTTGGGTGGTACAGCGTTACCTAGGTAGAAAAGACGAGCTTCTAATATGTAATACTGTGTTCAGAATACGGCTCCACCAATAATAAAGACTCGTTCTTCTTCTCGACGAACCCATTGGATGACCTTGTTAGCCGCTTGAGCAAGAGCAGCACGTGATGTGGTGCCAGGTGCAACGGCATAGAACTCGAAGAGTGGTGTCGTCCAGGCAATGCTGATGTGATGTGTACTGGTGCTGTGGTGAATCTTGAGATGGGTAGGGCGGTTGTGGAGGCTCGCATGGAGGGATGAGTATAGGTTTAATAGACTGCAGCTGGATTAGCTAACGTGCAAGTCTCACGTTTTGGCTTAGGACCGGCAGCAAGGCTTCTCGACTTACCGACGGCGAGACAATGATGTTTCGAAATACGGTGAAAATGACGGCATGGTGAACTGCACATTCCCCCTCGACTTGTAGAGAAAGTGACGTAGCACTGTGCCAGGGACAATATCTGTACATGAGGGTCGGCCGGCTTTAACGGCGTTTTTGACTATCCGTAGGCTGCCGTTCTTTGAGAGTTGCTGCATGACAGTAAGCGGGCCTGGTCAAACCACCTTATCCTGAACTTTGAACCTACTTCTACCAGTACATCCCGCATTTGCCTCATCTCATGAAAGCCTTCCTTCTCGGCACTGATGAGCAGGATGGCAACTTCATCCTCGTCCCCGGCAGATGAAGCGGGTCGATCACTGAGCGGCTCGCTGCTGTGAGCCAAGCTGAGGAAGCTGACGTACATGTAAAGGAAGCCAGTGTTGTTGAAGCCCGGCAGACAGAGCGGAATCCAGTTTTCGCCACCGCCGGCCTTGACGCTACCGGCTTCAAACAGCATGTTGAAGATGAGATGGAGGTCGCCCGGGTGGAGAGAGTGCTTCTTCGGTCGTACCACACTGACTAGTCTACCGCCAGCGACAACAAGCCCATAAAGGAGGTTGGGCGATCGAGTCCTGAGCAGAGTGTTGTTGATAGCTTGCCGATGGGATTTCCTCAACTTAAGACATTCCAATGCTGACAAGAGAGATGACGGTGAGCCACGCGTAAACCCATCCGCAAGCGCAGACAGCAATATCTCAGTTCCCTGGAGGGGTCGCCGCAAGTCGTATGATGGACGGTTGGAGAACATCCTTTCCATACTTGGCAACGTGAGTGTAGACAAGATCTGCATATACAGGGCTTCGAGCTGATTGCGCAGTTGACCGTCACTCTCGCCGAGGCGGCTGATGGCGACGAGGTTAAGAGGCCCCTTAGACATGATGACAAAACGTACGTCACCAGCAGTAAATCCCTTGAGTTCGTTTTTCGCGCCTTGGTAGAAGGAGATGAGCGTTTGCACGATGCCAATGTAGTTGGTGATGAGCTGATCGTCTCCGTGGCGACTGTATATGGGCTTTCCGGCTGATGACAAGATCATGAAGTGCTTCAGTTTTGATCTCCATTGATTCATTACAATAGCTACACAACGAGCGATCAGCAGGCGCTCCTAAAAGCCGGATGAGCGCCTGACCTTCGTTGGACCCATCTGGCTTCATCTCGTCGACCTCATCGAATTCATGTCCAAAAGCACGCTCAAAGTATGGATCCTCAGCGAAAAATGTTTCTTCAGAATGGAGACCATCAGCCCGATAGCCCATAGCCTTCCAAGCTGGAGTCTCCTGATCTTGCAGCGCCTCTCCTAACAGGCTCTCTACATCCGCTCCGGCCTCCAGTGTTGGTGCAAAACTCTTCACGCTTGCACTGTCATCAGCGTCACTACCACTGCGACTTATGCCGAACCCGAAGTTGGTAAAACTCAATTGCCGAGATGCGGGCTTGGATTGTACCTCCTTGGCGCCATTATAGAAGGACTGTATATCTTGCTGTGACACTGCGGTGGTCGCTTTGCTCTGTAGGGATGGCCTTCCCCCATTTTTCGGTAGCTTCAAGCTGCCTGAGCCTGTTATTCGCTCCTCGAGAAGCTGGTGTCTAGGTCGGGGCGGTAACGGGGGTGGAGTTCCTTCTCGCGAGACGGGGTTTACACTTGAAGCAGCACTGCAGCTTGTCGTGTCTTCTATATTGACTGTCGGTATATTCTTGTTACGGTCTTCGTCCACATCGTCCACACCTTGTGGTTTGATATTGGCGTCGGATGGTCGCAGACCAGATTTGTGTCCGGCCTCCGCCTCGTTGGTGTTGTCGTCGACCATAGCTGCACAATGGATGTCTCATCCATGTGGCATTGAGGTGGTCCTCTCTCATTGGTAATGGTGCATGCTGTATCGAATGAGTTGTTCTCTGCACACCAGATTGCGCTTGACGATGAAGGACGTCACTGAACTTTCGCGGACGCGACGTTCAACCGAAGAAATACCGACGCGTCCCTCAGCCCACTTCTAAAGGCCACCATAGCTTTTACTTGCTATACGAACCTGTTACTCAGAAGAAAATGCGCCAGCCGTTGCTCACCTCCAGCATAAATTCCACAGGTCACGGACAAGATGTCCCTTGATCCTTCTCTCAATCAGCGGGCTTTGTCCCCCGCCAGCTCAGGACATTCTTCGCCGGTATACCGCAACCCTCGACGGCTCATCGAGGACGGTATGTACGTTGTTGCGCCGCTCCCAGAGCTAAAAAATCAAGCAGCTTAGGCTGACCTTTGCTGCGTACCTACAGGCCTCTACAAGAAAGACAAGAGCCTCCGAAAATACGCCTCGAATATTGAACGGGCTTTATCGTTGTTCGATACAGCCCAGCAAGAATGGGCTGATTACATCTCCTTCCTCGCGCGCCTCTTGAAGGCTATTCAAACACATCCACCGGATGTACGAGTACTACCTCATGCCACAAGCGTTGCAACAAGGCTGGCGCAGTGCCTCAACCCCTCGCTTCCCTCCGGCGTACATCAGAAAGCATTGGAAGTTTACGCATGCATATTTGCCATCATTGGAAGAGAAGCACTAGCTCGAGACATCTCAGTCTTTTTCCCGGGCCTCTCCACTGTTCTGTCGTTTGCTTCACTATCGGTTCGGCCAGCGTTCCTAGCTCTAATTGAGGCACACGTGATAACTCTGGATCCAGAGGCTCTCAGACCAGCTCTAAAGGCAGTTATAATCTGCTTGTTGCCTGGCCTTGAAGAAGAAACGAGCGAGGAGTTTGAGCATGTCCTGCTCATCTTCGACAAGCTGAAAGCTGCAATTAATACGGAGCAACCCCACCTGAACGATAGAAGCGAGGCGGGGGACTCGTTCTTCTGGCAATGCTTCTTCCTCGCGACCATCTCGAACGCCACGAGGCGGCAGGGCGCACTTGCGTATCTTGTGCGCAATTTGCCCCGATTAGGCGTTCAACATGCTCGGAGAGCTTCAGCTGTGGACGGTGATCCAGAGAGGAGCACCTTATTTGCTGCTGCAGAGGCGGTGATTTCGCCTGAACCAGGGCTGTTAGTACGCTGCTTTGCCTCCGGCCTGGCCGATCAGCAATTACTGGTCCAAAGAGGCTTCCTCGACCTGCTGGTCACCCATGTTCCATTGGATTCTCCTGTTCTTCAGGAGCGTATAAGTGAAGAAGATCTCGATCTGCTTGCCGCCGCTGCTACTGGAGTTGTTTTACGAAGAGACATGAGTCTTAACAGACGCCTGTGGTCATGGCTTCTTGGGCCTGGACCTGGACCTGGGTCTTCCACGAACCCTGGGAAAGATGGCGAGGCTGCGCCTTCACTTGACCCCAAGAGCCCAGACGTCGATCCAGAAGAGGTACGCGCAGCCTTCTTCTCCCGTCATGGCTTGCAACCTTTGCATCGAAGTATCATGAAAATGATTAGGCGCAAGAGTAGCAACCCAATAGAACAAGCCAAACCATTCCGAATATGCTTGTCTCTGATGGACCACTGGGAGGTTGGTGGACTCCTTGTGCCGGAGCTGTTCCTGCCGCTTCTGGATAATCTGAGACTGCAAGCTCAGACATCCGACCAAGCTCGTCTAGATGAAGTCTTGCGCAGTGCAAGCAACTTTTTCGACGGCGTTGAAAGCAGCTTGATATGGGGGAAGATGAATGAATTGGCTTTTGGGGCGTTCGACAAAGGAACACGGCCGGAGCAAATGGTGGAGCAGTTGTCTCTTCTCAAATTTGTCATTACCCACTTTAACGTTCGCGATGAAGAGATGGTTGTACATCACATGCCGCTGTTGATGCTGGTGCTTCTCGCCGCACTCAACGAGGCGTCAAACAGTGCCAGTGCTGATATAGTCGACAATAACCGCTTAACAATCCTAACAATGGAGATTTTGGACATTCTATCCTCATACATACCAGCAAGGGCTTTCTCAGAAACAGGCGTACGTCAGTCCAACCCTTCGTCCGATGGGAAAGCGAGCTCCATACCTTATCAGAGCATCCGTCAACGCATTGAAGGATTCTACAATGCCAGCCACGGAAACGTAAACACTGCAAGGCCACCGTTCAGCCCTAAAGAACTTGGAAGTTCACTTTTACTCCAGACTGTCATATTGTTCCGAGGCAAGCTGTTGGCTCCAGGGTCAGAAGCCGTCCTCGAGCCATGTACACGACTACTAATCGGCCTCAACCAAAATATCTGCGGTCGCGAAATTTCTATCAGCACCGACGTCGTTGATGTTGTTCACAAGGTGCTGAACGCCCGTCAGTCGTTGAACTCGGAACAAGCCCTATCATTTCCATACATAGTTGCTGTTGTTACCGTGGTCACAACCCTTCCGATTGAGTCTTCTTCAGATCCCAACAACGGCGTTCAACCCCTATGCGGCCCTGTGCCTACCTTGGTCTTACACTTATGGTCCTATCTCTCACCCTTCAGACCAAAATACCACATTGAGGCAGCACGTTGCTTGTGGCAGCTTCATATGGTTACTTCCTCAGATCGGTTGGTGGAAGCTTCGATGACGAAGCTAATGGCTTCCGACACATCCAGATCCGCCGATTCGGACAGATGCTTTGCGACCTTGTGGACTCACATCATCCACGAGGAGAGCATGCAGACGGAGAGAAGCAATAGAACGCCGTCTAGGCGACCGAGTTCACTGCCTGGAATTACCGACGTTCCAGCATCAGCTGGGGCGAGCCAGGCCCTGCTGACCAGGCCCTTGCTCTTGTTACTCGATAGTCTAGCCGAAGAAGGGACGGAACGGTTCGCATTCGTGAAGATGTGGCTTGAGGAGCTTCCAAGTTTGGACAGAGTGTTCGACGTTCTGATCACCCCTCTCAGAACATCACGCTTCCTCACTTTGGACAGTTCCGCGGCTGGTGTACCCGTAGAGCAAACCACACGAGAAGTGGAAGACATCGAGATTTGTGTCAATTGTCTCCGACATATCTCGAATATCATGCAGTATTCTACTGCCTACACATGGACAACGCTCGCCGAAGTGACCGACCAGCAGTTACATGGTATCCATACCGATGGGCTGCCCAGCAACAGTAAGCCCTCAGGCGAAGTATGCTTGCAACAGCTTCTTATGCAATTATGTCTACGAGCGTTGTCCAAGGTCAAAAAGACGTTTGATAACGACGGACGCGCATCTCTATTGACTTTGCATCGAATCGCAGTATCAATTGTCAGCCGAATCCTTATCAATCCGTATGCTTCGTCACTGAGATTGCTGGAAGCAGAGGTACCGCTACTGAGTTACTTAAAGCATTGCGAGACTATGCTGCAGCCTTCGGTCCTTGGAGCTGTTTTAGCCGCACTGAAGTTACGAGTAGGCAGCAATCACAAAGATGCGCCACCTATGCAGCAGCGAAAGATATCGCGAATAGTAGTTCCGCCCACATCGACCAACTCTCCGCGCATCGAACAAACCGAGCGAAGAAGTGAAGACCCATCCTCGGTGCTACCACCTCCGATGCTAGTGGAGGTTGTCCAAGCTGGGTTGTCATCTACATCGAGTCGTATCGTTCTACAACATTGGGTCGATTTCCTCGCGCAGGTCTTACCTCTTTTTGCCGATGCAGTCTTTCAGAACCTGCTACCTCTTGTAGACACTTTTTGCAAGCAGATCAGACTGACCTTCGAGGAGCTCCGCCTTACCTTTGAGACTCTCCGAACTAGAGATCACTCCGCACCTGAGCCGGCTATGATCACGCTGATGGATGGATTGGAGCAGATACTGGCAAGCGCACATGACCGACTGCGAGTTGTAGAAGTCAAGACCGCGAACACGAAGTCGCCAGAACAACCGCAAGGCTTCTTCGGAAACATGGTTTCCGGCGTGTTCTCCGCCGAGGCGCCGCAGAGCAGATCAGCTACAGCTAATAGTCGGCTGACAGTCATTCTTTGCTTCCAAGACACTGTTCGCGTCTGTTTCTCTATCTGGTCCTGGGCCGCATACGGCACCGAGAATCAGCAAGACCCGGCATCTCTTGCGTCGTTTGGCTACACGTCCTCCAGAATGCGCAATCGTGCGAAGCGGACTCTTGAGCACCTTTTCGCCGCAGAGCCCTTGGAGTGCCTCGAAACGCTAGCTGTCTTGTGGAGCAATACGCCGAGCTCGATTGCGCAATCAAGTGGTGTGCTGAGTTTGATGAATGTGCTTAGCAGCACGCGACCCAAAATCACGGTTCCAACCATCTTCAACGCTATCTACAGCAGGACCAACCCGACCGCGCTTGACCGCGACCGGATGTCAACACTCACCTCGGACTTGACAGATTTAGCTCTTGTTGCTTTCTTGATTGACTACACGCGGTCGTTAGAGGATGATGCTATGGATGAGATCTGGCCCGACTGCTCTGCCTTCCTCCGGGACGTCCTTGCTAACCCTCTCCCTCACCGACAAATTTTACCTGCCTTGCTCGAGTTCAGCGCGGTGCTGGCGGAGAAAGTGGATAATACCAACTTCGGTGAGCAGCGGCGAATGAGGAGGGAGCTTGGCGTGAGTAACCGGTGGTCGAGTACTCAACGGTCCGGAGACTGACGTTGGTTGCAGGATCTATTTACGCGGCTGCTTACGGCCGCCTTCACTACGAAGCCGATAGGCTTCTTGCAAGACCCATCTCAGATGAGGCGGCAGGACCAGAAGGCGGATACTATCAGCGAACCCTCAGCCCCCCGTCGCGCAAGGTCTTCGGACATAATTTCCATACTGGCATCTGTTGTGCCGAAGCTTCAGTTGATATTAGTCGAAACCGACCGAATAACGACCGCCGTAGCAACCATCTCTGCCAATGTCATTGGCCCCACCTTCCGCTCTAGATCCTATCCCGAAAATGTATCAAAGAACACGCTTGAGCTTCTCTACCAACTTAGCGTATCTGCACATGCTTCTAAGGCCTGGAGAAAGGACATCTCCGATGCATTCAACGATTCGAGATTTTTCGCCACTCCGCTCGACATAGCAAAGAAGTCCTGGCTTCCAGTCCTACAACAATGGGTCCAAAGCGAGAATGACCGCTTGCCTGAACTCCTCGGCCGGCTGTCCGCACCAACGACCGCTGGCATCATGTTCGGCGTAGGCGCCAGCTCTGCACGACTCGAAGCCGACCGCAGGACTCAGCTTAACCTCCGCAGACTCGCCGTTCTCATCCTCGCTGCCACCGAAGACGCCTTTCTGGCAAATATGGGCGGGATCCAAGAGAAGCTCGTCGAGCTGCTCACCGCCACGCCCGCCTCTTCGCCCTCCTCCGCCACCCGAGCGGAAGTATTTATGGTCCTCCGCGCCCTCATCCTCAAAACCTCATCCGTGCACCTCGCACCCCTATGGCCAATCATAAACGCAGAGTTACAGCTCGCCCTTACCTCCGTCATCCCGGGCGACGAGAACTACGAGAAATACAATACCGTATCCACGCTCCAAGCCTGCAAGCTACTAGACACGCTCATCGCCATCGACCCAGACGACTTCCAGCTCCATGAATGGCTGTTCATTACAGACACCATTGATGCCGTCTACAAGCCCGCGGACTGGTCCCCCGTCGCTTTGGCAGACGAAGTGGCCGAGGCGCTGGGCGCTGCTGAGGCAGAGGTGTTCCCGCCTTCTACGCCTGCTACGCCGCACTTTGTGCAGCATGGCGCGGACGGCGAGGGGAGAAGGGCGCCGATGCTTGATGGCCTGTTGAGCGGTCTGCGAGATGGCAGTGGTGAGGCGGTGGATGTTGCGGGAATGCCGAAGGCGGAGCTGGCGGCGAGGGTGCTGAAGCTTTTCTTTGGGCAGTTGAGCATTGGCGCGTTTGAGGCGACGTATGGGATGGAGAAGGCTGATTGGGAGGCTTGCCGGGATGGGCTTTTGAGAGATCTGTTTGATGAAAGGGGCGTTGTGAGATGATTACAAAAGGCATTGCGGGTTTGCTGGGCGGTCTAGGGTTACGTGTTCTGACGGGCTGCGTCTGCCTACACGTCCTTCAGGAAATGATTTCGTTTGAAAATGGTCATGAATCCGCACTACTACAATTCAAACACATTGTGATGACTTTATAATACCTTGCCGCTCCCAGCTGCCACCAGTCATAGGAAGTGTGTGGACAAAACAAGCGTCTAAATCTTGAGTGCTCAATATCGCCTTGTTGTAGCTACCTCGAGCTGGATTCCGGAACTACGCCCCCCAGATGCTTCCACAGCCACCTCGCCAGCCTGCTCAGAGCATCGTAACACATCACGGTGCTCCAATTACCCGGTAGAATGTCGCTGAACAGCTGAACGACCAGTAGCCCCTGCTCAAGGACAGGTCTCTTGGCTCGGCATCACTGCCCTCCGTTTCCGGGATCTCTAGGTTTCAGATAGAGGCGTTGTCCTGATTCTAACATCAATTAGTGATACGGTCGGCTCCGCCGAGAGAGTTGTACATAGCGGCCTGAAACCTAGGGGGAAACTTTGGACCGGGAAGTAGGTAGGCATGTGAGCGCGCTTGGCTGTCCGGCTTGTTCTGCCGGTGAAGGGGTTTGCGTGGCAGATTGAGGACAAATGTGAGGTAAGACGCTTGCTCGCGTGTGAAGCAGGCAGTGAGCTTGATGTTGCCATCGGTCAGGAAGTGTCCCATGTCGGTTTTGCTAGGACTTTTTTGGTTACGGCTGGTGGCCTGCACAATTCGAGGTTTGGTAAAGGGAGCAGCGATCTTGGGCGGTTCGGCTTGCCGAAGAGTTTATTCAAGTGAGTGCGAAGAGACTGAAACATCGCCATTCTGGCACAGAAGACTTTGATTTTGGTGTCCTTACTGCTACGCGTTCAGCAGCGAGATCATTTGATTTAAGGATGATCCGTTTCGTTAGAGCTGAAAATGGAGCAAGTAGGCTACAATGCAGTGCTATAATAGCCTTCAGGCTCTGAGAAGCCGACTTGAGTTTCTATATGCTGTTGCTGCCGCATAATATAAGAAGCGGTTGAGCGCGCTGGAGAGCCGAGACATGATATGCTGCTTGTTTTCTCAATGATGAAGCAAGCTCAGATGACCCAACGCTGGCTCCTCTAGGATGCTCGGCGGACGGTCAAGCGTCTACGAGTTCTCCTGGCGGACTCCGCCGTCCAGTAATTCCGTCTGATGGGTGGCAATTAGTACAGATGTACGAGGCATGCTCGGATAAGAAGGTAAGGCTGCATGGTGCCGCGGGATGTGGACAGTCGGATGACGGCTCCTGAAGGGAAGAACCCCCTGAGGAGCTCTCGGAGTATGGAGCATGATGCGAGCATACCCGGTTGACCATGATATCGGCTCCTTGGATGCTACTCGAAACAAGCTTTGTGAGGCTGAAGTGTAGCTCCGTTTTGAACCCCTGTCCGCTGCGAGTGCGGGCGCGGATCCGGGCTGCTGACAGCCAGTTGAGGCGGCGGGCAACGCGAGGGACGTGTCTTCTTGCCCGCGACAACCACCAGTACTCCACCAACGTCACACATTCTGGAACAACATCGTTGCATGCGCGAGCACCACCGCTACCATTCTGGAGCTGCGGCTTCCCTTTCTCTTCTCATCACCCAAACCGTTACGCAAACTTGAGAGCCATCACCTCCCCCGTCTGAGTGAAGATGAGGTTCGCGGCCTATGTCGGGGTAAGGAAACATGTCAACTGCACGGTCTTCAGCAACACTGACAGATCTTTCTTCCTCAAGTTCACCGCGACCCTCGCCGTCGCCGCCATCAGCCGGGCGTACATCGAGCGGCCGAATTGGTACAGTCGCATGGTGTACGTCGGCCAGAGTGACGCCAGCATCATGGTAGGTACTTTCGTCAACAGTCGATTGTTGTCCAGCTAACATCTCCTCACAGATCATGGCAAACCTCGCGCTCCTCATCTTCGGGTCCTTGTTCTACGGTTTGCAACGTCTCGTCTTCGGCGCGCTCCGTCCCATCGAACGGGAGCAACTCTACGAAAACTGCTGGTACCAAGTGACAGAGACTCTGCTTGCGCTCACAATGTTCCGCGAGAGCATAGGACTGGGTCCCATGTCAATGTTCGTCATACTCACTGCGGCCAAGATCTGGCAGTGGCTTGTCGAGGCCCGTGTTGAGTTCGTTGAACAACAGCCTCCCGCCAGTCCAACTTGGTTCTACAAGCGCCTCACAAGTGCAATCACATTCGGCTGCCTCGCGGACTGGGCGTTGCTTCATTACTCGTTGCGCACTTTCGTCGAAGAGGCTCGGCCTGGAATCATGGTCCTGTTCAGCTTCGAGTTCGCCCTTGTGCTGATAGCTGCCATGTCGAATGCGGCGCGGTACCTCTTCATCCTCAGAGACATGTTTATCTCCGAGAGGCAGGTCCAAGCAAGAGTGGCAGTGGCCAAGGCTCAGATCCGCGCACACCGAGCTGAAATTCAGAGGCAGATCGACGCTGGGAGTGTGCCCCCACGGGCCATGGAGGATGCAGAGCGCGAAGATTCAGTTGACCCGAGCAGTTTCGACGTACCCGGATGGGAAGAGAAAGGGCGTTACATCTTTCTCCTCGACTTGCTGACTGGTGAGCTCCGACATCTTCTTACCAGCAGACACTTGCTAACTCCTGACTGCGACACAGATCTCGTCAAGCTCCTTGTCTACATCGCCTTCTTCTCGATGCTTCTTGCTTTCCATGGCCTGCCGATCCACATCTTGCGAGACGTGTACATGACCGTCAAGTCTTTCGTGAAGCGCATCAACGATTTTGTCAAATATCGCCGAGCCACCCGAAACATGAACAGCCGTTACCCCGATGCGACCGCTGAAGATCTCTCGGGCGATGACAACACTTGCATAATCTGCCGCGAGGAGATGCAACCGTGGAATCCCAATGGAGCGTCGGTGGACGGAGTTGAACAGGAAGAACGTCACCGGCCCAAGAAACTGCCTTGCGGACACATTCTCCATATGAGCTGTCTCCGAGGGTGGCTTGAACGGCAACAAGTCTGTCCTACGTGTCGACGACCGGTTCTCACGGAGAATCCAAGGGGTACTGGTCATCCTCTTGCGAACCTCGAAGCCCTTCAAGCCGAAGCGTTCCCTCGTAACGGCAACAACAATAACCCCGCGCGTGGACAGCAACCTCGCGGTCGGTTCCCGGCTCTCGATCGTTTCAGAATCTTCAACCTTGGACCCTTTCGTTTCGCCATTGGTGGCATACCCGAACGCGAGCTGCGGCAGATGAACCAGATTCTCAACCAGCAAGATCAACAACCCCAGCCTACCGCTGCTCCTCTTCGTAATACTCAACGCTCGCCTGCTGTTCCCACGGACCCCGCGACTAGACTTGCGCAAATCGAAGCCATGTTCTTCCACGCCCGCGGCCAGATCGATCAGCTGAACGCCGACCGACAACAGCTCAGTCTCATCTACGGCATGGAATTGGAGTTCGAGAGGATTCGTCGACAGCGAAACAGCGCGATACTCCGCAACCGTACCAGTGAGCGTCTTGCGGAACGACGTCGCGCCGAACCCGCTGCGCGTACTGGATCCATATACGATGATGAGTTTCGCCAGAGGGCGTTCGAACCTCACGAGTACGATACTGCTGAATCAGCAGCTCAACTACTCAGACGGCGTCTCATGGCCATCCGCGAACAGGCCGCTCAACGTACACCATCTGGGATCCAGCGTGCCGAGCGCGAACAAGCCAGGGAAAACTTCAGACAGCATCTTGGCCAGCCCTCTCCGTCCGAGTTGGACCGTTTGCGCAGACAGCGGGAGCGTGTTGCCAGACAGCCTCTCGCGACACCCCTCCAAGGCAGACCCTCCCCAGCGCGGACTCTGATACCGAACCCTCATGAGCCGGCCTTAAACGCGAATTCGAGGGAGTTGCCGCTGGGGATGACATTGCCGCCGGGATGGCTGCTGGTCCCCTTCCAAGAGAACCGGCCGGGGGAGAATACAAGACAAGTCGCTTACGCAGATATGGCGTCCGCTCTACGAGGCATGCACCAGCCGGTACAAGCCTCGTCAGACCTGCAAATGCCGCCATATTTCGTTGATCAGGGTCCTCCACACCCTGCAGACCAGCCCGCAGAGGCCTCGTCGGCCTCAGACAGCGCCGAGAAGCCTCACGCTGCGACGGTAGAGGACACTGAAGAGGAGTAGGACAAGCCACGTGCGAGCTCGATTCCACGACCTGTAGGGCCCTAAGGGGAGATGACTCAGACTTTGGGAGAGAGATTCCGCATCCGGTACATAGGCGTTGGTTTGGTGCTTTTATGGGCATAGCGCGCGGCGTATATATGGAGAATGGGATGAAGTTCACGATTCCCAGTTCAGTATGGTGGAGAAGGGTTGGATAGGGGCTTGGATGGTTTGCATAGTGTTTTTAGAATAACTGCTCTATGTACAGTAGGACAATGGGAGAGAAACTTCCCTGTAACCCCCAATGTCAGCATTGTGGTGGTTCTCTTGTGACTCCGGGATTTCTCTCTTACCTCACTTATCGTCAACTCTTCTCGATCTCTTCACTCAGCCAGTTCTTCAGCTTCTCCTTCAGCTTCAACCAACGGGATGCTTTTGCACCCCTCTTCAAGGTCAGTCCGAGTCGTCGAAAGGATCTCAGAAGATATTAGCTTACCACAGTCATCTCCGTCTCACGACGCAGCGAACCCCTGCACCCTTTCTCATTGCAGCTCTCCTCCCCGGTTTCACTCAGCTTCAGCTCATCTCCGAACCTTTACGCCTGCGGCATCTTCGGGATTCCCCAGCGGTCGGCATTCGCTTGGCACTTGGAGACGTCCTTCCCGGAGATCTAGGCTATCCTAAACACCACATAGGTTAGTTCATTCGGTCCTCGGCCCTTTTTTGAAAACATCACTAACCAGTCTTTAAACATCCATCACGTCTCGCCACCGAATCCAGAATATCGAGAAGGTCTCATGCCTCCTTCAACTGCGCCATCGCCACCTCAGCGCTCTCTCCTCCACTACGCCAAGAGATCCCGGACACCGAATCCAGATCTCAGCACGGAACCGAAATGAAGATGAAGAATCTCAAGTCGGTGGTCGGGATCAGGAACGTCGGAGCGCTCATTAGTTGACGCACTGGATGATCTCGATGCTGAGGCATTTCTGGATTGGCTGGCCACCACGGAGACTACTCAGTGCAAGAGCACGTCCGAGATGCATGTGGCCGATTTCTCTTCGAAGACTGGCCGTAAAGCGCAGCCGAGGAGCTGCATCGCCTCGAACAGTGTTCTTGTGCTCGAGCAACTTCATCACTACAATCTCCCTTTCGAGTCCGAACGGCATGACTCTGCCCTTGGTAATCAATCCTGGGTGCTCTGGCTGCTTGCCAAAGCAGTGCTCGAAAACAATCCTCGCAGCTGCCCATTGGCCCGTCACCGTGTGTCTTATGAGTTGTACCATCGAACATCCTCCAGAGCCGACAGTCATCCTAAGCGGCCATGGCCCAATGTTTCTCCTACGCCGCCTACCGGTGCCCGACGCGTTGGTTGATACATTAGAGATAGCCGAGTCTCGTTTGGTGTCCCGCTGCTCCTTGTCGATGATGGCGGAAAGACGCTAGTTGATCGGCGAGACTTATGGGACCGCGGATGGTGAGGTCGCTGGTGCCTCTCGCGGGACTTCCGAGTAAAGTTTTCGAAGGATGCCTCGTCAGTTGTCAGGCCGTCTATACCTCGTATCCCCCAGCCACGCACACCTCCTTTCGAGGTCATCGAAACGTCCGCAATATCCTTCTTCTTCTTGCCGACGGCCCGGCTGACCATACGACTCCTTATTCTGTTGCCTCAGCTCTGAATTGTCGAGGACACCCATCACAACTGAGCCGGTTCCATGTGTGCGCTGGTGCTATGAGAGATTGTCGCTTCGTGAGAACTTTTTGCCGCAATCACTGCACTCGAACGGCTCGCCATGAGTGTGGGGGGAGCGGTAGTGGCGCTTGAGATGTTCTTGGCGGCGAAAACCGAGAAATACTCATGATCTCCATGGCTGTGAAGAAGCAGGCAACGAGGATGCAAGAGCAGAGATATCAGCAGCTCGCTGCAGGAAGTCGATATCCCAGGCGTTGATGAAATCGCCGTGGTAGCCGTATCCTGTGAAGTACGGTTAGCTTGGTGGTATGCTAGAGACATCAAGGTCAACTTACCGGTAGGATCGCCATTGGAGAGTACGAATTGGCCTTCGGCGCGAACAAACGCTTACCGGTACTGAGGCTGAGCTTCATGCGCATCGACAGCTCCGCCAACAAGGCGACCTACCCGTGCGCGAAACCCATCGGCTCCAATATCCCGTAGGCCGGAATATCCCGAGAAGAAGCTCGGCTAGAAGCAGTTCAAGAAGAGACATGGTTCATGGACTGGATGGCTGCTTCCGTCTCCAAATCATTCGAGAAGCGTACAGAAGCCGAAGCCACGGCTGCGTCCGGTATCGCGGTCCTTCACAACAACGGCTTCCTCTACCTGGCCAAAGTCTTCAAGGCGAAGATCATCGACGGGTCGCAGTGGGTGAAGACGACACGCAGGGTCACAGGCTGAGCACAACTGAGACCTGGTTTCGATCCAAACACCAGCACTCAACAGAAAGTCGTGCTCCCCTATGCGCCCAAAAACAGCGCATAGGCCAAGCATGACTGTCGGGCCTGGATGTCGAGCTCCTCCGCGCGCCCAAGAACAGGCCACAGACAGAGCATCACAGCCTCTTGTGGCCTCGCACCAGGACATCCCCATGGGAGCCATATCCCCTCGACGGATTCAGTGTCCGTTCGTCGGCCGTGCAATCAGCATTCCGATCCGTAAGCCCTTATGACCCCACGACATGCAATCCTTCTGCCCGTCGAGAGGATCGAGATATTGGTACTCTTTCAAGCCGGCCGGAGGCGGTGGGATGTCCTCGCCATAGTTGTTGAGACGGCATTTCTTCCAAGTGCCCTCATACCCCGGAAGTTTGCGAAATTCTCGCTTGACACTCTTCAAGGCGAAGAGCATCGATGGGTCGCAGTGGGTGAAGATGACTTGCCAGTCGACAAGGAAGGCCTCGATAGTGTTGATACCCAAGGAGACCCACTCATTCAGATGCTCTATCTTCAGCGACTCAACGCTGTTCATGGACTGAATGGCTGCTTCGGCCTCCGAATCGTTGGAAAAGCGCACGGCCAAAGCCGCGGCTGCGTCCGGTATCGCGGTCCCTCAAAACCATGACTTCCTCAACCTGGCTAAATCCTTCGAACTTGGCGCGGAGTGTTGTGTCATCCGTGTGCCATGTAAGGCCGCCGATGAAAAGTTTCGACAGTCAAGGGTGACCGAGAAAATTGGAAATTAGAGGGCGTCCGACCACTGGAAAACAGGCAGCCCGTGACGAGGCTGGTGCACCATCGCCATCCCCAGAGCTGGATGCAACCACAGCATCCGCAGAAACCCGCCCCTGGCTTGAGTCATGGATAACGGATCGGGACCAACCCTGCCGCGGGAGCTGAGGAGCGCTCGTAGACGATGCGTCAGTCTGCTCCAAGTGAACTCCGCAGATGATGGAATGGCCAGCGAGCAGCAGAGTGAGATCGCTGCAGCGTTGGAGTGAAGCCTCCACCTCGTCGTTCTAGCTCCTGCCCCAGCCGCTGGGTTAAAGCGCAGTCGGCCCAGCATGCCGGATGGTTCTTCCTGGATCATCTCTCCTTGGACCATTTCTCCTTGGACCATTTCTCCTTGATAGGTGGTGCGGAAGGGCTACATGTTGCGCCCTCCCTCCGCCGTATCCGCCGCCGTCAAAAATTTGAGTTCTGCAAGCAGCTGCACCACTCCGCATAACTCATACTCAATTCGCTGCGTTGTGAGCTCCGACAGACCCCCTCTTGAACGGTGAGCGAACCCACGCGATTCTGGGTCCGTTCGGGAGTTCTGTGAGTAGCGGGGACTTCCAAGTAGGGGCACGTCGTTTGGAACGACGCGACCACCAGCTGTGACGCGAAGCGTTGGTGGAGAACCGTGTTCTTTGAGAAGCTCCTTTGCTCTTCCTCGCCATACGCTTTGGATGAACCAGACGATGCCGAAGCACCTCGGTAAACGACTTGTTGGCATTTCCGTACTTTCACACCATGGTCTGGGATGAGTGGAAGATCGTCCTCGTGCAACGTCAGAGTACCCGAGTGATTGGAACTGGCTCAGCTCCATGGGCGGAACGAGCAATGAGTTCGTTGTATAAAATATTCCACCGTCCTCGGATTGGCGACTGCTTCCTCCCCGTCCCGCATCCGATCGGTCCAGTTCGCCATTAACGCCAGGGACGGCGCACTCGACCAATCAGTCATGAAGAAGAACGGAAAGATATAAATCCTCGTCCTCAAGACAGACTTTGCAAGCTGTGGACCCCGCCATCCACGGACGATTCCGCTCATGGAGTCGAACACTTATCAGGGCATGTGTTCGACTCTTCAGGCACGAGATGTTCAGCTCCGAGAGAGTGTCCCTATGGTGCTCCGGCCGAAGACCATATTTCACGAGAAAGGGGCGCCAGTCACAATGGTGTGGTTGGGTGCAATTGCTAAGTGATTGACGAGGACGATAGTCGATGCTCAGAATTGTTCACCCACCTCCTCCGGGCCGCCTGTCTCCGACTCTTCCTTCCTCCAGGAGTGCCAGGCGTCGACGAAGTGTTCCTCCGATGCTTGGCGCGAGAGTCATATCCCTCGACAGAGGGGCGTCGCTTATGATGGCGTGGTGGTGTACAACCGGCGCTGTCGTCGCGACTGTGGCTGCGCTTGCGTCCGCGATCTTGCGATCCTCTCGAACATCAGTGCGTGTGTCTTGAGCGTCGTGATCTGAGAATAAAATGACCTTGTGTTGGAAGATCTACTTATGCCCTTACGTCGGGGCCATTCCCATTGTCCTCGATCGGCGTGTGGACGAACATCGACACGTTCAGCATATGGAAGCCACGGTATCCGTACATTGTGATGCTGCGGCATATCGCTGATGCCAGAGCCCAGCGGCTATAAACCTCCGCTTCGCCAATCGCCTCGCTGATCTAGGAGTCTTGAGAGCAAAGTTCCGCCGGCGACTTGCGCTCAAGACCTCTACTCTTGACGAACCCGGTTGTATCGCGCTAGATTTCCGCTCCAAAGCCGGCGGGGGAGAGCAGCATCCCATCAATCTGGAGACCCGGCGAAGATGTTCACAGAAACTGCGCCAAGACTGCAGCCTCGTTGAGAAATCCGGTAAGCCGGTCTGATGTGTTCCATGTAAACCCATATGCCATGTGCCCGAATATCAGTGAGGGACCAAAGGAGGAACCATAGTATGACTGCCACAGTCCGTCAGGCCACTGTGTGGTTCCTCATCTCACGAAGTCCAGCCTTCCGAGGCCCTCCTAGCGCGAAAAGGTACCGGCTGCAACAAGAAGTAGCAGCTCAAGGGGCTTGGTGTCCCATCCGAAAGGATCTTCCCGGCTGGAGCACCCATCGTGCAAAAGCTGGGGAGGGTCTCGGCGGAAATGCCCCGACTCGGGTACTCAATCGGAGGCTTTGCACCCCAAAAGTGAGGATAAACCGGTCAGCAGCCAAAGCTCAACCGGTCTTCAGATGCCTTTGGAACAGCATGCCCGAGCGTTAGGGCAGAGAAAGGCCACCAGGCTCATGGCAATCTACCATCCGCCCGGTTTATGACCGTCTACCACCCGCCGCCACCTTGCTGCTGGTTCTGGTCGCCATAGCCGCCCTGTTGCTGGCCGGCATAGCCGCCGCCTACCTGCTAGTTGTCGTTGCGCCACTGACCTCCGCGCAATCGGACTGGAATGCCCAACTCCACGTACGATGCATGATGACGCTGCAAGCAGTAAGGTCCCGAGCTTGCCCCAACTGCTTCTGCTTCTTGCTGCCAAGCCCTCATTGTCTCCACGCTTGCGCTAATCCACCTGGGCTCTGGTCCTGGGAAGGGTTGTCATCGAATGCTCTTGTTGGCTGGGTGTTCCCTGTCGCCCTTGGGCGCTGCTCGGGATCCAGACATTGAGCTGAAGGTACCACGGATGCGATCCGAAAATCTTGTCCATTTCGTCGACGAAAGACCCGCTGGCGAACGGTCTCAACCTTGCGCTCCCACAGCATCGCCAGCTGCAGTGCGCTCTCCATTATCTTCCTGGGGAGAAAGAATCCTTCCTATATCCGGAGCCTCCAGCACAGGCCGCCTCGGTCACCGCCTGAAAAGGCCGAACCCAGGGGTTCGTTAAGCTTGGCCTGTGTGCCCAATACTCCGCTCAACCCAAAGTCATAATCTCAAATGTTGGGCGTGGGATCCTTCAACGGCGGCTCGATCCGCCCGCACTGGGACCACGCCGCCGGGGCTGGACGTGCGGCTGGATTTACGGACGGGGGACCTGACTGCAGGCATCTTGTTAGTCGAAAGAACCTTCAAGGCACTCAGCGGCGGCTTAAGACTTACCGTACGCAGACCTCTCACCCGGCAGTCCAACAAGCTCCAGGCATGGCGGTTGAGATTCAGACAGTCTTAATCCCGGAAAGAGACATGCTTGTTGGTGGGCAGGAAGACCGACGGAACGGCGGTCTCGGAGCTGAATCTCCTTCCAATCACCACGGATAACACAGCTCTCGACAAACTTGGGGCAGTTGGCATAGCCCTCCATGCTGAGATTGAAGCAGCCGAGCCTGTCGCCCAACAAGCTATCACCACCACACTGTAGCGTGACCGCCTCGGGCCTGTACCAATTCATGACGCCCTTGACGACCGGCTTGAACACGCTCTTGTACCGTCTTGTCATCGATGCCGTCGCGCAGCTCGCTAGTGCCGGGGAAGTACTCGCCGTATTCGTGGAAGGAGCAGGTCACCACGTGGGGGACCGCCCTGCTGGAAATGTTCTCCGAAGCTTCTACCTGTATTGCCCTACACAGATGAACACCATGCGTGTTACTCCCAACCAGAGTTCTTGAAGGTTACTGGGGCTGGTCGTACTGCCGCTGCGAGTCCTGTTGTTGTCTGTACCCTTGCTGTCCATTTAGTGGAGGAGCGCTAGATCCACCTCACAACGTCATCGCCGCCGAAAACCGCAGGGGAACGACGGCTTCAAGTTGTAGCTGAAGTCGAAAGCGTTCCTTTACGCCTCCACAAGTGCAGAGTTGAGCTGGTGAGAGGTGGCGGCTAGGTTGAACGTCGAGCGAGTGATGGGGTCCGCCGCCGTGTGCCCCCAGTCAAACCCATCGGGGTCGGAAGAAATAAGTTGCTTTGAAGAACCAGACGGCCACAGACCCGGTTGTTGTTGAAAGAAATGACGGATAATCGCTTGACGCGCTCAAACAAAATCGGGGGAGATTGAGTGAGGTTGAGCGAGGCTGGCGTTGTTGTTGGCAACTGATTCCCTCCCGTATCTCGCGAAGGCGGGCGATGTCAAAAGAAACGACACCAGTTCAATCCGTGCCACAAGTCAATGTGTTTCTTCTCGCCCTGGGATGTCGCGAAGGGCAGCCGCTTGTGTCTCTCCTTGTTCCAAAACTCGGCCTCGGCAATGATTCCTCTTCAAGGTATCTCGGATGTAGGTTGCGTGGACACCGCGCCGTCTTGGAACATGAACAGCGGGCAGTCTTCCCATGTTCGATCAACTCGACGTTGTCATCCCGTAAGAGCTCCAGAGCCCTCGCGTGGACGAAGATCTTGCTCTGAAGTACGCCAGTTGACAATGGCGCTTGAGAAGTTGAGAGGCTTTTTCGAACGCTGTTGGCGCTGAGTCAATTCGCGGCGAGGGGCACAGCGCGTGTGGGAGTAAGCGGACATCGGCCGTGGTGTCGTTCCTAGTGATCATGTTCCTCGCAGCTCATGAGAATGTATTTCATCTCCCCACCCTGCCGGAAATCGGCTGGGCTCTGACGAGATGACGTTGGCGTGCATCCTGCCATCGCTGTTTCACTGATCTGTCGGCAGAGTGCCTTGAGGTTCTCGATGTTTTGGACGTGTACCGGGAGCTTGTAGTTTGGGGTACCCTCTTCCGTTCCCTCCGGATGAGTTCAACGGGCGAATCCGCCAGGACTCGCATAAATTATGTCCTCCATCTCAGGCCCGGCATACTCGTCGACGCCGGTGCGTTCGTAGAGATCCGTGTCGAAGGTCTCAGTTAGGAACGCCTTTGTACAAGCGGCTCTGAACATATCAGTATGTCTTACGCGCAAATATGACAGGACTGTACACGATTTCGAGTTGTCAGTGCGCTGGTTAGTCGGGTCGAAGATCTTTGAACCATTCTTCCCTACCCGGGAAGGAATCCAAGCTGTTTCCACGAAGAATGCCGGCTCGCTGACCGAGGGTCTGGGTGAACGTGTGGACCGGAAACAGCCCGAGAACGGAAGATCCAAAGCATGACCATAGGTGACGAGCTTGTACACAGCGTCGAAATTTACCGGCAAGTCGACCATTCGGTAGATGTAGAGCTCTCCAAGATCTTTGCCTCACGAAGACAGCGGCACGGTTTGCTGCTGTTCTCTGGGATCCACCGTGTAGGATGATGGTGCAGCCGGCTGAGGGCATTCTCGTTCCAGTTCCGTGGGCGGCGTCGGTGTTGGTCCGTAGCACTGTCTCGACCAATATGTACTGGAACGTTGTCAGGAGCGCGATATCTTGTGGATGGTTGGAAGATCTTACCGGGCCTGACATGAGAAGTGTGTGTCAGTTTGCAACTCGGAATTCTTGTATCAACAAGATGAGTTGCTGGCCGATGGAGGTCCGACTTTCGAGATCCGCGTCTCTCATGACGCGTCAGAATCACATACCTTGAGGCTCTAGACGACCCATGGGGCCACGACGATATAGATCGCCGGCAGCGGTAACAGAACCCAGCGGGCAATGAAGTTCTGTTAGGCTTGTCCAGGTTAGACAATGTTGAAGCCTGTTTGGCCTCCTGCCTTCTAGAAAGATCGTGTCAATGGGCAGGTTCGGTTTCAAAAAGGCTGAAAGAGTCTGACACCCGGTAGACCTGACAAAGACTCTCTGATGGAAAGTTTGACGTGATCTCTTGGCTGTGTGAGCCAGTTTTGGTGACGGTCATGATAGTTCCAGGGTGGATGATGGAGTTTTCGGAATTTATGCATTTTCTGACGACTAAACATGAAGCAAGCAAGCAAACAACCCCAACCGTCTACGCCAAACGCCGAGGACAAAACCCAAACCCAAACCCAAATAAACAAAGGAAAACAAGACGCAACAAATACAGGAGGGAAAAAGAAGCAGCAAAAGCACACAAAACCACAACCCCCACGAACGCCAGAAGCAAAACCCAGAAGCGAAACCACGACCATCTCATCCATCGCCAACTATCCAAAGCCTTCAGCCCGTGTGGACACCCATCGTCTGGTAGTTCAAGTAGTCTGTCATGAACTCTCCATGACACGACCACAGGTTGCCCCTCCCACTGCGAAAGTCACCAGACGGCGCTGTCTGCTCGTCCGCAGCCTCTATCGCCATGTGCCGAAGCGGTGAGCCACGCTCAGTCTCCTCATAAATGAATAGAATGAGCTCCGGCGAGAGGAGGGCGTCTGTCATGGCGCGGAGGTACTGCTCGACGTAGGCCTGCATGTCGGTGCCAAAGATCCAGGCGACCGACCACAGCTTCATCAGCGTGATGAAGAGGGCGTCTTCGAGGGCGGGGCGGCGGGCGGCGACGAAGGTGCCAATATCATGGCGCGAGGGGGCAGCTGAAAACAACACGCCGAAGAAGATCGTGATGATGAGGGCGCTTTTTCAACTGTCAGCTCATATCACCCGTAGTACCTGCACCACGTACCCGAGGACGTCGAGGATTGCGAATGCCATTGCTGCTGGGTTCTTGTGATTGCTTTGAGGTCTGTTCTATGCGTCAATGCTTGTAAGATCTCGTCGTCGTCGATATCACGTACTTTGGGAATGTTTGTGTGCGGTTGCTGTCGAGTGAAAGTGTCACCAGGCCGAAGGAGTTTATATCTCACGCACAGACCGTAGCCCTTCTCCGTCAAATACATAGCAATGCTACATTGACGGAGCCGATCCAGAACGGAGACCTGCGTAGAGGCTATCTACCGTGATACCCTCGATATTCAGGAGCTCAATACTTCAATGCCAGACCACTATCCCACGTCAAAGCCTCCAATATTCACAATAGAGAAGCGGCAAAGAGTTTACGACGGCAGCCATCGTGTAGATAGGCGGTAATCTTCTCTATTCAGCAGGCGACTCAGAGACTATGGAACTCAATATAGTCCTTCTCACCTTCACAAAGGCTCGAGATCTCCGTCAAGATGATCCTGAAAATTCACATACGCCGCATGCAGGTCTCTGAGTCCCAATTGAATGAAAGTGATTTTACCCCTTTTCTAGATCAGGGAATTCACTGAAATTTGGCCACTACCTTGTTCCACTATTCCGAAGAGATTCGAGGCGTCCTAAGCCAATCAGCAAGTACTCATAAGCCTCCATACGCTGCTAGCTCATACATAGGAAGCCCGGATATGAAGTGCGAGGGAGCCGTGTCGATGCTTCATGATAAAGTCTGTTATGCTTTGGGAACTCGAGACCTCCTAGCTCACCCTTTGCTACGGATATCTCCCAGGCCAAGAAGCTACACAGGTATGTGGCGTGCTGAATTCCTGCAGCGGAGAAGGCTTCAATGTGTTCTCGTTGTCCAGTTGCTGTAGCATTCGGTCCTGTTCAAACCCACCACCATTGTGCCATAAATCTCCTGTACCAGCAATAGTATACTCGGAATATGTTTGTCACTCGCCTGACCGCCTCTATTGTTCTGAATCGCCGCTGCAATATTCTCTCTATCAGGTCAGTAGATGTCATTGTGTTAGGAGAGCGACTCCGGTGAAGCGAGTCACGGGACCTGCTCCAAGCCCATGCTTTAGTTCCTGAACGTCCACTCTCTATTCCGCTATTGTACCGCAATGGCTGTAACGCTGCTATTGTCATACAGGGAGATATATAGGTCCTCATCGCCACGCTCCTCCTCTCCTTTTCAAAACACCAGCTCAACTCAAAACCCCACACAGTAGGTGTCCAGAGCCCTCTCTCTACAGCTTTTCTAACGGCGACAGCAACGCAAAACCCATCCAAAGCCTCCTCGACCACCAAGCAGCACCATGCCGCTGCCCTACGGCCTTCAGATCGGCCGCATGTACGTAGATCTACACCTCCAGCAGCCCATCACGAAGCTAACAAAGCCTCCCTCCTCCAGCATCCTCACCTTCACCCTCCCCAACGCCAACGGCACCTCGGTCACCACGACCATCACCCACGTCTACCTGCACGGCTTCACGATGCTCCCGCTCGTGTACGCAGGCGCCACTCTTCTCGAAACCAACCTCGCCGCCATGGTCGACTGCTACTTCGTGGCGCGTCACTGCGGTCTTGAGGCGTTCCGCCTCGCCTTGCTGGAGGGCATTGCGGAGGACCTCTCACGCTGCTCGTCAACTGCGGTGATCGAGTACGTGTACAATTACGTACCGGAAGACTGGCAGCTGCGTCGCGAGGTGGTGATGGCGGTGATGGAGAGGACGGAGGGAGGGCTGTGGTTTGATGAGGAGGAGATGGAGGAGTGGAGCTGCCTGGTTCCACGGTTTATTAGGGATTTGAGGGAGTGGGAGTATGTTTCTGGTGGCTGAGGGAAGAGGGCTTCATGATATTGGCGCTAATCGTCGGGTTTGGAGTTTCAAGGGGAGATCTTAGGGAAGGGGGCTGGTGATGGGCGTTTCTGGGGGTAGGTCTGGGTCTTGTTTCTTGTTATGCCATCCATCATGATACGACAACAATGCATCAAGGCTCTGAAGTACTATTCATCTCAGAATTGGAAGAGTGATGAGGTTTTTGTAATTGTATGAACGCCAAATCTATGCAGTGAACCATCCCAATGCGGTCAAGCCCGCATATGCGTACAATCCTACATACATCTACAGCGTCCGCTTCTCAGACCTCTCCTCGTAACATTGGATCTGATCCCCAGCCTCGAAGCCCTCCCAAGCATTGAAGCCTATGCCACACTCTGTCCCCTTCCTCATCTCGGGGACGTCCTTCTTCGATGATTTGAGGGAGGTTATTGTGCCTATTCATCATTAGCTCGTCTCCTCAGCAAGGCACAACAGCAAAACTCACCATCGTAGACCGTCTCCTTCCCCCTCATGACCCTGACCTTATTCCCTCTCCCCACAACTCCATTCCTCACCTTCACACCCGCAATCTTCACCGTCTTCCTCCCACCCAGATTGATGTCGAAGCCCATAACCACCTCCGCCTCGCCAGTAACCCTCTGAGTGATAAGCGGCGGCAGCTTCTCCGACAGCACAGCCCTGACATCATCGACAAGCCTGTAGATAATGCTCTGGTCCAGGATCTTGACGCCCTGGCTCTCCGCCATCTGCGCCATCTTGGGCTCCACGGCCGTGTTGAATGAGATGATATGGCCCTTGGCAGCAGCCGCGTGCTCGATATCGAACTGGCTGACGGGACCGACGCCGGAACGGAGAATGTGCGGAGCGACTTCCGCGTTGCCAAGCGCGGAGACGGCGTTGAGGACCGCCTCGACGGAGCCGGAGACGTCGGCCTTGAGGACGAAGAAGACTTCCTGGAGCCCCGTCTTCTGCGCCTCCGCAGCGGCATCCTCCGGCAGGGTTTCGCCATTCTCCGCCGCCCGCGCAACCGCCTCTTCGCGCTCGCGCTTCTCGGCCTCGAGGCGACGAACCTCGTTAATGGCCTCCATATCCTTCGCCAAAGCCTCCCTCTCCTTCTTCTCCTCGCGCAGCTGCACCACAGCAGTCGCCCTCCCCTCGTCCGGCGCCTGTAGCACCTCATCACCGGCAACAGGCTGGCCCTTCCAGCCGTCCACCTCGACCGGCATGCCCGGCCCGACCTCATCCACCAGCGCGCCGGCCTCGTTCCGCAGGGTCTTCACCCTCGCCCACGTCGCGCCCGCAACGAGCACGTCGCCAGGCCGCAGCGTGCCCCTGCGCACGAGGACAGTAGCGACGCGGCCGCGCGTCTTGGTCGTGGCTTCGAGCACCCAGCCCTCAGTCGGTCCATCCGTATCAGCGCGGTGGTCGAGGATTTCGCTCAGGGTCACGGCCGCCTCTTCCAGCTCGCGCATGCCGAGGCCGGTTTTGCCGGAGACGCAGATACATTGAACATCCCCGCCGAAATCCTCGACCTCGACGCCCTGGCGTGCCAAGTCCGCCTTCACGATCTCAGGCTTCGCCTCATCCTTGTCGCACTTGTTAATCGCGACGATGAGCGGGACGCCCGCGGCCTTGGCGTGCCTGATGGCCTCGATGGTCTGCGGCTTGACGCTATCATCTGCGGCAACGACGAGAATGACAATGTCCGTGACAGTGGCGCCACGCTGGCGCATGCTGAGGAAGGCGGCGTGGCCGGGTGTGTCGAGGAAGGTAATCGTTTTGTTGGAGGCGGCGAGCGGGACGCTGAAGGCGCCGATGTGCTGCGTGATGCCGCCGTGCTCGGTGGCTGCGATGCTGGATTTGCGCAGGTAGTCGAGGATGGTGGTTTTGCCGTGGTCGACGTGGCCCATGATTGTCACAACAGGGGGACGGGAGTGGAGGAGACTCCGCTCTTCGGGTGAGGGCTCAGGCGCGGCGCGCAGGTCGATATCTTCGTCCGCCGTGTCGGCGATCGGGTCGAAATTGTATTCCATGGCGATTAGCCCAGCGTTCTCGGCGGTCAGGATGTGCGAGCCTTCTACATTCTCGAAGCCGAGATCTTCCATCTTGGCTACGAAGTCCTCCAGGCGAACGCGGAGTGCGCTGGCTAAGTTCGTCACGCTGATAAACTCGGGGAGGTAGATGGGTGTAGGTGCTGCTGTCTCAGCCGCGGCGGCCTTAGCGGCCTTCTTCTGCCTTTTCCGCTCCGCTTTGGAGATACGTTTTGTGTCCTCCTCATCGTCTGCATCACGAGCGTAGCGGTCGCGCCGGGCTGCTTCGTTCCGATCGTGACCATCACGACGACGAGGACCGGGATCCATGGACCGTGAGCCGCGGTCATCGAGGAATCGACGAGGTATCGGGCGGTGCTCCTCGCGCTCCTGGCGCGCCTGACGCTCTTGGCGTTCCTCCCTCGGTGGTTCCACCCTGACCTCTGACGGCGGTTGAGACGGCGCGGTGCGTACTTCTTCAATATGCCGCGGCGGTGCTTCCGTAGGTGGTGGTGGCGGTCGTGCGGGAGTGCCGTTGAGCGATACGTAGCCCTTAGGAGTTGGTTGTAGCTCTACGCGCCTGAACGTCGGCGCCTCCTGAAACGGAGGAGGCGGCATAGTTGCACTCTGTGCGGCAGCCTGGCTCCTGTGGTCATGGCCCCGTCGCTTCAGATGCTTCCAGTTCGCGGTGAGATTCGCATCAAAAGGGGGATCTCGGGGTTCTTGAGTTTTCGAGGGATTGAGATTTAGGCGGTACGATAATCGAGAAGGGTGTTGTGACTGTCCTCTTGGTGATCGTTGGCCGAATTGAATCCGCTGCCTGTCAGGTGTCTAATGTCATCAGGTCAGAATGGTTCAAAGCCGAGCCATCATACGAATCTTGTCCACGCTGCCAGTTCACCTGCATGCCTCGTCCGTTAGAAGGGACAGCATTGCGGTAGTTCTGTGGTCATCGAGCTCTGTTTAGACGGTTGAAGACTTACATTGTGATCCACCCTCCAGCGCCCTCTCTCCGCACGCTCGCTCTGTTGCGCTTGCGCCGGTGCCGCCGCCGCTCTCGCCCTCAACACCTCCCTCTCCCGCTCCTCTGCGGCGCTCAGTCCGCTGCCTCCAGACGTTGCGCCCCATCTGTCCGTCCTAGACGCCTCGGCTCTCATCCCGCCGCCGCCGAAGGTCGAACCCCATTTATTCGGTGCCGGCTCATCGTTGAGAATCGCGACCTGGCCCGCAAACGTTGAGCCCCATTTCGCTCGAGCCGGCAAATCATCCTGGCTGTCTTCCTGACGAACAGCAGCCTGAGCGCTCGACTGCGCTGCTTTGGGAGACGAGTTGAGATGGCGGCGTTGGACATATGCTGGCGGCGGCGCTGCTGGAGTAATACCGAGGCGGGAGGCGCAGAAGACGCAAACGTCGTGGGTTGAGGATGTCTGTTGGAGGGTTAGTTCTGGTGCGTATGTTCGTATTCAGGGGTTTTCTGTACCCTCAACACTCGCTGTCTGCGCATAGTGTGTGTGGTGATGGAAGAATAGCTCTCTCAATGGCTTCAAGGAAAGTTGCATGAACCTTAGGAAATCCCCGTCACGTGAATCTCCGCTGGCGGTGAGATGCGGCAGAATGGCGGAGTCTGAACCCCGATCAAACCCGACTTCGCGCACCTCAGGGTGATTGTATCGGAAACTTCGTCACGCACATAGCTCCTCGAGGCTTAACGGAAGCTGTGCTGCAACATCTTACCAGCCCGGCTTGGATTTGGCGACTCAGTGTCCTACTGTCAAAACCGTGCAAGTTTGGCATACAGCTTGAAGCGTTGCATGGTCTTGGTATCTGGATTTGATATGCAATCCTGATAATTGTGCTTGATATTATAATCTATACACCCTTCCGTAACGGCGCTCCTGCCCATACTATAGGCGCCAAGTACTTTGGTAGATTGAGGCCGAAGAGGCTCGCGAACCATAAAATCACAAATACTGCTGTCGGCGCGAGCAGGAGCTCGGTGTGATGGAGAAAGGGCAAGGCTGGGGCTAGTGATCAGCATGATATTCCCGGAATGCACATAACCCAAGACCGTACCATTGTAGCCTAGGAATGTGATCACTGTGTAGTAGCCAAAGGCTAATAGGTACAGCGAGTTGCCGAAGAAAAGCGATACCCTTCAGCAGCCGTGAGTCAGACTGCTCTCCAGTGCAGGCCGGAGATGGAGCTCACCAATAGTCTTTGGATATCACCGGCATCAGCAGGAACTGTATCACATACAGGAACACCCACACAGGGAAGAACGCCCGTATCGACACCTGCTAGATCGTCAGTACAATGCTCACAAATCTTCCCACCAGGCAGTGCTGACATCAAAGCAGTATCCGAACTCCAGTTGCTCCGCCTCTCCAGGCTGCATAAACAGCCCCTGCCTCCTCCGCCCAGGAAGGCCTGGCACACCTGGGCCCAGCAGCCGTCCGACCAGGAAGTATGCCGCTGTCGAGACAAGCAGCGACACCGCCAGGAAGTGCACGAACACAAAAATGGCCGCCACCTTCACAATCTTTCCGAAGCCGTCCGCGTAGGCTAGCCCCCAGGCTATAGATGTGAGGAGGAGGAAGAAGGAGAGGAGATAGGTGAACGAGGGGTCGGGGCGATGCCATGTATTCTTCGTCTCTGTGGGCGGTACGGTCAGCCATGATGCTTCCTCGACCGTCATACTCGTCATCTCGGGAGAGGTAGCGTACGTTTCTGGACTCCAGTCAGCGTTCTGCTCGAGCCTGCACCGTCGCCCAAGCTTGTCTTCAACCCACATGATAGTACATCGACCGAAACACCTTCTTCGGCGCTATTATCAGGCTCGTCATCTCCCACACCGCCATCTCGAAATCCATCTGTGGGAACTTGAACAGCCGTTTGAAGAAACGAGGCATGCGGGGGGCTTCGCTGCGGTGCGTGGGGAGAGTGCCGCCGAAGTTCGAGGGGCCGCCCATGGGGCGTGGGAGGGAGATGTGGGGGTTCATGGTGTTATGAAAGGGTGGAGAAGTTCAAGCGGGAGTTGGTCTCGGGGGAAGGCGTCTTGCGCTGTGCGGATAGAAGCAGACGGCTTTACGCGCTGGTTCATGCGCGGATCCGGAGATTTTGGTGGAAGCTTGCTTGGAGAAACGCTGAGCAGGACGATGTAATGCTAGGGTTCTCGGACGAGAACAAAAGGTCGGTTTCAAGCGATCATCCCCCGGGTATTTGAAGCTGCACGCGAGGCTTCTGTTAAATCGATGCCGCGTCGTGATTCTACGCCTCAGGCTGCGAAGTTCTGCTTATGTCAGCCAGGCCGCCATCAACTTGAAGTTCAGCGTTCAGCATTGCGGAGTTCCGCTCTTCACTTGACAATTCTTGAAAAGAAAGGTAACTAACGAGCGCCTTCACCACCTACCAAGCTCGACAAAGACAATCACCTGCCCTCCATCTCCCTCTAGCCTGGTACAACCTCCAACAACAACACGACCCTTCGAGGCAAGTCGCGTCCGCGTCGCTCACTACTTCCAGCAATAAATCGTCGACATCTCATAGCTTCCTGCGCTCTCACCTCCTTCGATAGCTTCCATTTGAATATCTTCGGTGATCATGGCGAACAACACTGACGCGGAAGCGGCGTTCCTGCGGTCTATGCAAACCGGTTCTACCGACACATACAGCCCCTACAATCCAGCGCAACAGCCTGCGACGGGCGACGAGGAGGATGAAGAAGAAGACTACGATCCCTCAAGTTTGCTGCCAGAGTCCACAGATGACGCAGTGCCCGCAATACAGACAACGTCAACCACACCCTCAGACTCCCAGCCGGCATCGCGGCCAGCTTCTACTGTGCAAAAGCAGCCCCGAACAGTGGGTGGGTTCGTCGTGGATGACGATGATGATGAGGAAGAGACACCCTTCATGAAACCACCGATGGCTACGTCAAATGGGTTGTTGAATGTTTCACGGGGCTCTACACGTACACCACAGCGTTCTCTTTCTCAAACACCAAGCAATACACTTCCATCTTCAGATGTACCAATACATAGTGCTGCACAAGACCAGGGTCTTTCAGGTGTTGTTCCAAATGGTTCCACTGTCTCTGCTCCTAACGCTGCTGCTGTTCCTACTGAAGTTGGTGTCCCTGCACCGAATGGCGCTGCTGCCGCACCTCATGAAACCAATACAGTCATTGAGAAGAAGCCTTCATCACCTCCCGCTGCGAAAGCGCGGCTGCCACAAGACAAAGTCGGTATCTTCGAGGATCGAATTGCAGAGGATCCTCGAGGAGATGTCGAGGCTTGGTTGGGACTAATCAATGAGCACCGCAAGCGCAACAAGCTCGACGATGCTCGCGCTGCATACGAGCGTTTCTTCAAAGTCTTTCCCACAGCTGTAAGTACAGCTCGCCTTGACATGTGACCTATGCTTACATCTTGGCAGGCTGAGATATGGGCGGAATACGCCAAGATGGAGGCAGACCACGAAGAAAAGCATAGGTTCGAGGTGATTCTCGGAAAATCTCTTCCCACGAATCCTCATGTGCCTTTGTGGTCATTGTACCTTGATCACATACGCCGAACCCAAAACCTCACACAAGACACCACAGGTCAAGCTAGGCAAATCCTCTCCGAGACCTATAACTTCGTGCTCGAGAAGATCGGCATAGATAAAGACGCTGGTCCGATCTGGATGGACTATATTCAATTTCTTCGCTCTGCACCAGGTGTTCCCAGCGGGAGTGGTTGGCAGGACGGCCAGAAGCGGGACGTACTCCGCGCAGCCTATCAGCGCGCCATCTGCATTCCTACTTCGGCAGTCCAGGCACTGTGGAAGGAATACGACGCGTTCGAGTCCGGTATCAACAAGACCACTGTGAGTCCACATGCGTCCCATGCGACTTCACGTACTAACACGTCTCAGGGTCGCAAGTTTCTGCAAGAGAAGTCGCCAACATATATGACCGCCCGGCAGGCAAACATTGCCCTTCAGAACATCACCAGGGACCTCAAGCGAACGACAACACCACGGTTACCCCCGGCACCAGGCTTTGAGGGCGACGTAGAGTACCTACAGCAAGTAGATCTCTGGAACCGCTGGATCGCATGGGAGAAAGACGATCCTCTGGTGCTGAAAGAAGAAGATTCTACCGCCTACAAAGCTCGCGTTCTGTACGTTTACCGACAAGCGCTCATGGCGCTCAGGTATTGGCCGGAGATGTGGTATGATGCGGCTGAGTTCTGCTTCCATAACGGTCTTGAAACCGAAGGTACCGAGTTCCTCGACCAAGGGATAGCCGCGAATCCAGAGAGTTGTCTCCTAGCGTTCAAGAAGGCGGATCGCATCGAGTCTACGACCACAAGCGAGGAGGGTGAGGAGAGTTTGAAGGCTCGCGGCGATGCTGTGCGGGAGCCGTACAATGTTGTTCTGGACGCCCTTTACGACCTAATCATCAAGGTGCTGAAGCGCCAGGAGCAGGCTGTAGCTCGGATTAAAGAGCACTTCGCACAGCAAGAAGCTTCGACACCACAAGCAGGCGGAGGTGACGATGACGATGAAGATGATCAGGCCGAGAAGGCAGCAGCGAATGCAAGGGAAGAGCAACTAAAGACTCAGATCGAGGCCATCCAAGCAGGCCATGCTGTAGAGATGAAGATGCTGTCCAGAACGGTCACAGCCGCTTGGATTGCACTGATGAGGGCAATGCGACGTGTGCAGGGCAAGGGTAAGCCTAAAGCAGTGATCGGTGGTTCACGCCAAATTTTCGCGGATGCTCGCGCACGAGGCCGGGTTACGAGCGAGCTCTATATCGCGGCAGCGCTTCTGGAGCACTACTGTTATAAAGATCCGGCGGCAACTTTGATCTTCGAGAAGGGCTCGAAGCTATTCAAGAACGATGAGGTCTTTGCCATGGCCCACTTGAAGCACTTGATTGCCTTGAATGATATCACCAGTGAGTATCACGATCGGTGTCTCAACCTCAAGCTTAGCTGACCTTTCCACAGACGCCCGCGCAACATTCGAAACCACGGTCAGCCGCCTCACCGCCAAACCCGAAGACGTGCCTAAGTCCAAGCCCCTCTTCGCCTTCTTCCACGAATACGAATCCCACTACGGCGAGCTATCTCAAGTCGCCAAGCTCGAAAAGCGCATGGCAGACCTCTTCCCCGAAGACCCATCCCTCAAGCGCTTCGCCCACCGCTTTGCGGCCCCAGACTTCGACCCTACCGCCATTCGACCCATCATCTCGCCGCTCACACAAGCGAAGCCGAAGGCGCTAGCCCTGCCAATGCCAATGCCGTTGCCCGTCCCGACGATCGAGCAACCGGCTGCAGCAGTCCAGGAGTCTCCGCGACCGCTCCCACCAGCACAAATGAACTTCTCGCCCAAGCGCCCTTTCGACGACTCAGATACCGAGTCAACGCACCAGGAGCGGCGCAAGATGCCTCGCGGTGAGTCCCCACTCAAAGGCGCCGCGGGCCGCCGGCTCGACGCGCTCAACGAACGGCGCCTCATGCAGCGAGAACGGGAGCGGGAACGTGGCGGCCAGGGTCAAACTGCGAGTCATCACCAGCAGCAGAACATGGGCGTGCAGCATCCACCCCCGCCGCCGCCGCTGCCGATGGAGGTGAATTTTTTGCTAAGCGTCATTCCGCCTGCTAGGCAGTATAACTCGACGGTGTTCCCGCCGCAGAAGATGGTGGATCTACTGAGAAACATCGAGCTGAGGCTGCTGCCGCATGTGGTGCCGCAGTGGCAGGCGATGCAGGGGGGCAGTGGAGGGGGAGGGTATCAGTATCCCCGATGAGAATCGATTGGATAGGGACGGGGAGATTGGGCGCTTATGGAACGGCTTCATCGACGAATTGAGAGGGCTTGAGGCATTCTGCGTTCCAAGAGTCTTGGAGAGGTTGCGCTATTTGGTTTCTTGCATGCGTTTTAGTCTTTTGCATGGGTTCGGCGCTTTGATTACAGGTTGAAGCATGGGGTTACAATGCAGAGCGGGGAGGCGCAGGCTTACGGTGAATTCACAGTTCTTGATCTGAGTGGATTCTGTCGCGAGAAGTCGATGGCTCCTACAAGACGGGAAAAATGCGCTCCTCTACGCCTTGCTATACGATAGAAACGGAGTCAGTCACTTCTGCCATACAAACTAGAAACCGCCGTACTGAGGCTGCATTGATTGAGCACGTGACTTCGCGGCGCATCTGTCATATGAAGCTTGATCCAACGACAAACGACACGACAGCTCTTACGACGCGTTCTTACCTGCACCGTCAAAGCAGCTATCCGCAGTGTAAGCGTTGGCGTTTGGAGTGAGCGGACCAGTCATGATATGGCTGCTAGGTGCACATTAGATACAGATGCGATGAATGCACTGGCTCATGAGTAACGTGATGTTGAAGCTTGACAGCAGACAGCTGCTCATAATCGTGGCAATCTCTCCGTTTGCAGTTGCCATAGCATCGAGTGCTGCTTTCCTGACCGAAGGTGCCTTCTCGGTTGTTTACAATCTCGAAACCTCGATCTCATCTCGCCACTCATGAAACTTCCGCTCTGCTGCCTCCTCGCTCCTTCCACCACTTCAACCTCTCTCATTCCTCGCATATCGTCGGCCAGCACGCAATTGACGCAGGCATCTGACCTTTGTTCACTGAGTGACTGAGCTGCAGGCTTTCCGTCCTGCTGCCCTCGGGACGCTCCTTTGCTACGTCTATAAAAGGACGTCCACCAGCCAGAACCTCCATCTTTCCTCCATCCTCCTACATCCTCCCGCTCCTTGAACTTCTTCGACCTCAGTCCATCCTTGACTTAGCCTTCTTCATCTCAAGTACCCACAGCGTCATTCGATCAGTCAACCTCTTCGCCGCATCCTTTGCAGGCGCAGAAATCTTCCGTTGAGGCTGAACGCATCTCAAGGTACGCTTATCAGCAACCGCAGGCGTCACATGCAAGCCCCTTCATGTCAACAACGTCACATGCGCGTTTGCCACCCTTCTTCCCTCTTCCTCCATCAGACGATAACCTAGCATCAACACTCTTCTACTCTTCTTCATTCATCCTTCACTCTCCTTTGACCATCATCACACCTACTCAAGCATCTGTTCTTTGAGAGCAGTCTCTGCTGCCTCTGCAACGCCGCGCCCTTACGTTGTCTTCAAAGCCTGGCAAGCGCCAGTTGATACGACACCATCCGTAACCTTCACTGCTCCGCGTGGCAATTGATCTTTCTAGCCTTGAGATATCCAGCTCTTCAAAGCAGCTTCGCTAACGCATAGCCGTCAAGTCACCGCACTGCGTCGTCTCGCCTTCAGCTAGTCAATCCCTTCGGAAGCGCGCCTTCTTCTCTTCATCTCTCGGTCATAGCCACGCCGCTCTGAACGCTTTGATCTCTTCAAGTTTCGGAGGGACTCCACGTCAAGACCTTCATCGAAAGCAATTCTTCAGGCCCACGGACAGTCTGCGCAAGGTGATAAGAGCGGCATCCGTTTGACCGCCACCGCCGCGGACAACCTGCGTTAGGTGAGTACTCTTGACACATATCCATCATCTGCTTTCCATCACCGGCCTTCTTTACTTCACTGCCTGGCTTTCTTAGCCACATGGAAGCATTGCAGTCATCACCAGACGCTTCACCGAGTGTGCTCAGGTTGAGCCGTTTGACGCCGCTGTTCCTTGTCTCTTCACACCAACATCCTTCATCACTTCGAGCCGTAGCTGACCAGGCTTCACAGAACCCACAGTCATCATGAGTGCTCCAGGCAAGAAACACGTCCAGCGTGAGAAGAAAGCCGGAACCTCCGGCTCGTCTGAGGAGAAGTCTTCTTCCAGCGGCGGGCCCACCATCCGCGACTCCCCAGCTCGTGCCATTGCTGGGTTCGACGGCAACCGCGATCCCGCTGATCTGAACGTTCCATACTCTGCAGGCGTCCAAGTCGATGTCCGTCGCCTTGCGGATGGCATCGGCTTCGGTGGCTGGTCTGCCACCCGTGGAGTAAGTGAAATCTTTCTTCTTTCTGAGTTCGTACAATGATTCCTCGCATCATGACTGTCTGTGTGTTCCTCCATGATGGACGTTGGCCTTGTTCCAATGGTCATAATTGCTTCGTTGTTTTGAAGTCTAGTCGTAACCTTCACCGAGTTGCTTCACCGCACTTCCAACTCTTATCTGGTCACGAGAGTGCCAGTTCCCAGCCAGCCCGCATCCTTGATACTGGTGCGCGAAGTGTTGAGTCCGGCTCGCTGGTGGATTTGAAGTGGCTGGTGCACTTCATGTCGCGCTGCCAATACTTGCGGGAGCTTCCCCTCTTCCATACCACAAGCAGACTCAACACAACAATAGCACCGCACCGCACAGCACACAGCACAACACAGAACAGCAAGAACAACACAACACCCAACTCAAACACTGAATAGCACATAACGGAGAAGCTCACTTTGCCCTCTCCATTGTTTTTATTATTCGTGTTCTCTATTGTGCTTCCAATTGTCACTTCACAATAACCCAGTCTTGTTCCAACACATAAACTCCACAAATCTCCACAAACCCTCGCAAACCTCCATCACGGACAAGACAGACTGCTTTCCAGATTTCTCAAAAATATTCGCCAACATGGATTACACGTCGTTTCGCCATTTCGATGTAAAGACTAACTTTGTGAAGTTCAATCTGCCCCAGAACCTTCCGCCGCGGCCGGCCCGCCCGAATCAGCAAGGCAGAGCTGTCAAGATCGGCCTCAACACGTTTCCTGTTGTGCAGATGCCAACGAAGCCTGTCTATCAGCACGATGTAAGTTCACAGGCAGCAGTCGTACCCTCAGCTTGCCCTCCATACTGACACCATCAGGTTAATATTGGCAACGGCGCTGAGAAGCGCGGTCTCATCAAGCGCGTTTGGAACTCCAAGGCCGTCAAGTCTGCTCTCGGTCCCGGTTGGATCTTCGATGGCAATCGCATCGCCTGGTCGCAAGAGAAGAAGTCTCTGAACATTGACGTCAACCTGGACGAGGAGACTGGTAGAGGATCGCGCGGTCGCAATGTTCACAAGATCACGATCCGCTTCACGAACGCTGTTCGTTTCGACTCTCTGCAAGGTTACCTTGCTGGCAGGGCTCCCTTCGACAATCCCTGCTTGGAAGCTATCTCGTTCCTCGACCACCTCATGCGTCAGACTCCCAGCCAGACGTACACTCAAATCAAGAAGTCATTCTTTGCTCGTGGCAACCAGCGGACTCTCCTCGGCAACGGTGTCGAGGCCTTCAAGGGTGTCTTCTCGTCCATCCGTGTCGTTCTGGGAGCTGAGGGTAAACCTGGCCTTAGCGTCAATGTCGATGTAGCTAATGGCACCTTCTACACCGAGTCCAAGCTTCACGATGCAGTGGTCAATTTCTGCAACAAGCGCGACCTTGCGGACTTTGCCGCGGAGTTTGCTAGACAGCGCCGAGAGAACCGCTGGCGTGGAGGTCCCCTCCAAACTTCTCTCAAGCGGCTCCTCAAGGTTGGCGTTCGGGTTGAATACCGCAACCAGAAGGGAGGCCCTCAGGACTTCATCATCAGCCGGTTTGTGGATAAGACTCCTAGCGAGGCCAAGTTCAAGATTGAAGAGCGCGATGAGAACGGCGACGTCACCAGCTCGCGCGAGACCAACGTCTTGGAATACTATAGGAACAAGTACGAGGTCATTCTCAACAACAACCTACCAGTGGTTGAGATGACTAAGAAGGTTCGCGGAAACCCTACCATCATCCCCATGGAGTTGTGCACTCTTCACGGCAACCAGCGCTACCCCTTTAAGCTTGATGAACGGCAGACTTCCGGCATGATCAAGTTCGCTGTCACGCTTCCCCAAGACCGCTGGAGCGCCATTGAGCACGGCCTCAATATGCTGAACTGGGAAAACGACCCTTTCCTGCGTAACTACGGCATGAATATCAGCAAGAAGATGACGGTCTCCAATGCGCGTCTCCTCCCAGCTCCCGATGTTCATTTCGACAAGTCTTCCGTCAAGAGCGCGATGGCTTCCTCCGGCCAGTGGAGGCTGGGCCCGCCCCAGGTTAGGTTCGCGCAGCCGAACAAGAAGCCGTTGAAGAGCTGGGGCATCTGCTTCATCAATGCCGGCCGCGGCTTAGCTGTCGACAAGACTACCGCCGAGACCTTCTCCAGCAAACTGGTCGAGATCTACAAAGCACACGGCGGCCAGATCGCTGCGCCGCCGACCCTGTTCGTCGGCAACTGGAATGAGGGCTCCAAGATGCTGCAGACCTTCTGGAACACTGTCGGCAACAAGGTCCAAGCCGAGCCCCAAATCTTCTTCTTCATCATTCCGGACAGAGACTCTTCGCGGTACTTGGCGCTGAAGAAGACCTGCGAGACCCAATTCGGCATTGTCAGCCAGGTTATGCAGGCGGCGCATGTGCAGAAGTGCCAGCCACAATACATCAGCAATGTCCTTATGAAGGTTAACGCTAAGCTTGGCGGCGTTACCGCCAGGGCCGTCGGAACTCTTGCCAAACTGAACCCCAAGTTCCTCGACCAGAAGAACATGATTATCGGCGCTGATGTCTCACATGCCGCTCCGGGCAGCCCGGCAGGCTCCATGGCCGCCTTCACCGTTTCCATGGATAAGACTCTCACCCGTTATGCCGGCCTGTGCGACACGAACGGCCATCGCGTCGAGATCATCTCAACGGCAAACGTGGAGTCCCTCTTAGGCGAGCTTTTCGGACCATGGATGCGTGAAGTCGGTGGAGGCGAAATGCCTCAGCGTATCATCTACATGCGCGATGGCGTTTCTGAGGGACAGTATCAGCACGTTCTTGATAACGAGGTTCGTGACATCAAGGCCTTGTGCAAACGCTTTAATCCGAAGGCCGACCCCAAGTTCGTGGTTGTCGTGGCCAGTAAGCGTCACCACATCCGTTTCTTCCCTCAGGAACCTTCTGCCAAGGATCAAAACGGTAACCCGAAGCCTGGTACGCTCGTCGAGTCGGGCGTCACTCATCCATTCGAATTCGACTACTATCTCTGCCCCCACAAGGCCATCAAGGGCACCGCTCGCCCTGTTCACTACCATGTCATTCTCAATGAGGCCAACATTGGTGCAGAAGAGCTCCAGCAGATGACCTTCGAGCACTCCTTCCAGTACATCCGCAGCACCACCTCGGTCAGCTTGCACCCTGCTGTGTACTACGCTCATCTCGCCTCCAACCGCGCCCGTGCTCATGAGCAGAAGCCCATTGTCTCCGATGGTAAGGGCAAGGGCAAGCTGGAGAAGTCCAGCGAAGCCGACACGATCAAGACTCCGACGGAGATCCCACCGCTCACGAAGATGTACCCCAACCGTGGTATCATGACCTCCATGTGGTACATCTAGGCTGCCACTGGATCGACGAACGTGCCCGGGCTTTTTCTGAGCGACCCTCCACCTACGCCACGGCTTCACCACTGCCGCACGACCTCCAGCGACCGCTGCCTCACACCCCTCTGTCTTTGAGCTACGACTTGCGTTGTGCGTGGCTACTCTGCTCTTCTTTTCTTCGTCTCTCTGCTGGCAAATAAACATCACGGTGCAAATCCAGCCGGCTCGACAACACACTCCCACTGCTGCACGATCCATGACAGCGGTCCTCTCCTGGCTTGAGGGCGGTGTTGTCTCTCCGGCTTTTCTTTTGTTTTATTTCCATTCTCGTTGCCTTCTCTGCTCGACTGCACACCTCGTCGGCGGTCCGACTCAAGCTTCTACGACGAGCTAGCCATACTGGATCGATGCCTTGAACGGCAAGCTTGCTGGAACACGGCTCGATACCCTTGGCTTAACTGCTTTCTTCTTCACGAAAAATACCCCGGATGGCGTGGATGGCTAGTATGGCGTGGGAGGAAATACATTCGATCTGGGACATGGGACTTTTTGCTTTTCATCTGGCTCTTTTCTTCTTTGCTTTTCTGATGCAAGCTGGTGGTAATATTCGGTGGAAAACTTGAGGCTTTTCCTCGTAGGTGGTCAATCTGCTAGGTAGCTAATCAAAAGTGGATTTCATGATCAAACTACGTCCTTCTCCCACCATCGATTTTGTGACTCTTGATGCGACTGATACAGGATAGAGCAGAAGGCGCTGAAGCGCCTGCACGCCTGACCACCAACGCGCTTACGAACACAGGCATCTTGTCCTAATGACAAGAGCTCCACCCTTCTGCGATTCATCACGACACCTTCATCCGAAGTGTACGCCGCATCCCAGTACCCTCCGCAGCGGGAATGCCCAGACGATCCGCCGGACAAACATGGAACGGCGGAGCTGACCGCTCCATACCTACCCGCAGACCACGGATCGATGACAGAACCTTAGGGAAGGTTGCCGCTCACTCATACGAGTTAGGTCACGAGGACGCGGAGGCTCTCTGCCTTGCTGAGGTCTTCGGGTCCATGGCACTGATTCTAGAACTGAGCAGAGAACCTCCGGCTTCACCATTTCGTGGAAGCTCCGCGGGAAAGAGAAAAACTAGCCTGGCGCTTCGAAGGTGCAACAGCAGTGTCGATGGAGGCGCCGGCGACGGCGGAGGCATATTCAGCCACGGGCGGGAGTCGGTGACGGATGCAGACATAGTAGCCTGAGACGTGCTGGCACACTCTGTCCGATAAAGAACAGGACAATGGTCAAGGTGCTTAGCTTCAGAGGACAGGGTTCATCAGAAATTCTTTTGGGAGAAGTATGATACAAAAGTGAAGCCTTCTTGCTTCTCTCATTTGAATGCTCGAAAGGCAAGCGGACGTGAACCTTCTGATATACGAAACAACAGTACTCCATTTACTCCTCTCTGGAGATAAAACCCATATCTGGGTTCAACCAGGCCGAAGGCGAGTGCCCAGGCGAGCTTCTCGCGCCACCCGCCGACCGTCGTTTTCGCCTACATGATCAACTCTACAATCCGCCATAGCCCAGGCTTGAAGGACAGCTCGCCGCCCGCTCAAGCCCCAGCGCCGACCAACAAATCTCCCTGAACGTCTCTCAGGGCTTGCTGCAACCAGCTCGGGAAGCCTCTGATGCTAGACACCCAGCTGTACCTTTCTGGGAGGATCAACTGCGCACTCTCGCCCTTGAGGACCTGGTCCACGACTGCGTCTGCAACAGTATTTGCGTTCAGCTTGAATCCGTCGATGGGCTTTCTGCGCAGCAACTCATCGACTGGCGGTGTGTGGATCCATGTGGGATGTACGACTCTGTTACCTCCCGTCAGTAGTAGACCTGGGGCATGAGGAGCAGAATAACGGGAACTTACGTCGTCCGCACCTTCTTCGCACCATACACATGTTTGAGCTCCTGCGCCAGCCCCTCGTGAAAAGCGAGGGCGGCAGCTTTGGTGCAAGCATAGTCGACATTTGACGCATGGGCCATGAAGCTCGCCAGGCTTGCGATCGTGACAATGTGGCCATGGTTCTGCTGCACCATATACGGCAAGAATTCTCGGATCAGCCAGAAATGGGCCATGATGTTGACGTCGAAGGTGCGTTTGATCTGCTCCTCCGTCTCGTTCAGCATGGGCTTGACGTGTCCGATTCCGGCATTGTTGATCAGGACGGTCGGCTCGCCGACTTCTTGACGGATTTGTTGCGCCGTTTCGCGGATGACGGAGGGGGAAGTCACGTCGGTTTTGTGGAAGAACGTGTTGGCCGGGAATGGAGTTTTCGGAGGGTTGAGATCGAGCGCGACGACTTTGATGCTGCTCTTCGCGAATTTGCGGACCATCAGCTCCCCTATACCGGAGCAGCCTCCTGTCACTACGACGATCTCCTTCTGCCAGTCCCAGGAACAATCGCGGGTGAAGTTGTTTAGGGCCCGCCTGCTCAGGAAGTTGTTCAGTCTGTAGAGTACGCCGATCGCGATCAGGATTTTGAGGGCTCGGTTGACAACAGAAAGCTCGATCGTGTTCCTGGACGCTTGGGAGAGCAGTTCCTTGATGCGTTGTGGCTCCCGGAAGCTCGCAAGTAGCAGAATTGAGGGAATGACTGGTTGAAAGAGTATGCCTCCTATCGGTCTCCACAATGCCTCGAGGGTGAGACCCTCTGAGGGTAGCTTGACGATGTTACTCATAATGAAGACTGTGCTCAAGGCATGAATACACGAAGCGTCTATTGCTCAATTTGCTGGAATAAGCCCGGACGGTATGTGGACCAAGGGTGTCATCACAGAAAAGAGTGCCAGACGGCACGTCGACTACCTCTCCGTCCAGAAGATGCCGCCGTCGTGGTTTTTAAAAGCGCGCGGTTCGGACGCGAATGTGTTGGAATACAGCACGTGACCAATCGCTCTGGCCGCCCTGGCTACTTCAGTTTACGCTCTTCCTTCTCCGTATCCAAATCGGGTGTTCACAGAGCAAATTCTTTGTTGTGTGTGAACCCATATAACAACCCACTAGCTCCGTACCGCTGGGTGACGGGGTGAGACCATTGGGAACTCGATGGAGGCGCACAGTAAACATGAGCGGAATGCCTCCGCAGGATGGCCAAAGGAGCCCCTCTCCCGATAGCGGTTGGCGGGTGACCACTTCCCGCGAGATGAGGAGCTTCCGAGTATTGTTGTCCTTTGCCTCAGTCCTACAACTATCCATGTTGTTGCCTTCATTTCAGCTAGAGAGAGCGGAGCATGCAGTTCCTTGGAGATTCGCGGCAGTAGCAAGCCCCCACCTTCGAGAGCTTAAATAGCCTTACTGCCATATATCTGGCTAGAAAACCACTAATTCCAGAGATACAGCTACACAGGCCTGCGTGTTATCTTCAATTGTAAGGGCGCAACCATGCACATGCAGCTTGTATTCTTAAGCGCTGTGGGGCTCCTTTTCGTCCGCCTACTGCTTTACATTTACCACCTGGCCACATCGCCACTCAAAGACATCCCTGGACCATTCCTAGCTAGGTTCACGAAATGGTGGTATTTCCACCGTGTCCTTCGAGGCCATTTCGAGCGGGACAACATAGCTCTACATCGAAGGCTGGGGCCAATCGTGCGTATTGCACCCGATCACTACAGCATCAATGATCCATCAGCAATCAAGACCATCTACGGTATCGGATCCAACTTTCCCAAGTCGGACTGGTACGAGGGCTGGAAACATCCTTCTCCAGATCGCTGGACGTTGTTCCCCGAGCGAAACATGAAAAGACATGCAGAGACGCGAAAGAGATTCCAAGCCATGTACTCAATGACATCGCTAGTCAGCTACGAGCCCTATGTGGACGACTGTGCCGATCTGTTCGAGACGCGGTTGCGGGAGTTCGCGCAGGCAAAACAAGAGCTGGACATTGCGCACTGGTTCCAGTGCTACGCGTTTGATGTGATCGGCCACATCACCTTTGGCGAACGGTTCGGCTTTCTGGACCATGGTGAGGATATCAACGGGGCGCTGGCAGCGCTCCAAAACACCATGGTGTACAGCACCCTGATTGGCATCTTTGCGAAATGGCATCCGGTTCTGTTTGGGCCGATGAGCCGTTTCAAATGGTCAGGGGCTGCAGGAAGGGCGTTCATCATGAAGTTCGTGCAGGGAATTATCAACCGTCGTAAGACGAAGGAACCGGAGGCAGGAAACATTACTCGCGATATCGCTGGCCCGCAGGACTTCCTCGGAAAGATGATGCAGGCGCATCGCGAGAATCCGGAAAAAGTCACTGACTACCACATCTTCATGATGGGGCAGTCGAACATCATCGCGGGATCGGATACAACGTCCATCAGCCTCAGTTCAATCCTCTATTACCTCGTGCACAACCCAGAGACTATGGGGAAACTTAGAGAAGAAATCGCACAGTTCGATGCTGAGGGCCGTTGCGATGCCAAGACGACGTTCAAACAAAGTCAAGAGATGCCGTACTTGCAGGCTGTGATTAAAGAAGCACTAAGAATGCACAGTGCCACAGGCCTGCCGCTATGGAGGGTCGTTCCGGAAGGTGGATGTGAGGTCTCTGGACGTTTCTTCCCAGCTGGGACTGTCATTGGTGTCAACACCTGGGTAGCTCACTACAACGAGAGTGTCTTCCCTGATGCAACCAAGTTCCAACCGGAACGTTGGCTTGATGCCCAGCGAGACCCGAAGAGATTCAAGGATATGGAGGTCTACTATATGCCGGTGCGTCGTCCATTCCTATGTCATTCATCGAAGTTAGGGACGCTAACAGTGTGCGCATAGTTCGGCCTGGGTTCAAGGACGTGTCTTGGCAAGCATATATCCATCTTGGAGATGTCAAAGCTGGTACCGCGGGTAGTGAGACAGTTTGAATTCCAGCCTGTCGGGCATGGGTGGGATACTCTAAACTATTGGTTTGTAAAGCCGACCAGTTTCAAGGTGCGCGTGAGGCTGCGGGGCACCGATAGCAGGACGGTGAGCTCAGATTGGATATAGGCAGATGGATTACACAGAGCTTTACAGTCAAAAAGTAAACTCTGACATGCTCGGTCTATAACTATACGTGACTAAACAACCGGGCTGTGAAGATGACCTGAAACGCTTTGCGGAATGCATTGCGTCAATCCGCTGCAGCGCTTCCCATCGATCCAAGACCACGGATGCCCGCGCAGACAGCTCCTCATGGCCCAGTCTCTTAACCTACTTCCCGGCATGCTTCCTAACCGCCTCCACTACCTCCCCCAAACCCCTAACCACAACCGTCGGCCTCCCCTTCTCCCCCTCCACCAACCGATCCTGCCAACCATTCCCCGCCCGATCCACCCATGCCGCCTGCATCCCCATAGCCCTCGCCCCACAAACATCAAACGGGTTCCCGCTCACCAACCACATCTCGCCCATTTCCTCCTTACTCTTACCCACAGTCCTCGCAAGGTGCTCGTACACCTCGGGCGCGGGCTTGAACTTCCGCACCTCCTCGACAACGACCAGGTGCTCGAAGACCTTGGCATGGGGCGCTAGATCCGGAGATTTGTTGACAGAGTTCGAGATCATGGATTTTGTGCCGTTGGAAAACACCACGGCGCGGATGCCCGGCGTCGAGGCGAGGTCTTGCAGCGCGGGGCCGACGTCGGGGAAGGTGGAGAGGGAGTCGTAGGCGGACATTAGGGCGTCAATATCGGGCTGTTCTAAAGATTCGCCGGCTTCCTTCAAGGCGTGATGGAGGGAGCGGAGGGTGAGGGTCGAGAAGGGCTCATATTGGTCTGGAGACGGGGGTTAGTGGGAACGTCAAGGTAGTGCTGGGGAATGGAAGGGAAAGTTACTCATGCTGTTGAGCCGCCATGTATACTCTAGCTGGTAGAGTCGCCATTTCGCTGCTATGGCCTGCGCTTTCTCTTGTCCGAAGTGCTCGGCTAGCTTCGCGGCGATGGACTCGGTGGAGAGGAGGGTGCCGTATGCGTCGAAGGCGACCACGATGTCTTTTGAAGCCATTGTTAGAATAGGGTACTGTGGGTTAGAGGACAGATGTACTTACAGAGTGGTCAAGCATTGTGATGGACGAACTGTCTAGTGTAGCTTGCGCCCCTCCTCCCGTCTTGACGTAGGTATCTCTCTGCCGAGACCCTTTCCTCCGCGACTCGCCAGCACCTCCACGGTGAGCATTCTGTATACTCTGTGTCAACTCCGCTTGTATAGGCAGCATGCAGACAATGGTGACGAGCATGCCACTCGAGGACTACTGATCCGCGAGAGCGGCGAGGATTGAAGGTTATTATCAGCAAAACCCGACGATACTCGTGAGTAGAGTCGATGATGTAAAGAGTGCCTCAGGCTTGCAATGCCTCTTGTAGCAATTCCGTCTCCATTTGCGCTATCCTACTGCATTCAGGCCTATCGCTTTCCCGTCTCTTCCTCATTAGAACGTTGTAGAACTGCGCCTTTCCGGAAGCAGCACAGATGATACCTCCAGGGGAACTGCCCAACTACGAGATCTTTCGCGACTGTCTCTCCGACGTCCTCATCCGCAAGCTCACCACCAGGCCAACAAAGCCAGCGCGCCGGCGCGCAGCTAAGGGGCGCAAGAACGCAATCAAACCGGTGAACGCTGCGGTATCTGAAGAAGAGCAGAGCGCCAGTGACGCGGAAGACCTAGGCGACTTCATTGACGTAGGCATCCCACCTCAATTCCAATACCACCAGTGGTAGCAGTAACAACGCTCAAAGCTCCATCTTAGTACCTATCCTCCGAAATATTCACCTCCCTCCCCCCAGAGCTCCGCCTCCTCTCCTACATCGCTGTGCAAAACGACGCCGCGCTCCGCGAGCGCTACACGGATTCCCTACCGACATCAACCCTTGAGACCCTCACCTCCACTCTGCCCCCGTCCGTTCCCGACTCCCTCCTCGCCTACAGCCTCCTCCCCGACGCCTCCTCCCTTCCCACCTTCCTCTCCATCCCCCTCTCCACCTACATAGCCGCCACAACCGCCCCACCGCCCGTCTGGTCCAACACGCGAGCCTCCGCCTGCGAGATCTGCGAGCGCGACTGGATACCCCTAACATATCACCACCTCATCCCAAAATCGGTGCACGAGCGGGTGCTGAAGCGGGGCTGGCACGACGAAAGCGTGCTGAACAGCGTGGCGTGGTTGTGCAGGGCGTGCCACAGCTTCGTGCATGGGATTGCGGGGAATGAGGAGTTGGCGAAAGATTGGTACACCGTGGAGCGGCTGAGGGAGAGGGAGGATGTGCAGAGGTGGGCCAAGTGGGTAGGGAGGGTGAGGTGGAAGACGAGATGATGGACCTCATGCGTGAGAGTTTATGGTGGGCATTACTACCATGGACGGGTCTCTGCAGACCACCGCCTAGACATTTCCACGTGGGTTTCGGAGAAAGCAGGACGCTGAGCGCGAGATGGAGTCGTGTTTAGCACACAAGAAGAATGAGCAGCCGTTCTCCCTGCAAGGATATATACTGCTGGGCTTGCAAGCCCCCTCACCTCCCATCGAAGGGCCTCCAGCATCTGTGGAAGCGTTCTGCGCAAACCCTATCCGCTGCGCGGCATAACTCCTATGATATGTCCCGTCTCAAAATTTTCCTCAATCTCCATTCGTGAAGGAGACCGAGGGGTAAGTCTCAACGTCCGCATCATTCTTCCCTCTATTTTCCCCTCCAGCTATCCATTGAGCCCAAAGGCGGATCATCAGAGTGAATATAGAGGGGTGTAGTTTTATGTACGGAGAGAAGAGGGTCGAGGGCTGCTGTGAAATTTGAGATGGAAAACCGGATGACTAAGCAGCCGGCACGCCTCGCTCGGAGGCGGTGAGTTGGGCAGCGCTAATGGCGGGGTCTGGGCGACAAAAGTGGCAGGCGGGCGCTTTGTCTGATATCTTCGGTGACTCTGCCAGCACACTCACATGCTGTCAAACGTAAAGTCCTCGATTCTGACTCAAGGAGCTCAAAGGACATAGTCAACCATCGACGATTTCCGATATTTTCGAAGACCGTTGCCGCAGCCACCGTTCAAGTTTAGGGACCGTCAAACAAAGCCCTCACCGTCAACATGTCCACACGAGGCCGCGCCGGTAAATTTGCAAAGCCAAAGCGAGGAGGTGAGCAGATGAATGCTCTTCAGGGCCTGTGCCATGCTAACGGACGACAGGTGGCAAGCACTTCAGCCGGAACCTCCAACCCATCAACGCCGATGGCGAGGTCATGAGCATCTGGGGAGTTAGTAGCCCTCCTTTACACAACGTCAACCCTGCAGTGCTAATGCACGCTCGCACTACAGGAGCCCCGTGACACCAAAGCCGAAGAATCGTCCTCCGAAGAAGAAGATTCGTCAGAAGAAGAAGATTCCGACGACGAAGACGGACCAACCCAACAAGCTCCCGAGACGCGCGAACAGCGCAAAGCAGCGGCCAAAGCCCGCAAAGAGGCCGCCATAGCGCGTCAAAAGGCCAAACCCGCCGCTCCAGGCGACCTCCCATCCTCAGAGGAAGAATCCTCAGACGAAGACGGCGACGAAGAAGAAGACCTCCCCTCAAACCCCAACCTCTCCTCCGCCTCCCGCGCCCAGGCCTCCGCGGCCATCGCCTCCGCTTCAAGCGCCGCGGCACCGCCCAAAGCCTCAAAGCCGAAGCCGCTGTCGCAGCTGTCGCGGCGCGAGCGTGAAGCGCTACAGGCGCAGCAGGCGAAGGAGCGATACCAGAAACTGCACGCGGAGGGCAAGACGGACGAGGCGCGGGCTGACCTCGAGAGGCTGAGGCTGGTGAAGGAGAGGAGGGAGGCGGAGGCTGCGAGGAAGAAGGCGGAGACGGAGGAGAAGGCGGAGCAGGAGAAGAGCAAGGCGGATCAGCTGGCGAGGGAGGAGAGGATGAGGCAGGCGGCGAGGGGCGGGAGTGCGAGGGGCGGAAAGAAGGGGGGCAAGAAGTAGTGTCTGGTGAGGTTGACGGATTTGGATGCATTCTAGATTCCTTAGGGCATAGCGTGGGCGAAGTATTATCACGAAAGCACGAGAGACGGACCGGTGCAGCTGGTGCAGCGGGTGCAGCGGGTGCAGCGGGTGCAGCGGGTGCAGAGCTTTCTTTCATCAAACAAACGGTCTGGATGACCACTCGGACCGTTGTTCTGCTTTGAACGCTAAATGTTTCGTGAACGGGTTATCAAGACATCAAGCCGAAGCGGTCACGTGGCGGGGGTCAAGGACGGGGATTTCGGTCTGCGAGCAGTAATCACTCCGACTGGCCCGCAAAGCGAGACAGGCCAGGGACCTGCCTCCCTTCTCGGCGACGAGCGAGATCTTCGTGCCCTTGCATAAGCACGGGAATGTAAAACTTAATTCCTGGAAGCTGCAGGCTTGGACGAAAGCGAACAGAACGGCGCGTTTCATGGACGTTGCACCGTTTGAGCCATGCTGCTTGAGGTCTGATGTTTCTGCCGTCTCTCGTGCGAGCTGTCACACCAGGGCACCGCATCTGCCCAGCTCGCGCTTTCTTTGACAGCCTGTGTCGCTAGCCGGACGTGTCAGCAGCTGGCACGCGTCTTATGCACACTTGCGTCCGTACAAGCACTCAAGCTGATAGCGACCATCAAGCCTTTGAGCCAAGCCCACACCCCAGCGTCAGCATTGCTTTAGCCGTGCAGTTGATCTGCATGCTCCTTTCTGCTGCATCTCAAAACACATCCGCGCAGAGAACCGTGCACCGTCAACGGCCAACCCGTCCGCCATATCCGCTCGGATCGGTCGTTGTTGCAGACCCCTGAACCGCGAACCACCCGAGGCCCCCCAGTTCACCGTTGCACACAGCTGTTCATCTAGTTATCCCCCGCTGCACACAGCTGTTCGTCTACTCCGTATCCCCCGCAAACCGACAAAGGCGAGCGCAAAGACCTCCGCCGCGCCTTTCCTCCCAAGCATTGCCATGCGCTCGGCCGCTTGACAACCAATCTGCCATCCTTGTTCAACGGTGCTTGGCCGGACAGGACGCGCAGTCCAGGAGAGCCAGCACAGCCAGCACAGCCAGCACAGCGCCCACAAGCGATATCTGCAACAGACCGTAATTGCGCCGTCCAATCCCCCTACGACGTCTGCAGCCGATTACCGAACCAGGCACAGCAGAGCAGGAACAACAGACGAGAGCTGTCATTGCCTTGGCTGCGGCCCCAAGACTTGACATGCCGCAGTATGGACGGCAGCCCGCAGAGACCGGCAACCCAGCGCTCGGCGTCCGCACCGATGGCTGCGCACAGAACTTCAAGAGGTGCTATGCGCGATGCGTCGCCGCCGCGAACACCAGGGATAGGACCATCGAGGGCTCAGAAGGGCAAGACGTCGCTGCGCACGCTTGACACCCAGCGCGCGCCGGCAGCGCAAGAGACCTTCTTAGACGATAGCACCCCAGTGGCTGGCCCAAGGTGGGAAGGGAGAGACCGGTACCGGGCCAGAGACTCCCACGACCTGTCCTTCAGCAATAATACCAGATACTCGATAGTGGACAACATGCTCATGTCGCTGGGCTCGCTACCGAACGGCAGCGCGTCATACTCCGACCAGTTCGCGCATTACAAGAAGTTCGAAGACTACGACTTCTCCAATTCGAGTCCCACCTTCGCACCTCAGCACGCCGATCGATTCCCCGGCTATACATCCTCCCCTCTCCACACGGAATACGATCAGCCGATGGGGAATACTTCCAGCCGGTATTCAAGGCAGCGCTCCCCTCGAGGCCGCAGAAGCAACAGTAGCTCTGAATTCCGCGCTGGTCGCAGCAGGTTGGATAGCGGAAGCTCCAATGGCTACAATACTGTGAATGGGGCGACAGAAAATTCGAGGAGAGGGACAATAGCCGATCATAGCGCATTAGGGCACGCTCGTGGGGGAGCAAAAAGGGGGAGCAAGAGCAGCGGATCGTCAAGCGTGGATTTTGCATACAGCCAGGTAATCGGGCCGAGTCGCCTTGGGAATCGGTCGGCGAGCTTCGACCAGAGCTACGTAGAAAGGGCGCCGCGAAGTCCGCCCCAAAGGATGTTGTCACACTCTGTGCTGGATCGGGGACGGCCAAAAGTGGACGCCTACCGAGAGCTCGATGACTTTTACAACGCGGCGCCACAGCCAACAGTGCCTACCGGGGCACGACGGCCTCAAGAACCGCCGACCTCACCTCCAGCTTTCTCATCTCAACCGATATACGGTCCACTGGAAGCACCAGCGCCTCTGCCCAGGACGAGTAGTAAACCAGTCACAAGCAATGGCTCCCGCAATCCACCATCAAGGGCCCCAGAGCCCCTCAACATTCAAACAGCTGACACTGTCAACACCACCTATTCCCGAACTCTACCTATTCCCACATTTACAGACCCACCGGCCCCAAGCCCGACCGTAGCCACGCGCAAACCTTCTGCTCCGAACCCACCGAGTACAAGCACACCCAAAGAGCGTCCGGGCTTCTTCAAGCGGATGTTCGGATCCTCCAAATCCCAACCGTCTGGGTACTCTGAAAGTGCTCAGCACACCCCCCATATTAAATCCCTCGACACATCGCTATCCGACAATACCATCACATCCAGATCGCATGTCAACCAAACCCAATCCTCTCAGCAAAAGGCGCTATCAAAAGCCGCGTCTAAGGAAGCGACAAGCGTGTCGCAAGAACAGCCGCAAGCGGAGCCCGTCCGTCTGAAGAAGAAGCAGTCTTTCTTCAGGCGACGGAAGCTGTCGGTTGCAAGCCAGATCCCACCACCCGTCCTTCCACTGCCCCTACAGCTTGCAAAGCCTGCGCAAACGATGCCTATACTGCCCAGCCCTTCGCGAAGCAGTTTGTTCAAAGTGATGAATCCGTATCTGAGCGAATCCAAGAGCCCGGTAAGCCCGGCGGAAGCGTACTTTGATAGCCGGGAACACCAACCAAACACTGAGGACGAGGAAAACGAGCAACAACCGCACGGTTTCTCGCCGGGATATGCTCCACATAAGGATGCAGCCGTTCGTGCTGTCAAACCGGGCTCACGCGATACTGACAGGAGCGTGCCGTCGATCCGGGATGATGCGGTCAAAACATCGCACTCGCCTGTCTCGGACTCGCCGAAACTCAAGCTGAAGATGAAAACGAGTCGCACTTCTCGACTTCAACCACAAGATCAAACGTTTCTTGCTGACAGCAGCGGTAATGAAGATAGAGAGGGAGAGCTTCAGTCTCAAGGTGTGAGCAGTCCAAGTTCCGGATGCCCCGAGGAAGCGAGCAAATCGCAGCTCAGCCCAGCATCACCCACCTTCCAATCGCAGCAGCAACCACAATCCCTCAACTTCACGCCGCACCGAAAGACGGATGTTGGTGAAAAGCGGACTGGATTGCAAAGCCCAGAGCCTCTCGAGTTCAACAACTCACTACCTGCGGAGCTTGAAGAAGACGAATGGGTAATCACGACGCCGACACGGAAGGAGCCATCGACAACAGCCACTTCGGGCAAGTACACTCGCGTCTGGCTCGCGCCTACCTCATCGGAGGAGAAGCTCCGCGAATTCTCCTACCTCTCCATACCAAGTGAGAGTGCGACAACCTCAGACAAGCCCTCCCCTGCAAGCGAGAATCCATCGCCCAGCATAACGAACGACGCCTTCCAGTCGGTAACCAGCTTGCCGGCCGTACACATCCACGGTGACGGCGATCCCGACCATGCCGGCGATGATGAGGTCACAATGGCCGCTGCTAACAGGGACGAGCCGACCGACGAGGACCGCACCACGGCGCTGAAGATATATCACGGGGAGGAGGACTTCGTCAGCAAAGCGCGGGCAGCAGCTTGGCTGGGCGAGACTACAGCGCGGAGCGCCCGAACACGGAAGGCCTACATGGAGCTTTACGATTGGGCTGGACTCAATCTTCTCTATTGTATGCGGGACCTCTGCGGCAAGCTGGTCTTGAAGGCGGAGACGCAGCAGGTGGACCGGGTGCTTGACGCATTCTCGAGCAGGTGGTGCGAATGTAATCCTAATCATGGGTTCAAGGCGACCGGTATGTGCCCTCTCAAGCCTTGCTCATACACTAGACGCTGACAAACTCTCGTCGTAGATGTTGTACATACCATCTGCTACTCGATCCTCCTGCTCAACACCGACTTGCATCTCGCGGACATCGAGCAAAAGATGACCCGCAGTCAGTTCGTCAAGAACACACTGCCTACCATCCGCAGAATAGCGATAGATGCAGCTCCTGAGGCGACGGATGAGACAGTCCGAGCGCAAGGCACCAACCCTCGGGGCGCAATGCCTTGGACCGAGCCAACGTCTCCCGGCCTGGAATCTCCCACAATCGAAGAGCGACCCTCACTAGATGTCAAAAGATCAAGGAACCGGCTGTCAATGCGGCCACTACGCACCGACTCTGATGGAGCATCACCGGGACCCGACGGCACTCCAGCAGACAGCTGCAACGTGCTCATCAAAGCGCCTTTTGAGGGCTCCCTGCGAAGCTGGGAATTCCAAATCGAGATCGTGCTCAAGGAGTTCTACAACTCGATCCGGCAGCAACGCTTGCCACTGCACGGTGCAAGACCCGAGCTCCTACCCGAGCCATCGAGCAGCAACCTCTCCGTGCTCGCAGGTTCGATGCTCCGCCGCACGCCTTCCGTGCTCAGCAAAGCGCCTTCCGAGAACCCCAGCTACCGCGGACGAGCCGGCGACTTCCGCAGCGCGACGTCCCGCTTCAACTCCAAAGGACGCTCGAAAGCCAAAGCATACCCCGCCTCCACCATCGGCTCCAGCCGCACCAGTCTCGAAGAAGCTTCAGTCTGGAGTCCCGCGGGCAGCAGCACCTGGAGCAAGTTCTCACTCGGCAAGACCCAACCCTCCATGTCGATGGAGTCACTCGGCTCCTTCTCCCACAAGGGCGACTACCAGCCCTCCTCGATCGGCTTCGCCAACGCGTTGAGCCAGGCCATCATCCGCGAGGAGGGCACCACCGCCCCGGGCAGCCTCTCCGAAGAACCTCTCCGCGCAGCCCCGCTCCTCGAAGACGAAACCCTCGAGCTGGCCGGCTCGCCATGGGCAAAGGAAGCGATACTCAAACACAAAATCCATGGCGACAAGAAACTCAAGGATCGCGGCTGGCACGACTGTTTCGCGGTGATCGAGAAGGGACATATGCGCCTCTTCACCTTCAGCACCTCGACCAAGTCCGCGCGGCTCAAAGCCAAAGCCCGCAACGCGCCCGGCGGCATCGTGGGCGGCGGGAACTGGACCGACAGCGCCGAGGAGCTTGCGGCGTTTTGCCTGCGCCAGACGCTCGCGAGCACGCTGCCGCCGCCCGGCTACTCGAAGGCGCGGCCGCACGTCTGGGCGCTGAGTTTGCCGACTGGAGCCGTGCATCTGTTTGAGGTCGGCACGGAGGATATAGTGCGCGAGTTTGTGGACACGGCGAATTACTGGGCGGCCCGCTTGAGCAAGGAGCCGCTTGTGGGCGGGGTCAGCAATATCGAGTACGGCTGGAGCGACGCCATCGTTGGGCCTGTGGTGCAGAGGCGGCAGGATAGTGCGCCTGAGGGAAGGGCGCCGGCGAGTAGCGAGGCGATGTCGGTCAGGAGCGCGGAGTCGCTGGAGCAGGCTACAGGCTTGGCATCTGCGAGATCCAGACTGCCGGGGGATAGGGCGACGCTCAGCGACTGGAAACAGCCGGCGAACAGCATGATGCCGAGTAACTTGATGGAGGTGGACCAGCTGAAGGCACTGCGCGCGTATGTCAAGAATGTGGAGGAGGAGCTGGAGAGGCACAATGAGCTTAGGGGCCCGATGACGGTTGCGGTATGTTTTCCTGTCCTTTCCTTTTCCCCGCCATTCATTCCTCTTTTCCACATCTGTTTCCTGGTTCCGGGCGCTCTTTCAACTTTTCAAATCTCATTCCTCTCATCACCCACCCCACCGCGCACCTCTTCTCTCACCTTTCCACCTTTCCACCCTCCTATCCACTTCCGACACCACTCTAACACACACGCGCAGTTCTCCCCCCGCCACCCCAACGCCGCGAAAGCGATGGCCAACTGGGAAGAAAAGTCCTCGTACCTGCTTCGCGAAATCATCAAGTTCAGCACCTACATCGACGCGCTGACGGGCGCCCAGGCGCTCAAGGAGAAGATCCATGCGGAGCGAGAGGCTGCCGAGATGGCGAAGACGGCGAAAGAGAAGGAGAAGGAGGTGCTGGAGGCGAATGAGATAGGGCCACGAGAAAGAGATGACGAAGAGAAAGGCATGTTGGACGTGCCTGTCCGAGAGGCGGACGGCGCGCTGGATGCCTGAACGCGCTGCTGGCCTTCTGGGAAGCCTCTTGAGTGTTTGTGTGAGGCGGAGTTGCTGGCACTGAGGGAGCTTGTCGGAGTTCCGGGACGGGAGAAGGACTATTTGTAATACCACATTGTACCCGCGGTGGCTCGCTTGAGCTTTTCCGACTTCTGGACTCGGCATTTGGGGGGCGCGGCATGTTTCGTGTATCCTTGTGGAAGCTCTTTTTTTGCGCGCTAGCTGCGCTGGCTAGGCTTCGCCAAAAAAGAGGGGGTTTGTACCATTATTTTCTTCAGCTGCTTTGGCTGTTTGTGATACCATGGGAGGCTAAGTTAGGGCTTTGTTTCATTCAGCTTCCGGGGAAGGGACTTTGTTGCGAGGGCGGTGAAATGCAACGGCTAGGACTAATTCAAAATTCATGCCGTGAGTTGTAGTTTTCTGTCACAGGAATTGTGACCCCCCCAATGGCGTCCCGAACCTCTGGGCATCCTAGTGCTACACACGCTACTTGACAGATTAAAGTACGACTGGTGAATGCGTGTCTGATTCATCGTTTTTCCACGAGGCGAAGGCTGCTTTGACGTTGGAAGTGAGGACGTGTGTGCTTGGAAAGAAGGAGAAATGGCAGGTAAAGGGGCGAAGCGCTCAAAGGGTTAGGGGCAAGGTGCGAGGCGAGAGTAAGAAGGGTAACGGAACCAAGGCTTCCCGATAGCACAATGTCACTTCTTTGCGTGGGCTTGCTGGAAGATCACATCTCAGAGAGGTGTTGATGGTACGCAGAATGGTAGCAAGAAGGCAGATGTTTGATGTTGATGTGAATTTCACTTTTGAACTAGTTAAGCCCCATTTCCGACTCAATCAACCCAAGAAGAATGGGGAGAGCAAAACCCTGGGATAGATTTCCGTAGATCCTGTTGCAAGGATGCCCGATACCTCAACCGAAGAGAAATTGGGAAGCCAAAACCCTCGAAGAGGTCACCATAGATGTTGTCGAGAGGATGCCCAATATCCCTCTTACCAGCCGCCGAGTAAGTAAGAGAGAGGATGCCGAAGCAGAAAGCAGGGCCCCTCGCTCAACCGAAGCAGTGCTCCTCAGCCACTGAAGCACCTATAGCTCGAGATCTGGTTGTCGAGGCGTTCCAGGTGCTGAAAGCTGAACAGGCCGGGCGTATAGGCGAAGATCGACTTGCCTGGGTCGGTGCATTTTTCGTGTCTAAGAAAGCGTCAGCGCGCCTATTGCTTCAAGCGGTACTTAAACGACGGCACGTTGACAGTCCAGACCATATGACGAGGCTGTGGAAGCTGATCTAGGAAGGTGACGGGCGGCGCCGGAGGAGGGGCAGAGGAAAACACGTGTTGGATAGACTTACTGGAATAGCTGACACCAAGCCCTGCCGGTGGGTCCAGAGATGCCAAAGCTCGAGATTTTGTCGTTGAGCTGTGCTGGGACGCTCTGGCATACGCCTGGCGCCCCGCATTTGGGCTGCCACTCCCCAGTGTATCCCGCATTGGTCCACGGGAACACAGAGATCCAGTCGGCGCCGCAGCCTGGTGGCATCGCTGCCGCCATCGCCTCCGCCATCGCCGCGGATGGGCCGTTAGAGACCGCGACGGTTGGAGCGGGCAAGCCGAAGACGGAGAGTGGAAAGCCCGAAGCGAAGAGCAGAAGGATGATGATGAAGGCGAACATGTTGTGTTGTATGTTGGAGCGGTTCGATGTTGTAAATTCAGCTTCAGAGATGAGTGAGGGCTGGACCCGGTTAAAGATGAAATGAGTCGAAAGGCCGTGATCAGAAGTTGACTGAAGTGATGCAAAGGTGTAAGCTGCTCCTCCAGAGTGGTTACTAGAGTAGGTGTTGCTTTGCCCGGTGTCGATACTTGAGGTGAGTGATAGAAAGGTGGAGGATGGAGGATGTAGGAACGAAGAACTCGAGGGGGCAGCGGTATTTAAGAACCCAAGATTCGGCCAGGCAGCGTGCACGAGGACGCTAAGCGGTGAGTAAAGTATGTGAAGTTCCGATGATATCCGTTAGCATGAGACCCGCGATGTCGTGACTGTGTAAGGGTACGGCTCTGCGTAAGGGTGAAGGGTGACTGCAGCGCACGCTTATCCCCGGCACATAAAGAGTCTTAGTGAAGACCGCTCGAGAAGGAGACATGAAGAGTTTTCTCAGAAGAGAATCTTTAGCAGCTAGCTGGAAGGGCAAAATTGTGACTTGGTGTGGGCCTCGCAATACGTGATGGTCGCAGGCCAGAGCATCGGCTCATAGACTCGCCCAGTTAGGCCGGTGACTCATGCTTTCGCACGTAGCTAGATGCGATGACAGCCGAATATGGTGCTCGTCCCATAGCAAAGAGCAGTCAGATGTGAATGGAATGTTTCGGACAACATTACAGTGGTCTCAGCAACTGGCTTCGCATTTGACTGATGAGCACGCGGCACTTGAGAAGAATGAATGTTTGAATAGTTCACTGCGCGTGCACAGGCTACAAACCAAGATTGAGGAGTGTACCTCTGAGAAGAAACGGTCTCAGTGCTTCAGCGGATTATAATGCCATGCGAAGACGACGACAAGTCTGAACAACGACCCTCAGGGCAGCAAGAGAGCAACCGTCTAATGGACTGCCTTGAGATTCACGCGTTCTTGCTGGATTAAGCTATCGAGACTATGGAAAGCTTGGAGAATGTACACAATTGCTGACATGGGTAATGTGCGGGAGCTACGGGAAGATCCTGCTGGGACTGAGGCGTGGGAGTTCGGCCTAGGGCTATACTAAAACGGATGAATGCACATCAGCGAGGTTCGGTCTTGGGGCAACATTGACAGGAGAGTATGGGTACTAAGACGATATGAATTGAACGAGCGAGCCTCGATGAGCAAGTGTTCCAGCGGTTCCACGGTAGTTGACCACAGTGGAACGGGGACAAGAGTAAGAGATCTCCTCTCCTAAACGGATAGATTGATGGTAGTAGACCCCATTTATACGGAGAACCATAATACTCACGTCCGGTTCGAGACTATGAGCTTGCGATAGTGCCCCAGAAACGATAACCGGCCTTTTAGAGACCACAATGCTTGCTGTCAAATGCGAGATTTCGAGTCGAACTGGCTATCAGCCCAGCACTCCACGCCATTCTACTAGCAGCGGCCATCAAGCCTCCTCGTTGATGGTGAGAGTTAGCGAAAGATCACGGTGGTGAAGCTTGGCGGCGGTCTGCGATGCGGGAAACCCGCCGCCGAAGTCGCCGATGAACGGCGCGCACAAGCCACAGATTTAGCGCGGGGCGGGAATGAACCCTTGGATGACTTTTTTCGAGCGCAACATTTCAGACTCATACGTTTGCCATTGCACTCAAATATCTCCTCATATCACCTCTTAAAACTCTCTCAAGCAATACCCGAAGCTCGCCGCCATCATGAACGGCCACACTGAGCATACATATGCCCTCCCCCAGTCCCACAGGGAGCTGATGGAGCGGCCTCTGGAGGAGGCTGACCCAGAAGTGTACGAGACGATTGTGCGACCACCTCCCCCTCCGTATGCCCATTGCCATACTAACCCTATCCCAGCAAAAAGAAATCAAGCGCCAGCGCGAGTCCATCCTCCTCATCGCCTCCGAAAATGTCACCTCCAAAGCCGTGCTGCAAGCTCTCGGCACGCCCATGTCGAACAAGTACTCCGAGGGCTACCCCGGCGCGCGCTACTACGGCGGCAACGAGCACATCGACACCATTGAGCTCGAGTGCCAGAAGCGGGCGCTTCAGACCTTCGGGCTGGACCCGGAGAAGTGGGGCGTCAATGTGCAGTGCCTCAGCGGCAGCCCTGCGAATTTGCAGGTATACCAGGCTATCATGAGGCCGCATGACAGGCTCATGGGTTTGGATCTGCCGCATGGTGGGCATTTGAGCCATGGGTACCAGACACCACAGAAGAAGTACGTCAGAGGACCATCCACAACAAAGCTTGTTGGCTCTACCCCAAAAGTCTCCCTGCTAACGCCCTCTCCACAAAGAATCTCCGCCGTATCCACCTACTTCGAAACCTTCCCCTACCGTGTAAACCTCGAGACCGGCCTCATCGACTACGATCGCCTCGAAGAGAACGCCCTTATGTACCGGCCCAAAGTAATTGTCGCGGGCACCTCCGCCTACTGCCGCACAATCGACTACGCGCGGATGCGCAAGATCGCCGACGCCGTAGGCTGCTACCTGGTGGTCGACATGGCGCACATCAGCGGGCTGATCGCCGGCGGCGTGAACGAATCACCCTTCCCACACGCCGACATCGTGACCACAACCACCCACAAATCCCTCCGCGGGCCCAGAGGCGCCATGATATTCTTCCGCAAAGGCGTCAGGAAGACCGATCCCAAGACCGGAAAGGAGACACTCTACGACCTCGAAGGCCCGATCAACTTCTCCGTCTTCCCCGGCCACCAAGGCGGCCCGCACAACCACACCATCACCGCTCTCGCCGTCGCGCTGAAGCAGGCCCAGACGGAGGACTTCAAGCTGTACCAGCAGCAAGTGATCAAGAACGCCAAGGCGCTGGAGCACGAGTTCAAGTCGCTGGGCTACAAGCTCGTGACCGACGGCACGGACAACCACATGGTGCTGCTGGACCTCAAGCCGATCCAGCTGGACGGTGCGAGGGTGGAGGGTGTGCTCGAGCAGGTCAACATCGCGTGCAACAAGAACACCACGCCGGGGGATAAGAGCGCGTTGACGCCGATGGGCATCAGGATTGGGGCGCCGGCGATGACGAGCAGGGGCCTGGGAGAGGAGGACTTCAAGCGCGTGGCGAGGTATATCGATCAGTGCATCCGGTTGACCAAGGAGATCCAGGCGGGGCTGCCGAAGGAGGCGAATAAGCTTAAGGACTTCAAGGCTAAGATTGCGAGTGGGGAGATTGAGCAGATCAATGAACTCAAGAAGGAGATCTCGGCGTGGGCGGGGACGTTCCCGCTGCCGTGCTAGATGGTGCGAGTCGAGCTTCTTTCTCTCTAGTGTCCTCGTACCGGCGTATCGATCTGGGGGGCAACAAAAGCGTGGCCTGGTTCAACAACGAAGAGAGGTGGTTGGAGTCTGGTTCTCTCGTATGAGCAGGGGTCGAAAACGGCAGTGTGATTGGTACTGTTCATAGATTCGTCGAGCTGCTTAACCAGCAATTGCATCTTTCTTACTACACGATTCCTGCTAGGTTCGCCGATACAAGTTGTCACGTTGTACATGTTCTCATCCTAGTGGACCTCATCATTACGACTAGCCGCACACAAAGTTCTTCGCCACACCTTACCCAGCGGTTATACCAGGGCTCAAACCGAGCACCCACCCTACCCCCTCTCCACCCCCCTGAATCTCCTCGTCCGCAGCGGTGCCGCTCCTGCACCTCGGCCGCCGGGTCCAATCTCCTGCAGCCACGGCTGCTTCCCGGTACTTCCCTCAACCTCGCCGCCAGCGTCCAGGTCCCCCTCCCTAGAATTCCGCCACGCCACTTCCTCCATGTACGCCCAACCAGGCGCGGTGTCTGTTCCTTTAACGAGCACCGTCTTCGCCGGATCTAAGCTCGCGAGCGTAGCTGCTGGAACAGGCGTCAGGACATGAAACGTCTTATTTACGGTATCAATGCCACGGATCAGGGCTTGCCCGATGGTGTGGGAGATCATCGGGTCCAGGGACGGGACGAAGCCGGCCGCGCTGGGGCAGACGTATGGAATGTCGCTGTTCTGCGCACGAGCAATCGTAAGCTGTAGCGGCGGGGGTGGGGATGCGTCATCGGGCCAGTTGGTGGCGACTTCACCGTCGTAGGTCTTGACGATGGAGACTAGAGAGCCGTCGAGGAGGGTGGAGAGGTAGTCGGCGCCGGGCCAGTCGCCGTAGCACGCGACGCCTAGGATGGCGGAGTTGCGTTCGCCGTAGCCGACGACGTAGGGTTTCTTATGGGTTAGGGGAGAGCTGTCCCAATGGAGGTGGCCGGCGCGGATGGAGCCCTGGTGGAAGTAGGATAGTGTTTGCATGTCGCGGAGCTCAGCGGCTGAGCGAGGGGCCACAGCACATGATTGCTGGGAGGGGAGAAGCCGGATCGGTTTGGTGCCAGCAGCTTGCGTGAGCGCCTGTATGATCTGAGGCTTCTCGTCATCTTTTGTGTAGCATATTTCAGTAACGTCGAGTTTTTTAATCAGCTGGACGAGAATGTCGCCGCCTGTTCCAACGACCCAGCCGGGCGTATTGATGACCAGCGGACTCCAGGGAAGTGAATGGTCGAACTCGGTCATCAGATCAATGGCGCAGCGAAGGAAGTGATCTGGATCCTCCTTCGGGCTCGTGGATCCTAAAGCATGCGCTCGCGCCGTGCGAACCGAACTTGTGATATCTGTGATGGGATGGCTGAATGGCGGCCCGAAGTTGGGCTGCTGCAGGACCACAAGAGACAACTGGCCTGGCGGCGAGTACTCGGGCTGACCTGGGTCGAGATCGAGTAGGAAAACCCTGTCAATGAGTCCATTGGGTGAGGCATTGGCAGTCAAAAGGCGATTGACCATCAACCTTGCTAAAGTGGACTTTCCTGTACCTTTCGGACCGCACACCATGACTCTCGGAGGTTTAACGCCGGGCGCAGGCGTTAGAGCGGTGATGGCTTGGTGCCACTTCCAGGGCACCTCGAGAGGAGAGAGCTGTCTCTTGAAGCCGTCGTCTGAGACCATGTGGATCTGTTAGTGTCAGCATTGAGTCTAATTGCACGGCCATGCGGACATATATCCATCGATCAGGATGAGACAAAGCAAGGCTGACTCAGAAATATTACAGTCCACATTCTTGAGTGATATGCGGTGTCCGCTCTACAACTGTCCTTGTGTTACGAGTGTGAATGGTCTGTGTGAGCGTTTGCCAGCCTTCTTGAGTAAATTAAGGGCCTCAAGTACAGGGCCGTCCAAGCTAGGATGTTTCTTGAGAGGCCTTCGGGAGCTTTCCAAGGGGGGTACGGCGCTGGCTTCTACGAGCCAGCCCCGACGAGTTCTACAAGGACAGGAACGATCTGAGAGAGAAATTGGAGCTGGCCGGGGACCTGTGCCCAGCCTCAGCTAAGATACAAGAGAATGAACTTACCAAAGAAAAGCTTTTAGGTTCTTGATTGGTGCTCAGAGCGGACTCAATATCCGTTGGCCCGGTAGCATTCCATATACGACCAAACAGAGGAGATAACTGCGCGAAGGACTGGATTCCAGAGTCGCAGCTGGAGAGCTCGACAACCGTCGACATATTGGCTTGACGAACGCACTCGATGATAGGAAGCGCATGCGTTGAAGGAGCGAACACTCTGTACGAGTTTTTGCTCGCGCGCAATACCGCACCATACAGCAACACAACGCCTGACACGACCCAAAGGTCATAATGCCCGATAATGGCCAGAGTCTCGCCTGGTTCCATACGGATCCTGAGGCGTCCCTTTTTGGCCTTTAGGACATTGCTGGAGGTTGGCTGCCAGGTTGATAAAGGATAGTTGCTGTGCAAGTTCGCAGACTTGAGCAAATGGCTGTCCTCACTCTCGTCCTCACTTTCGGGCTCCGACTCATACTCAGCAGCCGATTGATACACGGCCGCCTTGAAGCTGGGATCCGGACTTGGCGATGCTGCGTGCTGAGGTATCCTTCCATTATGGGCAGGATAACCTTGACTTGACGGAGTGCTCTCTTTTGCATTGATGCTAGCGGAGCGGCTGCCAGCTTTTGACGGTTCCTTGCTCGTAGGTCCGCTGACGCTGGGACTGGAAGGTTGCGACTGCTGCTGGCGGCGAGCGCGGGCTGCTGCAACGGCGCTCAGTTGGGCTGGAAGATGGTATTAGAGCTCTTGCCGGTGATGTTCTATCCATTACGACCACTGCCTACGTGAAGAACTTCCCGAGGTATCAAGTTTCCTCCTCTTCTTGGGCAACATGACTGATTCAAGAAATCCGATATCGACGACAATTGATGCAAGAGGTTTTCGAGCCTGGAATCTTGGCGCCGTAGCTTCCGCCGAGCCTCAAAAGGGGACGGCATCGAATGCGCTTGTCGTTCCGCGTTGACGCGCTCTCAGGACATCGCTTTCTTTACGCTCGTTCAATTATCGACTAGGCACCTCAATCTCATGAGGCTGTGAGATACCATGGCGCCAAAGAACAGGGAAGGCGATGTTGTTGCTTCGGTCAGTGTCAACAAAGTCAGGAATCACTTTACGCTAACCTTGACATACAGTTCTCAGGGAAATGGATATCGTACGCGCATACAGCCGCAGCATACGGTAAGCTCGAGAGACTCCGACCTTTTAGGCCGAGTGCTGATTCCAATAGCGGCCTTTTTGAGTGCGTTTATAGTCGGATGGTCAGCTTCTCCCCTCACCAGCAAACTCGCCCGATAGCTCATAGGTCACAGTGGGTTGCATTACCGTAAGATTGTTCAAAATGAGCACTTCGTACGTTCACAGAGCCTGCGTATCGTTTGCTTGATGCTGACGGCCTCTCAGGGATACCCACAAGAATGGTTCCCCTCAGTGTCCGCAACCATCGGCGACCGATATCCCGAACGCTCGTTCTTCCAGGTCTTCATCGCCATAACCTCCGGTATGACATCCGAGCAAGCAGTTGGGCATAAGTACTGAGTGCTTGGTTAGGTCCAAGATTCGCGCTGGTGGCCTTGTGGTATTGCATGACGGCAAAGCGCGACTCCGCCTTACCCAAGTTTGTGGCAGGCACTGGTATCTTCCGCACCCTGACATGCGGTGGTTGGACGTACGTTACCTCGACCGATGATCACAACTGGCATGACATCTTCATGATCTCCTACCTCATCGCCACTGTGCCCTGGACGCTTGGGTGCCTCGCCTTGAGCCCACGCAACCCAACAGCCGTGAAGTATCGAAAGATACTTGCGGGAGCGTTTTTCGGCACACTTGTACCATTGATGTACTTCTTCTTACAGCACAAGGTGCATAAGGTGCCAGGAGGTATAGCTCTACCCGCCCGCTTCTCTCATAACATCCGCTAATGGGCTCAGCTTACACCACCTACGCCTTCTTCGAGTGGTCACTCGTTCTGCTGGATGTTGCGTTTGATGCTGTCACTGTACTAGACTTTGAAGGGTTTGAGATCGTTGTCAAGGATGTAAAGGGTGTCAGTAGAGGGTACGTGCACTGGCTACCCAAGTAAATAGCTGTAAAGCTAGGAGCAATACATGAACGTTGAACATTTCTGATCATTGTGCCCTACAGAAACAAGCAAGTCGTTGCGGATGCTGTGCTCGAGAAGGAGTATGTACTTCTCTTGATTAAGCTCAGGTGTCGGTTGCTGACCTTTATCAGGAAGAACACAGAAGCAGCCCAGGTGTTTGGCGGAGGCTTCGCGTGGCCGGCAGCTCTTGATGCCGTTGCTGACGTCTACAACGGCGTGAGTATCAGGCCCTCCGATCTAATACCGCAGTGTTGACCGCAGTCATACAGTTCGTGTTCTGGTCGATGTTGACATCTCTTGGCCTATCGGTGTGGTGTAGGTTACCCTGATCCTCAGCGATTGCTTCTGCTGACCTTCCTGCTCAGACTTTCCTCTCTGGCATATGGGTCTATCAGGCTACGAGGTCGTCATCATGTCCACCGTGTCGCCTTTCCTACTCGGCATCCGCCCATTGCGTTCTCTCGTTATTCGCAACCTCCGCATCATGCACCTCCTTTCTCTGTCGGGCCTAGTGGCCTGGGCAATAAAGAAGCCAGAGCACCGCCTGTTCGTCGTCACCTTCGGCGTCTTCATGTCCTGCTTGTCCTGGGCTGCTGCCTTCTATGCAGAACGATCCCAACCTCACCGACTTGAGGCGCGCATTTCTGCCTTCGCCCTCGGCCTGCTTGCATCCAGCGTCGCCAAGTTTGCGTTCTACACCAATAATCCCATCTGGCCGGCTATGCATGCCGCGAACGGTGGCTGGAACAAGCTTGGCCTTGCGCTGGCTGTCCTTGCCATGCTCAGGTCCACTAGGCATACTGCCGGCAATGGCGGTGATCTCCCTGCTCCAGGACCAAGCAAAGGTTCACCCACACTGGCGGCACTCGGCCTAGCTGGCTTGTTCTTCGCCATGCACTCTCTTCTATCTGACTCGAGCACCATGATCTCCTGGGTATGGGAAGGCTACCCCGTACGTGGCCCGCTGGCCGTCCCGCACGGCAGTGTCACAATGCTCGCCATGGGCGTTGGTCTCCTCATCGGCCACTTCTATCCCAGCGTCGCCCGCAGCTGGACTTTCTACGGCATCGGGTCCGTCGGCGCCGCAGTCCTGACGGGCTTCAGCAACTGGTCCGGCTACTACGGCGCGCTGGCTCTGGCGACTTACATCATGGCGGCGGCCCCGGTCCTGATCTCTTCCGCAGTGAAGCACTCACCAGCCACTACCTTCGGGCTGGGCTTCTTGGTCTACAACATCATGGTCCTTGCGCACGTCTGGACCGTCGCCTACGCCTTCGTTCCTGGCGGGCCCATCATGCGCGAGCACACCGACTACGTCATGAGTGCCATGATGCTCCTAATCGGATGTGGCGTCTTCTCCGCCATCACCTCCACCCCTCCCTCCGGCAGCAGTAGCAGCGCCCGCACCAAACCCGCCAACCCGGCAGCCCGCAAGCAGCGCTCCTACTACATCTACATCCTGCTCGCCCTTGAGCTCCTGGGCGCCTCAATCGCCTACCTCCGCTTCCCATCCTACAACTACACGCCCTACCACGCGCCCGACAAAGTGATCACCGCCGGCATCTGGACGATCCACTTCGGCATCGACAATGACATGTACAGCAGCGAGCACCGGATGCGGGACCTCCTGCGCGACGTCGAGCTCGACGTCGTGGGGCTCCTCGAGTCCGACCTCCAGCGCATCATCATGGGCAACCGCGACGTGACGCAGTTCCTAGCCGAGGATCTGGGCATGTACGTCGACTACGGCCCGGGGCCGAACAAGCACACCTGGGGCGCGGCGCTGCTCTCAAAATTCCCTATCGTCGAGTCAAAGCACCATTTGCTGCCGAGTCCCGTCGGCGAGCTGGCGCCCGCGATCCACGCCACCATCGACGCGTACGGCGAGCTGGTCGATGTGTTTGTGTTCCATTCCGGGCAGGAGGAGGATCCGGAGGATCGGCGGCTGCAGGCGGAGTATCTTGCCAACCTGATGGGCGGGACGAAGAGGCCGGCGATTCTGCTGAGTTATCTGGTCACGAAGCCGGGAGAGGGCAACTATAACACATTTGTGGGGCAGAAGAGCGGCATGAGGGATATCGATCCCAAGGATTGGCAGCGGTGGTGCGAGTACATTCTGTTTAAGGGACTGAAGAGGGTCGGGTATGCGAGGGTTAGTAGGGATACGATTACGGATACGGAGTTGCAGGTTGGGAAGTTTGTGGTGGGGCGGGGAGAGGGTGGGGAAGAGACGACGGTCAGGGGGGAGGATGTGCCACAAGGCTGGAGGTTTCCGGAGATGTTTAGGGGGAATGGGGTTAGGGGGCATCATTATCATGATTTTGAGCCGAAGTATTGGCCGTAGGTTGGGCGAAGGTGGAGATAGAGTCGGGGCGCAGTCGTGTATGAAATCCAGCACTGAGGGTTTGAATTTGTAGACTGTATCTACTCTCGAGCATTGAAAATAGTTGATCACCTTCTGCGTATGCAGAAATCCACGCTGCTCGCGCTGATTCGTCAAACTGATTACCAGCGCATCAAGGAACGAGATGACATCACTCGTCTGCAGCCACCCGTCTGCAGCCACCCGTCTGCAGCCACCCGTCTGCAGCCACCTGTCCACACAGCAGTCGTTCTACGCAGACCCCGATTTACTACATTGGGAATGCTGCATACGGAGAGATTTCCGCTAAGGCGATCATTCTCACCGAAGCATCAGCACCGCGGCGAATATTGGGTGATGGTTACGGCGATAATAGAGATTTTGCCTTGTTCATTCCTGTTAGGTAGAACTCAAGAAGGCAATGTTGAAACGAACATAACCCCTCGCACTGACCAGCGCACCTGCTTCAACCCTATACTCTCCCGGCTGAAAAGTAACTGAATAACGTGTCGCAGCCCGTGCTCCATCACCAAACTCAGCTCGTTTGTGGATGACTTTTTAGTTAATCACCACCAATATGGCTCTAAACCGAGGCCCAGATATTAGTGTTGCAATGCGCGCTTGTATCATTACCTTGCGCCTTCTCAGCAAGCTCGAATACGTCGAAAATGAAGCTAAATATGGAGCACGGGCTGCGGCACGTGATTTAGTTACCTTTCGGCCGGGAGAATAGTAGCGTCGAAGACGAGCGCGAAGCCGTACAATTAGATAGAATAGTCTTATGGTTATAGCAACATCAACTTGAATGACCGCCTCAGCGGCTCCAGGAAGGCATCCATCAGCACGTCTAGCCATTCCCAGAACCCTAGTACCCTTTTGCTTCCAGTCTCCTCCTTACTTCGCCTCCCCAATCCCCGCCACCGGCATCGTCTCCGGCGACCTTGAGCTCGCATAAGACGAGATGATGGACTCCGACAGCGAGCGCTCAGTGCCTCGCCTCAGCGGCGGCCCCCGCTCTGGCGTCTTAGGCGTGGCCTCGTATCCCGTAACAGCGGAGTCGATGCGGGTGTGGGTTGCTTGATGTTCAGATACTACTGGCTGGGTGGCGAATGATGGAGGGGTAGATGCGTATTTCGGACGCGTCAAGCGGTGCGGCTGTGGTGGCGGGGTGCGAGGTTCACTGAAAGAGGAGGATGCTGTCGGTGGGCTGTTCGCTGTTGAAGGGGTTTTAGGGAGCCTTTTGTGCTTGCCTAATGGCGTCTTTGAACGGGTGGGTGCGGCGTCGGTTGGTGCATGCGGAAGGAGCAGATCGCTTGGATCCGCCGCTGCGGATCGCGGTCTGGGAGTGTGCGGTGATGAAGATGCGTGAAAGCTGGAGATTCCCAGACCGGCTAGGGGAGCACTGCCGTTGGTGGTGTTCGAGCGTGACGACGCCGGCGAGGGGAGAGGCGGGTGCTTCGAAACGTTGACTAGGCGAGGAGTTGAGGTGACACTCAGAAGCTTGTCGATCTGCGACGCAGCCTGCTTCAGATCCTTCTTGTAACCTCTGACGTCCATTTTATACAGGATAATGTCCCGAACGTGGTAATCGATCTCTCGCTCGAGCTGCTTGATGCGGAGCAGAGGATCCGTTTCCGGTTCGTAGACCCTAACGTTAAGGTCTTTTGCCATCATCGCATGGACACGAGCTTCGATATCGGCCATCATGCGGACATTTTCGCTCATTCTCTCATGAAGTGCGCTGTCTGGACCATCCTCCTCTTTAGCAGCACGTGCTGCCTTGCGTATCTCGCCTTGCAGGAGAAGGTCCGTAATGTCCAATCTTCTCCGTTGATCCGCAAGCTGGGTGTTGAGCTCAGCGTTCTGAGCTTTCGAAGCCCTCAATTGTGATTTCAGCCTGGCGTTCTGCGCCACTTGGCGCTCAGACGCATCACAGAGCTTGACGAGCTCGGCGCACCGATGCTCTACATCGTCGTTGTAGAGACGACAACGCAGATTTTCCTGCTCCAGTGTGTGGATATATCCCGACTTCTCTTGCAGCTGAGCTCGCACTTCTTCACGCTCCTTGGCAAACTGGGAAGTGACCTCAGCAACACGGCTTTCGTGCTTTTCACCTTGAATTTCAGCCTCCATGAGGCTTGCGTACTGTTCTGCATCGTGCTGTCTGATAGCAAGCTTGTAAATGTCGGACTGATCCGGCTGTCGGCGTAAAAGCTCGTTTTCTTTAGCGAGCTCCCACTCGCGGTGCTGCGACTGCACATACTTTCGCCTCAACTCCTCGATATCGCTGTTAGCCTCTAGCAGGTCGATTCTTCGTGTGTTGGCCTCCTCTAAAAGTGCTTCGTCTTTATTAATTTGCATCTGCGCAACGTCGAGCTTTCCTTTGAGAGAGTTGACCACGGTGCACATTGCACGCTCGCTTTGTCGAGATTTTTTTAATTGGCTAGTGAGAGTTTCGACCTGACTCTGCAGACGGTCCACCTGTCGGAGCCGATCATTCTCCAGGTTCGGCCTCTCCGTCGGAGTAGATCCTTTCGGCGTGAAACTGAGTCTTCTCCTGATGCGTTCCATTTCGGATGCGGAATCCTTCAATAGTTCTGACGGAGTCTCTTGTGCGGAATCGGAGATACCTGTAGTTACTGCTGGTGTCGTAAATGTCTCTCGTGAAGTTTGCAGCGGCGACGAGGAGATATTAAGTGTGACGAGCGTATCCTGAGCTAGTGGTTTATTAACTATGGAACAAATCCTACTGGAACCAAACCTACAATTCTGACTTTCGCCTAGTGATGGCCGTCGCTGGCCCTCTAGAACGTGGACGTAAGTCATCAACGCAGCGACTTCCTTGCTGTGCGCCTCCTTTAAACTGGCGATATGTGCTTCGTGCGAGTTTCTCAGAGCAGCGACATCGGCCGTCGTGGCGGTCGTGGCGGTTGTTGCGCGAGAGTCGCAATTCTCCGTCACGTTTCTCATGTGGATCGGCTCACCATGGTTCAGCCAAAGCTTAGATGGAGCGCGTACCAACTATTCATCTTGATGTCAGCAAAATGAACGATTGTCGCCACTTAAGTGGTACCAGTCGTAGTACGCATCTACAACAGTCGCAACAACAACGTGTAAAGTGACTAACCTCGCTCTTGGGCACGCTGTCGGCGCTCACCGTTCGGGAAGTAGCTGGGCTGCTTCGTAACATCATTGGCGACAATAGAATCGAACTCCCGCTATTGGATTCAGATGGCAACGTCACTGTATCAAAACTGCTACCTTTTCCACCGACAAAGCGCGAGGTGCCGCTACGATGCGTGAGAGCGGGTGATGGATGTGGACTCGTGCTCAACACCGTTGTTGGGGCCAGGTTCCGCTCACTTCTGCTCCGCCTATGCTGCGGGACAGTCGAGCATCTGTCTCGACGCGTAATCGGCGGTCTTTGAAGCGTAGGGCCCAACATGCCATGCTGCCGTTCATTGTCTGCGCCACTGGGTAGCTCGCTCGGCGCACGTATTCTGGGGCTTGGGAATCCTTGGTTCTCCAACAGAATGGAGCCTGGCAACTCTGCAACCATAGGTGTCGAAGGGGCAGTGTGCGACCTCGGCCGACCTGGCAAAGCTTTATGTAAAGGTGATCGTGGGTAGGCTGTTAGGACTGGGGAGCGCAACATGTCGTTGACCACAGCAAGTAGGTTCGACGCGGAGCTGACAGCGGAGCTAATTGCCGCATCGTGAAGGACAGATGCCGGGTATGGGCAGTTGGCATAAGCGTCGTGAGGTGCAGAGACTGCGAGTTTTAGAGGCGAAGGTCGATGGCCGTTCCTAGGGGACTTCTACGTATCATTAACAGATTGTCTCTTGATGTTGCGCCTGCTGCTCTGAATGGATGGAGAATACCTTTACATCCTTTTTATTAATCCAGTATATCTCATTATTCGTGCCGTCGTAAGCGTCAGAGTAAACGGGCATCAAACCGCCCAGAGGAGCAATTTCGCGGCATGCGACGGCAGCATTCCGGCGGTCGCCTTTCGTCCATGTCCAGAACCGTGAAGCCATTGGTATACATAATACACGGGGGTTTCACATTGAAATGATAGCCATGGCGTGGAGCGAGAGGACGCACATTGAGATGCACTCAATGGCCAAGATGAAGAACAGAAAAACAGAGAGTGACACAAAGAACTGATATGTTTTCTTGCTTAGATACTCTACATGGAAGCTCTACCCAGACTCCGGCGCCTAAACGTCTGGAAATAGGCCTGCGGATACATACGCGGCGCAGCTGGGGAGCGGGAGCGGCTTGGGCTGAATCCTCCTGCAGCCAGAATCACTGGATGACGGCAATTGTAGCAGAAGCACTGAAACAGGCGAGGCCATCTGAAACGGAGCAGCAGGAGATATCTTGAGGACCAATTGTGGTGTTGATGTAGCCGCGGAGCAGTGAGGCTCAAGATGAACGCCTCGCTTGGCGTCTCCAAATCGGTGCTCGACCTCTTTTCTTGACCACTTCGAGCGCCAGCTAAGCTCTCGCGCAGCGCGGAATAGAGCAGCCATAATGCAAGCACCGAAACACTGCAGCATGTACCTAGGCCGTGTGGAGAGTTTCAAGAACTGAAACTTCCGAGGATCTCTGCTGCCTCCAAGCCTCAATCAAGTCACATCTCTGCGGCCCTCAAGTCAGCACAGTATGGCCAGCTCAGCGTCTGCGCACCGCCATAGATGGCGGTCTCCGTCTCAAGAAACATCTCATACCTCCCGGACCGCTGACCGGCACCGTCTCCACGACACGGACTCTAGAAGGCGACACTACTCATCAAGCTCCGAAGATGACCAAGAACGCCGGAGGAGGGGCGACGACAGGCGTAAGGACGAGAACATCCGGGCAAGGCCGCGCCGCAAAAGTCGGGACAGGAAGGCGGACGACTATCATGGCCGCAGGCATCGCTCTATAAGCCCTGCGGAGAGGGAACAACCACGGAAGCGAAGAAGGAGCAGGAGCAGGAGTAGAAGCAAGAGCAGAGATTCCGATCGCCGCTGGCGGAGGAAGAGTCGGAGCAGAGACAGGAGCGGAGATTACCACAAGGAAGGCAGAAGAAGACACAGGGACAGCAATCCTCGCTCCACTAGCCCACCGTCACGACGCAGAGCCGCATCCCCAGCGAACGGCCACACACGCAGATCCCAGCGACGCTCACGCAGTCCAACCAGCTCCCGTCGTCCCCGCTCGCACTCTCGCTCGCGCTCACCACCACGGAAGCGTCGTCGGAAGTCCAACAGTCCCTCCCCCCCGCCGGCACCTCGCTCCCGCGCCGCCCTCCCCGACCAAGCAACCGCCTTCCACCACGAGACCCCCGGCGCCCCAGCGCCCCCACCGGAGAAGCAAAAGCCGAACCTCAACCCCACAGGCCTGCTGGCCAAAGAAACCAACACCGTCTCCATCGGCGGGGCCTCCATAGTCCTGAAATACAACGAGCCCTCCGACGCGCGGAAGCCCTCCGCCTCCACCCCCTGGCGGCTCTACGTCTTCAAAGGCCGCGACATCCTCGACACCATACCCCTGCACACGCGGTCGTGCTGGCTGATCGGGCGCGAAGAGCGGGTCGCGGACTTGTGCGTGCGGCATCCGAGCACTAGCGGGCAGCACGCGGCGATTCAGTTTCGGCAGACGGTTAGGGTGGATGAGTGGGGGGAGAGGGATGTCAGGGTTAGGCCGTATGTGATTGATTTGGAGAGTAGTAATGGGACGATGTTGAATGGGGAGAGGGTTGAGGCGACTCGGTTTGTGGAGCTCAGGGATGGGGATGTGCTTAGGTTTGGGGAGAGTGAGAGGGAGTACGTTGTTATGCTGCCGCCGGCTGATAAGAAGGGGTGAGGGAGGTGTGAGGGGTTTGTGAGGGTTTGAGTCAGGCCAAGGTTGGTTGGTGGACGCATACAGCGCCTCTGTATTTATCAGCGCTCGATGCAGAGATATTGCTTGGACGGAACTCGGTCGATGAGTGCTTGCATCGCGCTCTACAGTGCCAGTGACTCCTCAAACGTAGCCTTCAGCCACGCACACATAAAAGGCAACATCAGCAACATTCGCTAACCCTCGATTACTCAAGCCCCCACATTTTCTCTCTCGACAACAAATCCCTTCCAATCCACCTCTCATATCCCCCCTCTCACACGTCCATCCCTACCCTACATCTTCGCCTTAACCTCCTCCTTCGTCGCCGTCGCCTTCCCCGCCATCTCATGCGCAGTACCCTTGGCGCGTCCCGCCAACTCATTCGCCTTGCCCTTCGCCTGCCCCGTCAGCTCCGACGCGTCCGCAGACGTCTCGCCAGTCACTTTGCCCGCCATCTCCTGCGCGGTGCCCTTTGCGCGGCCGGCCATCTCCGACGCCTTGCCGGACGCTGAGCCCACCACGTCGCTGGTCGTGCCCGTGGCGTTGGTGGTGCTGTCGCTGACGCTGGAGGTGGTGGAGCCGACGGTGGATTTCACGGCTTCGGCGGCTTGCTCGCCTTTTTCGATGCCCTGGGAGGGGAGGTTAGTGGGTTGAAGGGGAGGGGGAGAGGTAGAGGGAAGGTAGAGGGAAGGGGCCGGAACGGGTGGATGGAGGGTTTGGATGGATGGGAGCGGGAAGGAAGACGAGTGCAGCTGTTGCTTTGTGTCAAGGGAGGAAGAAGGGAGCCGTACCTTCACAGCAGCGTCCGAGATGGTCCTGTCAACCGCCTTGGCAGCATCCTTCGCGACCTCTATGGGGCCCTTCTGGAAGCGGACGGAGGTGGAGAAGAGACGAACGTTGCGGGCGAGAGCTTGGCGGAACATTGTGATGGAAGGTGGAAGATTGAGGTTTTAGTGTCTGCGGGAAGTGTGCTGTTGGATGGAATTGACTGTTGTTGTGGTTGCCGTGAGGGAGCTCGGGTCAGCTGTTTAAGTGTGAAGCGGAGAAGGAGCTCTCAACCGAGTGACGTAAAACGGAGGCCCGAGCTCCAACGCTCTTGCTTTTCTGGCATCAAGTCCGCGTCCGCAGTTTGGATATTGACGTGGCTATGTACGCAATTCCTGTCGATGGTATGGGCAGATGAGTGCTCACTGCGTAGATGTTGAGTTATCTAGCGAGGGCAGACTAGAGCTGTCATGCGGCAGTCACAGATGAGGTATCCTAAGTCTTAACGCGTGTACGCGACCTCGAAAATAACCCAATTGGTTATCGCCGTGCCATTGTCGATTTGTATGCAGAATTTGTTCAATATCTACGCCTAGATCAAGAGCTTAACAGCAGCGTTCCTGCTACGACAGCCCCTTCATCGGAGAGCCCCCTCCGTCAATGCCATCAGCGACATCTTTTTGCTTCTCCTTTTTCCGCTTCTTCTTCTCTTTCTCCTTTTCCGACCCTTCGGGTCTAGCACCCTCAGCATCCCTAGCCTTTTTCGACTTCTCCTTCCTCACTCTGATTCGTGCAGGGTTATCGGTCGAAGGTATACTGGGTATAGCCTCTTCCCTCGCATGCCTGGTCTGATCCTCGAAATGAGACTCCTCAGTCCGTATGGTTTCCTCGGTCGTTCTCTTTTTCTTCTTAACGGACGTTTGCGAAATCCCTTGATCACCATTGACCGCGTCGTGCTTGCGCTTCTTCGAAGGTGAAAAGACTGCTGGTGCTTCTCTTCCCTTCGGCGCGCGGAAGCCTATCTGGCTCTGTTCCTCCACCGGTGAATCCTCGCTCTCTGACGAGCCAATACTCCCCGGATCGTCGTCGCCAAAGCCAGATGGCCTGAAGCGCATGCGGAGGCCCTTCGGTTGCTGGCGTACTACTTTGATAGCGGGTGTGTCGAACGATGCAGCGGCATCCGAGCCCCTTGTCGGATCTGCCTGCTTCTGTGACAGCTGCGGTAGGTGGACCACTTGCTGAAGGTGGAGTGTTTCTAGATTCCCTGCCGGCACGGGTGTGTAGCCTTTCGCGCCTGGCATCAGAACCCTGGTGGTTCTCTTCTCGCCTTCCGTGTCTGCCTTAAACCCATAGCTCTTGCCTTTGTACTCTAAGACAGCATCTCCGCGAAATACCTTGTCCAGCGCAACCTCTTTTATCGATGTGATCGGTACTGTTGCTGGTGCCGTGATGTGCCATATCTGCTTGCCCTCGAGTTTTTTGGGATTCAGAAGATTCGTGATATCCGACGAAGGTGCCGCGGAAGTCTTGACAGCTGCGAATCCAGCAGGGGGTTCGTACGGCGGAGGTGGGCGGAAATGTGCCGTTTGCACTTGTTTAGCTGGCGGTTTTGCTGGCTCTGCCGGCACGGCTTCGACCTCGCTCTCCAACTCGCTGCCGCTTCCCTCACTTGCACTCCCGCTCCCACTGATCTCTCCCTCCTCCTCTGCACCGCTGCTTGCTTGTGACCGATCGTCTTCATCGCTCTCCCCTTTGCCCACATCCTCATCACTCGGCACTGGTGGACTGTCCAGCTCTGTCCTCTTGACGTTCTCGGGTCTGGGTGTCTTGGTGTTTTTCAGCTTCTCCGGGTCGCTCTCGCTGCCAGCGCTATGCCCGCTACTGCTGCCGCTGTGCGACTCATCGTCGCTCTCTACAACAATCTCTTCGCTTAACGGTGGTGCTTTTCGCTTCGTTTCATTCAGCTTTGGGTCGCGCTTGGGGTTCTCGCCGGGCAGAAGCACGCGCTGGGCTTTGACCTTTGCCATAGTAATGTGTTTTGTTTGCGTCTGGATATAAAACCTAGCAATTCGAGCTCCTCCCGAGGTCGGGAAGCTTTTTTGGACGAGTGGCAGAACATTGGAAAGCCTAGGTGTTTTGTTCACCGCCCATGCTAGCAAATGCCAAGATGATGCAGGGTATCTGAGATGCAATTCTTCCACATCCAACGCCGACTTTGCGAAAACCGACATAAAATTACAGTACAATGGCAGGCGCAAGCGACAAAGCTCGGTTTTACTTGGAGCGATCGGTTCCGGAGCTACACGAGTACGAGCGCAAGGGCATCTTTACTAAGGTCAGCTCAAGCCTGAAGCTTTACTTGCGGAGGCGCGATTCCTAACCGACGCTGCAGGAGGAGATCACCTCAATCGCGAAGAAGAGGTCCGGCTTTGAACACGTCCTCAACGCGCGAGGCTCTCACCCATCAGATTACGCCCGCTATGCCACCTACGAGATGAACCTTGAAGCTCTACGAAAAAAGCGCATACAACGACTTGGAATTAAGGCGGGCGGCCACGCGGGACAACGACGCATATTTTTTATACTCGACCGGGCGGTGCGCAAGTTTCCGGGCGACCTCGGGCTATGGATGCAGTACATCGAGTTTGCGAGGGCGGAGAAGGCGATTAAGAAACTGAACGAGATCCTTACCAGCGTGCTCAGGATGCACCCCACCAAGCCGGAGCTCTGGACCTACGCCGCACGATATGCTTTCGAGTCGCAGGGGGACATGACGAACGCAAGGAGCTATATGCAGAGAGGCTTGCGCTTTTGCAGATCATCAAGAACGCTGTGGTTAGAGTACGCGAAACTCGAGATGTCGTATGTCGCGAAAATAGCCGGACGACAGCACATCTTGGGATTGGATATTGACCGAGCGAAGAAGCAAGTCGCTTCTGGGGATAAGAGCGATGCGGATATGATTGCGCTCCCAGAAGTTACCGCAGAGGACATCAATCCGAGCTTAGGAAAGGACGACGCGGTTGACGAAACCGCACTGCATAATCTTGCTTCAACGCCTGCGCTGACGGGTGCCATTCCTGTGGCTATCTTTGACGCAGCGATGAAGGAGTACAAGGATGATCCTGCCCTCGGCGAGCAGTTCTTCGACGTCTTTGCGGAGTTCGACCGAGTGCCTTGCACTAAGAAGATTCTGCAGCATATTGTCGACCACATGCTGCAGCACTCTCCCAACGCCATTGCCACGCTCGTCTGCAATTTCAGACTACCTATGGTCGGAGTTGACGCTGCCTCTACTGACTTTCCATCAGCTCTGGGGCTGTGTCTTCAGCGGATCAGATCTGCTTTCAAGCAGTCGCCGCAAATCAAGGCGCAGCTGGCGGAAAGGGCCGTCATTTGGTTGCTACCGCTTCTTCGACTCGATGAGCTAGATCCTGCCGTGCATAAGGTTATGTCGAGTTCTCTGCGCCAGTTCATCAAAGCGCTTGTGCCTGGACCTTCGGCCAACACTCCTGCTGAGGGCGACAAGCTTGCTGATGTCGTTGCCAAACTTGAACAGGATAAGCGGCATGAAGACGCGCAGCTGTTGCTGTCCTACGGTTCCAAGCAGCAGAATTCTAGTGGCCGATTACTACAAGTCCAGGCTTCGATATCAGGGTGAGTGACTAGACAAGTCATATGACCGGATAATGTGACAGGAAGATATCCGAACTCCAAGACTTCATAGAGACCGAGCGTTGCGCCCTCACAATCTACCATCCGTGAGACTGCCAAATTCCCTCCGCGAGAAACGCTATGCCCAACCGTGCGAAGATTACCAGGTCTCGATAAATCCTCAGTAGTCCGACCGACTTCCGCCTTTCCGCGCGGTCTTCTTGACACTGTGAGTTTTCTTCATTCTCAACCGATTCGCGTTATCTGCCTTCTGCCTACAACCGGTTAACTGACGACTCCAGGATCATGGAGGAGTAAGAATCTACGCACAAGCCTGCCACGCGCTCTTTCTGGGCTTCGGATGTCTCGCCGCGTATGACACCTTGGGCTACCTCCCGAATCATGTCGTGGAGTCTGAGGAAGCAGCCTTGGACATTGTCACTTTGCTTTCTGCTGTCATCGGCTTGGATGATGATGGAATCGGTTTTGCCCGCAAAGTAGCGGGAGCTTCGTAATCCCGGATGAAGAAGGCTAGGGACGAGAGGGAGCAGGGAGTCAAGCGGTAGCCGTAGAGTAGCCTTAGAGTTGACTCTTGCAAACGTTAGTCGACGCAAAACAATCACACTCACATGCCATACTTGTTCACATTCTGTCCTCCCGGCCCAGAGGATCTACTGAAAGACACGTCACATATGCTCCGTGGAATGGTATCCGGATTGAACCTAGCAAGCCATTGTCGCGCCGCTGCTACCTCTTCGTCACTGCCAGAACCATTCTCTGTCCTTGACGAGAGGAATCTTCTGCTGAAAGATCCCCATACCACGCGCGGCGATCTGCCTAGGCTTGCCGGCCGCGCAACATTTCGCAGCATACCGCTCGTACGTTGCTACGTTTGACTTTCTGGTTTGCTTCACGAAGTCGCGGTCCGGGGGTGAAGGAGAGCTCTTAGTCAGCAGCCTAAGCAAAAATTCTATGCGTCCATACGTCGACATCACCTCCACCTCGCGTCTTCAGCACACCTTTCGCCAACATTGAATTCGCCAGCGCATCTGCTTCCAGTTGTAACTCACCGACCTACTGACTCAGGGAGAGTACACCTGCCCAAACCCATCCTCCGTCTCCGCCCCTCGTCGCGTTGTCGCATAGCTCGCCTGCCCTCTCCATTTATCTCAACCAGCCTGGGAGCCCAGAGAAGCGCAAGCTGACCGTCACCACCCCCTTACCTTGTCGATGATCTGAATTGAGACGTTTGGCATCCTCACCGTCCACTACGTATCCCACGCTTCGCCTTTGCTCACAGCAGGCTCCGCATAGATGACCCACAGTCCTCCAACAGAAGCACCTGAGTTCCGTGGCAGAACTCTCACTCCCGTCTCTCCGAAGCCCGTCCACTTCCCTCAAGCCTCGAACGTACCAATCCTTGAGAAGTCCATGGAACCGAACTTCAGTGAAAGCGCTGCGCAAATGCTAGCTCAGTCCTCCGCATACCAGTCGCAGCAGCAAGACCAGCCATCAAGCGATCCATCCTCATCCGGCTCCATCACGTATGCCGACCCAGGAGTTGCGAATAATGGCTATAGTGGGATGGGGGGTGCGGCATTCCAGGCGAACGGGCAGGACGACTACGCGAGATCGCTAGCTTTCGACGGGGACGGTCAAAATAATCAAGATACTGCTGCAAACCAGTATTACCCGCATACACAGTTCTACACCACTGATGCCTCCAGTGAAGCTGCCTCTGCCTCACAGCAGACATATCGGGCGCCCGACCCCATGTCCTACAATCCTTTTGCCGGCAGCCCTGGTGCAGGCGCATTCGCCCAACAGCCCCCAAACCACAACGGATTTCAAGGATTGTCGCAAGACTATGCGCCAAGCTCCACACTGGGTGATGGCGCTGGTGGTGGGGTCAACATCCAAGCATTGCTGGATAACTTGACATCATCCACTCCTCAAGCTCCGCCTCCAGGAGTATCGGGCAATTCCTCCTCACCACGCCTTCCACATGCCTCCCAAAGCTTCTCATCGAGCCATACTGCCCCTCCATCAAGCGCGACTCTCCCCGGCAATCCCAATCTACCACCACGACCACCCCCGCAAGAAAAGCCGGCCACTCATCCCAATTACGCACCTGGTGATGACATTCGCTCGTACCACCCCCATAGCCAGAAGAATCCTGGCGCCGCCTATCGCTCCCAGTCCGGACTCCCTCCTCTGCTGACTGCTGGTGCCAATGGTCTGCCACCGCCGCCCGCGCCATCATTCCAGCAATCTACGCCCGTTTCCGCCACCAAGCGCACGCAAAGCCCTGCTACACCAAACCAACGTCAGCGAGACCCGTTGCAGCGACGTGATAAAGAAGATCTAGATGACGCTGATACCCCTTGGGGTCCGGAAGTTCAGAAGATCTTCGACGAGTTTCTGCAAGACGAACGAAATTATGTCACGGAAGGCCAGTGGAACAAGTTCCCACCCAATTCACGACTCTTCATCGGTAGGATTACTCGAGGCATTCGATCCAAGGGATATATAACTAAGTCAAATACAGGCAACCTGCCTACGGAGAAGGTCACCAAGCGTGATTTATTCCACGTCTTCCATAAGTATGGTAAACTTGCTCAGATCTCCATCAAACAAGCTTACGGCTTCGTACAATTCCTGGACGGGGGTGCTGCCTATCAAGCGCTCCAAAACGAGCAGGGCGCTACTGTTCGGGGAAGGAAGATGCGTATGTCCACCCAGCCTTCACTCAGCGCGGCAGTCTGCTAATGAGTGCAGATTTGGAGATTTCTAAGCCTCAACGAAACACACGTAACGCAGACGGACAGAAACAGAACAACGCGAACAATCGCGATGGGGCCAGGAAACGCTCCAGGTCTCCGGACTACAGTCGGGGTGGAAACAACCAGCAACAACAGCGCGGGATTGATCGTTACACTAGTGGATCGCATGGCGGATCACAGAGGGACTCCTATCGTAGCCGCGATGACTACCGGCCGAGGCGTTCGCCATCGCCTCGTGGCTTTCATGGCGGCAGAGGACGGGATCGTAGCCCCGACCGGTACGATGGGCGCCGAAGGAGCAGGTCGAGGTCGCCGTACGGCCGCAGCCGGTTTAGGAGTCCTAGTCCGAGGCGGGAGACCGATGATGACTTACCCCTGCCCAGAAGGCGCCCGGAGAATGTACCCGACGTGCAGGTAATCGTGCTAGATGATCTTGATAGGTATGTGAGAAATGCTTCTAATACCGAGCACATGCTAATTTACTGTCTGCCAGGAACTTCATCGCGTATGTTGAGCGATCGTTCGTGGACGCTGGGCTGAAATGCGACGTGCTGCTTCTAAGCTCTCGTCTCCCTGAAGCGGCGGTCGTCCGGAGGCAGATCTTAGAAGGCGTACAGGCTGTGACGAAGCTGAGGAACGTACATCAGACAACCGGCAAGATACCCTTGCAGGTGTTTGATAGGAGAGACGGCGTCGACAACGTCCGATTCGAAGGTATGTGACTGTCTTACACATATGACCTGCAAAGAGCGCCAGCTCTAACAGTTTTCTTAAGAATACGAAAATCTAGAGCCATCGATCTGCGCCCAACTGGTCCTCCGCGCCAAACAAACTCACGGTGCCCCTCAACCACAGCAGCCAGCTTACGGCATGCCGCCCGCAGCATATGGCATGCCACCCGTCCAGTACGGCCTTCCTCCCCCGCAACCCCCTCCACAGCAATACCCTCCACCCCAACATCTCGCGGCTGCTATGGGCAATCCGAGCCTCAGCAACACCATCGCCAACCTTGATCCATCAAGCCTACAACAACTTCTCGGAGCGATGCAGCATCAACCCGCACAGACGGCCCAGCAGCAACATACCCAGCAACAAGCCCCGCCTCCAGCCCTGACCGCAGACCTTGCGCGCATCCTCGGCGGCACTGCGCCAGCTCCACAACATCAGACTCCGGCCTACAACCAACCACCACCGCAGATGCAGGGGAATCCGTATGGTGCGTTGGCGGGCAACCCGGCGCTGGCGTCGCTACTGGGAGGGGTGGGCACGCCGCAGCAACAGGTGCCGCAACAGCAGCCTCCGCCGCAGCCGCCGCAGGGGCAGCAGCAGGGGCAGCCGGATATGCAGGAGATCATGGCGCAGTTGGCGAAGTATAGGCGTTGAGTGCTTCGCGAGTGATGAGGTTGATGGTGGTTCGCTTACTGGAATGCAGATTGAAGAGGGTATGCAGCCGCCCTATGCGGGGCGGATATTTGAGGGGTTTATACTCTCTCTCTCCTCTCATGCCGATAGCTCAACGCAGAGTCTCGGAGAAATGTCAAGCCGGACGAAGGTCATCGTGGGCGCATTTTGGAAGTGAAGGTGTGGATGAGGTGTCTCCGATTCTGCGGGAGTGGATTCTACTGCAAGAAGAGCTCCAGCACATGGGCTCGTCTAGAAGCTTTGAGCTCAGCTCGTGGACTGCGTCGCATCTGTGAATCTTTGGGGCGTTTTGGAAGTGCGGGTGGGACACTTATCTCTACTCCACGGGATGGCCGGTTGGGCTCGGTAATTAGCAGTACCGTTTGATTTCGCGTGGTTTCTGTTCGGACCTGTTCGCTGTGCCGGCGTGCCCTGGCCTCTCGTGCTTATTCTTAGCGAGGTGTAGGCGCTGTGGTTTACTTTACTCTCGTACATCGCGTTTGCCAAGCGGTTCGTCCCCTGATATGTAGAGGATTTAACAAATAAATGTTGAAGCGCAGCGAAATCCAAGTGTAACAGCTGCTTCACATCTATGCGCTACGTAGAACAACACCAATGCTGGTGGACGTATCGATGATGGTAGACGAAACTAACGCGGCAGAGAAATAGCTTCCCAATGAGGACATGCTCGTTTTCCGTAGAACGCCGCAGCCGAAAAAATCCACTGTTATCGAAGAAGCCCGTCAAACAAAGGTTCTGTCGGAAGAAGGCTTTGGAGCTGGCAGTGTATCATCACGATGAGGGAAGTTCGAAGCAGTCATCAAGCCTTGAGAAACGGCCGCCAACTGTCTGGAGGGCCTCGCTGCCCTGACGGTGCGGACCGTTTTTGGGCTGGCCGCGGCAGATGTTCCGAACCGCCCGTCCGCCTCGTCTGTCGGCCTCGTCCGTCTGTCGGTCGGTTTGCGACGTTCTACGGAGGAGCCGATATTACCCGTTTGGGACGCATCCCGCTGAGCCTCCAGGGGGCGCAAATAACTCTCCCCGCCGAAACGGGTTAGAGTCACGTGCTGTCTTAACAAAAAGACAGTGCAGTCAATGTTAAAGACTTCTAGGCTAAATTATATATATATACCCTTATACCGACTCACTACATCGATGTAAAGCTTTCCCATAACCGCTTCTTAATAGTTATAGCCTCTCGAACAAGATTAATGCGACTATAAAGAGACAGCACGTGTTTCTACTACTTTTCGGTGGGGAGAGTAAGCTTTAGTCTTCCTCGTATCGACAACATTGCACGGCACCATCACAGCCACAAATCCGGGTCCTCGTCTCGGAGGCCCAGGCGATGAAACCGCACGTGCTGAATTTTGAGGTGTTGCCTGTCGCGGTGAGGCTGAGCAAGGCTGAGCAAGGCTGAGTCGGTTGCACTTCTCTGAGCGACGCTCTTGTGTCCTCGACAACTTGCCACCCATCCCAATCTTCTCTTCTCCTCGGTCTGCACCATACTGCTTCAATCTGTTCCACGGCGGTTGCGGCACAATGATAACCATATTCGGCAACGGTACGAACACAGTGCCTTGGACACCCGAGCCTACGAGACGCGGGACATTCTCGATTCTATCTAGTTGTATTTTGACGACATTCTTGTGCATCTGGACTGCTGTTCATCTTAATATCCCTGAGCATGGCGATCCCGAACTTCCATGGTATAGGCGACGCCAGTTACGACGTAAGTGCGGATGGCTCCTTCTGGGCCTACTAGCACCCGAAATGGTGGCGTATACCGCTTGGTTTCAGTACAGGGCGGCACAGCAAATCCTACAAACTGTGCAATCAAAGTTCGGGCAGAGGCCTGCTTCATCATGGTTTAACACTTTCTCCCGAGAGTGTGGTACCAAAAGCGAGCAGGCTCCACAAGAGGTAGGAGTGATTCTATTTAATAGTGCTGGCATACCCATCGTCATCAATTTTCCTCGTACTCAAGTTTTTCTTCTCGATCATTACTTAACACCCACCGCTTCCTGTTTCCTGTGACCTGTCGCCAGGTCTCCCTGCGTTGAGATACACACCTCTTGAGATGATGATTCATGAGCAATGGAAGAGGCGATCCAACAGTCTCTGCTAGCATTCTCAAGCGTCTACCCATTATAATTCTTATCATATATATAGCGGAACCTATGTGGCAGCGTTTCAGGATCTTAGTCCTCGTATTCCAGCTCACAAAGCCAACTTGCTACCTTCTCTGGGCTCCATTTGCCAATCCCAACGGATAGCGGCTTGCTGACAGTATGCTTGTAGCCTACAAGCCCAGTAGGAGCCGATCATCCTTCAATGCTCAGACATCCCTGGACGATGACGCATGCATTTTATGCTGTCATGGGAGGCTTTGCTATAGACACCCCAAGGGACCAGCCATTCCTCCCTGATGGCCGCACGCGGCGAGTGTTGACTGGTCATGGGTTCAAGGACTTAATAAAGCTCCGGCCTCAGCTTTGTCCAGATATATCCGAAAGCTGTATCGTGGATAAAAGCAAAGCTAGTGTCTTAGCGAAAACTATCGTTTGTATTCAGGCATCTTGGTTCTGTCTCAATTGTGTGATCCGGATGACAGAATCTCTTCCAATTAGCCTGCTCGAGGTAGGCGTAATATTAAGCCCAGGTTATCAGTGTTGTCAATAAGTAGCTACAGTACTTATTTGTTCCGCATTGGGAAATAACGATCCAGTAACGCCGGTTTTCGGTGTATTTGCCAAGCCGGTGACAAAGCCAGCCTACGGGGCACTCCTCACCAGCCTGGATCTATGAAGCTCGGTTGGTGCGGAGGGGTCAGAGAGGGTAGTAGTGAGGTCATCATCCTCGTCTTCAATAAGAACCCCCTTAACCAATCATAGCAGCAATTATCTAAGACTCCCGCAACCAAACATCTAGAACACCTGCCAAGACCTTAGATACCACGGTTCGGCGGCTCCGGATATCCTCCAGACGGTTAGCAGCAATACCGCCGTTATTGAAGATCCAGTACCGGGCCCTTTCAATTCAAATAATGACTTAACGCCGACCGATTTGTTGACAACACTGCAGGTTATTACCTCTGGCTGACAGTTGTAGTTGAACACCTTAGGGCACTCCGTATGCGCACTGCTAATCTACTTATTCTGGTGGTCTAAGCCACTCGATGTAGAAGAACCAACGATAGTTGAAGGGGAGGATGCATTGCATCTGTTAGCATTTATGGAAATGACGACTGAAACATCTAGATACAATGATTTGGAGGCGACGCTCATAGAAGTCAGACAGAAATCTTCTGCACCAAACGGAACTCACACGTGCAAGAAATGCCCAGCTGATGCCGAACAATCAGAACGGAGTCGTTCCCCGGGTTTGGACCTTGGGTCTAATTCTCGATCTTCCCCCATAGGACAACAAGAGATTACCTCTGCCAGGAGAGTAGGCCACACATCCAGTGAAGGCACCCTTGACACGGTTATCGCAACTGTGGTGCAGTCATTCCAGGATAGCGTTGGCTCATCGCCCACTTCAAGTGCATCTATAAAGCTTGAAAATGGAGAAGAGTTGCTCTCAACCGGCCTTATCTACAATCCTGTTATTCCATACACATCGTCCATAACCTTATCTCCAATCGATGTCAGGAGATGGACTCTGGCGGCAGAGCTCCTTCGAGAAACCGCGGACGAAACCGCGTTAGAGCACAACGGGTCTATTGCAGACAGGATTCGTAACATGCCGCCACTTGACCTCAATCCGTATACTGGCTCAATGTTCTGGAATGGAATCAACTTCTCGGAGCTCGCTGTTCTGAATGCAGCTGGAATTCTCTATGGCGGCCTTCATGCACTTGCGTGGACCGCGCCCTTCAGCAGCACCGCACAAAGGTTGCTCTGGCGAATCTCCTCTGCATTCGTTATGTGCTTCGGAATTCTCATCACAGTTACTGTTCTTGGCATCTACTACAAAGCCGGGACTCCGTATCGCATGTATCTCCGCTATAGGAAAGTGCGTCCCTACCTTGTTATCATGCTTTCTTTCCCCTCTATCGGTTATGCTGTTGCAAGGGCCTATCTAGTCATCGAGTGCTTCATCTTGCTTTTTGATTCCCCTATTGGCGTTTATGACGTACCTGCATGGTCGCGTTATCTTCCTCATATCTCCTAAACAAAGAAGGCTTCTTGTAGACCACTCCGAGCTAAATGCATACACTGTAGTGCATCAACACAAAGGAGTCGTTTCTATTGCTAAGAATCGCTCCAAGCACCGCTGCGATACTGCTACATGTGTTTCACTACAAGTGTTATGAAAACCACCATGATGCCAAGCCTCTACGAGCTTACAGATTGAGAAAGAACAGTGGGCTTTCTTTCATCACTCTCGGATATCACATCGAAAAGATCGTTAAAGTGCCGTAGTTCCTTCCGAGTTCCCTCACGGCTACGGCAAATCTTCAGCACTCCCCAGAGCTCTCAACCGGAGCTCTCGACACATACCACACCCGCAAAAACCACAGAACCCCAAGGAATCAACAGCGGCCGAGCCCGAATAAGACAATAGAACTATTAAGCCACCGGCTCCGCTACTGCGTGTACCGCACCGCCACAATCCACCTAGCAGGATGTTGGAGGTGCAACTTGTGCTGGCACTCGGGATACTTCACAACAGCCAGAGCAGCCCGGCCGCAACTAAAGCCTCTTCATACCCGTAACATGCCATCTGGCTGCCATTTACAAAGCTGCAAAGAAGTCCTGCTGCCTCCGGTCCTGTGTGGCAGATGCAAGTACGATAGCATGATTCGAATCTCGCGATGGGTCACCTTCTGCACTGCGAACAAACTCTATCTAACAACTCCCCTTTGCCCATATTCCAGGGCTGAGTGCTGTCCTGAAGAGCGTGAAGAACGACAGCACAGAACTGAGACCTCTAGTATGCAAGAGCCCCAGAATAACACCACCACCATACCATCCCTCTTACCCCTTTACGCGATATGCAGTATCCAGTCCATGCCTATCGCCGTTCAGTCGAAGATTGGGAGCTCCGGCTCGAGAGCTTGATCCTCTTCGACAGCTCCAGTATCATCAGGAAGAGCCTCTTGCGTTTGCTCCGCTGACTTCACTGAGCGCCTCCGCAGCTCCTCAAGCTTCTGGAACCCAGCAAAACACCACACTCCTAGCTGCGGACTCGCGTGGAGATAACTCTTCCCCGATTCGCCAACCTCTACGCAGCCGGGTGACGTCAGCCTACTGACACCCGTCTTTGACATCTGACTGAGTCGTTTGGTTGGATCTGAAGTGCGCAAGGCGTTGTAGACAGGAGCGATTTTTGAGGAGTGTGAGGAGATGGCAAGGGCTGGATCAGCGTCTTTGGTTGGAATGACAGTGTTGTTAATATGGAGAAGGATGGTGGTGCTGTTGATATCGGAGTAGCTAGGGGAAAGACAATGTTCTAGCAAGTCCCAAAAGCGTATGAATAGCTTTTTGCAGCCTGTTGGAGCTGTGCTAGCTAATGCAACGCCTGGTGAGTGCTTTCTTAATCTCGGCTAACGTGCTAACGACGAGACGGTAGTTGGAATACATGATTCATTTCCGGCGCTCACCACTGATATCTGCCACTCTTTGAATAGCCGCCATGTCCAGACCAATACGTTGCGTACGGTGAAGCACCATTCAGCACATCCACGAAGTTCCTCGCAATGATACGGTCGGCTTGCTCACTGTAAGCATATTAGCGCAAGCTTCCAAAGCTCAGATCATTCAAGGCATACCTCTTGTGTAGCTCGTCATACCACAAAAAGCTATCTGAGCTGGTCCCTTTGTACTCAAGTACACAGCCTGTCCGATCAATCTGACAATGGTTCTCCCAGCCCGACACGTTCGCCGGCTGAGTTCCGTTGAGATACTCGGTTGGGTTATGATAGATGTCAGACAGCAGTTGCCAAACGTCAAAGTTTGCGAAATTGGCACCGGGATATCGTCTCGCAATCACGGCCTCGAATGGTGCCTGGTACCGGAAGATCGTGTTGGTGGATGTTGTGTATTCGTGCATAATTTCAGCGATCTGTGTGTGATTCTCCGGTTTGTTGGGCCAGTATGGGCCGGGTCCTGTGCCGTTCAGGGTGTCATTCGCATACAGTGGCGCGAGCTGCAGGGGTGCATTGTTGAACAGGACAAAGTTGCGCGCGCCAGAGTCGTAGAGTTGGTCTAGGACGGTGTAAACGCACGACGTGTAGTCGGAGAGGACTTTGCCGGGGACTTGAGAATTAGTCAAGAAGGCCCAGACGCCAAGGTCATTGGTTCCGATCCATAGAGAGTAGACAGAATCAGAGGCGGTCAAGACTGGGTTAAAGTATGGTTCAGTCGTGTTGATGCGGACCGAGGCTTTGTCTGCTAGAAAGGCTGGGACCTCGTACTCAAGGACGGAGGGAAAATTGGCGTTGATGGCAGGGAAGTACCTATAGGTGAGATGTTAAACGGAGCGACCATGTTTTTGAGGCGAAGCTTAGGAGATAGCTTCAGGACTTCAGCATACGGTTGAGCGGACCTCGGTGTGATCTCGTTAGAGCATACAGCGCCCGATACTGCATAGTTGTACAGTGTCATCTGTGGCACCCATTCACCGTTCACGCTATCGCCTGTATACTGGACCACATATCGAGGCCACGTTCGACCGCCACCTGCAGTACTGAAGCTCTCCGGGAGAAGGGTGCCCGGAGGAGGAGCGGAGCCATTGTTGGTCGCAAAGTAGTTTAGCCGATTCTCATCCGTATAACTGTCGCCGAAAGTAACGAAAGATTTGAAGTTTTCCACATTCCAGACTGATTTCGTACGTTTGGGAAGCCGAGCACTTTGAGCTAACGCTACGAGAAATGCACAGCATAGAAGAAGAGACCGCATCTTTGCGGAGTTAAAGTGACAAAGAGGAGTAGATAGCGAATAGAAGATGGAGAGCCGTACAATACCATCATATAAAAGCCAAACGCTCCATTGCAATAGACGCCGAGGCTCTCTCGCCGGCCAAAAGGCTCGAGTACTGTGACGTCTATTCAGCGGGGAACCTACAGCTGCCGTTCTATCCGGGAGCAATTGCAGGGTGTCTACGCGATCGAGAGTTGAAGCTCTCCTGCAGGGAAAGTTAGAGCAGAAGGTAAAACGGCAAAGCGGCCTCCGACACCGGCGAGGAGTCCACATGACTGGTTTACTAAGCACGGAATTCTGAAAGTTCTGCTGTTTACTCAAGATTCGTCGCTGTCGGGTGAACTCCACACTGCGTACTGAGGCATTCACACGTGAGGTACTCCGTATGGGGCGGATACTGCAGACGGGATATTGTACATATTCTCAGCCGCACGCCAAAATCAGCCACTTCGGTACGAGACCGCACTTCCCGCTGTCGCGCTCAGGGGCAGAGAAGCTTATATGGCGCCAAGAAACCGCTTCAAGCAATCGTGGCTGGCTGAAGGCGGTCGGTAAAGCTGTATCGGGTCACTGAATGTCGGAGATCCCGCGTCAATTCCAGTAGAGCCGGCGCCTCCGCTCCGCTTTTCGTGAGGTATTTCCAGTTAGGTACATCGAAGCTTCTCCTTTCATGTTCTGGAACGCCTGCCAATCCCGAATTAGTTCGAACTCAGCAGGAAGCACATAGCTTGAATGCAGCCGCAAGATCTTGAGCGCAGGGGTCTACAATGTCTAGATGCGGGTTTCTGCAGACTTTCTGTAGACGAGCCTGTCCTCAGCTGCACTGTCTCAATAGCTTCATGCGTTGAACATACTATAATTGCTCGTGGCGTAGAATGGAGAGAGCTGACACTGTTCTCGACCGTGAGCCATGGCTGAAGAAACTGATCGTTCTAGCCGTTAATCCAAAGTCTAGAGTTTGTTCGATTCTCTGTGTATCTTTTCAAGATGGTATATAAAGCCTCAGTGTTCCGTCCGGGTCTTGACCATTCCCGTTCTTCTCTACATCAGATCGACGTCCACCGCAGTGACCTAGGAAATATCACCAACATGAGAGTGGCCATCTCTTCTATCCTCCTCTCTTCTCTTGTCCCTCGGGCCCTCGGCCAGGTTTCTTTATCATTAGTATGCATCACGAAAGAGGGCAAGAACTCGTTGGCCAGCGTTGGCACTACGACCACTACACTATCTCTCTTCTCCACCGCCAAAGAACAGTTCACAACCACGCCATCCAGTACTGTCATTCCCCCACCAGACTCGACGACCATGACAGATACTGCCTGGACAACTGAGACAACCACACTGCCAACGGTGACGGATCACTATACTTCGTCGTCGACGATCTATGACACTTCAACAGAGACCGCCACTATTACAACAACTACTATAACACAAGTAAGCCGACTTCTCCGTCGTCACGCTCAAAGCTCTGTTCTAATCGATTTTGGTAGATTGATAGCTACACCACGACTACGCCTACGACCACCATCCCAACCTCACCCGGCTTTATCCCAGTCGCTTCTGGTTTTGGTTTCCCAGGCTTCAAGAAGCGCATGGCTGATGCTGCTATGCGCTTTGAGGCACGAGCCAAGCCACCAACAACCGACCTACCGATACTCCAAGCGGAACCTGGCAACAAGAACAAATTCCCGGAAACGGTCTCATGCACGGAGATTGCTTTAGGCATCACCACGGAAACGAAAACGCATACCGCGAAGAACACTGCTACTGTTACAGCCGAGCCCTCTACCATCACAGCGTGGACTACGACGACCTTGACAACCACCAGCACGGTCGTTCCGCCCAACGTCCAGGTCACAACCGTTTTCGTCCACTCGACGCTCTTGACTGAGACAGCTACACAAACGAACACAGAGACTAGCACAACCAGCAGTACGATCACAGTAATCGCCCCAGCCTCAACCTACTACGCTGCCTGCGGACCCGAGAATGTTGTCAGAAATGCCAACGGAGGCACTTTCAATGGATTGCAAATCTCTGGCAGTATCCAACCCAGCTACTGGTCCAAGACCCCGACTGCATACGACTGCTGCGTCGCATGCATGAACACGCCAAACTGCGCCCTCGCCAATTGGGCGAGCGGAACATGCATGGTTCACCCTATCGGCGGGACTGCAGGGACGAGTGGAGGAGTCTGCGACGTGAAGCACTATTTTGGCAACTTCTTCCAGAGTGCTGGTCTCGGTGACCCATGGACTATTAGCAATGGAAACTGTGGGCAGTTTTCGTACGGGTTCGGAGCCTGCTATCGACTCAACCCCAGCAGAGACTGTTAAGCTGTGAGAGGGGTGAGCTGTGGCATGGACAACCTGGCTAGTGCCTAGATACGAAGCATGAATTCTACCTAGCTAGTATCGCGATGAGAAGTTGTTCCAGTCACTTACCTGCGCCCCCAACTGCACAATAATGCTGTGACTTTTCTGTACCTCGAGCGACAGCAAGATCCGCTTGAGGGGTTGCAATGAGCTTCGCTTGACATGACTTAGTTCTACAAATATGTTGTTGAGGAAAGTCTGCACGGTCCCACAATTAAGGATATCATTGCGTTGTGGCGTTGCTTACTGTAAGAACAGAGTTGAAGTGCATAAAATCTGCTGCTTCCTTGCTACATTTCAGCTGAATCAGACAGATGTGTTCAATCCTCCGCTTGCTCATCGCTATCGCTAACGAAACTATATGGAACTGCGCTGCAAAGTTTCCGATTCAATTCGCGATCTAAGAGCGGCCAGCCGCACGTCGTCGTTCTACGAAGGCCATTTTAGGAATTGTGACGCGCCGGGCGGATCTCCGGCGGCTCAACACCCCTGTACGCAGAACGTGCGGCAATGATGATCGCGTCCGTCATCGAAATCACAAAAAGCGTGTCTCACGCTGCATTTCATCTAATCAACATGCCATGACATTCCAACGATCCAGCAGTGTGCTCGCTGCGCTCTGTCACAACCCGCCAGTGTATTCCTCATCCTCTCTTCGCCCAAAATGCCAAATCCGCCTCACCTTTACAAAACCCGCAGCCCACCGCGCCGCCCTCCCGCTCCTCTTCCACCACCGCCTCGCGTCGACCTCCTCTGCCGCCGCTCCCCAAAAGCGTAGTCCTCCTCCCACTACTCCCATAACCGCCACCACAACCCGCTCTCCACCCGCCTCCCCTTATAAACCCACCACCCCCGATCCAAACCAGCCCCTCCCCGACCGCATCAACCCCCCCGCCTCCACCCTCCCCGCGCCCCTGACGACCCCCTCGCGCGCCCAGGATCAGTCCTTGATCAACTACCTCTACAAAACCGGCAGGGCCTACACCTCATTCTACTGGACCGGCATCAAGAACATCCGACACAACCGCACCCTCGCTAAAGCCGTCGAAGCGCGCATCTCGAGCGCCGCGCGCAGCGATGCAGCCACAGCCGCCGAGCGCGGAGACGTCAAGACCGCGGCCGCGGGGCCGGGGGTCGCGACGCGGAACCGCATCGCGGCCATCGAGGCGCTGAGCGGGACCGCGACGGCGGGGCTGACGAGAGCGGAGTGGCAGCTCCTGCTGCGCAGTCGGTATGATATGCGCCGCGTGCCGATCTTCGCGCTGCTGTTCGTTATACTGGGAGAATGGCTGCCGCTTGTGGTGATCTACTTCACGGCACTGGTGCCTAGGACGTGCAGGATTCCGCTGCAGGTTGACCGGGAGATTAGGAAGCTGGAGACGAGGAGGCGGCAGAGCTTGAGGGAGATGAGTGCGCTGAGGGCGATTACGGGGAAGAGTGGGGAAGGTGTGCGAGAAGAGAGCGGGAAGCAGCAGATGGACGGGACTGGGCAGCTGGCTACAGAAGTCGTCATAAAAGAGGAGAACCAGGTCGATCGTAAGACGGAGCTGGTGCATTTGAGCAGGTGTTTCGGGCTGCATTCTAAGATGTGGGATCGGCTGCTGGGTGGGCCGCCGACGGCATTGGTGGCGCGAAAGGTCAGGAATAGGTTTGATTATCTGGCCGAGGATGATCGCCTGGTTCTGAGGGACGGTAGTGTGAAAGATCTTACTAAGGAGGAAACCAAAGAAGCTTGCGTGGAGCGCGGGATTGATGTGCTAGGCAGGAAGGAGGAGGAGATGAGGAGGGATCTGGAGCTGTGGATGGGAAGGAGGAAGAGGGGCATGTTGCCTGGGATCGGTGAGGCTGGGAGGTAATTCGAGCCGGCTCGATGTCAGTATTCGCTTCTTCGCTCAGAGTGTGTCATAGCATGGCCAGGCGAACAAAATGGACAGTGTGCATGTATATCAACAATGTAATCCAGGTGAGAGCTTGCCTATAGAAAGGTACCCAACTCCTTGTAGACTAGAAGACATGGGATGGCCGGGGCTTTACTTGTATAACAGAACAGAAAAAATGACTAGAACATTGTATTTTTAGGGTTATCCATCCCCTTGTTAGAGTACCACCGTTTTGTCAATCTTGGCGGAAGTGCGCCGGTGTTGCATCTAAGCCGCGCGGATAGGTACAAGCGCCTCGAGGAAGCAACGCGTCATGACGAGGTGAGTGAAAAATTTCCTGGCCCGTTACCGTGTTGGTTTCCTCTTTTGGCTTGCTCAGCAGGTGGGTGACAGGTATTCAATTGTCGCGAGGCCGGGACAAGGGGTATGAGGTGAGTCCTGAATCCTCGCCGATGCACTGAGCGGCGTCAGATCCGAAACTGGGGTCTACCCTAAGCCGCCTCACGGCTATGGGGTTTCATCGCGAGGGACAAATCATCCAGATTTCCAAGGTCCATGTTGCCAGCGGATCTCTAGGTCATCTTATCTCAAGCTCGCTCTCTTTGCTAGCTCGCCTAGGATCGACCTTCCGTACCTTCTCACCAATGTTGACCCATGGCATCTCTTAACGGACTTTCGAATGGAGCTCCATGCTTGGACAGTCTCTCCCGTATACCTTCGGAATGACTAGTGACTAGGTAAGATAATACCGTATCATCAAGAACAGACAATCAACACAGGCACACGTGACGGGAGTTGAAAGCTCGCGCGTAGACAGCATTGATCGCAACCCGCCCTTCGAATAATCCACTTGCCCACTGCAGCACCTGTGTACTCCAAGAGAAAGGCGAGGCAGGTCACTTCTTGACCCCAGACAAATATGAGCCGCCGTCCCTGTATAGTAATCTACTCATTGTATCTTGGTATCTAGATTGTCAAATATATACGCTCTATCGGTCAGATCTTTGAGCCGTTCGCTCTTGGTTTCTTTTAGTTTGTCCATTTTTCGATCGGAGATGTCTTACCGAGCTACATATCTTTCCCTTGAGTTCGATCCTGCCGGGAACGACATGGGTGCGGAGTAGGCTTTCAGAGTCGAACGAGATCTCGCGTAGGATGTCGAGATAGAAACAAATGCCATACACACATGTCGCACTGATCCGACTATATTGGAGGCCGAGTTCGCACCCCATAAACAGCATGATAACACAGTTGAGCCTGTCAAGTGGCGCCTCCTTGCCGACTGTAGACCCGTTTTCTTGAACGCCCAGCGTCTGGATGACAGTTCGTAGGTTATCAACACCCAAATCCATCGCCAGGTCACGACCGAGAAACCTAAAAGACCTGAAAAGATCATGAGGTACGGGAAACATCGACTGTGCAGCAGACACACCAGCCAACAGGAACCCAAGTGGAATGATGGTCTCTAATAACCGCTCGGAGCAACAGTGACACTTGTACTCGCTGTTAGCCCCAATCCCATCCAGTGGTGCAAGGTGCCTGTTATCCTCAGGCCCGCAGGAGCACTGCTCGGGTAGCGCAGTGTAGACCAGCTTGTAATCCAAAAGCGCTTTGGGCACGGTCATATGCATGCCACTGTCAATGTGAGGCTTTACAATACCCAATTCAGGAAGCCATCGGAATATGCTGTCAAAGAGGCTGGATCCTTGCTCTGCTCCGGAACAGGCAATATATGAAAACCACCTCGAAAGGTGGACCCTCAAGTCATTGAGACTCGGGTCGTGTTCTGCGATGGCTCTGGCAATCCTTACAGTACAATCTAGTGCAATACCAACTTGCCGAAGGTTACTGACAAGCAGTTTTCCCACGGCACACGTCCAGGTGCTCCAGTATCACACTTCAAGGCGTCGGCGCTCAAACTGAAAATCTCTTTAATTCCCTTCAGGAAGAGAGTCTCTTCGAGCCTAACCAAGGATCCATCTGCGTGAGCGGCCTGGGTCTCGCTACGTATCTGGATTTGGGCATCAGATGTGTTGAAACAGTTGCTGTAAAGGAGCTGGTCTTCTTGGCCATAGATGGAACCTTCAGGCCCAAAAACCACTCTGAAACAGCAGCAAGCCAGCCTCCAGCGGTACACAGTTTGCGCTGAGTGATGTTAATCTGTGCCAGCTGCCCATAGGAGACCTTTCCAATGCCGATCAAGGCACTGGCAAAGTCTGCCGGACGAGGAGGCATGCCGCCAACTCGGTCATCCGTCCGTAGAAGGCTTTCGAACCCTTCGACAAGGAGAGAAAACTTCGAGGTAGCGAAGACGCCAGAACACGCTTGGACAAGCATGTGCCATTGGCCTATTAAGGGTGTGAGCTGTTCTGGGGCCTTCTGTGCCAGCGTGAGCTCGTGGAGCATATCTGCAGCAAACTCATCGGAGAAGCACTCCGACAAAGCGACGCACAAAGTCAAACAGCTACGGCCTTGGTCGGTAGTGCCTAGCTTACGAACAATGTTCTTGATCCCGAACCCGAACCAAAAAGCTCTCTGCACACCAGCGTAACATTTGAGTTCCTTCAACGCTCTTTCAATACTCTTGTTGCCTGCGATGGGGATGTGCGAGTTCTGTGCGAGAGCTTGTCCAACTATGAGGGTGTAGGGGTCGACGCCGGCAGCTGAAAGCCTCGAAAGTATGCCGACAGAAAAGGAGACCAAGTGTTGAATCTCAAGTACTGGATACTGCGAAAGCAATGGTGCGTTCGGACTTTTGCTTTTCAACACCGAGGTGCTGGCCAGGTCAACCCAGTCGACGGTACCTTGCTGAGCAAAGCCGCTCTGTGCAAGTGCTAGACTAGACTAGAAGAATCTCTGGTAGTCATGGTTCGACAAGATAGAAATGGAGGGTTGTGATTGCATCATTGCTGGCAGTGAAATGGAGCGTTGAAAGAAGTCGGGAAGCAGGGCGAGACTGAATTCTATGCTCATCGTGAGGCTGCGCCACAAATATCGAAATGCGGCCGAAAGAGGGAAAAGAGGTGATTAGATGCGCGCCTGCATTTTGCTACTGCGTCCTGTGCGTTGGACTGCATTAGATGAGACGAGGATGAAAGCGTAACTGGAAACTGTATGAATGGCATTGAAACACTCATCGCACTGCATCGCGATGATCTAGCCTCTTGGAACTGGAACAATGCGGTGCTGTAACTGATACGTTTCCATGCAGGCGTCGAAGTCGCCGTAAATACGTGCTCGTGATACCTTCCTGGAGATCGACCTCCTAGAGCGATGTTGGCCTTGTGTGCTGAAGCCAAACTTCACGGAAACTTGCACGTTATAGGCCTGATACTTGCAGGTTTTTCGGGACCTACGGCCGCTTGAGTAATGATGTGTTGAAACACTACCTTATGAGGTGGCTGAAAACCTGTGCCTCGCCTGGAGGGCAAACGGCAAGCGTGGTGTAGACGTCTGCGGAATCTGGTATGATTCGATACCCACTTATGGGCAACGCTCACGTTTTCCGGCAGACCTGTGAGGGAAGCAGGAGCATGGCCACTACCCGTCATCCTTCGGTGATACTTGTCCAAGAGCCCGACTTCCAAGACCGTGAAGACACCCGTCCTGACGTAGCCATATTCGGAATCTTCTTTTGGAAATGCCCCAAGGAACTGCATTCGGACAGTCCGAGTCAAGATTGCAGTTGGGCTTTACTGTACTTCTGTAGCAGGCATCAGCTTTGTAAAACAGTAAGATTACGTGCAGATCTCGCAACGGTCCAGGAAATTCTCATAGCGAGAGGGATCTGACCATCACCGAGCCGCCGCTGGGGGCACATCCAGAAAGTGATTCGATCGCTTCAATCTTTAAGCCAGCCACTTCTCCTCACCTGCGTTAAGAGGCAGAAGCTCACGGCATAACCCACGTGTCCGGATGTGCGCGTTGCGCTTGTGATCCTGCTGCAGCTGCAGACTCGCTTGAAGCACCGCCTCAACTGAAGCCTTGACCGTGGGGTGCTTAACTACTGTAGATACCTCCTCCTGCCTGACAGCCTCTCACCATCTCGGGCAGGCCGTCAGGGCGTGGGGGGCGCCAGCCAGCCTGGCGCTTGGGATCCTTGGTGGTTTGGTCTTCCATTCCAGCGGTCTGGATAAACTTGGGAAGGCACCGGATCGGATCCGTCGGAAATCCCGCACACGACGCTTCGCGCTCCCCATTGGCCTTCCGCAGGGGTGAAGCGGTAAATGAGCATGGATTGACAGTTCTATCCCTGCATCTTGCTGCATGACGACGGGAAGCACTCGCGCTGCCCGCTTGGAAGCTGACTTGCAGTCTGGGCGTGCTTGGATGCTTGATGCCCTCTTTGCAGCTCTCCAACGCTTCGGTGAAGAAGAGCAAGCCCCTGAAGGCAGTGCTTCGCCGTAACATCGACATCTTTTTGCCCGACTGCAACACCATCACACCATCTCAATATCCCACGTGGCTATTTCTGCATTGTGATTCTATCCTCGTACTTGTGCCACGCTGGTTCTGACCGTCCTCAGCCCTAGCTACTCCTACCCCGCTAGTTAAGGCTTCTTACTTCTTCAAGAGATCCCTCTGTTTAACATTCCGGGCTCATCGACCTTCCTCAACGATCCAAAGCGACTGCACGAAGGTATTGGGTTGCAGTGGCAGCTTCAGATCCCGCTGTCGATCCCTCTCCCCGTTGCCGCATATTGCTGGGAGATAACCGCCTACTGACCTCCCTTCTATCTTTCTCTCGAAGCGCAATGTCGTACTTTCCTGGCCAGCAATACGCGGGCGGACAGCCGCATGAAGGAGGATACGGAGCACCACCACCACCGCAACTGGGGTATCCTCCACAAGGCTATCCTCCACAGGACTATCCGCCGCAAGGCTACCCACCACCGCAGCAGCAGTACCCGTAGGTTCACCTAAACTTCACTGCCATACCGCGTAGGAGATAACCCACCTAACGCTGGACCAGACCCCAGGGCTACGGCTATCCTTCACCACAGCCTTATCCGCCTCCATCACCGCAACCCTCGTATGGTTACGGACAACCGACTCCTCCGCCTCGACAGTACAGCGGCTACGCGCAGGTACTTAGATTCCATCCGCTATCTCGTCGGAATGTCAAGCGCTCATGTTTATCTTAGACACCTCCTACTGCTGCACAGCAAGGCTATGGGTTCGGAGCTCCGCCGCCTCAGCAATGGCACCCCTCGATAAACCAGAATGCATATGTGCAGGGCAATCACGGCGCCCCCCCTCCACCGCCGCAACAAGCTCAGGCATTTGGTCACGGCGCACCTGGCAACTACACCTTCCAATACTCAGCGTGTACTGGACGACGAAAGGCACTGCTTATCGGCATCAACTACTTCCGGCAGCGCGGAGAGCTCAGGGGTTGCATCAACGACGTCAAGAACATGTCCAACTACCTCAATCAATACTTTGGTTATCGGCGGGAAGACATGGTGATCTTGACGGATGATTCGCACATTGATGCAAGCAAGCCTAACAAGGCTAATATTCTGCGCGCAATGCACTGGCTTGTAAAGGATGCGCAACCGAACGATTCGCTTTTCTTTCATTACTCCGGTAAGTAACCCTGGCGGCATCTTAAGGTCCAACCACCACTAACAATATTCAGGTCACGGTGGACAGACGAAAGACCTTGACGGAGACGAGGACGATGGGTATGACGAGGTCATCTATCCTTCTGACTTCCGAGAGAAAGGCCATATAACGGACGACGAAATGCACAGGATTCTGTAAGTTTTCACCGCATTGGGCACGTACTAGCTACTCACTTACGTTAGGGTCAACCCATTACAACCTGGTGTCCGTCTTACCGCAATCTTTGACTCCTGCCACTCCGGCTCCGCGCTTGATCTTCCTTACATTTACTCTACGTCCGGCGTTCTCAAGGAGCCCAATTTGGCCAAAGAAGCCGGCCAAGGCCTTCTCGGTATTGTATCATCATACGCGCGTGGCGATTTTGGCGGCATGGCAAACACAGCGCTTGGGTTTTTCAAAAAGGCGACGACCGGCGACGACACACGCAAGCGGAACTTGCGGACGAAAACCTCGTCGGCGGACGTTATCATGTGGTCCGGCAGCAAGGACGAGCAAACGTCGGCAGACACGACGCAGGGTGGTGAGGCTACGGGAGCCATGTCCTGGGCGTTCATCCGGTCGCTCCAGAAGAATCCGCAACAGAGCTACGTGCAGCTCCTCAATAGCATCCGCGACGAGCTGGAGGGCAAGTACATGCAAAAGCCGCAGCTAAGCTGCAGCCATCCCCTCAGTAAGTCATAGAAGCTCATGATTTATCGGGCACTGCTAACGTAATGGACAGACACCGATCTGCTATATGTAATGTAAAGTCTCGTTTGCATAAGCATCGTTGGATAATGGAGGAAACGGCATCGGGAATAGGGACGGCTCGAACTGTACTATGTGTAGAGGGGACGACCTGTAGGATCCCGCCGGCGTTTAGTGTCATCGGCATAACCTGCATTATTCATCCGGATAATTCGAGATGCTTCAACGGTTTATTAACCTCATCCTCAGCTCACACAGTGGTGCGCGACGTAATTTTAGAGTTCTGGATGTATTGCGGCCGGGCACGTGACATCAGCCTCGGCTCTTGCCCACGCTCGGCAAAGCATCACGACGTCATCTCTCACGGCCTGCCTGTTTTAGCTTCTAGTCCAAGGTTCTCCGCATTGAAAATCGATAGACGCTGGTGCTAAAGGCACTAAAAGTGCTTAACACTTTGTCAACCAGGTACCGGAATGCCCTTCAGGCCGGCCCCGAGGTCAAGCGCCGTTCTGTGGCCAATGTGCGTTCTTGCCATCTTGAGCCAGCGGGGCCCTGACCGATCCTGAGATAGAGCATGATGCTGACATCACCGGTGGGAGGGATATTGGCGACCGCAGTGCCATGTTTGGTGCATTGTAAGTAGGTAGGATTCTGGGGAGCACCGGATAGCTCCGGGGTACTTTAGGTAGGTAAGCCCAGCTTCTTTTGCTGCTACAGCTCCGTTTCCTTGCCACTGTACTTCATTGCTGCATTCTGAGCCCTTTCTGCTGCTGTCAAAATGCGCGCCTACGGCCTGCAGTTGCTGGCAAGCGTGTCGCTGCTCGGTCTTGCAACTGCGCAGCAGAATGACTCTCTTCCCACTGTTGACCTAGGGTATGAGCTTCATCAAGCTGCCTACTACAACGTACGTTGTCAATCGCTCAGAACATGACGAAGACTGCGGAAATACTGACTGCAAGTAGGATACTGGCCGCTTCTACAACTTCTCGAATATCCGCTTTGCTGCTCCACCGCTCGGCAACCTGCGCTTCGCCGCACCTCAGCCTCCCGCAGTCAACAGATCAGAAGTCCAGACCGGCAGTGTCGGGCGGATCTGCCCACAGGCGGCTGGGGCGTGGTCTTCGATTGCCGCCCAGTTCGTGCCGGCCTACCTGGCCGGTATACCATTCAATGGAACGTCTTCGAGTAGCAATTCCTCCGGGTCGACGAGCCTCCCCCCGCAAGATCCGAGGACGTCTGAAGATTGCCTGTTTTTGGATGTCGTGGTACCAGAAGAGGTTTTGGGCAATGCCGGACACGGATTTGGTGCGCCGGTACTGGTGTAAGCATTACTGCCCAGCTAGTTCGGACAGTTGCTGAATTTTACAGGTGGATCTATGGTGGTGGCTATACCGGAGGCAGCAAATCGGCCGCGGGCAATCCCGCTGGTTTGCTCGCGCGAGGCGAAAACAGCACGGCTGAAGGAGTCATATATGTTGCTATGAACTACCGTCTCGGCGCATTCGGGTGGCTATCTGGCCCAAGTCTCCAGTCGAACGGTACCGCGAACGCAGGACTGCACGACCAGCGGTTGGCGCTGGAGTGGGTACAAGATAACATCCACCTCTTTGGCGGCGATCCGAACCGCGTGACTGTTATAGGGGAATCTGCCGGAGGAGGCTCTATTATGCATCAGATGACAGTACGCTCTATTCTTGAGCGTTTGGAGTATTCCATACTGACTTGAACAGGCTTATGGTGGCAAAAATGGCTCAGTGCCCTTCCAGCAAGCAATCCCTCAGTCACCCGGATGGGCGCCACAAACCAGCAACTACCAGCAGGAGCAGCAACTAAACGCCTTCCTCGCCTTGCTCAACGTCTCCACCATCCAGGAAGCCCGCGAGCTTCCCTCCGAGGCTCTGATAACTGCAAACCTCATCCAAGTCGGCCGCTCGCCCTACGGTACCTTCACTTACGGTCCAACCGTCGACGGTGACTTCGTCCCCGCCCTCCCGGGTGTCAGCCTACTGCACGGCAACTTCGACCGCCGGGTCCGCGTCATGGTCGGTCACAATGCCAACGAAGGTCTCCTCTTCACCAGCCCGTTCATCACAAACGATACAGCCTACGAAGCTTACATACGTCGTAATATACCTTCTGCGACGAACGACGTCATCGAGTACATCACCAACACGCTCTACCCTCCCGTATTCGACGGATCTGAGGGCTACACGGACCAGATCGGCCGTGTGTCGAAGACTCTTTCCGAGCAGGTCTTCACCTGTAACTCCAACTACCTCGGCCGCGCGTACGGCAACGAGACATATGCATACTTCTTTGCCGTCCCGCCTGCGCTGCACGGCCAGGACGTAGCATACACCTATTATAACGGGCCGAGCAGGAGTGTGGTCAACCAGACAGTGGCGCTGGTCCTGCAGGAGTTCATCACCAGCTTTGCGGCGACGGGACGGCCGAGCGCGGAGGGCGTTGAGGGAGTTCCGATGTTCGATCTGTATGGCCCGGAGGCGAGCATCGTCAACTTGAACGTCACTGGGATTACGGACGGCATTGATCGCACGGCTAACGAGCGGTGTTTGTGGTGGCAGAAGGCGTTGTACTTCTAGACAGCGATGGGAACGAGGTGAGGATGGGCCGGCGTAAGTCATGAGGAACGATCTGGCATGGTTATGATTATGAGTGGCAGAGGCTCAACGGCATATGCGTTATGCCCCGTGAGAAAGCAATCACATGCTCATATGGGACAACTGTTCCCACGCACGAGCTGGTAATGCAGCTAAGTAGATAGGGGCAGCGTCTGTACACACACATACCACACAGGCTTGCAGGGTACCTCAACATTGATGCAGCGATTCTGCAAAACATGAGGAACTTTTTTAAGGTCCCAGGTTGCTACAGTCGGTCGCAACAGCATGCGTTAAGCCTTACAGGCTGTGCCATTGAGTTTTACAAGCCGGGTACGGCCTACCTAGGTACCTGTGTACCCATGTACCCAAGTACCTTCGTATTATACCAATGATATGACGGGTTGCGAGACAGGCGTTTGGAGATCGATGGTCATGTCTTGGCGCGCATGGCAGGGCTGTCTGGTGCCCCTGTCGTTCACCCGCAGCAAGCCCTGGGCTGCTTGGGACCGACTTGTTATGCATGACGGCCGCGCCCCATAACAATCGGCAGGCATCCCTCTGCTCAAATGAGGGCAGGACACGAACACGCAGCATCGCCATTGACGGCAGCCTGCAACAGACATGACTGAGCCCCTGTCGCCCTCCCAGCGCCGAACTTCGTCACTCGCAAACACAGCAACAACAAGCGTCACCTACCAACACGCGACTGCAACCCGCGCCTTCCCCCCCAAACGACCGCAGACCCTCTCCTCCATACACAGCATCGAGAAACTGAGACACATCCGATCCAATAGCGACGCGTCATTGCTTCGAGGAGCGCCCAAAATCCAACCGAGTCCGGGGTCGAGCAAGTCCAGGCCGCTGACAGCAGGCGGAGCGCTTGAATCGCACGGCACCACACGCAACGATACAGTACAGAGCCCGTATCCGCCGGATGGACCGAAGATGGCTCAAGACGAGGACGTGCGCACGTTCGACCTACCGGACTCGGATCTGCCCCCTCTACCCCTAGACAGCGATGGCAGTTTCCTGCTGGAGTCTAGCGAGCTGGCCCATAGTAACATACAGAGCGACGGGAGCGCATTGATGGAGCGGGAGATGAAGCGAAAGCTGATGGATGTGGAGTCGAGCTTCCTTCCGGAGGTCTCTCCCGGAGCGCTGGTGGGGGGTGTTGTTGGCGCAGACGATACCTACGTCTTTGGAGGGTCCTTAGGCGGCGCAAGGCCAGGCTCGCAGCCGAAGGAGAAAGATGGAACTCAGAGTGTACCGAGGAGTCAGTCGGATAGCATGCCGCTCGATAATTCAGACGCCGCACCGACCCCTTCCGACGCTTACCAAACACCGGCACCGTACAAATATGACCATGAAGCGCAGAGCGAAGACGGAGCCGACCGTGAGTCAAGAGTGGAGGATGGGCAGCCACCGGCGCAGGAGCCACCATCTTCACCCGCGGCTGCTGCTGCTGAGCGGACGTTGTCTCGAGCGATACACGTAGTGGCAGTGAATTCCCATGGCCAATCTCCTACTAAGAGTGAAACACCGCGACCCGAGTCAGCTGATGGGGATGCTCACTCTTCAAATTCGCGCCCCATCTCGCGAGCATCAACAGTCAAAGCCTCTTCATCCGCCCTACAGGCAGTGACTTCTTCTTCACCTCTTCCATCTGAACAATCACCAACGGCACATGACAGCGCGCCTACGCCAAGAATATCGGGACAACCTCCTACACGTCCAGCGAAGCGCCCTAGCTACCTAAGAAACCGCCAAACTAGCCAGCGATCCTCAACCTCGTCCTTTACAAACAGGTCAGAAATGTCAGGAGAGAGTGATGCGACACTGGGGGCCGACTATGCGTTACAAACAGGCGGCGCTGCACCTAGTTCCAGTGAACGTCGTCCAACTTACGGCCTCTCACGATTACCGAGTCTAGGCAGCATTGCATCATCCGTGTCCGGATGGAGTGAATCGCCATCGTTCGAACGAACAGGACTCTCCTTGCCGACAGGGTTACAACATGAGACAACGCTTGAAACGCTTGCAGAGGAGGGAAAGCCGCGCTCCGCTTCGCCGCCTGCAACCCCACGTTTGGCGAGCTCAGTTGCGACGGGTCCGACGGATACAATTATCGCGCAGCATGTGCAAAACATCCAGGTTCCTGACACAATTGCAAGGGAATATAGGGAGAGGCACGGGCCTCGACCTTCTACGACAGAGTCAATGGCTCTTTCCTTCCAGCAACGGAAGAACAATCTAACCCTGAAGGAGCAAAATAGCAAGATAGACAAGCTAAGTAAGGAGAACTTCGATCTGAAGCTCAAAATCCATTTCCTGGATCAAGCGCTGCAGAACCGGTCTGATGAGGGCGTCAAAGACATGATCAACAAGAATGTGCAACTACAGACTGATCTTGCCAACGAGAAAAAGGAGAACCAGTTTTTGCGGCGGACAGTGCGGGACCTGGAGCGCAAGCTCAAGGCGCAGGAGGACGGTTTGGCCGCAGCTCAAGCGACTAGCGGATCTGAAGACCAAAAGAGTAACCACTCTTCGCGCGCTGAAGGAATGGAGGAAGAGATTACGTACTTACGAGAGATGCTGCAACACTCCGAGGTGGAGATAGAAAAGCTTCGCGAAGAGAGCCTGGCAAAGGAAGTTGAGAAGCGGCGGATGGCTGAATATGTCAAGAGCATGGGCGATCGCAGGGGCTCAGAACCCAGCGCCGGTGCCAGCGAAGCCATGGTAAACAGCCCAATGGCGCGATATATATACAAAGATGGACTAATGCGCACACAGGATATGCTGCGTGACCTGCTAGAGGCGGAGACGGCTCGTCGAGAGCAAGCTGATGAGGACAACCAGAAGCTGCGGGAAGAACTGATCCGGCTGAAGAGTGAGACCATGTCAACGACTACCACCAACCACGTGCGGAATATTTTCCACATCAGCAAGCGAAACCAGCGTACATCGTTTACTACGAAGTCTCAGTCCGAAGGGTCTGAGCAGGCTCACGAGCGTAATGGCGCCGTTAGCACTTCCAGCTTCACTTTCGTTGACCAACTAAAGCACGAGAATGACGAGTTGCAGCGCAAGCTGGGCGCACAAGTGTCTATGCTGACAACCCAACGCCGAGACAAGGAGAGACTGCAGCAGGAGATCGAAGACCTGAAGCTCGCACAGCGGAGAGGTGACGGAGTGCGGTCAGTCGCTGGCGACAGCATCCTCGAGCGCTCAGTATCACGCACCCACCAACGATCTCTCTCACGGGCTAGCGGCGCTACACGCATCACCCAACAAACCCAGATCAGCGACGCAGAGCGTGAGGAATATGAGAACAAGCAAGCCGCTCTGCGGGACGATCTCGCGCAGACAAAGCTACTCAATCAGCAACTGGAACAAGAGCTGAATGCGCATCTGGATCTTCTCACACAAACTGAGAACGAGGTGCGAGCGCTGAAAGCCGAGAGAGATCTGACCACAGAGGACCTGCGGGCATTGCAAGCAGAGCGTGACGAAGCATTACTATCGCTGCAGGAGAAGGAAGCGGAGTACGACAATCTGCGAGTGGAAGCAGAAGACATCATCGCGAAGCTCGAAAACGAGATAGACCAGAAGGAATCTGAACTCAACCGCATGGGGACGGACTTAGAGAATCGTACCGAAGACTTCACCGCCCTCCAAGCCGAGATGAGAAATGTCAGTGAGAGCCTGATAGCGCTCGAGGATGATCGAGACGCGAGCCAACGCAAGATCCAGAGCTTGGAGCAAGATATCGAAGACGCCAACCGGGAGCTCGATGCGCTGGACAAGCGTCTGCAGGAGGCTCTAGCTAAGAACCAGCGGCTCGAGATTCAGTCCGAGTCCAGCCAAGGCGAGATAGCTTTCTTACGCGAGGAGCAGGAAGGCGACAAGATCAAGATCGGCGAACTCGAAGCTGCTCTTAATGCTGCTCAGTCCAACGTTCAGGACGAGAAGGAGAAGCTGTACGAGCTTGAGCAGCAGTACGCGATCGAGAAGCGGCAGCGCGAGGCGCTCGAGAGTCACGAGAAAGGTGAGGTGCAGAAGATGCTCACTGAACTCAACATGCAAGCACAGAAGTCGAAGGATGAAGTTCGCCGACTGAGGAAGAACCTCTCATCCAAAGAAGTCGAGGCAACGACATGGAAAGACAGGCTCGATGATCTGGAAAACAGCCTGCGAGAGGCACTTGGCAGTCTTGACGGCACCAAAGCCGGCTTCCTCAAGGTAGATACCGCTAACATCCCCTCCACCAAGTACATTATTCTTAAGCACGTTCAGGACATCCGCAAGCTGCAGCTTGATCTCGACACCACTGTCCAGCAGCTCGACACTGCACGCCACGATCTCGCCGAGAAAAACCGGTTCCTCAAGGACCGTGACACCCTCCTCGAAAACGCCGCCCTCGACACGCGCCGCCTCTCCGAACTGCTCGACAAAGAGCGCCAAGCCCGCAAACAAGACCGCCACCAACACGAGCAATCCCTCCGCAGCCACCAATCCACCGCCCGTACCATCACACAGCACGAAACCCGCGTCGCAGAGCTCGAAACAGCACGCAGCCACGACCGGCGCAAACTCGCGCAGCTGGAGCAGCAGTACCGCGATCAGCTCCTCGAGCGGCACAACCTGCTCCTCGCGCTATGGAACCGACTGTCCACGCTCTGCGGCGCGGAGTGGGCACAGGCCAACAGCCTCGTCGCCGGCGAGCTGCCCAGCCTCGAGCTCATCGCCAAAAACCTCCCGGGCTTCAGCAAGAACGTCATCCTGGCCGTCAAGACGGTCGAGAGCCTCATCGGCGGCTTCAGGCAGCGCATCCGCGGCATCGAGAAGGAGCTGTGGCGGGAGTACCAGAACCTGGAGCACGCGCTGGATGTGCGCTCCAAGCGCATGGACGCGCTCGAGAAAGCCGTCGCGAGTGGCGGCGCTGCCGCCAAACGGCCTTCCGCGAGCCGCAGCTCGTCGCGCACGTCCGAGACCTCCGAGGTAGTGAAGCTGAAGGGCGAGAACAAGCTGCTGAAAGCCGAGCTCCAGTTCCAGCGCCAGACTGCGGCACCGCGGCCGGGCATGGAGCGCGCCGAGACGCTCCACCCAGAGAGCGCGGCCAGGAGCCCCGCTAGAGCGAGTATAGGCCCGCAGCTCCTGCGCACGCATTCGACAAGCGCGGTTGAGGTTTTGCAGCACCAGCACCAGCAACACCAGGGCGGAGAGCAGCAGCAACAGCTGTATAGTGCGCCCCTCCAGCCGAGCGAGAAGCGGTGGCTCCATCGCCTCAGGGAGCTGGAGCGGAGGCTGAAGGCGGAGAGGGAGGCGAGGCTGCTGGATAGGAGTGGGGCGAGGAAGCGGCTGGAGGAGGGGAGGCTGGAGAACGAGGAGTTGAGGGCGCTGTTGGAGCGGGAGAGGGAGAGGCGGAGGGGGAGTTTAGCGGAGAGTGACGAGGGTGGGGTGTAGGATAAGATTTCATTGCTTGGGTCTTTGACAGGGCACGTGAGAGCTGGTGTTGCGATAAAGTGGGCTGCGTAAAAAAAGACGTCCTGGCGTGTTGGGGGGATAAAAGAGCCGTAGAATAAGGTCTTGGAATATAGCATATTGCGTGTCAGGTTTTTCGTTGCATTCGCTTTGTTTAGGTGTACTTTGCTAGATTTCTCTGAATTGGTTGGATCCCAAACCGCGGAATCTATGTCACTGCATTGGTAGGGCGGCTTTCTCCATCCGCCGTTTCCCTTCATTCCTTCCTAACAAGTTCTCTCGTTAACGCGGGCGCCGCATTGGAATTCTCAATATTGAGAAGCTAAGCTGGAATAAGAACCATCACATGAGTATAACAGCGTGCTATCTACAACTCTAGCTCCAACTCAATCACCACCCAGACCCAGCCGTCCCAAACAAGCTGCCCCCCTCTTCGAAGCCCCAGCCCCTACAACCCCATCCCATAACTCTTAACCCGACTCCAATAAAACGCCCTATCATTCTTCAGCCCAAACTCCCCCCAATCATCCGTCAGCCGATTATAGCTCCAATACCCCTTCCACATGAGTTTGTTGTTCCTTGCCCCCCTCCCAGCGCTCCCAACCTGCAGCTGCATCTTATACAGATACTTGGGCGTCACACCCTCCGTCTCGACATGCAGCATCCCCTCCTCCTCCACCTCATCCTTCTCCGCGTCCCCGTCTTCGCCAGCCTCGCTGGTCCCCAAGCGCTTACGCGAAGCCGGGCCCGAAAGCCGCCACCGGCCCGGCAGCGCATCCCTCATAGGCCCGACCCCAACCTGGCCCGGCACCAGTGCCACATTCTCCTTCCGCAGCACCGGCACCACCTCGGCGGGCTCGGCGGTCGTGAGCAGCGAGACGACGGTGCCGTCGCGGAAGAAGCGCAGGTAGCGGTAGTACGTCACGATCAGCACGGGGGAGTTCCAGGTCAGCTGGGTGGGGCTCGAGGCCCCCGGGCGCGTGTAGTTCACTGTGCTGATGTAGCAGCCGTTGAAGCGGATGCGCGGGCGCGAGTGGAACAGGGCCCGGTAGGTCGGGTAGGGGCGCGGGATTAGGGCGGCGGCTGTGGCGGCGGTGAGGGCGGAGGGGGTGCCGGGGTGGGGGGCGTCTGTGTCGGAGTGGAGGGCGAGGGCGAGGTCCGGGTCGGGGTCACGGTCGGAGTCGGATGTGCCCAGCATCTGACCGCATAGACCGTCGTCGAGTAAGGGCTTGCCCCTGATGGTGCACGCGTACCGGTAGTGCATGGCCCCGAAGCCGAACTCGTGGCCCAGGGCGATGCGCCGCCATATGCGGTCTTCGGTGAGGACGAGGTAGGCGAGGCGCTTGCAGACCTGGGCGAGGCGCACGAAGGAGGCGACGTCGAATATTGCGTTATAGAGGAGAATCTCGACCAGGATTTCTTCCGGAATCGCGGCGATCGGGCAGGGCGGCGCAGGCGAGAGGTCAGTCGGAGGCCCTTGACCCTGGATGGAGAGGTGGGCGAACTCGTCGATCAGGTCTGACAACGAGGAAGGGGGACCATGGAATGAGTGGTGGGCAGGGTTGGGCACCGTTACGGGGGCGTTGGAGGGGTTGACGTTTGTAGGCTTCGAAGGGAAGGCGGACGGCGGAAAATGCTTGGCTTTGTATCTCTCGTGTACTTTCTCGTCCAACTATGTACAGTTTCAGCCGTATCCTCCAGCAAGAAAGATAGACACTAGCTACCCTGAACGCTTTCCGATACAGGCTCACGCTGTCCCCTAGGCTGCCCTGTGTCTCCTTCTCCACCGCCTTCTCGTAGTGTTCTAGGGCTGATACGGGCTGTTTGCTTGAACTTGGCACAGCCCCGACGTCTCCAACCCGTCGTCCTGACTCTCTGTCTTGCAGCCCATGGTGTGTTTCGGGTTCCGTGTCGGATCCCTCGTCGTCGTCTGGCTGAGCGGCTCGGGCTGCTGGCGCCTTGCTCTTCTTCTGGCTGTTTGCTACGTTTGACGATGCCTCTAGCTCAGCTGGCGCCGGGACTTGCGGCCTTGTTCTGGCGGTCACTTCTTTCCGCCACTGTTGTCTGAAAGACTCGAGCTCTGCTTCGGTAGGGTCCATACTGCGGCACAGGTGGGTTGGTGGTTCAAGGTTGGCCTAGAGCGTCTACGCGTGTTTCTATAAATGCTATCAGTCTTTGAGGGGGTTCACAGAGTCAACGATGCAAGGCCCGCTGCGCGGTTCGACTGCTGCTGGTATGACTGTAGAGCGATGTCTGGCGGATATGCGCTGGTCCGTCATCGGACCGGACACAGGCCGGATCAGATAAAGAAGCCGCCTACCGAGGCCGCGCTAAGAAATTTGAGCTTCCGGGGTATGACGGCGACGATGGGATCATAGAGCCTAGCCTGACCCTTCTACCACTCCTGCACCGCTTCGACAATGGCTCTTCTAACGCGGTGATAGTGCCGGAAAATACTGTCAACCCATCCTACCACAGCTGCCGCTCACCCAGGACCATGTCATACTCAGCAGCAATGGAGGAGGGGTCAGCTCCCGCCTCTGACGACGGCCGAGGATCGCAAGAAAACAGTGGCCAGCGACACGACAGAATAGCAACCAAGGAACGCCATATCGCAATGGCATCCGCTGAGATAGAGGACGAAACCGTCGACTTGGATGTCCCAGACCAGGTTTCGATATCGCAAAAGATGCTTTCCGCCGTCTCTGGGAGCATCCTCACTTCTCTCCTAGGTATGGCCTGAATCCCTCTATGCTTCCCTTTTCAGCGCCGCTGCATAGCATGAGGTGAGCAGCGTGCTAACAACGACATGCAGTCACTCCTCTAGATGTCGTCCGCGTCCGTCTTCAATCCCAAGCACATCCCTCAGACGCCTCCTCCCGACCGCGCCCCCACATCCGCACACTACCCTCCACCCTAGGCACAACCTCCTTCTCCAACCTCCCCCCAAACCTAGGCATCTCCTCCTGCTGCCGCGAAGTCTTCTGGGTGAACAACAACGCCCCCTACTGCGTGGCCGCCGACAGCGTAGCCATCGCCTCGACGCCCGCCTCCTCGCTGGCCGCGGACTGCGCGGCCGAAGAAGCCCAACGAAAGACCTTCACCTCGACCTTCGACGGCCTGCGCAAGATCGCCCAGAACGAGGGCACCCGCACCCTATGGCGCGGCCTGTCCCCCACCCTCGCAATGGCCGTCCCAGCAAACGTAATCTACTTCGCCGGCTACGACTGGCTGCGCACCTCGCCCGCCTCGCCGCTCCACAACAACATCTCCCCCGTCTACGCACCCCTAGCCGCGGGCTCCACGGCCCGCATCCTCGCCGCCGTCGCCGTGAGCCCGATCGAGATGTTCCGCACGCGCATGCAGGCCGCGCACAACGCGCAGACGGCCTCGGGGCTCTTCCGCGAGACGCTCGACGGCCTGCGCGACATGGTGCACGCGCAGGGCTTCCGCTCCCTGTGGCGCGGTCTCAGCCTCACGCTGTGGCGCGACGTGCCCTTCTCGGCCATCTACTGGTGGGGCTACGAGTCCGGCCGGAACGTGCTCACTGATGCGCGGGAGCGGGCACGGGGAAGGAGCAGCGAGATTGGATTTCTCCCGAATGGCGCGGGGGACTCGAGAGAGAGGCATCGGCGGAGGAGCAGGAGTAGGGAGAAGGAGGACCATACGGCTACGCTTGTGGACTCGTTTGTTGCGGGCGCGGTCAGTGGGGCTGTGGCGGCGTTTGTGACGACGCCGTTTGATGTCGGGAAGACGAGGCAGCAAGTGCTGAAGCATTCGGGGGCGGAGAGGAGGGACAGGGGGGTGGATAAGAAACATGTCAGGCCCGAGGACAGGAGCATGCCGCGGTTTTTGTGGCACATCTTTAAAGAGCAGGGCATGGGTGGCTTGTTCAAGGGATGGGCCGCCAGATGTCTGAAGGTCGCGCCGGCGTGTGCGATCATGATCAGCAGCTATGAGATTGGGAAGAAGATGGCGGGGGGCATGAACGAGCGGAGGGATGCAAAGAGGATGGCTATTGAAGAGGAAAAGTGAGCAGAAAGATTTCGCGCATTTCTACAGTCGCAAATATGGAGTCGTTGGCTGGGTACGGACTCGCGTTGGGTTTCCGTTATGCATGGTGTTGCGGAGCATCCTTGGTAGACGCTTTTTGGACTTATAGGGTGACCCTTCTGTGGGCTGCGCCTTCGTGGTTTGTACAATAGAGGAGCGCATTGTACTTCTAGTTACTCATGAGCAATCAGTATGTCAGATAGCCATTCTGGCAAGCGTAAAGCTCGGAAAACATCACCGCTTTGCTGGAGTGTCGCTCATGTATTATGATTGTTCAATGTTGACTCGTCCCAGCGCGAAGAACTGATGCGAAAAGAAGCATACGCGACTAACGCAGCCTTCTGCTAATAATGGACACAGGTACTAAAAAGTTTGATTCTTTCTAGCACATACGGCCATGGTCAAAGAATACTAGGCATCCTGTCCGCTTACATAAGCTTTGAATTGGTGGGTTAGTAGTAGGGTATCTGGATACCTATCAGGTATCTGCAAGGCCGGTATTATTACCCCTTGTAGTAAATGTCGCTGCGAAATATGCACCATCCAGTCAGGACAGCCAGTTCAACGGCGACCACCAGGACCAGGACCAGGACCAGGCCGTCCTACCATATTCGAAGCCATCACCAAATAGACCCGCGCGCAAAGTTTCTCCATCGAGTGTGGCGGAGAAGAGCACTCGACGCAAAGGAAAAACCCGCCAGGGAACGGCCACCGCTCAGTCAGGTCCAACCTTCGAAAGTATCCAAGTCTGGCCAGAGGAGAAGACGTCCACTCGATCAGAAGCGGAGCACCCACTCGCGATGGAGTATAGCCGCTTAAGGGTCATGCGAATGATGCAGGGCAAATAGAAGAACAAGGACCACCTGAGGTGGCCGTGCGCAGGAGCGAACGGATATCTCAACGTACACGCGACCCGGCGCCCCCATCTCCTGGCTTAGTTGGTGCAACAAAAAACTCGTTTCAGCGCCGTCCAGATGGTCATGTACGCCGAAGTGCGCGCAGATCGGATCGTATGAAGAAACTTCCTTCGCTAGGATCCTATCACGATGTCGAACCTGCTCAGTCGAGCACAATGGCCAGATGAAAATCAACATGACGCACCACGGTCCACACAGACACAGTGTACTCTGAGACACCGCAAGGAATCTCGAAGACAAGACGTTGGAAGAAGGCGATATCTGAGACGAGGAAATTTTTCTTAACGCCATACGCTTTCTAAACGCGGTGCCAACAGTCAACACGCCGGTTGTGTTCAAAGAAGCCGGATAAGCAACCCCTGTGATTCCACGATTCGGCCTACTGGGAGCAGGAAGGGATCCGGATAGTAGAAGATAGCAGTAGCAGAAGGCGTGATTACGGGTCATAGGAGAGCGTGCCAGCACTTGTGTGGACGGAAGGGCGCTGCAAATCTAGGAGTTGGCTATTTGAATTTGGTGCGTTTGTAAACAGGGTAGATGACATTTACCAACCATGTGCATTGACTTTGAAGTAATGTCGCATCCACCATCCCATACAATGCCTAGAAGGGTGCGAGTCACAGTCGCTACCGCACCGCGACAGCTGGCGATCCGACCTCCACATTCCTGATACCTTTGCTAAAGTGGTGTCACGCATGGCCTCTACGATGCCAAAAGGACATCCGGAAAATGCTGCCGCGATGCTGCGCGGAACCATAGCACCGCACCGAGATTCCAGCGCTCCAAGTCGTAGGCAGCGAAGTGCTTGCATGTTGCCACAATCTGACGACTTTCCATGAGCTCTGGATCTTGACGCGCCCATTCCATGCCTTTCAAAAGACGTTTAACGTAGTTTGAAATCTATAAGGGATCCTCGTCGGATGTCTCTAGGCCTCGTCCCCACGGGGGGTCATTGAATGGATTGATGTTTGGTGTCCAGAAATCAAGGCCAGCGCGTCCTGCGTTCGCGAATGCTCGTGCTTCTGCCCCAATGGTGAGACCTACCTCTTCAACGAGCTCATCATCAAAGGCTGAGGATATGGTGATCGGGTTCGGAAACGACGTCGCGGAGGAGAACACGCCCAAGTCGGCGAAGTGAACTCCTGGGGAGGATCAACACCATGGGGTGCTTCACTCCATCAGTCATATTTCGGAAGACCTAATCATTCAGCGCCGATGCGGTGGCTGCGGAGGGACAATATAGCTGTTGCACACAGTGGGTTCTTCATACTCCACCAATTTCACCGCTATGGTCGTTGCCGCATCTAGAGCCGCAGCGCGTTTCGCTGGATCAAATCCCATTCGGCATACTTGGTTACTTCTCAATGGTTCGTTGTAGCAATGTGGATACCTGTCGCTAGCTATGAAATATGCCAGCGAAAGAGTAATCCACGCAGTGATCGATCGGCTGAGAACCGCCATCACGCCATGCTGAAGCAACCTTGAACTCAGCACCAGTTGCCCTGTGTGAAGAGACAGACGTACCCAATGCCGCGGACTTTAATGGCAAGAATCGATTGGATGAGAGAGCGGGGTGCGTATAGAAGAAGAGTACGACCCGAACATTTAACATGAGTGGTCTCCACCTAGAATCTGGTCGGATCTGCCTTGCCAATATCGGTATAGGGTTTGACCTCGGATCCAATCTGGAATGTAGAGATCGTTGCAACGTCGGACAACGCCATACCAGAAATTTGCGGAGTGGTTATGGATATGTGCGTATGTAAGCGCTGCGGATACATAGATGTGAATTCATAAATAAGTGATTCTGGAAGACGACGAAGTGCAGGAATGTTTAGTTCAACATGGATCATTTGCCGACGTACAGGAGGCATTGGTATATACGCGACTATTATGAGATCCTTCCACAGGGGCGGGGCAAAGGAGACGACTGGAGAAGGAGTCTTGGCATACTGTTTTTGGACTACAACTCCATAACGATTTGGTACTCGGGCTTTAGCTCGGTCTTGCTGTCGTCTGTTCGGGACAAGTTCGTCCTGAATGCGGAAAGCTCGAGAGTATCGAAAGCCTTCCCTTTCCCATTCCAAAAAGCGACCTCGTTGATAGGCACGTTGGCATAAGTCGGTGACTCGATGTTTGTGATGCAAAAGTCGTCCCATATATCTTGGTCACCATTCTTCCGCTCTGCGGTGACCACGAAGCGCCACAATTCACCCAGTTTTGCCTTTTCGTCGCGGTGTAAGAGAGTCGGTACCAATTGAACGTAGTATCGCCCGTCTCTAGGCGCCCCAATATATTTCATGAGGTCAGAATTGGTGAAGTCGGTAGAGTTTGAGATGAATTCAATAACCACCAGGCCCCGGTGATCAGCCACGAGGGTCACTGAAGAGTTCAAATCAGGCTCAGCTGACGCAAAAGTGCCAGTGTACCGTTTCTGGAGTTGTTGAATGGCAATTTGCTCAGCGGCACGGACAACCTCAACTGTCACCAACTCCTGAATCTTACCGAAGATGTCGTTGTTGGCAGCTAGGAGGATGGTGATACCAAGGTCATATTCGGGGACCGTCATGATGATGGAACTATAGCCCGGAAGACCGCCAGCCTTGGTAATGAATCTGACTGTCCGCCTAGATTTCTGGAGGATACGGTCCGTCTGATAAATCTCCCAGGGCATACCGTAGAATGAATTCAGTCCCCGCGATGGAGACGCAGGATGTGCCCAGTTCGCAGCACTCGTGATGCCATTGTAGTGGGTCAAGATGTACCGCAGATATTTCGATAGATCGGTCGTAGAGCTATAGATTCCTCCCGTAGGACTCTGGATACCCACATCAACGCCCCAGTAATGCGGCTCGAACGGAATAATGCCAGCGCTGTCTGGTGGCTTCGACAGGCTGCTCTTCGTCATGTTCAGAGGCTTGAAGATGGCGTCGTTGATGTACGACTCGTATGTCTGGTTGGTGGCATTCTCGATGGCGAGACCGAGGAGCTCGAATGCCAAGTTCGAGTAGGTGGACTTCTGGTTCGGTGCGAAGACGGGGGCTCTCGACTTAACAGATTTCATGAGATCTGCAGGATTGACCGTTAGCAAGTCTATAGTAGATGCCTCTCATAGGCTCACCCTTCTACTCGCAGTGCGGCTCGTAGTTAGGGGCATATTCGTCGCACTGCAGCAAACCGTCCCGCGAAGCGGGTGGGAAGCCCAGCTCCTCAGGGGTGTAGGGGAAGTCGAAAGGGCGGTTGATGAGATCGCTCTGGGCGACTGGAAGGGGGGTCAGCAACTTTACCTGCAAAAGTGTAGCATTTCTTGTCTCCAGGCGGACTAAAGTCGCTCGGGATGCCGCTCAGCTGGCTGGCCAGAGTCCGCAGGGTGATATCCTTCCACGGGATGGTGCCCTCCTGCTCGCCCTTCAATTCCTCAATGTACGTGTCGATCGAGTCATCGAGACTCAAATTGCCCGCCACATGCTGGTACAACACACCAAGGACCGTGAACGACTTGGTGACGCTCGCAATGCGGTATAAGGCGTCGCCGTTGACCTCGGGGATGTCGTGTCGCGACGCGTTGCGCACGCGCGCCGTGTGGTGGTAGGACCACAGCGACTCCTTCGACGAGGTGACTTCGACCGAGAAGGACGTGGATGCGTATTCGGGGGCGGCGGCCGTGGTGGTGAGAGCCGTGTCAATGAAGGCGAAGACGCGCTTCAGCAGCACGTCATCGGCGTCGTACTCGGGCAGCGGATGGGCCACGGACGGTTCGTAGCACGTCGCGCTGGTAAGAGCCGCCCACATGAGATGAAGAGCAAGGAGAAGCATTGTGTACGGAGCTCAATTGCTCGGGCATGGTGGCGGCGAGACGAGCGCTGAGGTGCACGCCGTTTTGGGGAGGGCTCGGTGTTCCTCCCCTCGCCAATCTTCCCTCCATCTACCTTTCAACACCAAGACACTTTGCCCGCATTGACGATTTCAATCCGCAACGGGTGCGCAAGCCACGTGTTAAACAGCAAATTTGTCGGCGCTGCCCGATAGACTCCCGCAATGCACGCATCTAGCACAATCGCTAAGCTTGCCGAAGGTCGGGATTGAGAGTATGCCAGTGACGAGGATATTGAGCTTCTAAATATCCATCAAATCAAGTCCAAGTCCTTCCATAGTGTGTGTGCAGTGACAGCGAGAATCCATCGTCTAGTTAAGCCAGCTGCATATACTTCTCTCTCACCTGGAATGACGTTCGAAAACGAGGTAGGACTGTAGCCGAGGTCAAGATAAATGCCGCGAACAAGAAAAAGTAATGAGAAGAGCAGGCATTGACGAGGACCAAACAGTGCCGGTGTGGGCTTTCAAGCAGCTCAGGAAGAGGGCACTGGATACCGGATGGCAGAGGAATCGACACGACGGTTTCGAGCATGCGCCAAGCACTCGAAGGCGAGCATCGTCGCTGTTCCGCGCCATGCACCTTCTGGAGAGACTGAACTTGAAGATCCCGGATCGCGTCTCGCCTCAGATGTTGAAACTCCCTATTAGGGAGAGCCTTAGCCGGAAGAGCCTTAGCCAGGGCGCTTTTTGGGCGGCCAGACAACCAAACTCCGCCCAACTTCGAACGGTTTCACGCACTTTCCGCTCGGGATGCGACAATAGTGGGCTATTGACTTCTTACGCCACAATTAGGGTTGGACAGACTGCTGCGGTAATGGCCATCCATACTCTTCTATCCTTGAGTCTGTACTTACCGCAAGATCAGCGTACTCTATTATAATATCTGGCAGAGCTTGCCGCTATCCAGGTCATAGTCCCACCGATCACTTCCAACACCGTTAAGAATATACAAGCTCTCGCTCGGGTCGTATCTCTTCTTAGTCTCGAGTAACTTTTCATAATGCACTCCGTAAATATCCTGCTTCCAGTGGCTGTTAAAAGGATTCGCCTCATTTATGTAAGCTCCGGTGTTCGGCGCCCACTCTCTGAACAAGGCCTCTTTGTTCTCCTCAAGCCAATCTGCCGCCGCCGCCAAACCCTCTTTGGGTCTGGTGAGATCGATCGACGCGCCCATGCTGATGAAATGGACGTAGGCGGAACGATAGGCCGGATTGACGCTGCCCCACCTGGACTCAGAAATCCTTGCAGTACCGGGGCCGCCTTGGAGGCCAACGATCGCAAGGGTGCCGTCGGATTCGTTCTGCGCCCGCAAAGCCTTTTGCAGGAAGTTGGCAAGCTTGTGCTGCGAAAGTTCAGAGAGCTCAGCACGACCGAGCAGCCGAGTGGACATCAAGGCCCCACCCCCGGCGACGTTGCTCGTTCCAGATATGACCTTGGAAAAGGAGGTATAATTCCGGTAGATAGCAGGCTCGGCCCAGGTGATGGCCAACTTGCTATTGTTGCTGTGCGAGCGGATGTGGGTGATGACCGGGTCGACGAGGAGAGCCATGGCGGCAGGAGTAATGTTGTAGCCGAAGAACATCTGGTTCATCACCACTCCGGATGGTGGCTCCTTCAGGGACGGGTAAAGCGACATGGCGCTCCTCCCCGTCCCCAGCATCGTGACACCTGCCAACCCTGAGTCCATGAGGTCTGGAATACTGCTGAGGAGGGTTGCAGCGGCGTCCCACGTCGCATTTGTGCTAAGGCTACCACTATCGGTGCGAGGTGCAATCTGGAGAGTGCCTACTGTCACAAGCTCGGGCGGTGGGTGGGTTTTGAGAACGTATTCAGTAATGACTCCATACTGGCCTGCACCGCCGCCGCGAACAGCCCAGAAGAGGTCTTGGTTTTGCCTATCGTTGGCGACGAGGATCCTACCTTCTGTGGTAACGACCGTTGCTTGGAGGACCTGGTGCGTGGCAAGGCCGTAAGTGCTTGTCAGTGGCCCATGACCTCCGCCCTGGATGAAGCCGCCGAGGCCTACTGTCTCGTCGTTACCGCCAACAACAACTCTGCCTTGCTCCGCAGCTGCGCCGTAGAGGTCCCCCCACACATTTCCACTGCCGGCGATGAGAACATTTTCCTTTTCACCGTTCAGCAACGACCAAGAGGCATTATGCTCAATCTTGTTGAAGTTGCGAGTCCAGATTGATATAGAATATGCTCCGCTGGATCTAGTCATGGCTTAGCAAATTCCTTTACCGCGCACGAAGGCACTGCTTGAACTTACCGACCGTTCAGATCATGGCCCGTTCCCTTAACGGCAATCCGGATGTGGCGTTGGGAAGCCCACTTCATGGCCGTCGCCACGTGCTGCTCGCTCGTCGCATTGACAACGTATTCCGGCAAGCCACCGAGACTGCATCCCCTCTTCTCATCGTAACCAGCAGCTCCAGGAGGCAAGCAAGAGTTATTAGCATAGATGGGATAGTCGATAGATTCTGGAAGCTCTGAGTGAAACGCGGCAAGTGGCCAGTTCGCTTTCACCACCTCGCAAGATACTGAGGAGTTGAAGGGGTTTCCGGGCCAGCAAGAAGAGGCGACCGGAATGGTCTTAACAAGCGTGCCATCAATTGACTTGTTGAGAGCTACCCACTCGCCTTCGGATGGCCAGTTGGAATCGTATGGTGTGGACTTGCATTTTGGAACGGCGAGGGTGTCAAAAGGAAACGCCAAAAGACGAAGTAATTGAACCATGCTGAAATCTTTTCTTTCTCCTGTCTCTGTTCTTTATTTATTTTCTGGCGAAAGGTCGTGGTTCGTTATCTTAACGCTGGTATAGCGGGATTGACAGTCTGAAGGAGAGCGAAGGAGAAGAAGTGAAAAAGAAGCAGGGAAGCTTGCCAATATTTAACATTGAATAGTGCTTGAAGCAGCCGATGAAAGCGAGCTGCCGTAGAGCTGGATACGAATGCGGTTATACGAATGCGAGCATACGCGCGGCGTGCTGCACAGCCCGCCTAATTGAGTGTCGCCGAAAAGATAATCACGGTCACGTGCAAGCGTCCCGCATCAACTCATGAATTGACCGCAACTGTGAGCGACCGAGGAGTCAATGTACCTTCTGTGACGATGTCCTCCAACCTAAGTTTTGAAGTCAGATTGTGTTCGAACGGCTTTTTCGCGAGAACAGTCAAAGATTTCGACAAATTGAGCACCATCCCACACATCTGTGATTCCATCAAGATATCGGAGTCATGGCACGTGCGAAGAGGCAATCATTGTCGACTACCTATGGAGATTTTCTGAAACTCCGCACAGACTCCGCAGACGCAACCTTTCCAGCTACCATACGCGTATCCATATGCGTACAAACAAGCTCAATCGTTAGGCCATACCACTGCCACGGTGATCCATTCGCAGCCTCCATTCCCACAGAATCTCTTTCCATAGCAACGCATCTCTGAGCCTCGCCCATGGACATCTCAGTGTAAAGCAACCCAGGCGCCTAATCCCATCACAAAGCCCGTTCATCCACACGCCTAGTCTTAGCGCTTACCCGCAAAGTTGAGCTTCCCCATGCCCCTCCCCCCATTCGCCCCCTCGTCCGGAAACCCCATTCGCCCATCTGCCACTCCATCTCCTCCTTCGGCCCTCTCGCGCATGTTGCGTTCGGCCGTATCTGTCGCGCCGGAGGCATAGGCGGGCAGCGGAGTGCGATTCGCCGTATCCACAACGCCAGAGTCGTACGTCATGCCGTCGATCATGCGAGCGTCCTGGGCCTGGGGGTCCGCGGCCGGCGTCATCTGCATGAGTACCGTCTGCTCCCTCTCCCTCTCCCTATCCCTAAGGTAGCTCGGCACCGCGCTCGCGCTCAACATAGCACTCGCGCTCGTCCCCTGCGTATTCATCGCCACCTTCGGCCCACCGCCCACAGCAGGACTCTGCAGCCCACTCAACTGCCTCGCAGGCGTGCGCGCCCCCTCTCCAAACGCGACAAGACTGCCCGCCTCATCGCTCATGCCGCCGACACTGCTCGTCTCGACCTCGGCGTCCTGGTCCTCGCTCATCTTATCCGGATCATACACATCGCTACCACTCGCCCACGTCGTGCGACCACCCACACTCCCCGTCGCGGACGCAGAGCCAACGGTGCTGCGTTCGCGGTGGTAGAGGAGCTGCGGGTTTGTGGTGTCGAAGAAGCCGGCGCCGGAGGCGGGGTTGTTGGGGTTCTGCTGGCCCGGGCCGCTGTAGCTGCCGGAGCTGGTGGCTGCGTTGGCGAGGCCGGAGGGCGTGCGCGTTGTCGAGACGCGCTCGAGGCCCGCGAGGCGCGAGATTCGATCGGCGCGCTCCGCGTCGAGGGGTTGAGGGTGGTGGTGGTGGTGGTGCAGGTGCCCGCGGTGGCCGTCTTTGATGGCGACGGTGGAGAGCTCGGACATGGAGGTTGTGGTTGAGTTGGGGGTGCCGCTGGGAAGGGGTGTCAGTACTGGATTTGGGGTGCTCGACGGCTGTGAAGGTGGGGGGTGGGGGTTAGGACTGGTAACTCACGGGATGTCGGAGGGTGTGACGGGGTCAGATGGGGGAGGGGGGAGGTCGATCAGAGTCGGTGCGTTCGACATGTTGCGGGTGCTGGTCTGTGAGGTTGAAAAATGGCCGAGGAAGGGGAGCTCTGTCTGGCTGAGTTGTTTGCAGTCGCTGAGCCAAGGGCGCAGGAAGGGTAGAAGACGTAGAGTCAAACGAGGCGCGGTTCTACAAGTTGTTGGCTGTAGAGGCGAGCGCTGCTGCAATTGAAGAAGTGTCCGTGTTTGTGTTGTTGTAGTTGGCAAGAAAGAGGGAGCTGTCACCGCTGACGTTGGTCCACTGACGCAGGGAGCTCTCTTGGCGTTCGCGCTAGCCCCACGCTCGCTTGTTGCCGTCAAGCCACATCCGGCGTCATTTATGTATACAATTCTGAGAAGGGGGTTCCTGAATATGGTACTTTGTACCAGCAGCTTTGGTCATCCGAAGTGTGCAACCCTTCAACAGCAAGCCACGCTCCATATCGCTAATGAAAGTGCCTACATAGCATGTAGCCATCAAATCCCAGGCTACTCGGGCCTCCACCAGGTAATTTTAAGTCTTGCTTACCTACATGAGCCAAATGGTAGCGATATGCTTCATCCAGCACCCCCATACCCACTCGCCCCACCATACTCACCTTGCCCCGCCTTCCCGCCATAACCAGCATTCATGAGTTGCCGAGCCAGATCATCTGCGTCCGTGTTGTGGTACTGCAGCACAGCCTGCGGTCCCATGTTCACGGCTGACGATGCATCTGAAGCTGAAGGTCCATCCTTGTACTCCGGCTGTAAAGTGTGATTTTGCGGCCCGAATTGCTGCGGCGCGAATGACGGCGGCATCATATAGGCGGCGTTGCTATCGAGCTGATGTATCACATTTGTTTGCATCTGCGGATGCTGGGCGCCAGGAAACGCGCCAGATAGTGCATGCGACTGCGCCGGCGCGGTCTGGTCTGCATGCTCACCGTGCTGCGGGAAGTTGGCGAGCTGTTGGTGGCTGGAAGGATCGTAGGATGAGAAGCCGGAGTTCATGCTATCCATGATGCGAGGATCCACAGGCATGCTGTAGTCAGGGAATCCGTGCATGCTTGCCATGGGCATCGCTTGGTGTTGTTGCGCCTCGTGATGCAGTTGCATACCGGATGATGGTGAGACCCGTGAAGGGGAAGGCGCGCGAACGCTCGACGAGCCTTCGGCCACCATACCGATCGGTTGATTAGCTTCCCTGACATCCTCCCGATTCTCGGGCGAGCCATTCGAGCGTCGCGGGAATGTTGAGCCTTCCGAACGGCCTGAGGGGTTCTTTGCCATCTCTTTGCAGTCCGGACAGTCCCTAATGACCTGGCTCACTGTCTCTTTGATCCGGACCCAGTGGTACTTTTCAGCGATCGTAGCTGTCGTCTTGTTGATTCCGCCATGCTGCTGGATGTGTACGTCCCTAGCGATTTCGTACTGTTTCTGCGGTTCCGCAATAACCTCCTTGCCCTTTAGCATCAATTTCTCCGGCTCGTCGCCCGTAGCTGGTATGAGTTTGTAGTGCGTGGCCGCGCTCCGCAAGCGACTCTTCTCAGCTCGGTCGGCCCCAGAGGGGTACTTGCTGTGCTTGAGGTAGAAGCGGATCTTGTCGAACCGCTCCTCGGACAGGTAGTCGTCGTTTTCGGTTCCGAGATCGCGGCCGTAGATGATTGCGTCTACGAGTTGATCTGGGTAGGAGCGGAGGTTTCCGCAGTCCTTGACGCGGCCGATGCGCTTAAAGCCTAGGGCGTCCCAGATGCGGCAGGATGCCACGTTGGTCTCGTAGACGAGGTTGAAGACAGAGTATGTATAGCCCTATGTAGGTGAGCTTAGCGTAGCCGGTGGTTGTGCAGGCAAGGACTGACCAGCTTGGGCGCCCATTCTAGGTACCCTTCGCCCATGAGCCTCCCTACACCCCTGTTACGTGCCGCATCCGTGACCAGAAAGCCTCCGTTGCAGACATGGCTCGACCTGCCAGGGTAATTCGGCTTGATATAGAAGCTTCCCAAACAGTCCTTTTCCCAATCCCTTCCCTCGCTCTCCATTTTCCACACGTCAGAGGTGTCATGAAGATTACCCAATAGCATCACAGCGCCGAAGTTCTGGAACCAATACGGACCAAAAGATTCCAGAGGCATGGGATTCACCATCGGGTATGTATCTCCCTTTTCAATCTCCCGGTTTAGCTGGTCACAGAGGTACGATAGAAGAGATACGGGGACCTGGTTCACCGCTGAGAAAGGCATCAGTGTCGCGGTCGTTACTCGGTCTCGAAGGGTGACCGTTCGAGGGACTATCTCTGTAGGTAGCGGAGAGTTGGGAGTGGGATAAGGCGGCTCGCCGGAGACTCTGTATATGGCCGGCCCGGCCGGGTCGTCGAGCATTGCGGGCATGACGGTCTGCTAAGGTGCTCAGTCTATGGCATATTAGCTGTGTATCTCCTAATCTGGTCCCCAAGTAGCGGGTGCTGTGAGACTCTGCTGTCGTCCTATATCGCCGGATGGCAGAACTACGAGCAGTGGGAGCTGTGCAAGCGGCGAGCGCATTGTGCAGCTTGTGTTGTTGTTGTCGAGTGGCAGCCATGAGTTCTACGGTTTGTGCTGCATTTTGGGAGGAGGTAACGCCTGGTGGAGCGGGTTACACTTACTCGCTGTAAATATGAGTCTGTCGTAGAGTTGATCACAGCACGATAGCAGCACGGCGGGGTTGTGCCTCGGAGCCTTGGAGACCATCGGCAACCTCCGCAAAACTCGAGCACGCCTACCGACTATCTTGAGAATCTATGTAATACGATCTCGCAAACAATGAAGCAGAGCGAACTTGATCTCAAGCTATAAGATACCGGCGGGTCAGACGATACGTGAAGACTTATGTGGAGACAATCTCTGCAGACGGCGAGGAGGAAAAGATATTTACTCCTCGAAGGGCGCAAGCTAGTAAGATAGATTCTACAACAGGGCGTATCAGCATTGTTGCATAGGCAAGCAAGGCGACCGCTCACTAGTCTCCGCACTCGGAGAGGTCACATTTATACAGACTTTGACCACGCTGCTAGTCAAGAAATAGTCGAACGAACCGTCAACTCACGGTGCTGATGCGCCTTAACAGCCCTACTCTAACACTTCATCCTGATCCCATGCCTAAGCTCTTCCTCCCTAACCTCAAACATCACCTGCACGCCAACAAACAGCGCCGAGCACGCAGCCGCCAGAAATACTAGCCCCGAATAACTCCCCACAATCCCCTTCACCAGGCCCTCAAGTCCATCCAAGCCGACAGCGAAACCCACAAGGTTCGCCGCCATCATCATCAGGATAGGGCCCACAGCACCAATACCGCACAATACTCGGTAAGCAGTCAGTCTGTCCCTCCACTTCTTGCGTGGGAACGCCAGGGTAGCCAGCACTTCGGGCAACACAAAGAGGGTGATCAGCCAACCCCACATCAGCAGCCGAAGCTGGATGTCATGCCAAAGGGCAACGAAGGTGAAAACAGCCAGGAAGTTAAGGATCGCCCTTGCTTTGCCCCAAAGGCCAGTGGCGCCGCTGCCGCCTAGCGGAATGTATATGTACCGGACGATCCAGCGGTTGAAGCTGCGATGCCAGCCGCGCCAGAAGGCCAGAGCGGAGTAATTGTCGCTCATGCAGCGGACCATGTTCTCTGGAGGATCGATGCCGTCGAGCAGCGCCCACAGCCGGAAGAAGCGCCAGGGAAGGAGGAGCTTGAGCCAGATGTGATTGAGGTTGAAGTAGCCGAGCATGCTAAGCTGGAAGGGGGTGTATACCTCCCATGCCGGCTGTGCTTTGGATATGGCGACGGCGTAGATGTAGTGGATGACCAGCTCCATGGTCAGGAGGCAGATGAGAAAGCGCACACCGTACAGGATAGTCCGTCGCGTGGTGATGCTGGGAGCGCGGTAGCGAAGTTGTGAGATGTAGTCGTTGAAGGTAAGAATCGGACCCGCGAGATACAGCGGGGAGTACGTGACATATGCGAAGTAGTTACGAAAAGAGTAATCTCCAGGTTTTGCAGGGGTTGAGATGCGATCGCGCTCGGGGAGGTTTGAGGGATCAAGTTGCTTCTTCTTGGGCGCGTTAGTATTATGCGAGTGAAATAACAGGATACACGGCTTGACGCACCTCGACCGGGCTTCCCCCACGCTGATTAAGGCTCCAGTAGTAGTCGAGATTGAAGCTGATCAAGCGGAGGACGGTGATGTTGAAAAGTACCTCCCATCTTGGTATAAGGCCTCCATAGCTGTCAAGCCACATGCCCCAGTTGCTATAAGATGTCCTCTCAGGAGATGCCGTTGGCGATGGCAGCAGGAAAGACGCCAGCCCTGCGAAGGGGTATCCGCGACAAAGCTCATTCGCAAACAAGATCCCGATGTTGAAGCCCCAAGTAGCGCCGGGGACATACTCCCTTGGCAGTGCAGTGGCTATCTTGTAATTCACATACAGAATCAACAAGACTTTGAAGGCGGAGAAGCCGTGCAAGGCGGCCAGGAAAACAACAGCAAAGTAAACGTCGAAAGAAACGCGCTGCTCTAGACGTGCGTCCGCGGCCGCCTGCGTTGATAAGCCATGCGTGAGTCGGCCATTGGAGCCAGCTAACGGGTGGACTTGCGTGTAAGAGTCCGCCCTGCAGAGGTAGTCGTAGAGTCTCCGCAGAACAGGGTGAATGGCAAGAAGAAGGAACATATAGGGCAGGTTATCTCGGAAGGACGCATATTGATGGTCTGAGTTGTCCTAAGGCCAAAATCAGCTCCTCCCAAGGTAAAAGGCTGAGTTTGGAAGTTCAACATACAACTTTGCGGCCAGGGATCCAACCATCTGATAGTAGGTGTGAAAATTTGGGGTAGTTAGGATGTGATGCTGCAACGCCCTGTCAACGCTTATGTACAGCTCGTCCACCAGGGCATCACTGACATTCTGATACATCATACACAACTTTGAACATCATGGGGACCGCTGTAATGAAGACCAAATAGTAGAAGTAAAACTCCGGTGTGCGCCATTTTGACGGCTGCGCTCCTTCAGCTCTTTTGAGAGGAAGCTGATCGTCCTGGGCCGGTGGTGGTCTTGTGGGGTCTATTTGTGGCTCACTTAGTGCCTGCTTAGGGGGCGTCTTCGAGGATACAGTAAAGCGAGTGTCAAGCGTGTCAAGCGAGTACAGCTGCCGAAGGTTGGATAGAATCATGTTGTCCTTGGGTGCACGATACCGTTGCAGGCTCCACGAACGAGCGGGTTAGAGCACTGAATGCTGAGATGGTGTTCTGTCCACCACCTAGGCGACTTCTGGATGGACAGATGTTGGTGGTGAGCACGTGAGCTGCTTCAGGCAAGGTTCACGCTGCGCGGCAGAAAGTCGCGTCTTCTCGAAAGCGCACCACCGACCACCGTTGCGCAACCACGAACAAATCGCATGGGACGACACAAATAACATACATACTGTCGCAATGGCTCAATCGGCGTTTACCGCGCCTCAGCAGAATGAGTATGCCGGCGGTATGGCAACGAACTCACAACACTGCCGCGCATCTCTCTAATTGAAATCCAGATGAGGTATCAGCAATAGTCCTCGATCCAGGCTACTCCACTGTTCGCGCCGGTCTCGCTGGCGAAGATGTCCCCAAATCCATCGTCCCCACCTTCTACGGCTCCACCGATGGCAAGCTACTCTTCGGCGACAACACGATCCACAACTCTTACGTGCCCAACATGGAGATCCGCAATCCTATGTCCGAGACAGACGGTATCGTCCAAGACTGGGACACCGCAGCAAAGCTATGGGAATATAGCATCACGAGCAGGCTCACGGGCGAGAAGCAGAGGAGCCCAGCTACCAACGGACTGAACGACATGAAGGACGAAGATGTAGAGATGGGCATAGACGACGTGGAAGAGCAGGAGAAGCCGCTCGCGGATAGTCCGCTGCTCATGTCGGAGCCAGGCTGGAGCACGGTCAAGTACAGGGAAAAGTGCATCGAGGTGGCCATGGAGGATTGGGGCACGCCCGCATTCTACCTGGCCAGGACGGGCGTTTTGGCGGCGTAGGTGCGAGACATGGAGAGCATAATTCGCCGGGGGTACTGATTTTCGGACATAGGTTCGCGTCCGGGAGGCACTCAGCGCTTGTTGTGGACATTGGTGCATCGGCCACATCTGTTACGCCTGTTTCTGAAGGCCTGGTACTAAAGAAAGGTAGGATATCACGTATAGGAGTTGGAGTCACTGCTGACAAGTACACGAAGGGATCCAGAAATCACCCCTGGCGGGCAATTTCATCTCTAACCAAATCCGCCTTATGCTCGCCTCTACTTCTCCGCCCGCACCTCTCATCCCACATTACATGGTCGCCTCAAAATCGCCCGTTGACGCCGGCGCTCCGTCCAACGCGACCTACAAGAAGTTTGACACGCCTCCCACAGCCTCCTTCCGAAGATTGGAGGAAGAGCGAGTCCTAACCGAGTTCAAAGAATCTGTCGTGCAAGTGTGGGGTGGTCCAGGAAGACTCACCAGCCACGACCAGAACGGGATCAGCAACGAGGACAAAGCTAGGCAAATGCCTGGAAGGACGTTCGAGATGCCGGACGGCTGGAACCAGGTCTATGGCGTTGAGAGGTTTAGATGTACCGAAGGCTTGTTTGATGCAAAGGCTGCGCTTTCGGTGCGCTCTTCCACCCTACCAATGCGGTGCTTGTCTCGTTAACATCTTCACAGGACAGTGAACATCCCACACCGTCGCTCAGTCAGACGCTACCCGCGCTCATACAAGCATCGCTCAGCGCGCTCGATGTGGACATCCATCCAGTCATGCTCAGCAACATTGTTCTTACGGGCGGCTCGTCGCTGCTCGTCGGGTTGAGCGAACGACTAACTGCGGAGCTTCAAGCGATGTATCCAGGACCGAGAGTCAGGATCTACGCGCCGGGCCAGACAGTTGAGCGCAAGTTCGCCAGCTGGATTGGAGGCAGCATTCTGGGCAGCTTAGGTAGCTTTCATCAAGTAAGTGTCATATTGTGGAATTCAAGCATGCTTGGTGCGAGCCTCGACTGACATGTGCCAGATGTGGGTATCGAAGAAAGGTAACGTGCAGTCAAGCCCCCGAGTAATGCATAATCATATCTTTCTGACACGCTAGAATAGAGTACGACGAGCACGGACCAAACATAGTCGAGAAGAGGTGCAAGTAGGAAGCAGTATTGCTTTGCTTGTGCACAAGGCACCGACCACATCGCGCAAGAGCGCTCGGGGGACCCTACCTAGTCCCGCCTCTGGATCCATGCGCAATTGAAGAAAGCCGCTAGCCGCTGGCCGCTAATTGACGTGGAGCGCGCCCTTCAAGTGGCCGTAGTTAACAACTCTGAATCCATCAGTAATTCATCCAAACTCGCTGTAGAGAGAGGAACTCGCGTAGGCCGGTGATTCGGAGGTTGATGGCGCCTGGATTCGGATCTCCTGGAACGTCAATGTAGGATAGCGCGTTCTTTCAAAATGATATGTCGACACTCAGGCTCTCAAATGGCTTTATGGGCGGGATTAGGAAACGTAAGATACACTCGCAGGGTAAACAGATGATCCATGCAGTCAGGTGTATTCATTTTACACTCTGATCGTGGCGCTTTACGCGATGATGCATGTGTGTAAAATCCAGTAATACGAGTCGCAATGAACAGGTTTGCGGCGGACGGTTTAATTTGGCGAGCGCGCGGCATTGTCGTCGTTCCAAGATGCAAAAACCGACCGTCGTAGCTTCCACGATGCTCCCAAAAAATTCAAACTTACGGTTGGTGTATCTAACAGCAGATTCAGGCTGTGTTGAGGTTAAAAAAAAAAGGCAAAACAATAAGACATTGTTGTGGGTTGAACCCGTGGTGTTCCAAAGATTGAGAGAACGGAGTTTTGCGGGCGCTTCAAGGTCACTTCTGGTAAAAGGCAAGAAATGAGTTCTGTAAGGCGTCCCACTCCAACTCCAACAATCAGGCTTTGCAATTAATATACTGCAAAGTTTTTGCCGCTCTCTTTAGCATCCTAAAGATCTTTACTGTGCCATCTTCGCCGCTTGCCTTTCACAGTGTCTTGTCAGTCATTGTTCTCATGACTTTTACTGCGACACGGCAAATGCGCGTGGTGCGCATCATCTGCACACTGGTAAACGCCCTGAAGGCAGTCCTTCTACGGCCGTCCACGGTCGGCCTGCTTCTATTTGACATTTCTACGTGTAGTCCCATGGTTGGGGAAACAATAGCTTCTCCAAGCCATAAGAGTGATCGCCAGCATCCCGCCCTTGAACCACGGTTCCCTCTGTCTCTGGCAGATTTGACTGCCAAAGCGTTCGGGCTCAGCTAAGCTACCAGAAATCCAGCATGTCACTGCATGTCATGTCAACAGAAATTAGAGTTGGTGGCTGTTTACATAGATGGCTTGATGGCGCTGGATGCGGCTTCAGACAGGGGTTTCAGCCCGGTTGGCGGGCGGTCACCTGGGCAGCGTATTAGGTAAGTCATCATCTGGAGGCTGGGCACCGTTCAGTTTGCGCAAGACGAGCGCGCATGTTCTGTTGGTGCTGCATACGTTAAACAACACTTCTCGTTCCCTTCAACTGAACTGAATCTGCTACTCTCGACCCCCCCTTGACACAGTGCCCAGTTTTATCCAGCCGTTTTACGTGCAGCTGCCAAGATGCGAACGAGTGGACGATCCCTGATGTGCTGCAGGAACCCGGAGCAGCGCAGCCAACGGCGTTTGCGTTGCCAGGCACACCCGGACGAAACCGCAATTTCGCTTGTCGACAGCGCGCATGGCTAACGTTGACGGAGGCGCCATCAGCACCGCATCGTGTCTGCCCTCATAAGCACAAGCATCCCCCGTCGCTCCTTCTTCTGTTTCGCAAACGCCCAACACTCTTTCCCAGCATTGCCTATTCAGCAACCTTAACTGCGCTTCTGGATAGCTGCAGTGCCTTACATTCCTTCTGAAACCAGCCAACCAACCCTCACTTCGCACCAAACTCCGCCAGACGTCTTTCGTCACTTCCATTCCTTTATCGCCAGAAAGGGGAGATCGCGCGCACGAGTCGTCCAGCTCCTCCACCCCCCGCATTCCAAAGCAGCCGTCCGCCTTTGTTTAGTCCACCTGTCTTTGTCGTCAAGACCTTGATCTACTCGGAGCTCGGTCTCGTACGTCTCTTCCCTGTCTTTGTCTGGAGATCTCGAGCGTCAATGCCTTCGTCAGCCGTGAAACACCAAATCTCTTGCATTGGCGCACTCACTGGCTCTGTACCTTCACTGTCTTGAACGAAACAAGCCACTCAATTTACTCTTGCTCACTGTGCTGACGCCGCTGGCCCGGTATTGCAGTCATTGTGCCCTCATTACCTACTTTGATGCAAGTCGTGCCTTGAACGTTCCACAGAATCAACTTCAAGCGCAGTCATCATGAAGAACAGCATCCTCTACGCTGCTCTATCCCTCTCGGCTCTCGCCGCTGCTCAACCCCATGGTAAGAAGTCCGTCGCACTTGCTTGACAGCAATCCTGACTGAAGTCCACAGGGCGTCACCACCACCAACATGCGAAGCGTGAGGTCGTCCACGAGACCGTCATCGTCACGGCAACCGTGCCGAACGTAATTGTCTATGTCGATCAGGACGGCGTCCCCTTCGCCACTTCCTACGCCGACGTTCCCGCTCCCACTGAAGCTCCCGCCGCTCCTGCTTCTGTTCCTGAGGCGGCATCTTCCAACGCTCCTGTCATTGCCGCCGAGGTGCCCAGATCCTCTGAAGCTGCTCCAGTTCCAGCATCCAGCGCTCCGGCACCTGTAGCCCCTCCAGCGGAGACGGCCCCTGCCCCGGCGCCAGCTCCCGAAGCAGCTGCGGCCCCAGCTCCCGCTCCATCCACTGCTGCTTCCTCCGGTCAGGAGCTCGGTGGCTTTGGTATCAGCTATGCTCCGTACGCGGACGACGGCAACTGCAAGACCCAAGACCAGGTCAGCCGCGACGTGACCCAGATGAAGGGTTACAACGTGATCCGCGTCTACGGCACCGACTGTGACCAGATCCCGAAGCTGCTCCGCGCGCCTAAGCCATCCGGCGTCAAGCTCTTCCTCGGCATCTGGGACATTGCCCAGGTCGACAAGGAGGCTCAGATCATCATCGACGCCATCGCCGGCGACTGGAACAAGATCGACACCATCAGCGTCGGCAACGAGCTCGTGAACAAGGGCGCCGCTGCCCCCGGCGCAGTCGTCGCCGCCGTGAACGCCGCCCGCACCAAGCTCCGATCTGCCGGCTACGGCGGCCCCGTCGTCACCGTCGACACCTTCAACGCTATCATGGCTAACCCAGAGCTCTGCGGCGCCTCCGACTACGCGGCCGCTAACTGCCACGCCTTCTTCGACCCGAACACCGAGGCCTCGCAGGCCGGCGACTTCGTCCTCGGCATGGCGCAGAAGGTCTCCCAGGCCTGCGGCGGCAAGCGCACCGTCATTACCGAGACCGGCTGGCCGTCGCAGGGCAGCGCGAACAGCAAGGCTGTCCCAGGCGTCGCGCAGCACATGGCTGCGATCGACTCGATCAGGTCCAAGTTCTCGAGCAACGTCATCTTTTTCTCTGCCTTCAACGATGGCTGGAAGAAGGACTTCGCGGGCTCGTTCGGCGCGGAGAAGTTCTGGGGTATGATCCAGTAGACGGCTGTCTCGCTCCGCTGCTTGTGCTCTTTCACTCGATGTCCGGCTCGAGTTCGGTGTCGCTCTTGCTCTTTGCTTGCTTCATATACTGCGTTGCACATAAGGATCGGCCTGGGGTCGGCGCATTCGCGTGGCTGCGGGACTATCAGCCCTCAAAAACAGCATCTGGACAACGGAAATGGGAAAATTTCCGGATATACGGACTAAGGGACCGCCATGTCGGTAGTGTCTGCAAGCCAAGACTGGATGTCGATCATGTGGGCTGATTTGTTCTTTCTGGCTGTATTTGCGGACGGTGCTGCTCCATTTGCGGAAGATTCATGGGTGGGAGGTCGAGGTGATGGTTTCTTCGCGCTCTGAGTTGTAGATACTCGAATTGAAGGACTGATGATTATGACCATTTTGCTGCCTCTTGGTGCGACGTACGTTGAGTGTGAGATCAGAGGAGGTGGTGGGCGCTGGGTTACGGAACTGCAGCCACCGCACATTTCTTTGTGGACTTCGAAAGCGATAATGTAGCAAACACCTGGGGCGTTGCACGTCTCATATGGCTGTTCGTTCCATGACATATCCATTTCCATGAACTGGGATCCAGTGTGTGGGGAACCGCGGCGGACATCCGAACCGGTACCTGAACCACGAATCTAACGGACTTAATACATCAACGAATCAAAGGTTCCCTATTTCATATGGCCCTCCTTAGTCCACCAGGTCGGATCCAGCCACGGGATCTTACACTAGCCAGTGTGTGAAGTGGCGACTTTCCCTCGACATGTACCGTACCGCCTGCGCCGCGGGTTGTAAGATCGCCGACACAGCATTCATCCTTCTCTCTCCGATACTCGGACGGTTGCTCTTAAGCGTTCATGAGTCCCTCCTTTCCAAGCTGTCAATGCCGTAAAGAGGAAGGGGTCCCATCTGCGGGCAATGTCCGTGCCAGCATCCTCCACATCCACACTTCGTCGTGCCCTCGCACACATCATCAGACCACAGCATCCGCCACCCTCACCCTTAATCACTGCAATGAACTCAATCAATCCATCCCGTCAACGAAACATAATCCCACCAACCCAAACTTCATCCACCCACCAGCCCCTCAAACAACCCATCCCTCCTCTTCTTCAGCTCTTCCAACTCCCTCTCCTTCTCCCTGACTGCCCCTCTAGCTTTTTCCCTATCCTGCGGCAGTCCCTCAAAAGCTCTAACCCTCGCCTCCAACTCCAGCACGCGCTCCCTCGCGCCAAGAACCTCTTCCTCCATCTCCGCTATCCTCTGCATCGACGCGGATGACAGCCCATCAGCCCCAGCGGCCGCAGACGGCAGGTTCGTAAGCCTGTCCTCGTACTCGCGCACCTTGGCGCGGAGCTGCTTCGTCTGGCGCGTCCAAGCGGCCGTCTCGCGCGGTAGCGCGGGTGGGGCTGTGAAGGCGGGGCAGGTGGTTAGGAGGTCGAGTTGGGCGAGGAGGCTGGTGTGCTCGGCCTCGAGGTAGGCGGAAGTGGTGGAGAGGTCGGTTAGGTGTCGGGAGAGGCGGTGGGAGGTTGTGTGAATGTCAATGAGGGTATGGGCGAGGCTGGGAGAAGGGCTGTGTTAGCTAGGGTGGTCTTCGTCTAGTCTGCGGGAGGTGGAGGATCGGGGGTTGTAGGTACGTCTCGGGGTTAGGGCTGGGAGCGTCGAGTGCGACGGTGAGACCGGCGAGCGCGTCGAGGCTTTGGCTGCCTTCCGGCGTAAGATTCGCGCTCACGGCTCGCAGGATCTCGGCATCGCCCTCTGCTGTCTCTGTCTTGCCTCTTGTTAGCGTGCCAGCCTCCCAATGCATCCCAAGTCCCTATCCCAGATGCCACTCACCTCATCAAGCTCCTTCAGCGCTTCCTCCTGCACCTTCCGCAAGAGCTCCGTCTCCTCATCAGCCCGCTCGTTGGCCGCGGCCAAAGCTAGCAATGCACTGAGCGTGGCTTCATTGCGTTCGAAAGGCGGTATACTCCGGCCGCGGTATTTGTTGAAGAGCCATGCTTCCACGTGGGCCCAGTCTTGGGCTTGGGCGCGCTGCTGCTTGGCTTTTGAGGGGGAGAAGAAGGCGGTAGGGGATAGGGATGCGTCCATGGCAGGAGTTCAATGGATGCTTCCAACGGGAATTGGAGTGGTAAGGCTTTGAAGCGGACGACGGCGCAGATGATTCTGCGATAGAGCGGTGTTGATGCTGATTATCTTCGGTTTCCCCAAAGCGGCATCGCGAACCCCAGATTCTGGACCCTGAAATTCTGACGTCGATCCACCTTCATACACGAGCAATGTAGTAATGCGAGGAGGTTCTCACTCTCCGCCTCTTCTTCAGCTTACAGCAGACTTCAGCGCCCAAGAATAGCTTCAGAACCTCAATACGCTTCACCATTACGTTCACCAAACTCCTCACTCGAGCCGTCCTCCTTACAGCCCTCATCCTGGGCCTCACCACCATTATCCGCAGCTTCTTCCGAAGCGCGCCCTCACCCACCCGCGATATCACCAGGATGGCCTGGCGCAGCTCCGGCTCGAGCAACGCGGCCCTCGTCAACAACCTCGCCGCCAACGGGCTCATAACCGACCCCCGCGTGAAGAATGCTATGCTAAGCGTGCGTTCTCCATACCAACCTCGCAATGAAACCGTAACAGGCTGAGCGATGCTCCAGGTCGACCGCGCGCACTACTCCCCCGCTCTGCCTTACGAAGATAGCCCGCAGCGCATCGGGTACTCGGCGACTATCAGCGCACCCCACATGCACGCCTCAGCTTGCGAATCCCTCCTCCCCTTCTTGAAGCCAGGCTCAAAGGTCCTCGATATCGGCTCCGGCAGCGGCTATCTGACGCACGTCCTTGCCGAGCTCGTCAAGCCTGGCGGCACCGTCATAGGGGTGGACCACATCCAGCCGCTCGTGGACCTAGCGGCGCGGAACATGGCGAAGAGCAAGGAGGGGAGAGAGTTGCTGGAGAGCGGCACGGTGAAGTTCATCAAGGCAGATGGGCGAAAGGGCTGGCCGGAGGGCGCGCCGTATGATGCGATTCATGTGGGCGCCGCGGCCGCGGAACATCATGTTGCGCTGACGGATCAGTTGAAGGCGCCGGGGAGGTTGTTTGTACCGGTTGAGGAAGGGTGGATGCAGCATATTTATGTTATTGATAAGAAAGAGGATGGAAGTCTGGAGAGGAAGAAGTTGTATGGGGTGCAGTATGTGCCGCTGACGGATGCGCCGGAGAGTTGAGACTGTCAGGGGTTGGAGAATGGAACTGGGGGTTCTGCTACCTGGGAATGAGAAATGACGGAACGCGGGACGACTGGAGTATAGTATGATACCATAGGGCCTAATTTGTAACTTGCAGGCGACTGATTCTGGTCGGGGTTCAGGTTTCATTACTTGATCTCCACTTCCTTGACTGGCCCAAGACGATTTGAGCACGTATCAGCCGAGAAACTGTAAGCGGTCGGTGAGCTCCATCCAGCAGAACACTTCAGGCCCGTCAGAACCCGTTGTAAGTTTTTACAAGAAGAGTTAAGGAACACACCTGTTCAGCGCCACCCCCAGGCGCAGTGACAGCGTGCTTGGAAGCGCAGTTCTAGCCTGTTATACTAGGAAAGTCTCTTCTGTAGGAACACATGATAGCTTCAACACCTCGCCTTTCATAATGCCGTGCGCGTAACACCCCCGGACGAGTTAGTACCTTCCATCAGAGCCTTTACGGACCACAAATGGAACGTGGTGACCTAACAAAATGCAAATGCGGTCACCTTCCTTAGCAAACCTAGGAACAAGGCCTATGTAGCCCATCTTTGTCGTGCAGAATCGACGATTCTGAGTGACGGTATCAAACGAACTTTGAATATCGCGGAAGAGCTTCGCAGGCCGCCGTCGGTGAAGATTGTCCAATTCGAGACGCCGCTTCGTGAAGGTTTGATCGAGCATTGAAGGATCTGATCTGTGAATCTTATTCAAGAGGAGGCCAAAGACATCGCCATACTCGGATGGCCCCGATGGAATTTCTATCAATTCGAATCCCTCTCTACCGGGTCTTCCGGCTATGAGCGTCCGCCAAAACGCGTCAAAGAGTCCATCCCCTGAGGGATATGGATGACAGGTCTTAATGAGGTCCATGCTCTCGAGTATGAATGTTTGCGTTTCAGACTCCTCCCTGTGGAGTAAATCTGACATCCTCGGAATTGAACAGCACGTGACTGAGGCTAAGAATATACAGCTCAGCGCACGCGAATCCCATCATGTTTGCTTCGAATACCAGATATTACTCGTCACTTTTCTTCTCTCCCTCGCTATAGTTATCTCTGAGCCTCTGAGATTTCGTGCTGAAGGTCGTTTCCACTACTCAACGCCATGGCGGCCATTCTGCGTTGGGCGAGGAAGTACGCTAGGAGAGCTCCGTCTCCGCCGATTCGTTTCCAGAACACCAACTATGAGGTTGTCGGTGCCGCTCAGAAACTGGAAGAGGAAGCCTTTGAGGACTACGCAACAGGGAAGTACTACCCTGTTGTCATAGGAGATGTGTTTGCTTCAAGATATCAGGTTGTTGGCAAGCTTGGGTTCGGAGTCTCGTCGACGGTCTGGTTAGCGCGTGACTTGGAGTAAGTCGCCATATTCTTTGGACCTTGATACTTTTCATTTCAGTCGCGACTCCGATCTGCGTTAGATGGGTGTAGTATTACATTTCTATATAGACCCTTTCACTTCGTTACTGTCTGCATCTGAGCATCGCAAACCTAGCCCCGTAGCTTTGGGCCAGATGTCACAACATTTCGAGGCACTGATATACGCTGCACCGGATCAAGAAGATTTGAGTGCAACAGCAAAGTCCCAAGTAGTGCATCATGATTGCTCACTAACGTCTTCACAGCGCCCATCGGCATGTCGCTCTCAAAGTTTTCACACGTGATCATTAGAATGATGGAGAAATTGCCATGTATGAACATCTCAGCAGGGGCTCCTCATCCCACATTGGCAAGCGCTTTGTTAGAACGGCGTTGAATTCTTTCACGATACCCAGACCTGGAGGTGATCACCGCTGCCTTGTCCACACACCGCTTTGGGGCAGCTTAAGAGACATGCTCGCCCGGAACCCCTACCGCGATAGGTTTACAGAGGAGCTACTCAGAGCTACCCTCTATCGTCTGTTTGAGGCACTTGATTACCTTCACACAGACAGGAAGGTTGTTCATACAGGTATGGTTCTTAGCGTGTAGTAGTGTTGTAGGGCCGCACTCATTGTGAACATCACTAGACATCAGCGCCACCAACGTCTTGTTGGAGATTGACGACAGGACCGTACTTAGCAACTTTGTCGACCAGGAGCTAGCACATCCGTCACCTCGTAAGCAGGTTGAAGGCACCGTAGTGTATGCCACACGCCTCTTCGGATGGCCCCCTGGGGGCGAACCTGTTCTTTGCGATTTCGGGTCCGCAGAACGGGGAGACGCCGAGAACACGCGGAACGCTGGGCCGGATGTGTACAGGGCGCCGGAAGTCATGTTGAAAATGAGATGGAGTTACAGTATCGACATTTGGAATGTTGGTGTTCTGGTACGTTATGCACCGTGACGCTCCGAAAAAGTGAAAAGAGGGCTTACTCTATTTAGAGCTGGGACTTGTTCGAAGGGAGGACGCTGTTCTCTGGACAAGATCCTGACGGTAAAGGCTACTCGACTCGCGCTCATCTCGCAGAAATAATTGCCTTGCTAGGGCCGCCGCCTACAGATTTTGTCAAACGTGGCGAAAGAAGCCCGGAGTTCTTCAATGACGATGGTAAGTGCCTCACTCGATTGCAACAAGTATATCGGGAGATAACGTCAGGGTTTTAGGGAGTTGGCGGGCAGATATGCCCATCCCGGCTCCGATCAGCCTGGAGCAGTTGGAAGAAAACCTCGAAGGGAGAAGAAAAGAGCTGTTTCTGAAGTTCATAAGGTCCATGCTGCAGTGGGCACCAGAGCACAGGAAGACAGCGAAAGAGCTTCTCGACGACCCGTGGTTAAACGACAAGATTGATTGAGGGGGCTCGTTGCAATAAGACGCCGCAGCCGGAAAATCACGTAGGCAGGACTTTAGACTGTCGGAGAACGATCTACTGGTGGTCGGGAAGCCACAATCGAGCTGAAGGATCTCGGAAAAGATCCAACCAATACCGCTAGACATTGCCTCTAAATGGGAGAAATGTCACCATCCGAATCACTGTCCCGAGAAGAAGCTAGGAAGGCTCAAGGCGCGTTGTAGAAGACAGGATACAGCGAACCAGGGGGCGGCCCGTAGACTCTACTGCAGGCTAAAAGGGCCGGCGAAGCTGGTGTCAATCGTGCGAGCAGTAAGGACGAAGGAGATGTGCTCAAAAGTCTTGGTGGTGCTGTTGTGGTCGCTGCCGTGTCCTTGCACTGATGGCGCCTACTACTGGAAGCCTTTCGGGTCGTATGTTTAGTGTAGTCACCTCCGTATTGAAGGATTCTAACGTTGCCATTCTGACCTGAGACTGAGCGGTCCCACTGTCACGTAATCGCACCAATAGTGTTCGCGAACTTGCTCTCCTGGTCGTCGACTTGTGTATCTGCGATTGTGAACCGCAACACTATAGTGTTAGGTCAGTATGCCAGCGGTACGGTAGTACAGCTTTCTTCGCGTGTTCGATGGCGGTCTGCAGCTGGGTATTCCGCCGCTGTTCTGGAAGCTGTCTACCATGTCTGCTAACTGCCGCATTTAATGTTTGTAACACAAAAAGCCATCTGCGGATTACCCAGTTAAGTGTATTCAATATCTCATGCCCTTCACGACTGATGCCTAGAGCGTCGAATATCATGATCCCTCCAAGTCCAGGCCAACGTATCTCTTTCCAGACGGCATCACACTTCCATGCCGCCAGATTTCTCTTAATGCCTTCTCTTACCTGAATGCCGTCTCTCTTTTGCGCGTTCTATGCACTTGCTCCTTCCTCCCTAGGCTCCCTTTCCGCCTACATCCAATAACGTCAAATTTCAATACCGTGTACCTAAACGCACTTCGCCTTCAGCCCCGCTCAAGTTCTTCCTTACCCAGTCTAAATATCTCAAAAGCCAAGTATACGGACGCAAGAGGCTGCGTGGCAGCTTTGTTTGGCAATGCCTCGGGCTGGTGGTTGTCTTGGGGGCTTTGTGGGTGGTACGCCAGAGCGGCCAGACCCGTATCTGGGGCTGAATAGCGCGACGTAGCCCCAGATATGTCACTGGAGATATTGGCCGAACTATACTCATCATTACGGGTATCTCAACGGCAAAGTATCTCGTCTCACTACCAGTCGACTACTTTCACGTGTTCTCGATCGAACAGAAATTTTGCTTCAACAAGGCAACTCTCTCGGTGCGGATGAAGGACCAGCTTAAGAAAATACTTGTGACGGTAGCAGCTTGCGCCCCCGCCGTCCCAGCCATCAAGGTGATGCTCGAAAGCCTGTGGCAATCGCTCAATTCTATTCGGCCAAACTCGTGGAAGTCTCTCAAAGCTATCCGGCCAAATTCACCTACCTCCAGCAGCATTAAACCTTCCTTAAAGCCTCTCTTCGACATCTACGTTATCGCACTACCGCTGCTCCTAAGCAGTCACTTTATCCAGCGACGCCTTAGTAGTATCAACTCTTCCCTAGACGAGCGGCTCAGCAACCAACTCGACCCCTTACTCCCAGTAAGCAAGCCCCTCCGGCAGAAGCCCAACGTATACGTGCAGCAATTCTCTTTACAAACTAGCCATATGACTGCATACTTCTCTGGTGGGTTCTGGTCAACCGCCGTGGTTTTATCGGACACACTGCTACAATCGGCAGAACTTTCCGAGAAGGAGCGAGAAATGGACGCTTCCAACACTGACGACTTGAAGTCATCTGATCTCACTAAAGCAATCATTGCTCACGAGCTTGGCCATTGGTACTTTCGTCACGACCTACAGGGGCTGATACTGTTTTCATCTGCCTTCGGTCTGTTCGTTTACAGAATGCTACCAATGTTCATTCGCTCTGAAGCTATGCAAGGGCTAAATCCCCTCACCGTCCCTCCGCTTTTCGTCTTCTGTTAGCTTACTGTAGCTCCTCGGCTCCTTCTTACCCCCATCACTTCTGCTATCCCGCGGCGCATGGAGCGAGAAGCTAATGTTTTTATTGTAGCGATGGGTCAGGGTTCATAGCTCGCGACAGCACTCGCATGGATGCATGTCCATGAATGCGGATGGTTAGAGCTGGACTGGCTGTACTCTGCTTTTTGCAGTACGCATCTGCCAATCCAGGAGAGATTGGAGGCATTGGATGGGCAAATTTGAGGAAAGACAAAAGGAGCAGATGATGACGAGCAGGTGTCTCACTACATTCGTCCCTTGCAGTCAGCCACAATCTACTCTCCATGGCTTTCTCCAGCAAATTTACTGAATGAACACGGAGTCTCCTCGTCGGCCGCTACGAGGGTTTCAGCCAATCGCCGCACTGTATTAGATTGTTGTGAGGGGACTGTTCGAGAGATAAGTATGAGAAGAATCTCAGATTGTGGAACAATTCTCTTGTGATAGAACGCCCGACAGAGGAAATATAGCACCTTGCCAGACCTGCTTCGCCCATTGATTCGACCACGTGACTGCGAGCGGGTAAACGCGAACAACGCGTCAAGCTCCCAAGCTCCACCGACTCTCCAGAGACATGATATGAACATTTCCACGCAAATCGCCTACCGTGAATTTCGAAGAACCAGACATCGCCATGCTTGACATCAACGACTTCAATCAACTCTTCGACTTCAATCCGGACTGCACATACAGCCAGAGCACATACAATGGCATTCTCCGGAATCGGCGGGCTCTGGACAACAAGCTCTTCTTCGACCGGCTGCTAGATCGTCTTAATGTCAAATGTGCACAGTGTCCTTAACCATTGCGTCTACGCTCAATTCTGACACTTAGCCAGCTTCCAACCTCTACCCGCCGCATACCAACTCCGATCTCCGCGACCTCCACCACCAAATCGTCTCCAGCCAAACAGCCGAACACCACAAGCAGTCCCTCCTCTTCTACATTCTCAAAGACTGCAAGAGCCCCGAACCGACCGAGCCCGCCGACGCCTTGGCAAAAGACTGCCACCTGCCCGAGAAATACCGGCTGGCGATAGACGGCCTCTGGGCGCTCGACCGGCTGCAATTCCGCGTACGCTTTCCATGCGCTGCTTCCACGTTGCTGACCCTCGATACTTACGCACGAGGACCCTAAACAGACAGCAACGACTCTGCTGACCTCCCCGCTCTTGACCCCAACCTTCCCCTCCGAGATCCTCAGCACCCTCCTCAAGCACTGCGGCCCCTCGACCCCCGACGCCGACCTCCCCCTCGCATACTACTACGCTGTCTCCGCCCCTCTCAACACCGAAGCGCTCCTTCGTTCCTTCTTCAACCATTTAACCCACAGCTCCATCACGGACGCATTTTTCTTTTCCCGCCAACACCCCGATCCCACGCGACACATGCTATTCGAGGGCCTCATTGAGACAGCGCTGGTGCATATCCCCTCCTTAAAGCGCGCGGATGCGGCTATCGAGCTCCTCAACCTGCCCTTCTCGCCGGAAGAGGAGGCTTGGTTCGAGGCCTTCCTGATTGAGGGCAAAGGGCGGAGTTTACATGGCGCTCGTGATGCGGTTGTTGCGCGGTGGATAGCGGTAGGCAGGGTTGACGAGGCGTGGGAGGCTACTAGGAACATGAGTGGGCGGCGGTATCAGGGGGTCAGCTGGGAGGGGATCAGGGAGGGCTTGGAGAGGGGGTTGGGCGGTAGAGGAGAGGTGGGAAGGGTGTGGAGGGCGGAGGAAGCGATGGGCGGAGTGTGATCGATCGGAGATGTGGCTGCAGGAAACAGGATATATGAAGCAGCCTGACGCATGCGCGGACACAAGTGAGGCGGAGGAGGTGCCTCAGGCGCTCTCAATCCTGAGCTAGCCTGCGGAGAATGAGCCCTGATTCAGGGAAACCGAAACCGAAGCTGCATTGTTGCATTGTTAGCATGGCGGCTGGCGTCACGGTGTTGGGACGAGTAGACGTTTGCTCGATAGCCAGCTCCCGGCTGAAGACAAGCGGTAGCTTGGAGTTCTAATCTCGAATATCCTCTCCCAGCGCAGAGGTCCAGAGGCACCGCATCTAGCCATATATCTTCATGCAGCAAGAAACTCCAAGACTAAACCCCCTTAGCAAGCGCTCAAGTCGCCTTCTCTGAACGCCATGCAATGGTCTTATCATGTCCATACCCCATCCTAGAACCACTCACTATCCGCATCCTACCAAGGACCTCACTTCTTGAACGTTGCGCTCTTCCCGGCCCTCTCTTTCTGCGCCCTGCCAAGGCCCTTTGGCGCATCCAAGGCCTTCTTGTACGGATTGAACCCCCTTTCTTGTCCCTTCTTCTGCCTCTCCCTGGGCTTGTTGAGCACCGACGGGGCGTTGGCATAGTCGAAGGGCACCGGCTCGGCAACATCCTCGCCGTCGCCGTTTGGCGCAACAGAACCGTTGTTTTCTTCCTCCCCTTCCCGTACTTGCTGCTGCTGCTTCTTCAACCTCTTCGCAGCTTTCCTCTCGGCTCTCATCTTTGCTTTCTCCTCCGCAGCAACAGCATCCAGATCCGGCACCGCCATCTCATCGTCCTGATCATCGAAGCCCGCCTGGCCAGCCGGCGAGTCCGAGGACTCAGCAACTCTCTCTGACGCCAGGTCATTCAGCTTCCGCTTCCTGCCAGCGCCGCCGCCAAGCTGCTTGATGACGAAAATCCCATCATCCCTCTTCTCCAACGGCCGCTCCTCGGCCCTAACAAACGCATGCTCAGCCCTCGCGCCCGGATCAACCGCCACCTTCTGCTGAGTGAGCGTCGAAGCGTCCGCCGGATCCGCAAACAGCTGCGCCGTGAGCGCCGGGAGCGGGACGGCGAGCTGCACGTCCGTGGTCAGGGGTCTGCGCTGCTGCTGCCACAGGCCGTTCCAGAGCTTGCCCCAGAAGCTCGAGGTCTGCGTCCTGACGGGCTGGCTGATCTGAGGCGCAGGTTGGGGAGTTGAGTTGGCGGCGGCGGCGCGGGCTACGTAGGGCGCTACGGCCGCCGGGGCGGGCTTATGGGGGTGTGCGCCTTCGATTTCGGCGAGGACATCTGCCATCTCTGGGCCGTTTACGCCTTCTGCTCTGGCTTTGGCGACGACGGAGACGACTTCGTCAGCGCGTAGGCGGAGAGGCTGGGGGGTTGGCTGGACGGCGTTGAAGAGGGCTGGCTTGTCGGTTGGCATTGCTCGGGCTATGGTGAACAGAGCGTGGTTTGGGAGGACGTAATGGATGCTCTCGTCTTCCTGTCTGGCGACGGTGTCTCGCCATCGATGTACAGCTCGGAAGACGGAGAACTGTTCTTTCGAGAACATCGCCGGAGTCTTGTTGAACATCTTGTACCAGCCCATTGATCCCAGTCCTTCAGCAGCATCGTAGAACGGATGTTCGTATGTCTGCAGGGCTGTTTCCTTGGACTTCCGCAGCACGTGCCCTATGCGGTCACTGTCAGGATTGGAGAAGTTGGACTTTTCGATTAGCTCGTTCCGCATGTTGTCGTAGATGTACAGAAGGAAATGGGTATCAGCTCTAGCATATTCGAATAGTTCTTTTGGTAAAGGCCGCAATCGCCAGTCGGCCATCTGGTATTGCTTCTGCGCACTGAAGTTGATGAACCGTTGCAGAAGGTATGCCAGGCTTCCGCCGGGGTAGCCTAGCGATCTTGCTGCGTAATGAGTGTCGAACAAACCGACGAGGTACAGGCCGAGATCTCTTTGTAGCCATATTACATCCATGTATGCACCGTGAAGAACCTTCGGGTTTAGCGTCAGGTGGGTTCCTTTGATAAAGTGTCATTGGGGCACTTACCTTCAGGATACTTGGATCCGCAAACACCTCGTTCAGACACTCAAGCCTTCGCCGCCATGGCTTCAATGTGTCTACTATCCAGTCCTTGTCTCGTGTACTGATCTGCATGAGGGATACCAAACCGATGTATGTCCGCTGGTCGTGGTGCTCAATGTCGATGGCGATCTCCTTTGCTGTCTTCAACTCCGCAAGCATGGATGCCAGAGCTTCTGGCGTGTCGACCAGCGTTGCCGTTGTCGACTCAAAGGGTCGGTAGGGTAGAGGATCGGCCTTGGTGTAGACAGAGGAGGGGAACTGGTAGGCTTCAATTTCCTGTTGATAGGGGTGCGCGTAGCTTCGGGGGAGAGAAGTCAGCAGCCATCTCCGATACAGTCGCACGCAGTAAATGCTCACTGCTTTGTGCCCTCCTTGTCCGAGACCAGCTGAAGGCTCTTGTCCAAAGGTATTCGTGCATGCGGCTTCGTTGTAAGGAGAGGTTTCCATGGCTGCGTCTCATCGTTGGACGGCACGTTCTCGAACAAGACCTGCGGCTTGGCAATATCAAGCTTCGTGAACGCGCTGAAGGGCTTCGAAGCGCTCGCCCTCGGAACCGGAGACTGCACCCCAATCAGTACGCACCACCCCCCCAACTATCCCCCATAGAACTCTCACCTCTTGCCGTCCAGGACTCAGCCTCTTGACCATGCCCGTGTACTCATCCAAGCTCGTATCGGCCCTCTCTAGCAAACTGTCGACGACATCAACCACCTCCCTCCAATTGCCCTCGACGGCATCAGCATCAGGAAGCTTAGGACCTACAGCCTCCGAGCTCGAAGCCGCATTGCCGAGAAGGCGCTCCGCCAGCGCGAGAAGGCGCGCATTCTGCCTGTCGAGCGCGGCCGCAACGGTGGGGTCGAACGAACGGTGGAATCCGAGGTCTTCGGCGCAGATCTGGTTCGCGGTTCGGGTGGTCGAGATGAGGGCGGCTTGGACGGTCTCTTGAAGGGTCTTGAAGTCTGTTGGAGTGTCCATTATGGCATGGCAGATATCGAAGGTGTCGTTGGAGGTGGGAGGGCCTGGGTTTGCGGCGAGTGGTTGCCGCCTGCGCGTTAACTAGAGTCATGTCCGCGATGCGCGCAGTGCAGTGACTTTTTCGTTACGCCGTAAATAATCTTGCTATCGATAAGATCCGTAATCTATCCGAAATCGATTTGAAGCTCTCCTGCGCGTCAACTTTATACACTTGTCACGTCCAACTATGTCAGCTTCTCTTGCGCCAGAATGCAACGACGTGAAAGAGTCAGTCGAGTGGCAACTGTCTTGGATGTGTGCTAATCATCCCGAAGGCGTTATGACAACTGCTTCCTGAAATGGTATAGCGAGAGTAAAGCTCCCCTGGAATAATTGTAACGCCACTACTTACGACCCGTAGAGTTCCTCCGTGGTAACGCCACGACGGACGAGTGTGAGCCGCTGTTCAAACAATACAAACAATGCCTAGGGGTCAGTCGTACGGGTGTGTTTTACCTATAGCCTGTTCTAATCTTCACCTAGAGAGCGCTGAAGGATCGAGGAATCGACAAGATGGTCGAGGAAGCTAGGCAGGACAACAGGGAGAACGACGCTGAGCATATGCGAGGAGGCTGTGAGTGCCCCTCCATACATGAGTGGCAAGTCCGAACATTAACGTCTTGGGCAGGACATTCTGGATCACTGCATCACGTGGCGGGAGTTCTGGAGTCTGGGATACCACGTCTCTATCAGCCCTCGAGGGGAGGTTTTGCATAGTCCGGCGCTCACTCTACTACGTGTACTATGTTGCCGGGTGTGCAATCCAGCATTGTAAAGGTGAACTAGTACGCCTTAGTGCGACGCAAACTCCTGGAGAAAAACAGTCCATGAGATGAGTCAATCTGTATGCAGGACTGCAACGGTATCCTATAGCGAGAGGACGAACTCGACAAACACTACTTGACAATCCGCACCAAAACCTACGGTATCTTAGGAAACACATACAGGTAAGCTAAGCGCAAACAGGGAGCCTGCATTGACAACATCCGCTTTGATACAGACCAGCTTAGTTGTCTTGTTGGAGGGGATGGACATCCTGCCGCTATCCGTATTTTAAGTCTGTATGCAAACGAATGTGAAGTGGCAGTGAGCTTCTGCAGAAGTCCGTTTACAATATAAGAATTCGCCATGGTTCGCTCGAGTTCTTTCACCACAACTCTCGTATCGCGCCTGTGTCGTATGCAAACTTCGAGTCCATAACATCGCAAACTTCTTCCTCAAGGTCCGCCTTCCTCATACGCCCATTACGTGATTAGCGTAATTTAGAGCAGTAAGCCATGGGCAGTCTCACGACTGAAATGCACGCGGAGCTGGTAAGGGCCAAGGCTTCAGGACTATCTCCTTACATGGGCAATGTCATCGCCCAGACGTTCCTCTCCAATTCCTTTTCCGAGCCAGTCAAAGAATCGAGGCGTTATCCACGACCCCAACCTCGCTGACCCCCCTCCCAGCCTCACTTCCCCCTCCCAAAAGCACCACCCTGTCGCATCTGTGGCAGCGACCGAACCATCAAACTCGCCGTCCGCCCCGACAACCCCAACGGCAACGCCAGCCGACCCTACTACGTCTGCCTGCGCTGCAGATCAGGCTGCGTGGAGCAAGGCCTAAACCCCTACGAAGTGGGCTGGGTGTCGTGGGCCGACAATCGCGGCATGCACAAGGACAATCCGCCCTGCGGCTGCAGAGCAGTGAGTCGACAGAACAGGGCGGGTGCCGCCAGCTCTAGGCCCGGGATGGGCTTCTGGACGTGTGCTTCTGGAGCTTGCGGATATCACTCGGAATTTGCTAATGGGCTGACTTTGGAGAAGGCTCGGGCGCGGGAGGATTGGCCGTCGGGACTTGGGTATGAGGGCTTTTGGCCGTGGTTGCTTTGAAGGGGTCACTGATTAGAGGTGCAATCTTTAGGCAGCAAAAGGCTCTGCTTAGTCTGACTAAACACGTATCACCATCGCCTGCTGTGTTCATTCGCCTTGCTCTCTCTGTGATGCAGGACCAAATAGCCTAGTTCTGATACACGGCCTGTCCTTGGCGGCGCTGTAAGTTTCAGGCAGAATGTTGAGCCTGAAGGTAGGAGCTCGTGACATATTCGGAACGACCATGGTACATCCCGGTATAAGCCCTCTATTTGTTCAACGTCCGGTCAATCCATGTTAGCATGGTATCTACCGCCGCGGCATGCCTCTGCCTCTACCTCTGAGCGCCCTCTGTGCCGCGCCTGGCGGCAGACCCCTCTGCGGCGCTTGCGGTTGCGCCGACTCCTCATTCTCTGCGAATACTAGTCAGCTTTATTCGAATTGTTAAGAGATGAGGGTATCCACATACTTATCGTCTCATCAACACTCAATATCAGACACGCCGCCTCCACAGCCGCCTGGATCGCATTCACCTTCACCAAGCTCGGTTCCCACACAAACGCCTTCATGTTGTCCGCGATGCCCTCGTTCACAAAGTCCACACCGGCCCAGATGTTCCCCTTACGGTGCTCCACCCTAAGCCTGTTCAGAATATCCGTCGCGTCGAAGCCCGCGTTATCGCACAGCTGCCTCGGTATCACCTCAAGCGCCTTAGCAAACGCCTTGATGATGCTCTGTATCTTCGTCGAAACGTTCTTATCGGCATAGCTGTGCAGATACGCCGAGACCTCCATCTCGCACGCGCCGCCGCCAGCAACAATGCTCTGGTTCTTGATTGCACGCTTGACGATCATGATCGCGTCGTGCAGACTCCGCTCCACCTCGGCGATGAACTGCTCGGCGCCGCCGCGCAGCACGAGCGTGCACGTCTTGGCGGCGGGACAGCCCTCGAAGAAGTTGAAGCGCTCGCCGCCGATCTGGCGCTCCTCGAAGCGCGCGCAGGTGCCCAGGTGTTGCGACTGGATGTCGGAGCAGGTGGACTGGATGCTTGCGCCTGTGGCCTGGCAGACGCGCTCAAGGTCGTCGGAGGCGACGCGGCCGGCGCAAAAGACGTCTCTATCCGCGAAATACTGTGTCGCCAAGTCGCCAATGGGCAGTTTGCTCAGCACGACCTTGGCGCCAGTATTGTAGAGCGCCTCCATCTTGTTGAAAATAATCTGCCACTCGGCGTCGACGATGGCTTGATATTCGGATACCTGTTCGACGCGGACTTCGGCGTTGTCCTTCTCCGACTTGAGCTCGAGCTCGACGTTTAGGCAGACGATTTTCGGGTCTTTGAAGGATTTCGGTTGTTGCTCGAAGCCGGCGTAGGAGAAGGTCTTCTTGAAGGCGACGCCGTTCACGAAGAGGGAATCTTGGAGGGCGCCACCGGTGATCTTTTTTATGCCGATGAGCTTCTCGTTGAGGTCGTCTTGGTCGAGGGAGAGGACGGCGTCGACTACCACTGAGAATAGAGAATTGGATTAGCTGCGGCCTCATCGGAGCACCGGTGCCGGTGGACTTACTCTTGGTGAAGAAATCCGAGTTCCTGTGTATCAGCTTACTGCTCATCGCCGTCGCCGCAAGCTTCCGTAGCGTCTCCCGCTGGTTGCCCTCTGATGTGTTGACTGCAATCTCCTTGATCTTGTTGACCGCCATAGCCGATGCCCTTCGTAGACCCTTGATGATGACCTGGCTGCTAACTCCTTGCTCCACGAACTCCTTGATCTCCTTCAGAACCTCGCCTGCCAGCACGACGACCGATGTTGTGCCATCCCCCACCTCGGCGTCTTGCGAGCGAGCAATGTCTGTGAGGATCCGCGCGGCAGGGTGGACTATGTCGAGGAGCTTAAACACAGTTAGCTCGAGTGTTCTCTGGCGCGAGGCAGGATGCGCACCTTCATGACTGTTGCGCCATCGTTTGTGATTGTTTGCCTGCCGTTCTCGTCCACTAGCAGCAGGTCTCCGCCGTAAGGGCCCAGTGTACTTCGGATGGTTGCTTGGACTGCTAAGCACGCGTTGATGTTGGATACTACCTGTCCCCGGCCTTGCGACTGATCGGTCCCTGCAGCTATTAGCCAACGTACGTAGAACAGGTGGGTTGGCATTGTACAAACCCTCCTTCAGCACTATAATCGTGGGTGTTTGTCCGCCGAAGGACATTTTTGCGGCAGCTCTTGAAGGCGCTGTAGAATGGGTACGTCGATCCGGCGCTGAAATCTAGCTGGAGTGTTTCTTAAAGGAACGGGTCTTTTCGTGGGAATCTTCGCAGCGTAGTGGTGGTATCCTGTCCTACTTTTGGTTGTGCTGCTCTGCTTTGCTGATCGCAACGCGACTTTCCACAAAAACTCTCGCGTCCTTCCGCGGCCTGCAGCGGAGCGGAGTGACTTTCTGCCATCACCGTCCTCCTCAGCCCCCCACCCCTAGGCAACACCAGTTCTATAGCCCTCCAGCTTCACTTTGAATGAGATATACTCTTCTTCGTAGATGATTCGCTCGCTCTCTCCGCTTTACAGTGCCTATTCGAATTCATTATGCACAGGTGGTAGTTTATGATTCTTACGAATATACCCTTTGGCTTGAATAACCTTAGAGTAACCTCAAGACTATATATATTCCTTTTGCCATCTTTGTCGTTATCTTGACTTATACCCTTCATGCGGCTTCTCTCTTTTTGATAGTTCAGACCTCATGCCCACAAGTATGACTTCGAAGCACCGGTACAATGATCAAAGAGTGAGTAAATCACATCAGGCTGTGGCCTAATAGCAAGTGCCAATCTTAGGGCATGCCAGGAAGCTACACAGAACGTGTTTTCCGACTCTCCATCTCGCACCAGCTTTTCATGAGCGTAAAGCTTTGGCACGCACCTTCCGTTGCTGAGTCCCAGCCTTCCTCTATATCCCTCGGGAGTCCCAACCGATTCAGATACTAAACCTTCTCAGGCCCTCATGACGCCGAAACGCAAGCCCAAGCCCCCACCGCCGCTCCGCTTCCACAACATGCCCCTGGCCTCGCAAGGCTTCCCGGGCACGTCCCTAACCTCGCGCCCACCCCTCCTGCGCCTGCCCCCCGAGCTCCGCCAGCAAATCTTCCGCTACCTGCTCCCCGGCCCGCAAGAAACCTTCCGCTTCTATCTAGACAGCGGCAGCAGCTCCATCAGCCCGAAATGCCACCTGCACCACCTCAGCCGCCACAGCCCGCAGTGTTCCGACCGCACCACCCCGCCCTACCTCCACCTCCCCCGCCGCCCCGCCCGCACGCTCTCCGTCCTGCGGCTCAACAAACAGATCTATGGAGAGGCGCTTGCCGTGCTGTATTCGGAGAATCTGTTCCACTTTGTCGGCTTCAACTATCTGCCTGTGCTGGACTTTGTGCGGCACTTGAGCCCGGAGGCGAGGGGCGCGGTTAGGAAGGTTAGGCTTACGCTGCTCAGGGAGAAGGGGAGCAGGCGGGATGAGAAGTGGGAGATTCTTTGTAGGGTGCTGCATGGGGAGTTGCCGGGGCTGAACACTCTGGTTGTTGATCCTGAGACGTGGATCTAGGGTGGGGTGGATTGACATTGTGGTTGGATGGAGAGGTGACATGCAGGGTTGTGAAGAGTAGATAGATTGGTTTCGGTTTGGTGCTGGCTTGGGCGTTTTGGGTTGGGTACGAGGGATGCAGAGATGGGTTATACCCTAGGGTTAGATTGGTTATTCTTGTGGATGTTGCCACAGAAGGAGTCTTCGCTATCACGTTTGTTCATACTGCATAATCGGCTACAGCGAGTTTCAAGGCACTCCTCGGCGAAACTGGTGAGGCTCAGAACAGAGCATGACTTGCACGCAGCGTTAGTGGTAAATAAAACAAGCTGCTGACCGCCTTATCACAGGCCAAAGGGATCACTGAGTTGTGACATGTGGTTCGCGGATAGCCGTAGGTGGTTTGAAGTAATCGCGAGCAAAATTTTCGAACCTTGAAATACGTGTTGCTCCAAAGCTCTGCGAGTCGCGCGGCCAGCTCTGCATGAAGCTCAACCACTGTGTTCCCGTAGCCAAGCAAACAGCACCGTCCTCCGAAATCGTCAGCCATGGTGTGTAGCAACTAAGTACATCGGAGTACGCGAAGGTATTGACAATGCGAACAATCCCAAAAGCCGAGATCTAAGAGTAGATCCACAAAGCAACGGGCCAGTAGCTGTAAGTCCTGAATGAAAAGACTCCAAGGGTATCAATCCGGTTTGACCTCGAATGGACCTTCCTCCCTCGTGTTTCAGGAGGCAAGATGTCCTGTTTGGAAGAAAGAGCTCACAGAACTGCAAGCAAAGCCGAGAGAATCGGCACCAGTGTGCGTAAGTCGTAGTGCGAGTGAAGCGGAAGCGCTCGGTAAACCGTACCATCACCTATTCCAAGTCGCTGTCCATCATGTCGGAGTCTGACTGAGCATGCATATCAGTAGCCACTTCTTGTCGCAGCTCTTCGTCATCGCTCCATAAGTCGCCCTTGGACAGTCCGAGAGGTTCGTTGGAAGGTTGCGCAGGAAGGATCTCAGGACGATATCGTGCCTCCTCCTCACTCACGAGCACGGGCTTGCAACCCTTCCAAGTCTGAGACGCCCAGATGTAGAGTGGACCAACCACTTCGATCTCAACATTGCAGTTCAGGTCGGCCATGCGCTCCACAAAGTCAATCCAAGTCCTGCCGGCGGCGCACTTAAGAGTGATGTGGGAGAGGGTTAATCGCTCGAGAACGCCTGGGTAGCTGAGAACAAGCCTTTCGAGCGTGTCTTGGTGAACAATGAAATCGTGCAGATAGATGGACCGGGGTGGACTTGTGTCCTGTGGGACGAACAGATCCAGTAGGCAAGCTTTCGGCAGTGGATTCACACGATTTGGATCAGCGGCATGCGTGTCCGCTCCTTGCGACCAGTGTCCGATTACCCGGAGATGCTTCAAATTTGGCAGGCTCCACACGATTTGCTTCCAGTAGTTCATCATGCTTGGAGAGCCAATGTCATTCGGGTGAACGGCAACACCCGCGTGGCTCGTCCTCTGAACACCGGGAGCTCCGCGAATGTTGAGCGTGAAGCGTTCGATTTTGTCGAGCTTGGCTTGATTGATAGTATCATCGTACAGCTGGTACGAAAACGTAAGGAGTCGGTTGATGGTAGCCCATTCGCGCACATCGCTGAGATTTGCGCCGGTTACGTGGAGTTCTTTGACACGTCTGGGTATGGATACCACTAGGATGTTGCTCAAGCAGGCGACGTTCGGAATGCGACTAATCTCGTACGGAGGGTTTGTTGCATTGACGATGTCCGCACCGTACTTCTTGATGAAACGCTGTGTCATCGTCGGCCATGGAAGGTTCTCGCGCTCGCATATGCCGGCTTCGACGTACTCGAGATTCGGGAGCAACTTGAGCGTCTCTTTGGAGACAGCAGCAGCGTGGTTGAGGAGTAGGAACCAGTCCACCTACTGGGCATTAGTACGATAGAAAACTTATTTTTTTAAGAGTCCGCGCTCTCTGAGTGCTGGTTGTAAATGCCTCAGCGGTCACAATGCTAGACAGAGATATTTTCGCCATGTCATGCTCTCCAAGACCTCCCAATGCAGCCTTGTCGTGACGGAAGCGATCCAGCCCATGCTGCTATTGGGCGGCCGATGAAGGCAAGACTGAAGAAGATTTCGACGAACTAACCTTGAAGAACGGCCATACGAGGGCCTCATGGTACCGTGCACAGAAGACCTTCTGCTGCGCAGTCAAACCAGCACGTCCAGTAACCCCGAAGTGACTTAGAAGTCGCTCCGTAGTGGAATCGCGGACAGTGTCGGCATCGCCCATGCCGATCTCCCAGCGCATACCGGGAGGGATCTGGACCTGTACGTTCTGGACATGCTTGGCAAGATCTTCCTTCTCCTCGGCGAAACGAAGAAGTTTCGGGACGTGCTGTATGTCGACGACGATGAGGACCATGTCGCGGAACAGGTACTTGGTGACCCAGGCATGAAACGCTCGACATGTCAGATTGGCATTTTGAAGATCTGCCTTGGATCCTGGCTTGAAGCGGTTGTCTTCCTCTGGCGTTAGATGGGCGATGACCATCTCGCAAAGCTCGGGCGGAATGTCCGAGAAGGTCTTCATAGTGGAATGTGGAGGATGCCAATGGCGTGATGAGGGAGGTGTCGCAGATGCTTTGGGAGTTACGGAACTGAGATTGATGGTTTCCTGCAAGGTTTAGTGGGAATCGCACCGATCTTGTGGTGTGAAGAGGCTGAGAGAGAGATTTGCTTTTGAAATCGCTAAAGGTGTTGGCGGTTGCAAGGCTGAGAGTATGGAAGTGAGATGTAAATTTGGAAATGTGTGGAGCCGAATGAAATCGTATGCTAAATCGGCAAACATGAAGAAGGCCGCATTCACATACTCTGGAATTGTGAGCGAAGCCAGTGGAGGTGGCTGGCAGTGAAGAGTGTTCCGAACGTCGTTGCAAGGCTGAGCAGAACCTCAAGGCAGACGCCGATGGAACGCGCGGGAGCCACAAAGCTTGGCCTGCATGAGGTTGTCAATAAGGATGCGCCTTGGTTCACGCACTTTATGCTGCCCTGAAGTTTGTGCTCGCAACAAGCCTTAGCCTGACATGTGGAGCAGTTTTGTACCCGAGCAATTATACATCTGGCTGGTCCCTTCAGCAATTTCTAGACCAGATATCAGTCATCACCAAGCACGCAAAGCTATGCGGATAGAGATAGTCATAGTCATTGATACTACTACACCACTCCCGCATGCGGTATCTACATGACCAAGTCTCCTTTGCCCGCGTGTTCCTCCCATCCAGTGCGTCAAGGCCCGCAAAAGCCGGCCCAGGGTATTCAACGATCTTCCTCTACTCATGATGATGCCCACAGAACGCCAAATGCAACCCTGGAAACCCCTCCAAAGAACGATCGAACAGCCGTCCAGCAAAGCCCAAGCGTGACGGGTGACCCAAAACCCAAGTAAAAAGAAATGAGTGAAAGAATCAAACTGGCGCGCAACCCTTGTGCGTCCACGTTGATATATTGATCCAGAAACCTTCAGCCGATGCTGCCAGACCGAACCCTTGGTAATGAAAGTTCGCAGAACGAGAATTACAAAAACGCGATTCGCGCTACGCAGCAGCCGATATGCTCTCCGGACTGATCATCCCCACCGCACTCCCGTCATCCTTTTCCGGCTCCGGCTGGCTGCCCTCCTTCTGCGGCATCTCCAGCCTCAGCTTCCCAATCGGCTTGAGTTTACCGACATTTGGAGTCGCCGAATCGTCCTTTGCGGTGCCGTCATCCAGCTTCCGCTTCTTCTTCGCCATTTGCTGCAGCTCTTTCTGAGGCCTCTTTCGCGGGCTCGTGATCTTGCCGCTTGGCGGCAGGCGGGGCCTCGGGAAGCGCTGCTTAGGCGGTAGCTCTTCGTCTTCGATGAGGGGCAGGTCGCCGTTTGCATGCAACTTGCGGAGAAAGAATGGCTGCACGAGGCCGATTTGGGAGCTGATGTTTTCGACGGTGACGGGTTCGTAGGGTGGAGGTGGTTCGAAGATGACGCCGGACGTCTCGGTAGCGCTGCAGAGCGGATCGGGTCAGATGGATTCACAGCGCAGAGACTCTCGTTAGACGCATACCTTGTGTTTTGCGCTCGGTACGCATTGTGCATGCGATTCTGTAAAAGATGGAAAGGCACGCTGAGAGAAGCGAGACCGAATTCCTTGTCAAGGCCGAGCTCCTTGAAGCCGAAGAAGTCCTCATCGATATCTTCTGCAAAGTCACCGCCAACGAACTGCTCGCTGCCATCATTGAAGGCACCGACACCGTCTGCTCCGGCATCTGTATTGAGCGCAGGACGCTGATAACGTAAGTATGAGCAGTGATCGGCACGGTGACTAGACTTACCAGGAGTTCAGCAAGATGCGATCTCATACGGTCGTGCATCACAGTTAGTTTAGAGCCAAGGCGGTCGACGTCGTCCTTGACATAGCTCTCCAACGCTTCGAGATCTACGCCGTTCTCATGCAAGCTGTGCAGAATCGCCTCCTCGGCGGTAAATCGCGGCTTCAGCGCGGCCTTCTCGCCGATAGCTGTGGTCTGCTCAGCTTTGATCTTGGGCGTGTCGGAGTAGACCCCAAGCGTCTGTACAAGATTCTTGAAGAAGCTGCCTGCAATGTCGGTTATGGCGTCCAGTGCCGAAGGCTGGAACTCCTCAAAGCCGGCATGGTAGAAAATCTTGCCAACGCTTCTTTGGAGTGCACCACGGCAGACCCATTGCGACATAACAGGACCGTCGTCTGATACGACCAGGGGCTCAACATCAGCTTCCCTAAAGGGCTGCGGATCGTACTTTTGAAATTGATTCTGATACATCTGCAAGATGGCTTGTGTTAGTGGTCGACTTCGCGGTGCTGGGTTGGTATACATACCTGCGATTGTAGTTGCATCTGCTTCACGATCCCAATCTTAGCGCACACCTTCCGGGTTTCCTGCATCTGGCGCATATTTGCATCCATCTTGCGGGTCAGACTGCTCTCCGGTGCAGTAAATTGCCCTTTCGGTATCATGCGCAGAAATTCCTCCGCCTGATAGATGACCTGTCGGTCGGCATCCTCGACCCACTTGAGACGGTCATCCAGATCAGGAATGGCTGATAATGGATCGTAGTAGTCCGGAAGGTTGCGCTCCTCCTCTTTCTCGATGCCCTCAGCAAGCGTCTCGCCCCTCGTGGATTGGACACCTTCCCTTCCGTCCTTTGCTGGTGCTTGGCCTTCTGCCTTACTTTCATCTGTTGCCTGGTTGCGCTGCCTCAGCCAGCGCCTCATGCCAGCTTTGGTTCTGAGCAGAGCCGGCTCTTCAGCGTTGAGACGGTTGTTGCGGAAAAGCCTGTTCCGCTCCGCAGCGACCGTTGCCCGATCCTTCTTCGTCACCTGCTTCCACGTCCTGAATTCAATGTCGTCGAGGTCAAGATCTTCTGCTTGGCTTGTCGTGACTCCGCTCACGGAGTCTCCAGTTCCATCAACCTCTGATACGTCGGCTTGACTACCATGAGCCCCACTGCTGAAGATCCCATGGCGGCCTAGAGGGGTGAGTGTACCGGGCGGAGGAGTCGCTAGGCCGTTCTGACTCCCTTCCATGGGTGCGTCGGAATCTGCTCGAAAGAACTCATTGCTTAGGGTGGATGTCGAGCCGCGAATAGATGGTAGTTGCGGTTTGCTCTCGGTACCCGGTGTCCCCTCTAACCTTGCTCCAGGCGCTTTGCGAGCAGTTGATGGGGGCTTCTTACCCTTCTTGGCAGGAGCTTTGCGTCCACGCGACGCCATGATTGGCTCCTCTGAAGGAATGTCTTAGTATAGATTGTTAGAGAGGAGCGTATGTAGATCTTACCATCGTCACTGTCCTCAACACCCTCTAGATCGCCGTTCTGCATTCGTCTCTCCTCCGCCTCCACTTCCGCACGGTCTCGAACGACAAGCTCGGGTATCAAGGGCACAAGCTTCTCCGTCTCCTTTCGCATGTACAGCGCCTTCTTCCGCAGAAAGTGTTGCGGATCAACGTTGTACTTCAAGCAGTTGGCCCAGATGAGGTTCAAGTCATCCACGAACTCTTTCTTGGACTTGTACTGCAACTGTTTCAGTTTCTTCAACATTGTGCCGATATCCATTGGATGCTTGATGACGTTGTAGTAGTCCGGAGCTTCGCGCTTGTTGACTCGCTGCAAGAAAGGAGCCGCATGTTCGGTCATGGCTTTCAGCTCCATGAGCACCTTTTCGCAGGACTCGTAGAGCTCCTCCTGGTTGACCTTGTCCTCACTTGCCCACTTGCTCCTGTTCTTTCGTACTTCGCTCATGAGGTTTCGCAGCTGGGCGTCGGAAGCGTTGACCATGTGCCGTTTCGCATCGATCCTAGCAATAAGGTGTTTGAGAGTTAGGCTGGATGCGCCTAGGTTTGCGCTGCTTAAAGTGCCCTGCTGAGGTCCGGCGACGGCAGCCGCGCTGGTATTGCTCGTGGGCTGGCCCAACATCTCCGATTCAACTTGGCGATCTAGATCGTCCAGTTTCTGCTGCTCCAACATCGCATCACGATCTGACTCCAAAGTGTAGAATAGTGTGTGGAAGCTCTTGCGCGCAGCCTCCTCTGCAGCCTTCTTATCCTCCTCCAGCTTCTTGCGCATATCGCCAGGAGACTTCAGCTGTTCGGTGGAGGAGGCAGTGCTTCGGCGGTCATTGCTTGGACGCTTCGGTAGCGATGGGACAAGGAGGCCTTGTGGGGTGGTGCCATTGACGATGCGCGCAGCGCCCGCGCCTTTGCTCTGCAACGGGGAGGCGGTCCCAAGGTCGTCGTCTTCGTCATCATCGTCGTCGCCATAGTCGTCCTCGTCAATGGTCCGCGCAGCTTTCCTCGGCGGAGCAATAGTAGGTTGCGATGCATCCATCATGGTGACCTCCGCGCCTGCTTCCCGTTTGTCGTCATCCGGCCGTGACGGTGCCTGAACAGATCTTCGCGGATCGAACAGCGCGGCAAGTCGTGCCTCACTCCGCGCGAAGTTCTCCTTGAACTCCGTGTACCGGGGGTCTTCTTCCCCAATGGCATCACCCCCCTCCCCGCCATTGTTCCCCATGGTGTTCCCCACAAAGGCGTCGTCGGTTATATTAGGCGTTCGGACAGTGGTCGCATGAAGAAACTGATCGTAGCGACGGGCTGCGCCATAGCTGCTTTGTCGGGAGGAGGTGCGGTGGGTTGCGGTCGTAGACATGCCCGACGTGGATGGGGATCACTCTCGTTCTTGGCAAGCGGTGCCGCCAACGAACGCTGAAAGCGAGCCCCGTACTTCCGTCTCCCCCAGAACTTCGTACAAGGCTTGCGAGGGGACAGATGTACCGGTCATCGATAGCTGAGGTTTCGCGCAGATGAGCGAGCGGTTTTTGCGAGTAAAGTATTGATGGTGTAGTTGGGGATTTGATGAAGTCGCTCTTAGAGAACCGCACTGTCGTTGCGGGCGCAAGAGCACATGAAGTCGAAAGAAGGTTAAGGTTTAAAACAGTATTTAGTCAGGCCTTGGCGCGTAACAATACGCGGCACCAACTAAAAAGCCCGTTGCCGCATCTTTTCTTCAGCTTGTTCACTACCAGACTCACCATCAAACCGGACTCATGATCTTGTTGACCATAGAGCGGCTAGGTCAATCCCATGTGATGGAGAGTAGCAGTTTACCACTCCAATGCATAGATCACCGAAGGTCTTTGAGCTGTTGACTGTCCTTGAGGACTGTCCGTCTCCAGGGCTACGAGTAGCTCTCAATGCGGCAACAGGCTTTTTTAAATCGTCCCTGCGTCTCTGCCCTTCCCCATCACCATCTCCAGGAAGCTCTCCCTCCCCACAGCTTGGCTTTTGACCTCACGAGCAGGCCCTGGCTGAAGAGATTCGTTCGCGCTGTGGAGTGCCTGGGCGTAATCTATTTGTCCCACACAAGGATGCCTTTCTGGTGACGTCCTGACCAAGCTCCAGCATGCGCATACGGAAACCCTTCGGTAAGGCGCCGGCAGGGTCCCGCAGCCATCGTTTACTGCAGAAACGTTGCGCACGACGCCAACGCTGACACCTGAACCCCTCTTCTAGCTGCCGGTTTCTGCGTCCTCCTGCTCCTCGCCGCATCCGCCGGCCTCGCGCCCGCGCAATACAGAGTCCCCGAATACAAGCAGAGCGACAAAGTCCTACACTTCGTCACATTCTTCGCCCTCACGGCAAGCAATCCGCGTCTAGCCCATGTGACCAATGGCTCTGATACTATGTACAGCTATGCTTCTACTGGATCCTCGAAACGAACCGCCGCCGCAACCTTCAGCTCACCTTACTAGTCTGCACGGCGGTCCTGGGCGTAGGATCTGAGATATTGCAAGGCCTCCTTCCGGTAAGTAGAGCACGGCCAAGATACTGTCAGGCAAACCGCCAACGTGTCTACAGAACGGCCGCATCTTCGACCCCTACGACATCGTCGCCAACATCGCTGGCTCGCTATTAGCCCTGACCCTCTGCAACTGGTATCACAAGCGCATGCTCGAGCGAAAGCGACAAGCGAGATACGGCCTCGTGGCCGGTGATGAGGGCGACGACAGGGATGTGGAGCTAGGCGAGGGCGTTGGAACACAGGAGACGGGCGTTGCTCGTGCTGCACCTACAGTTGAGGAAGAGTTAGACAACTGGGATGAGAATGCTGAGGATTGGGATGATGGAGAGCCTGGGGGCACTGAGAGTGGGGACGGTGACGGGCCGAAGACGCCAAGTAGTTCTGTGGATGATGGCATGATGGATCGGAAGAAACGAAGCGATTGATATCGTAATTTTCTATTTCATCTAGGTACCGCTTGGTCTTACTCTGGATGTACGTGTAATGGGACACCGTGATGCTTTCACTAAAATACCAGAAACTGGGCCAGGGCAGACAGCACTCCAGGGCTCTGATGAACAGATGGAAATACTTTCTGCTTGCTGGCGGGACTTGAGCTCTGTAAGCACGATAGAGATTGATAAGTGAGCTTGCCGAGGTGAAACGCTTTGGTACCCGCTAATGCTGAGGTGGATCTCAACTATACTCCGCTTCTTTCTCTAAGTACCTCGAATGGATCTCTGCTACACGCAAGAATGCTCGTTGAACGACATGCTGCTCAGAAGTTTTCAGCGACTGCAAGCACATGCCAAGGACGTCCATTGAAGGTTTGAAATAAGCCAGGTGGTTTTGGTTGAATATCCCAGTTCGTGAACACATGCCACTCCATCAACGCAATTACTGTCCCGGAGCCACCGCACCAGCCGCCGCGGTCCTAGCTGCCTGCTGTGGGTTCACCTTCTTGCCATCCTTGTTGTACCGAACCCTTGGCGGGGGAGCGCGGTTGCGGCGACCTTCCCTTGAGCGGACACTATGATTGTGTAAGCCCGTTGATTCTGGCAGACCTACACTCGGCGAACGTACCGGACAATCTTGCCGTGGATGGCGCATGAGACGCAGTACTGGAGCTTGAGGTACATCTTGGGGACAGTGTACTCGGGGAAGACCGAGGCATCGGAGATATCACCTGCAGCGCTTCGTTCAGTATTCCAGCTTTCAGGATTGCATCATGCGGATTGGCGGGGGTATGTTTGAGGCAGGCTTCTAAGCAGGCTCGAAAGCGACGTACGGATAGCGGCGGATTCGACCATGTTCCTTATCGTAAATCTCTTGATTGCCTTGTCCTTGGGCGTGCATCGCGAGCAGTTGGAGCAGCGGATCGGCTTGACGTGGCCCCTTCCCTTCTTGTTGCGGCCGCTGAGAAGCTCGTTAGCTTCATGTAACCGAGTTGCGTTCTTGCGGATTTCCGTACTTGGATGCTCGCTTCTTGACCATGATGGGCTGATTCTGATACGAAATTAGATGGTGCGAACTTGCGATAGCGACTCGAGGGTGTTAGTACCTAGGTGGACGAGAAGGTAGCTTGGGGGGGTAACGGTCGTTTAGCAGTGCAGCGGCAGCGATCAGTAGATCAATTTTCGGCCAAGTGTGTGACTGAAGCGAGTTGCATCACGGCCGCGCCGGAGCCGGAGAATCATGTGCACCGAGCCCCTGGACCCTTGAGCATCAGATGCATCTTGGCAGGGGTGCGTGTTTGGATTGAGGACAGCGAATCGGATTGATAGGCCGTTCGAGAGACCACAAAGGCCCTCAGCTGAGACAGCACTTCGAAATCTGCTAGCTGTTATATTGTCCAGCTGCAATCATCCGGCTTCTTGGGGTGTGGACGTTGATCGTCATTCTCGGCGACTCGGAGCTTCCGCATCGAGACCGGCGTGTTGTTGTGCCCAGCAACGGAGCACGCGCATCGTCACAAGACTTTTCGAGCAATCTCACGAGCACAATAGACGAAGTCACACAGCTCTGCCTCGTCGCTCGAACAAAAATCACCATAAGAATTTCGCAAAGCTCCACATCATGTCTGCGGCCGGCGGCACGTATCGAAGCACCCCTAAGGGCAGGGGACAGGTGCCTTTCGCCAGCAATGCTCCCTCTGGCATCCCTCGTCCAGCCTTAGACTCCTATCCGAGTCAATCAGCAAGCGAAGCGGGAACTTCGACGCTCAGTGCCAGCAGGGCGAAGCAGTCGAAGCGAGATGAGGTGAGCATGGAACACAATACTACACAAGTAGCGTGAGCATCCGTTGAGACTCAGTGTAGGCTATACGGAAGAAGATCGAGACGGATCTCAACAAGAAGAAGAATCCGGGAGGTCGCGTTCGGCCGACCAGAAAAGCTCCTCCAGGCACCGTTCTGGCTCTGAAGCCCAGCCCAGCCCTTCAGATCAAGCCCAACACCACCGTAGCTGAGGCTGCTCAGCTGATGGCAGCGAAGAGAGAAGACTGCGTCCTTGTCACCGACGATGACGAGCGAATTGCTGGTATATTCACGGCGAAAGATCTGGCGTTTCGAGTTGTGGGTGCTGGTATCAAGGCCAGGGACGTGACTATCGCGGAGATCATGACCAAGAATCCCCTTTGCGCCAAGACGGACACGAGCGCAACTGATGCTCTGGATCTGATGGTCCGGAAAGGCTTCCGGCATCTGCCCGTCATGGATGAAAACCACGACATCTCGGGCATTCTCGACATCACGAAGTGCTTCTACGATGCTATGGAGAAGCTTGAGCGTGCGTACAGCTCGTCACGAAAGCTTTACGATGCGTTGGAGGGCGTTCAGGCTGAGCTAGGGTCCAGCCAGCCACAGCAGATCATTCAATACGTAGAGGCTATCCGTACCAAAATGTCAGGACCAACGCTGGAGTCGGTCCTTACCGGACTGCCGCCTACAACAGTGTCCGTCCGGACATCAGTCAAGGAGGCGGCACAGCTCATGAGAGACAATCATACCACCGCAGTCCTTGTTCAAGACCAAGGATCGATCACTGGCATATTTACCAGCAAGGATGTCGTGCTGCGCGTTATTGCAGCCGGCTTAGATCCGGCGACCTGCAGCGTCGTCCGCGTGATGACACCTCATCCGGATTTTGCACCCATGGATATGAGCATACAGGCCGCTCTACGCAAGATGCACGGTAAGGAGCATGTCGTGAGCCCCTAGAGATTTTCTTTGGCTGACTAGAGCAGATGGCCACTACCTAAACCTCCCAGTCATGAGCGAAGCTGGCGAAATTGTTGGAATGGTCGACGTCCTAAAACTGACATATGCTACTTTGGATCAGGTGAGTACATCAGAAACATGGGCTTTGGCTGGCATCCTAACATCCCATAGATCAACTCCATGTCGACCGAGAAAGATGAGGGTCCAGCCTGGAACAAGTTCTGGCTCTCCCTCGACAACAACGACACGGAGTCAATGATGTCTGGCGAGGGCGGCAGCAGCCGTATGCCGCACACACCGGACGCTCGTTCACTCATGTCACCTGACCCAATGATGCGACCGGGCATAGAGCGTGGCGACAGCGTGTTTCCGAATGAGTCCGCGTCTCATCATGAGGATTCCCCAGACCATTCGGCAGTAGCCGGGGCTCAGCCGACGCCGTCAGAAGAGATACCGTTTCCTTTCAAATTTAAGGCACCCAGCGGCCGTGTTCATCGTCTACAGGTGGCTGCGGCTGCTGGTATGACTGAGCTCATTTCCAGCGTCGCCGAGAAACTAGGGAATGAGATCGAGGCCGTAGGTGGTGTACCAAGCCTTGAGGATGGCAAGCTTGGTGCCTCCGGCTTTGCTCTAAGCTATCTCGATAATGAGGGCGACACTGTTTCTATCACTACCGATCGGGACTTGCTTGATGCCATAAGCCTAGCACGACAGACGCATCGAGACAAGGTCGACCTGTTCGTTCACGACCCGTCACAGCCACCACTATCAGCAATGCTTGACCCACATCCAGGACTCGCCAAGCCACCGACTCCACCAGAGTCAACACTGAAGCACCGCAGGAGGTACGAGGAGGATGAAGAGGCGGAGGAATCCCCCGAGAGGCCTGTTAGGGAAAAGAAACAGCCGTCAGCTTCCGTGAAGCAAGATGAGCAGATCATCGCCGGCGTGCCAAACGAGCTTCTTCTGCCTGGTGCTGTCGTCACCTTGGCGGTTGTTGTTATTGCTGTCTTTGCTTTGGGACGGGCGAGCAGTCGGTAGGCTACTCATTTGCGCCTGTCTCAACCACCTCACAGCGCTTTGCGTCTCCACGTTGGGATGACTTTCTTGTGACGGATCAAATACCAAATGTTGTGGTCGGTTTTCGTCTGCAGTGGTCTTTACTGTATTTTACTCAGCTTAAAGTGGCCATGGGCACTGGACTGTGAAATAGTTTCATAGAATTACAACGAATCTTAGCCTACCGAATCAAAACACGTGTTGTGCACTCAAACCATTCTTGACCTCTGGTGAGACGCGTTTGTTTTCGCTTGGTTGGCCGGCGATCCTCGAAGCTCGCGACACGAGGGTCCAGACATTCTTTCCAGGACCCCACCAAAAATTATATCCAGACCTTGAGAGATACAGGAACCGCCTTGCCTTGCATACAAAACACATCACTATCTCTCTGCATCGGTTGCGCAAAGGCTGCTGACACCGCGTTCACACCCAATAAGATAAGGACTCGAGAAAGGCTCCCTTGCAGCCACGACTATCTTCGTGCGCTTAGCTACAAGCTTCACGTCCACTACACAATCTTTTTACGCCAGCTCATCCGCTACCTACGATGTCTGTCCTACCTCCCGAGGTGCATTCAGCGCTCAACGAGCTTCTCATCGGCCTACAGGCAGCCGACAACGTTGCGCGGACACAGGCGGAGGAGCGACTAAACGCGGAATGGGTGCAAGGAAGGCCAGATGTACTATTGATGGGTCTGGTGGAGCAGATGATAGGAGCAGAGGATCCGACGGTCAGAGTCTGATGTCCCGATTACTGTTGAAACATCTGCTGACGTTTTTGTCCCTGCAGACTCGGTCGTTTGCAGCAGTGCTCTTCCGGCGGATAGCAACCAGGACGCGCAAAGACCCGGCCTCAGACCGCACGAAAGAGCTGTTCCTCACACTACCCCAGCCTCAGAGGGATGCGATACGTGGGAAGCTTTTACACTGCCCCGAAAGCGAGACCGCAGCGCATGTACGGAATAAGGTCTGCGATGCGGTTGCGGAAATTGCGAGGCAGTATACCGAAGACGGTAGGACACTCGGGCATGGTACACACAACCGATGAGATGATGCTGATGTGGCTACCGCAACAGGTGAACAATGGCCAGAACTGCTAGGAGTGCTATTTAACCTAAGCCAGTCGGCGGATGCGGGCAAACGAGAGAGCGCATTCCGGATATTCGCGACTACACCAGGCATCATAGAGAAGCAGCATGAAGATACCGTATTAGCCGCTTTCACTAAGGGTTTCAAGGATGACGATCTATCGGTATGTCTTATGATTGACCCTACAACGACCGGTCTAATCCTCGAATTAGGTGCGAATCGCGGCGATGGAAGCCTTTGCGTCCTTCTTCCGCTCTATAAACAAGAAAGCACAACAGAAATACTACCCTCTAATACCAGAGATACTTGGTGTCTTACCTCCGCTCAAGGATTCGGGAGACTCGGGACTTCTATCAAACGCCTTGGTTGCCTTGATCGAACTGGCTGAGGTAGCGCCGAAGATGTTCAAGCCTTTATTTAATAGCCTTGTCACTTTCAGCATCACGGTCATCCAGGATAAGGAGCTGGACGATCAGGCGCGACAGAACGCGCTTGAGCTCATGGCTACTTTTGCCGACCACAGCCCCCAAATGTGTAGGAAAGACCCTTCCTATACTTCCGAGATGGTCACACAATGCCTGTCACTTATGACGGATGTCGGTATCGACGACGACGATGCCGAAGAGTGGAACACATCAGAAGATGTAAGCACACAATCTGCAGTTCGATATCAAAGCGAGCGCTAACGACTTCGTAGCTCGACATCGACGAAAGTGACATGAACCACGTCGCAGGAGAGCAGTGCATGGACAGATTAGCCAACAAGCTTGGCGGACAGGCAATCCTACCACCTACATTCAACTGGCTACCGCGTATGATGACTTCCTCTGCCTGGCGCGACCGGCATGCTGCGCTCATGGCCATATCTGCCATATCAGAAGGCTGCCGAGACCTCATGGTCGGAGAACTCGATAAAGTCTTGGACCTGGTCATCCCCGCTTTAAGAGACCCGCATCCACGGGTACGGTGGGCCGGCTGCAACGCTCTCGGGCAGATGAGCACGGACTTTGCAGGAACGATGCAAGAGAAATACCATCAGATCGTGCTTCCGAACATCATCCCTGTTCTCGAATCGCCGGAGCCTCGAGTGCAGGCACACGCCGCAGCAGCGCTCGTCAATTTCTGCGAAGAGGCGGAGAAAGCAGTCCTCGAACCGTACCTTGACAACCTTCTGACCCACTTGCTAGTGCTTCTGCAGAGTCCAAAGCGTTTTGTTCAGGAGCAGGCGCTGTCTACTATTGCCACTGTGGCCGACTCCGCCGAAGCCGCCTTCACCCGCTACTACGACACTCTCATGCCTCTGCTTTTCAACGTGCTGAGGGAGGAGCAGTCGAAGGAGTTCAGACTGCTCAGAGCGAAAGCGATGGAATGTGCTACTCTGATCGCTCTAGCAGTTGGCAAAGAGCGCATGGGTCAAGACGCGCTGACGCTTGTTCAGCTCCTCGGATCAATTCAACAGAGTATCGTAGATGCAGACGATCCTCAAGCATCATACCTCTTGCATTGTTGGGGACGAATGTGCCGTGTGCTCGGCCAAGACTTCATACCGTACCTAACTGCAGTTATCCCGCCGCTGATGGAAATCGCGGGTGCAAAAGCAGACATTCAGCTTTTGGATGACGAGGAGCAAGTTGCGTCTGTTGAGCAAGAGGAGGGCTGGGAGCTTGTTCCCCTCAAGGGCAAGTATATCGGCATCAAGACAAGCACGCTGGATGACAAGCACATGGCCATTGAACTCATCGTCATCTACGCCCAGGTGCTCGAGGCCGCTTTCGAGCCTTATGTCAACGAGATCATGGACAAGATCGCTCTTCCGGGCTTGGCATTCTTCTTCCACGATCCCGTGCGAGTAGCATCCGCCAAGTGCGTGCCGCAGCTCCTGAACTCGTACAAGAAGGCACACGGCACACAGTCTCCGCAGTTTGCACAGCTCTGGGAGCGCACGATCGAGAAGGTCCTCGAGGTCCTCAGCACAGAGCCCGCCATCGACACGCTCGCAGACATGTATCAATGCTTCTACGAGTGTGTCGAAGTCGTCGGCAAGAACTCCCTCACAGCAGCACACATGTCCACCTTCATCGAATCCGCGCGAACAGTGCTCGAAGATTACCATGAGCGCGTCAAGACCCGTCTAGAAGAGCAACAAGAGACCGAAGACGGCGAGGAAGCGTCCGAAGAGATGCTCTTCGCTATCGAAGACGACCAGGCCCTACTTTCAGACATGAACAAGGCTTTCCATACCATCTTCAAGAACATGGGCCCCGCATTCCTGCCGCACTGGGAGCGCCTCCTCAACTACTACGATATGGCTATCGTGAACCAGGACCCGACGCAGCGCCAGTGGGCCATCTGCATCTACGACGACGTCCTCGAGTTCTGTGGTCCGCAGAGCTGGAACTATAGCTCGCACATCATCGAGCCGCTCGTCGCGGGCATGCGCGATGATGTCCCGGCCAACCGGCAGGCGGCTGTATACGGCGTCGGCGTCGCCGCTCACAAGGGCGGCGAAGCGTGGTCGGAGTTTGTGAGCGCAAGTCTGCCGACGCTGTTCCAGGTCACGCAGCGGCCGAATGCCCGAGAGGACGACGATGTGTTCGCGACGGAGAATGCGTGTGCGAGCATCGCGAAGATCCTGCACTACAACTCGAGCAAGATCCAGAACGTGCAGGAGGTCGTTAACGCATGGGTGGATACGCTGCCTGTTGTCAATGATGAGGAGGCGGCGCCGTATGCGTACTCGTTCCTTGCGCAGCTGATTGATCAGTAAGTCTCCCGTTCTCAAAGTGTGTTGTTTCGTGCAGCAGCGGGCTGATCCTCCGACAGACAAAATCCAGCTGTCATGTCTCAAGCAGCGAAATGCTTTACCTTCATCGTGCAAGCGCTCGACGCAGAGACATTGCAGGGCCAGACGGCGAGTCGCATCGTCGGCGCAGCGAAGCAGCTCGCCACCCAGACGGGGCTGGATGTCAACCAGCTGTTGGCAACAATGTCGCCGGAGACGCAGCACACAGTACGGGCCTTCTTTGGGTGAATGCAGGTTGATGGGAATGATTGCAACGATCGGGTGGGATGGTTTGCATGTTTTGAGACATGGCCTTGGCGTAACGATATCCGATATGTTTTCTTCACCCTGAGGAGATGAGTGTTTGGCTACGGTGTCTTGCTGAGCAGGGTTTGCCTAGATAGAGGTAGGCTTTCCTAGTAGACAGCTTCTGTGCGAATGCATGAAAATCATAGCAGGACTACTATTCTAGCATCATTGCCGATTGCGGACTGTTGAGCTCTCGTACATGAATCCGGTTCCGGCGTCTGTCTGTCTGAACTTACAGCAGCTAGCAAACCACGCGCCATGACCTAGACAGGCCACGATATATGGTTCAAGGATCAAGCATAGCTGAATAAGCGTAACAAAAGACCGCCACTGGAGACGGCTGATGAACCTGCGATGAATTTCCGCGCCGTAACACGCTTGTTGCAAGAAAATTGGCTTTAAAGCCAACGCACCTGAAATCGATGGAGGAAACTGGGCGAGGCAACGCAGCAGCTTGCGGTCGGCACCGAAGAATCGTGGTCTTAGCCGAATGCGGTAAATGGTACGTTGCCTTGAATGGGGCCGCAACGAGGACGCCGATGCAAGGTTCAAGGAGGAGTCTGCGAGTTTTAGCCTACGAAATACTTCTGTGAAGAATTGATAGGCGCTGAAAACGGGGTGTGGTTGGTTCTTGCACCGGTTTGTAGGGCTAGAACAGTTCTTCCCTGGTGCGCCGGGGCTTTGAAGAGAATTGATGCTTTGGGTAGAGGCTCACTCTGCTGGGTAGGGACTGCTACTTTGCGCAGACTGGAACTAAGCGTCGAGTAGCTGGTCTCTCTGTTGGCATCGTCCAGGCGTCCAGATTCTCACCATGAGCCATCTTTGCACCAGAGCATTGCGAAGCGAGAGATTGCGGTATTGAGGTCGGGTAGAGCGGTTGGAGCTTTAGGAGTATATCCGTATGGCGGCAGAGCGAGGTGGCTCAGACAATAGTGATTGTCTGCTTCTCCCCTCTGCGAAACCAGTTCAGAGAACCTGAGGTGCCCCGGAAAGAGCCAATCCTATGATAGCACCCATCTGCTCTCTGAGCAAGAATCAACCCTATAGGGTTCGTCATATGATCTTGTGAAGTACCACTAGCAGCCAAC